TGAGGTCCTGTTCAAGGCAATCCCTAGACACACCATACATTGCTTTTGAATTTTGTTTTACAATCCCCCCCCCCCCCCTTCCCCCACCTCCCCACAAACTTCTCATCTTGCTGATGCGATAATGATCACATCATTATCACATGTAGTTTCAGGACAGTTCATTTGACAATGAACTGAATATCACTAAATGCCAATGCACTCGAGAGCCTTGCACATTTATCACTAATGTAGCCAGAGTAGGATCGGGGGGCGTTTCACAAAACTTGTCATCAGTGACAAATGACAGTTTTTGTTATAAGCTACTGAAATCCTTGCTTCTGATTGGTTATCAGCAGATTTGTCACAGATTGTTGTTGTATGTCATTGAAAAAATGCTTTGTGAAACACCCTCCTGGTCTCTGGTTTTCCGTATCTTGGTCTTAGTATCAACCCAAAGATCTATAGATGCAAATACATGGACTAACAAGTCCCCCTCCCCCTCCCCAGGTCTTATTCTTGTTAACCCAGGGGGTGTTTCACAAAGATCTTAAGTAGAACTTAACTCTAAGGTGGACTTAAAAATTATGGACAGCCATTGGAGTCTTAAAATGAAATATATTCAAAAGCAGAAATTCAAGTATTTTAGACTTTTTATAAATTCAACATCCAGAACATGAAATCTCCTTGATGATAGAAAATATGAATGATTAGAATAAACAATTAATGCCTTTCAAAATAATTTTTACAAAATATTTTCAAAGATGCTAATGGCTTTCCATAATTTTTAAGTCCAACTTAGAGTTAAGTTCTACTTAGGATCTTTGTGAAACACCCCCCAGATCTCTGGTACACAAGTTCTAATGCTATATACCCGATTATTTGATAATGATGTGCTGTATAAAGTAACTAGGGTCTGCGTTGAAAAGAAAAGTTAGAGGCCGTGCACACTGATAGTAGTAATCGCTCATTTGTGATATGCAAACTATTTATGAAGAGTTGGATAGAGTAACTTGGAGCGCTGCCAGCGCTTCCCAGGGTTGGGTAGTTACAGTGCTAGAGGTGCTAGCCCGCCACCGCTATGATACTGGAAATGTATGGTTGATGTAAGGCAAGGTCGATGGGGTGTACATGTATATATGTACAAAGGGGAGTGGGGTGGGGTGTAAAGTGGGGTGGGGTGTAAAGTGGGGTGGGAGTGGGGTTTGGAGTTGGGTGTGGGGGTATGGAGTGGGAGTGGGGTGTAGGCCTAGGGTGGGGGTCAGGTGTGGGGAGTGGGGTGTGGAGATGGTGGAGTTGGGGTGTGGAGTAGGGGTGTGGGGTGGGGTGGGGTGTGGAGTGGGATTGGAGACAGCATGCGGTGCTGGGAATGTCTAAATATAGCAGCAGCCGCAATCGTTTGTACTTGGTGGTGTGTAGGCGCTGAACGTCTATTGCCGAGGGAGCGGATGCGTGGAGCATTACTTCCGGGTTTCAATTTCCAAAGTTGATTTATCGGTTACGCAGGTTTGGAGAGCACAGTGTACTCTCACCAATTTCCTTGTTTCTTTCAAATTAATGGAAGCTACAAATGTACATGATAAATCACCATTTCTTACATTTTTCATTTCATATCACCAAGGGAGCTTTCACATGATGTTTTGAAATGTTCATCACATAATTCAGAAGCTTTAACTGGAAAATTGCAAGAAGGATTGACAAAGCAGAGCAATGCCTGTCATAAATTCCTTAAATAAATCTTCAAATATTCAAATATAAATACCAACAAACTGAATGATTTTGAGGGTTTCTTTCCCTGCAAGCAGGGAAAGAGTCACTTAACCCTACAAGCACCCAAGCTCCTCTACATTGTGAATCTAATCAATCCAACTCAGTTGTTCTCCATAAACAAAGAGGGTATTCTTACCCAACCCCACCCCCCTCAAAATAAAAAATCTCTTTGCTCCGGAAGAAAAAAATATCAAAACCAGAATATACATACACTGTAGTGCATCATTCAAAGTTTATATATATTTTAATTATCTACAGTACATTTTCAAAGAATTTATGGAATTATTCATGCATTGAGGATTCCGCAATGTGAAAATTAGTAATCAATCATTGAAATGTTATTGATTTAGTATTAAAGGGATCGTTTAACAATATTAAATCTGAGATACACGGTCCTACATGTTACCAGTGTCTGTGCATATGGTGTAATATTGAAGCCCTAAAAAAAAACGCGCTTCAAAATGATCGAGAAGTGCCTCAAAAAAGTAAAAATCTTTTAGTGACCGGTTTTACCATACTCGTTTTCCCCAATAGACTGTAGTGTTATGAAAACCGTTCAACGAACGGTTTTCAAAATTTGTAATTCCAATCATTACTATCTTGATAATCAGACAGGCGATCGGCTTGTAAAAGTCATGGAGTTCCTGACTGACCTAAAGGTTTATAGTTATCATTGCAGCATGAGCTAAATCAAGGATTATTTTTAAAGGATCTAAGACAAAGTTACCGGATCCCTTTAAAAGGCACATGATACTCGAGGCCCTTGTTGGGTTAAGGAATTAACTGATATATCCCATTTTTGATGGTATAAATACATGTAGGCCGTAGATCAAATGAAGCTGAAACAATCACAAGGAGCAATCAGCTGACAAACACAAACTCATGATGTCCTAAATAAAAATGGTATTTGCTTTAATCATAGCAACTCCATGAATGGATTCACTACAATATACACATGATTCCTTGAGCCCTTTCCTTAATACTTTTTTGGAGGGAGCCTTATGAAAAACTTTATTAAGAGGGTCTGAGTAAATCAGGAGCCAATCCTTTTAAGTCTTATTTTTAATCTCTCACAAAGACTCTTATCACAAGACCTCTATAATTACCCTTTCCTGTCCTGTACACTTCTTAGCTATTTGACTTCTTTTCATGAATGAGTTAAAAATAACTTCTAGCTATTTACAGGGGTTTTACTTAAAGGTAAAGACCAGTTATGGTCATGCGATTGCATTGTGAAAGAAACGTTGTGGAATCGATCAGAAAATGTTGATCATCTAGCATCTAGCATCTGCAAGGTTCTGGAATCATCAAAATGATAAGAAATTTGGCCCATTCTTCGTAAAGTTACAAGCACTATACGCAGAAAGATGTATATGGGACTACCCCATATCTCTCACAGACCATGAGAGAAACAAAATTTCCAAATATATGAATTAGTAGGCGGTTTCCCGGCAAATTTGTTATCATCATGTATTAGTCAAAACATATTATTTCACATGATTGGTAATGAGAGCTTCCATTTCATTTTTTGAAATTGGGGCGTTTCCAATACTGGTCTTTACCTGTAACACAAAACACTTGTGTTTCACACCGTGATATACACTGTCTATAAGTAGTTATTTTCACAGGGGTTTTATTTTTGCGAATTTTGCGAATCACTTATTGATCGCAAATTCAACATGCTAAATTTTTTCCAGCAAGTAATGTTGCATGTCTAAATCACTAAAGTGAACCTGGCTGGTATGTAGCACACATCATCTATACAGCACAAGTCATCAATGGGGCATGCAGTGCAGTTTGAGAGCACACCAATTGTAATGGGGCACTTCAATGGATTATTTCCATTTAATGCTCCCGAACTAATCCTCATATTATGATGATTGCAATTCTCGGGAATGAGTTCATGATCCACGGAAATAGAATAATTGATGAAAAAGCATATAATTGGTAATGGTTGCGCTTTTTAAAAGCAAATTAAAAAAATGATGAATTTGTCCTTAAAGGAAACCTCACTCCAAAGAATAAATGCAGGTATTCCGAAAAATGAGATGTATTACTGCCTTTTGATGTACGATATTCCTCACAAAACTGTACAAGAGATATACAATTGAAGAGATTCATGGCATGATGTGATACCTTTTAGCATGATGTGATTCTCTTGAAAATGTGACGTACCAGTTGAAGTTGTACATGTATCATGCACCATGCTTTAGTTGGAAAGACTTTTTAAATCAATAAGAAAACCTTTACTTTTCAATGAGGAAATATCGTAGATGAGAAGATAGAAATTATATTTGGTGAACAATATATAACAGGGGAACAATTGTAACAAAGTCATTTAAAAATACTAATATATAGGAGTTGACAAATCTATTGCTGAGAAAGTGAACATTATTCTTGTATTATGCCTCTCTCAAACATGGAAGACTATGAAATCTTGTAGATTAATGGGCAAGAATATAATAAATCTCTCAGAATAAGTAAGGTTATTTCTTGGGTTGAGGTTTCCTTTATACCCTTTGAAGGCGAAAATATCTTTACACATAAATATATGCTTATACACTAGGTGCCTTAATGTCCTTTATATACCATCACTTATGTATCGTCACCTCAGCCATGGGAACATACCTCTTCACAATGATATATGTCTTCTGGAAAATAGAAAGTATTTTCTTTTGATATGATATTAATTTTCCTGGTATGAAATATAATCCTGAATGGGATGAAAAGGGTTCATTGAGACGTCCTTGACTGCAGGGCGAGTACATCTACAATTTCATCTTCCCTGTGTATATCCTCAGGCAGCATTCATGACGAAAAACACGTGCAATAAAATGTAGTTAACTGCAGGCTGAATGCATCTTGTCTTCATGTTTATCTTTCCGATATAGAGTCAAAGGCAGAATGGAATGAAAGTATTCAGTGAGACTCAATTGACAGCAGGATAAACACATCTCGACTTGGTATGAATCTTCCTGAAGTAGTTTCTTATATAGAGCAGGAAGAAAACGCTCAGTTAAACGTAGACAACCATGTTGTGAACATGTCTAAATTCCATATTCATCTTCCTGCCATTAAGTCTCATACAGATGGGTCAAGAAATGTTCGGCCGAACATACATGGCTGCAGTGTGAACATACCTCGGCTTGATACTCATCTTCCCATCATGAAGTTTTCATGCAGGAAGAGATTAGAACGTTCAGTGAAACATAGCTGATTCCAAGACCAAGATCTGCCTCGGGTGGAGAATGCCCCTACCAACTGGCGGATTCTTCAAACAACTTAGTAGGTTCCTTGGCTGCAGCCTCTGTCGTGATAATTCATTAATCAAACACAGATATTATTACATAACAGTTATGAAGGAGGGAATATTTAAAGGAGAACTCCACCCTGATAATAAATTGCTTTTAATAGAAGCAGAAAAATAAGAGAAAAAAACTAAGTGAAAGTTTGAGCAAAATTTGATTAAAATAAGAAAGTAATTAATTTTGGAAGTTGTCATCAGGTAAACACAAATTGGCAACACTGTATCTTGTTAGCTTGTCTCTAACTTGCACTGTACAGAAAATTTCATAAGCTTTTCTTTTCTTAGTTATTAATAACAAAATATATTGATTCATACAGGGGTTTTATAAAAACATATTTGCAATAGTTACATATATTAAAGGTGAATGTATGATTTAATTTTTTCTTGAGGAAAACTATACATTTTTGAAGTTTTTTAGTACTACAGGACAAATGGGAGGGTTCTTAATTTGTGTTTATTTGATTGCACCTTCAAAAATTCATAACTTTCTTATTTGAAATCGGATTTTGCTCAAACTTTCACTGACCTATATCTCTTACTTAATATCAGAGTGGACTTCCCCTTTAACTGTATTATCTAATCATTGGTGTCAAATACCCTGAACATCAGTTGTCATTGATCTGCTTGGTACATGTAAATATCATGGCAAATATTTTGGTCCACCAGTATATCAAGAACAATTCAATTTCAAAACTCAAATTCTTAGGCGCAATGTGCGGCCCACAGCATGAGAAGGGTTTAAAGATGAAGTTGAGTTGTGGCCATGCGATTGCATTATGAAAGAAACGGTGTGGAACCGACCAGAAAAGGTTGATCATCTAGCATATAAGAATGTGTGTGTATTGCAAGGTTCTGGAATCATCAAAATGATAAGAAGTTCGGCCAAGTCTTGGTAAAGTTACAAGCACTTGCACAGAAAGATGTATATGGGACTACACAAACACGTGGCGTAAAAAGCCGGCCCCCCGATTTTTACGATGTGACATGCATATTTAGAATATGAAGGCATTTGAAGAGCCATGCTTTTCAGGGAACATGTCTTAACTGATGTTCTTCCACACTTGCATAATAAGAATGAGTAATGCTCACAAATTATTTTTCCCCTCTTCCCAGAACTCAACCTTCTCTTTAACATTATGCACATTATTTTCCACTTCATTATCTTGTCAGTATAGCATTCAGCAAACACATACATGTACATACATGTATATGTAGCTGAAATAGCAGACCACAGCGAAGATGGCTATCCAATATACATCGAGGGTTAAGTAACTCCATATTTTGCCAAAATGAGTATTTGATATCAAAATGTTCAGAAAAATGTGGGCTTTCCAGGAAACACATAAGACTAACTCAACCCAAAACCTCATTTTAATAAGTCAATGGCTAGCCAAACATAGACTTTACTCCTTAAGGCCCAAGGGCTCAGTGACACATAAACCTCTTTTTCTCAAAATGGCCAAAATGGAGTTATGTCTTTGTGTCACTGACCCCTTTAACATGAACTATTATGTGAAGGGTTATCATGATGGATTCCCTGTTGTTCATATTCATTGTGTTTCCAAGAAATTGGGAGGTAGTACTGGCACGCTCCACCGACACTCATCACTCGACAACCCCAGGCAGTGAAAGCATAGCTGCAGGTGCTGGGGCCCCGTTTCATTAAAAACTTTTTATCTATAACAAATGCTTATTTCTATGATAAATTTGCTCTCAGCCAATCAGATGCCTTGGTTTCAGTAGCTTATAACGGTAGCTTGTAACTTCTTATTGATATCAAGTTTCATGAAACAGGGCCCAGAAAATAATGCTGGCTCCCATGACAACCATTATACCGATGATCACCATTAGTGATGAGATCTAATTGGAATACAGTCTACCAGTCTACCACATGAAGTGATATTGTACTGGTACAGTTTTTTAAATCCTCTACATGAAAGGCAGGGATATGTAAGAAGAGGGGGAGGTGGGGGGGGGGGGGGGTGATATTAAGAAATATATGTCTTTAAAAGCATTCATGAAAATTAGAAACTTGTATAGACAATCTGATAAAAATTAGTGTCTGATATATTTTATCTTCAAAATAAAATAGTCTAGATTGTTGTGTATCTCTATAATGCAAAAAGAGGCCGTTTGTGAAGCTTTTACCATTTTCCCAATATACTTTGCTCAACATTCTCTGCAGTGCAGATGTATTTTAAAATAAAAATAAAAGCTTCTATTAAACTCTCTAACTAGCTTTTATGATAACCCTTCATAATTCATATTTCATTTTCTATCCCAACTTTTGAATTCAATTGCTATGCATCAAAGCCAATAAACATTTATGGTGCAAACTTGCATCACCAATTTTTGCCCATTTATCCAAGTCCAATATTTCACCATTTGTTTCTCCTACCATGTGAACATGACAAATTCAATTTACGCTGAATTTCAGCTTGCCGTCAGGGCCCCATTACACAAAACTTGTCATCAGTGACAACCAACAGTTTTTGTTACAAGCTACTGAAATCCTTGCTCTTGATTGGCTATCAGCAGATTTGTCACTGATATCTGTCATTTTTCATTGAAAAAAGGCTTTGTGAAACAGGTCCCAGGTTCCCATCGCTCTCCTGGGTAAAGAGCGGCACATATACATGTAAATTAATGTCTTACAGAGGGACATAAGAGTCACTCTTGGGATTCTAACTCAAACAACAGGAACGATTCAAAGCTGAATCAATTAATCCTTGATTATTTAATGACATTGCCGTAATCATTTTGTAACTACTTATTCACATCTTTGATATATTTGTCTAAATCTTTTATAATATTGCTGTGCGATGTAACCATTGTTATTTTGTTATGTTGCTTCTGTATTTTGATGTTTGTATTATGATGTAAATATTAGACTGGAGGTTGTATGTCTTTTTTAAATTTTTTTGATAACCAAACCAATTGTATGTTATCTTTGGAATGCCAAATAAATACTACTACAACTAAAGATAATAATAATACTGGATTCATAACATGAAAATTCATCCAAGGGACCATTCATTAGCTGCTGCATGTCGGATGTACCTCTGACAAGCCTTTTAGAGTGTAATATTACCGACTAAAGAGTGCAGAGTACTCATTTTGGAGCCAACAAATTAAAAATTATTAAAAGATATACATTTCTGACACCTCAGTCACACCGTCATACAACTTCAGACCGACTCCAAACCGATCGATCTTTGGCCATAGACGTAATGTAATATTTTTGTTCTGTCTGGTGTCGGTCTTGTCGGTGTGACCAAGGTATGATCATTGATCAGGGGTCTGTTTCATAAAACTTGTTATCTATAACAACTGCTAAATTTCTATGACAAATTTGATCTCAGTCAATCAGATGCATTGATTTCAGTAGCTTATAACAGTAGCTTGTAACTTGTTATTGATAACAAGTTTGCTCTCAGCCAATCACATGTCATGATTTCAGTAGCTTATAACAGTAGCTTGTAACTTGTTATTGATATCAAGTTTGCTCTCAGCCAATCACATGTCATGATTTCAGTAGCTTATAACAGTAGCTTGTAACTTGTTATTGATATCAAGTTTGCTCTCAGCCAATCACATGTCATGATTTCAGTAGCTTATAACAGTAGCTTGTAACTTGTTATTGATATCAAGTTTGCTCTCAGCCAATCACATGTCATGATTTCAGTAGCTTATAACAGTAGCTTGTAACTTGTTATTGATATCAAGTTTGCTCTCAGCCAATCACATGTCATGATTTCAGTAGCTTATAACAGTAGCTTGTAACTTGTTATTGATAACAAGTTTTATGAAACAGGGTCCTGTAGGGATAGAAATTACCATTATCCTCGCTGCTTGCTCTATCTAGTTTCTTGCCTTCTGAAGATGGTATAGGTGGAGTGACACTCTTTCTCGAGACAAAGGGGGTAGCACTAAAAAGAGAATCGATCATTTTCAAAATGAAAATTAGTCAATGAAATATTACTATTCCAGTCAACATCTATCTTATTTAAAGACCAAATGTATTGGTATTGATGAAGGGTTCTTTAATATCAAAAGGATGAGCATGTTTGAGTGAGATTACTTTTGAATTGCTTACCAAGAGAACAGGGCATTGCTTTCATTTCACAGTATTCATTGGTTGATGCTAGGTTAGCTGTACCTTGGACAATCTTTGAAATTTGCTCTGGTGTAGAAATATATTACTGACTAAAGAATGAATGAAAACTCAGTTTAAAGCCAATGACCTGGGCCCCGTCTTACAAAGAGTTGCAAGTCCTCCAATCAATCGCAACTTTGCAGTCTCCTATCTTTTATGTACATAGTTGCAATTGAATTAATCGCAAATAAGTTGCGATTACCGTAATATCAACTCTTTGTAAGACGGGGCCCAGGATATATTTGAACTATAGTTTTTACCTGTTGACACCCTGCATGAAAATTCTTCAAACAGACTAAAACAAAAAATGATAAAGAAATATCTGGCACCCGATGAAATCTTATCAAACTCACTTTGGATCCATCTGTTTGAGCTTCTTGGCCGTACTTGACATAAAGCTAGCGACCTCTGGGTCGTCGAAATTGGCCAATTTATCCGGGGACTCGTCAACCATGGCACGCTTCTTTCCACGAGGGCTCCCGGGTGTCTTCGCTTCGGCGGAGGAGGGGGCTTCTTGGAAAGCTGGGAAGGGGACAAAGTCTCCAGCCATGAACTGAGATTTCTTGTAGTCCGCGTAGGATGTGACCTGGTAGAGAGGGTTCTTCTCTAGGGTCCGTCGAACTGTGAAGAGAAAAGGTATCAAGTAAAATTAGTGAAAACAATACTTAAAGTGACTCAGGAACATTGCCTCAGATTCTGAAACAAAATCTTTGATTTAGCTCATGCTGCAATCATAGTTATAAGCCTTTAGGTCAGTCAGGAATACCATAACTTTTACAAACCCATCGCCTGCCTGCTTATCAAGATATTGATGAATGGAAATCAAAATTTCATTTTTAGTTTTCCTAACGGTTTTTATAGCACTAGAGTCTCTTAGGGAAAATGAGTATAGTAAAACCGATCCCTCAAAGATTTTTTACTTCTTTGAGGCACTTCATGATCAATTTGAAGCGCAATTTTTTAAAATAACACGTGGGGCTCTGCATCTCAGATTTAACATTGTTAAACGATGCCTTGAATAAAGATTTTACTGACAGCAGGGATAATAAAATAAGCTTTTTTTGAAGGGGCTCCTAATTGAACTATCTAGATTCTGCATGCACACTTCCAAGAAAAGTCATAAGCCATAGACCTATGGTGACAGAGCACTGACATGAGGAGGCCCAAAACTTTGGAACGCTCTCCCAGTATCGCTAAGCTCGATGACAGACGTTGAGGTGTTTAAGAAAGGACTAAAAAAGTGTTTTCAGTGATTATGAATTATCAATTGTATAGTACATTGAAAGGGCCTACGCTCCTGAAATGCGCTAACAGGAGAACAATATATCATGATCATTATGTAAGCTCTGCGTTATCATTTTGAAATTTAATAGGTCAAAAAAAAAATCATAATTGAAAACTTTCCTAAAAGTATTAGGGCAAAATATTTATTATTAGCAAGATTTAAATCATTTTTATTTTTGACATTTGAAGTTTGTAACTGGCAGTATTCTATTCATACCATTCGTTGTGGAAAACAAGGTCTTTAGATCTGAAATTTTGCACATACTTTCAAAAACTTGTTTTGCTACTATGGATAATTTGTTGTGATAAGATTTTGAGGGCTTGCAAGTCCCTGAAAAGGGCTTTAAATATATTGCTTGGGGAGATGAAGAAAAAAAAGGCTGCCGATTTTGTTTCATAAGAAAAATGATGTGATTCTCAGTTTAACCAAATTTGTTCAACTTTGTCTGAACAGCAATGGTACATGGTTCAGAAACTTGGAATGTAAAGACGATAGAAGAAGGTTCCTTGAGGCAACAGACAGAGCCATGATACAGATAACATGTAGTGTGAAACTGTCTGATAGAAAGAACACAAGTGTGCTCAAGGAAAGATTGACCTGGGAAGAAACATTAGTGGAACTGGTAAAACAAAGTGGATTGAGAAGGGAAGATGATTGATGAAACTGTGAAAAGAGCATGGGATCTGCCGGAAGTGGATGGCATAAGATGGAAAGGAAGACCGAGGATTTCATGGAAAGGTATGGTGGAGAAAGAAAGCAGTAAGGTTTGTCATCATGGTGCAGAAGTCGGTAATCCCTCATAAGTGGGAAAATACTGACGTTAAAACATAATGCTGCTGCTGCTGATGATGATGACAATGTTCTTGGGAAGCAATAGCTGCCTTTAGCTAAGGGGAGGGATTAAGGTGTACCAATCACAAACAAATTTATGTAGGTGCATATGGGTGCGTCGAGAAGTCTACCGGTACTCATACGTCACTTTACGCTTATTAAGAGTGCATTTAAAATTGCAATATCACTTTATAATTGAAAACCATATTCAAAGTATAGTATAGTGACATGGAAGCTCTAACATAAAGAGGAAGAAAGGTTAGAGAGTGCTGTAAATGTCAATGATCTACATAATCTATTTGCATCATGTTCTTCTGCGAAATGAACAAGAGAGGAAGCTGTATACAGTGACCAGGCGGTCAAGATAGGCGATCTGGGAATTAATTTTCATAGAGCCTTTTGCTCTGGAAGCAATGTACATAGTTAAGTATACGTGTATAGGGTGAGGTAAAAGGTGAGATAGTGCCCTAAATGTCAATGATCTACATAATCTATTCCCATCATGTTCTACTGTGAAATGAACTCGAGAGGAAGCTGTATACAGTGACCAGACGGTCAAGAGAGTTGATCTGGGAATTGAATTTCATAGAGCCTCTCACTCCGGAAGCGATGAACATAGAATATGTATATAAATCCTCTGGTTTCTCTATGCCAAGGGCAAGGTTTCCACGGAGGTAGGATTTCAAATGGCATTTAAATACAGGATGTGTCTTTCCTAGCACAGTGTACATTTCATCTATAACACATTTTTTTGGTATGTACATCTGGGGAGTGTTTCACAAAGACTAAGATCGCCTTTAAGTTGGACTTAATTACGGCAGGCCATTCATGACACTGGTTGCACTCACCATTATGATCTTTAGATATTATTTCTTCCTTTAATATTGAACTATCAGAACATTTAAATGCCCTAGATTTGTGACCATGATTTGTACGTCCCTTGATAGACAAATGCCAGTAAATGGTGAGAGAAAACAGTGGCATGAACGGCCTGCCATAGTTAAGTCAAACTTAAAGTCGATCTTAGTCTGCTTGAAACACTCCCCTGGGCCTATATTCATAAAACCTTAGCTAATTACATACATGTAGACAAAAGGACATAGCTTGAGATGATAACTGGGCTGAGTAAAGTTTTAAGAATATGTGCCCTGGATCCATATTCATAAACCCTTACTAAGCCTTGTTTGCAAACTGAAATGAAATGCTTTTAAAAAAAATACATTTCTGATGTGGAAAAAATGTTATATGAATAAAAAATAATATATAATAAATAATAAATAAATAATACAAAATGAATAATAAGTAATAAATAATAAATGAATAATGAATATTGAATAAATAACAGTTAATGAACAATAAATAAATAAATAACACAAAATAAATAATAAGTAATAAATAATAAATTAATAATAACTATTAATAGTTAACGAATAATAAACAATAAATGAATAAAAAATACTGAATAAATAATAAATAATAAATAATGAATAATAAATGATGAATAATAAATAATGAATAATAAATAATGATAATATATGTATTTCTTACCCTGTGAGGCTCTATCTTTCTTCATCAAGCCAACCATAGCGGACTTGTCGTCAATCCAGCTGATCATGATGTTGCCAAAGGGAGTGAAGAGGTCATAGAGGTCAGTTGATTTCCATTCCGACGGAAAGCGCACATGGAAGATGTGATCTCTGGAAGGTTGCACTGAGAGTGATGAAACAAAAATAATGATTTCATTGATTATATCTTTTGATGATGATGACCAATGCCTCACTACCATTAATAAAGAAAGCATGTATATAATTGTTAACAACCAACGGCTTTAAGTCCTGTTCGAGGGCCTTGGTAATGAGGATTATGGCCTTACTGCTATTAAAAGCATGTATATGATTGTAAGTAAACAACCAGGGGACCGACGGCTTTAAGTCCTCTCCAAGGGACTTGGTAATGGGGATTAATGCTTTACTGCTAAGAAAGCATGTTTTTTTTGTAAGTAAACAGCCAGGGAACCAACGGCTTTAAGACCTCTCCGAGGGACTTGGTAATGAGGATTAATGCCTTACTGCTAAGAAAGCATGTATGATTTAAAGTAAACAACCAAGGGACCAACGGCTTTGAGTCCTCTCTGAGGGACTTGGTAATGAGGATTAATGCCTTACTGCTATTAAAGAAGGCATGTATATGATTGAAAGTAAACAGCCAGGGAACCAACGGCTTTAAGACCTCTTCGAGGGACTTGGTAATAAGGAATAATGCCTTATCAAAGGGCACAAGCACACTGACTTGGTTTTGAACATGATCTGTGCCTGTGGAAGGTTGCACTGGCAGTCTGGCATACAAAGAGGGATGATATAGTATATTGATTTAATTGTTTTATCATCCAAACAAAATGTTATTACTTCAAATGTTGTGTTAATATTCTTCTGGCAAAGTAATGTACAAACTTTAATACTGGTTAACAGAAAATGAAAAGAAGGTTGCGTAACTTGTTTATCATTCCAAAAATTGATGTTTGTTGGTGATGTTTGAATGAGCACTGCCACTGCCACCATACCATGAAAGGGGGGGGGGGGCATGCCATTTATGTGAACCCAACAGTTGATTCAGATCTACATTCAGTTATTGTCATTGGGAGTTTGGAATGAAAAGATTAAATGTATCATGAAAACCGAATGTGATGAGCTTGTCTTTTGTTCAACAACTGTATGGCTCGTTCTCATGTTTAAGAAAAAAAAAAAAAAAAAAAAAAAAAATCGCTTTAGAATGTACTTTAGCATGTACTGCATGGGCTGTTTTCATGAGGTCATGTATAGTTACATGATAATATTTGGTTGCTAGCCCTAGTTCTTTGGATCTATAGAAAACAGATTTTTAACGAGTGATTGACTTTTGGCATACTTTTTATAAATTCATTCATATAATTATTATAAAGAACATATATCCCTCATTCAGCACTCAAATATGGGAAATCAAGGCACATTGTTTGTCTCAACTTTAAAGGTAAAGACCAGTTTTGGAAACGCCCCCCTCTCAAAAAATGAAATGGAAGCTCTTCTTACCAATCATGTGAAAGAATAAGTTTTTACTAATACATGATGATACAAATTTTGCCGAGAAGCAGCCTACTTATTAATATATTTGGTAAATTAGTATATCTATTTGGACCTGATAGATATAACGCATGTGTCGCGCACGTGTGCGTAGTCCCATATACATCTTTTTGTGTACAGTGCTTGTAACTTTACCAAGACTAGGCCAAATTTCTTATCATTTTGATGATTCCAGAACCTTGCAGTACACACCAATACTTGTATGCTAGATGATCAACCTTTTCTGATCGATTCCACAACGTTTCTTTCACAATGCAATCGCATGACCAGAACTGATCTTTATCTTTACCATAATCATTTTTTTAATTAATACCGGCACAGCAATTTAAAGAATTAACATGAAGTTGTGGTGCATTTTTATTCTGTAAATGCGCAAGACATTTAAAAATGCATGTTCCTCTATTTCATGCTTGTTGGTGTGAAGTATATAAAAATACAGGCTTAATTCCCTTCTGGCTCCAAACAGTGTGTGCATGATACATTGATAGCTGATTGAATTAAACTCCCAAGGGGATCTTTTTCTGCTTTTGTTTGGGACCCCCTCCCCTATGAGCATAATTTACCAAACAAATAGGTTGGTAAGAAAAGAAGACAGGTAGGTATTATTTCCCCTTAAATGGATAAAGAACTTGATTTAAAAGACTGAAATCTTCTGTAGATAACCAGTTTCTACACTCTATTTTTTGACGAAAATGCTGAACATGTTTATTTGCTGTTTCCATGGAGATAACAAGTTTAAATTAAGAATGAATTGGAGCGATCAAGCGATTAGCCGCAAAACAGTCCAATCTCAACGTAATGTCTGCTGAGAGCCAGAAAGGTATTATAAACTCTAACTTTTAATGTTCACTATTGTTCAGTCACCTAAACTCTATTCTGTGAGAAAGGTCTCTCATATTTTGTGGTTCATTCTTATTGTGGAAATTGCCTCGGTGTGCTGCAAACTGTGAAAAAATAAGATTTATTGACAAAACCGCAAGGGTATACCGGTATCATCGTTTTTTGCAATAAAACAAGAAGTTCGAATTAGTCCATTCTGTCAGATATGATGTTTGCAGCTGGCAAATATGAACAAAGTTAGCCCTAGTTTGCTACAAACTGTGAAAATAAAAATAAAATGCCCTGTCACAATTTTTTTTTTTTTTTTTTTTTGGGGGGGGGGGGGGGGGGGAGGGGATAAAACCGTAAGGGTTGGGGTTGATCACTTTTAACACAACACATAAGTGCTTAAAATCTACCTAAGTGGCAATAAATCATATAGGTAATATTATGATTTGAGACGGAGAGAGAGAGAGAGAGAAATAAGCGATCAAAACACACAAATTACACATTACATGCCAGTGCCATTCAGGCACTTAAGGATTCCAGGGTGCTGGGTAATGCCGGGTGAAAAGAACAGACCGAGTTAATTGGAGTATGACCGTGAAAAAGTGACCAGAATAAATGGTATGCATCCATAGACATATAGAGCAATGTATTCAACTGCATTCAGAGGAGAGGAAAAGAGGGCAGCCATAACAGATTATGGCAAAACCACAATCCATTTTAAACATTAAAAAGAAAATTATGATCAACGAGTTCAGTTCTGATTACAAATCTTTCAAAAGACATGTCAATAATCCAATTAATAAAATGGTTGCAAGATTGTATTAATATTGCGAGTGGGGTTATAACTGATGGGGGGATTTTGGTCAATGGAATTGAAGTAATTGAGCAATGCATGCTCATTTTTGTCAACATGCAAGCCACATTCAATTAGAGTTTCTAAGAAGGGTGATAACTGCCCAGGGGTAGGGTAGAGCAGACCTGCCAACCTCTGGAGTTCAAAAACTGTATTCCTTAATCCCAAAAGTTGTATTTTATTGACAGAAGTTGTATTCTTAAAAATAAACATGGACTGTTACGCGGATCAATTTTTTTTATGGATCATTTGTTGAATATGCATGATTTCGTTACAACTGTTGTGTTTGATGAACCAATGAACATCCCCAAATTGCCAATTTGAAATGCTTGTAGGATACTTTACAGGACAGAATGGGCATTTTGCCATTGAAAATGGCTAACACACACACAAAATACCCACATAAAAAAAAAAAATAAAAAAAAAAAAAAACTTTTTTTGTTTGTTTTTGAAAATCGTATTTTATTCAGGAAAATCGTACTGTCGTATTTGCTTCTAAAAATCGTACTAAATACGACTAAATCGTACTGGTTGGCAGGTCTGGTAGAGTAGTGAGTGGTCTTGTAACCCTGAAGTCTCAGATTCAAAACACAATTACAGTAATGCACTCAGTCAGTGCCCTAATAAGGTACAGTCTAACCTACTTTAACGACCACCTGTCTACAAAGACCACACCTTTTGTTCCCTTGAAAATGGTTTCTCATTGAAACATGTACTAAAGGAACCTGTACATAAAGAGACCACCTGCCCATAAAGACCACTATTCTTGTCTCCCTTTGGTGGTCTTTATAGACAGGTTTCACTGTATCAATGCTTACTTAGAAGTCCCTCTGAATGGATTAAGGTCAATATGTTTACTAGTTGCTTATCAAAACGCTAACACTTGCTTTTTCAGCAGCCTGGTAAAACAACAACCACAACAATGATTAATCAATTAGTCAATTATTGAACATTTCCTGGAGTAGTACACATCTTGATTCCAATGGCGCTTAAGAATACTTAAATTGAATGAAAATAGAGTAAATTTTTAAAAAATGAGAAAAAGCAGGTACTTTTATTGTAATACCAGATTCCACCCCCCCCCCCCCTCTTTGCCTACCACCCGACATACATTGTACATACCTATTGTAATAGATATGGTATTCTATTTTCAAATATTGAAAAAATCACACTTTGGAATTGTCTCTCACTCTCTCAGAGTCTTTCCCTTACCACAAAAGCAGCTCAAAATCTCAACTTTACAATTGTCAATGTTACATCACATTGAAAGAGCAGAGGAGGGCCAACATTTTCACATAGTTTAACACTCTCAACAGGCTGGATTCAACCTTAACACCATTGGATCGATTGTGAATCTAACGTTCTAATTTTGTTGTCAATCCTCTGCCCTTCTTAATAGATATTTAACATTTGAGTTTTAGAGCAAGCATTTCAATGTTGCCTGCTGAAAGCCATAAGGACGTTATACTCATATGAACACAACCGTACATGTTTTAACACCCTTCTGAATAGCGATTTAACATTTGAGTTTTATAGAGCGAACACGTTTCAATATATACGTTTCAAAGCCCCAGGGACATTAAACTCATATGAACACAACCAAACAAGTTTAAATGTCCGTCTGAATAGAGATTTAAGATTTGAGTTTTAGAGCGAACACGTTTCTATATACGTTTGAAAGCCATAAGGACGTTATACTCCCATGAACACAACTGTAACAGTTTTAAAGCCTACATGTATCTGCACTAGTTTGGCCAGGAGGGATTTGACCTCCCTGCATGGTGGTTAGGTGGCTATCTCATCAAATCAGCTCTCAATAAACATAAGAAAAAGGGGACCATCGGGGATCAACAGGTACCGCTTAGGCATTGTTGGCTATATAGAGGGCGCAAGTAGTTACAAGTAGTGCAGTGGGGCTTTAATGCCCTTCTGGATCTCAGCAGATCAGATTACCCCTAGGTAGGTGCACTGTACTTTTCTGGTATTGTTATGGAAATGGCATTTATCAGATCAGATTGAAATGCATGTACAACAAAGAAGAACACTACAAACTGGGTGAGGCAAGCAAGCATGGCTTTCACAGATAGCCTGCCTGCATGCATTTACATGCACATTAACGGAATGGGATTTAAAAACAAAAAAAAATTAAAGGAGGGGGGGGGGGGGGGGGGGGTGGGGGAACCACAGTAAAAGAGACCTACCATTAAAACCATTTTGCTCTGATCTTTTTTAGGTTAATTCTCTGGTATACTATATTAAACTAGATGGAATTCGACTGCGCGCAGTCGAAAATGATGCCTCCGTCATAGAGCAATTTTACAAACCGAAACGGAAGAAATTTTTCAAATTCAAGTTCAATTGTAATCCATTAACATGTTCTCAGAATATCGTGATTACAAGCAATTTCTCATATACATATATGACCCTTTGATCTTTGACCTCATGACCCTAAAATCTACTCAGTTCATTGGCTCTGCAAGATTTCCTGAGTTAAATAGTAATCCATCTGTCAGTTCTAATGAGAATGCGTCCACAAGCTATTTTTGCATACATAATGAGCCCATGACCTTTGATCTTATGAACCATTCATTGGCTCTGCAAGATACATAAATGATCTAAGTTTGGCAGGAATCCATCAATCTGTTCTAATGATAATACGATCACAAGCTATTTTTGCATACATAATGAGCCGCATGACCTTGACCTTTACCTCATGACCCCAAAATCTAATCAGTTCATCAGCTCTGCAAGTAACATACATGACCTAAGTTTGGCAGGAATCCATCAATCGGTTCTTGAGATAAGGCGATCACGAGCTGTTTTTGCATACACAATGTGCGCTGTGACCTTTGACCTCGTGACCCCAAAATCTAATCAGTTCATTGGTATTTGCAAGATACATACATGACCAAAGTTTGGCAGGAATCCATCAATCGGTTCTTCAGATAACGCGATCACAAGCTGTTTTTGCATACATAATGAGCCCTGTGACCTTTGACCTTTGACCTCGTGACCCCAAAATCTAATCAGTTCATCAGCTCTGCAAGATACATACATGACCAAAGTTTGGCAGGAATCCATCAATCGGTTGTTCAGACAAAGTTTGGCAGGAATCCATCAATCGGTTGTTCAGATAACGCGATCACAAGCTGTTTTTGCATACATAATGAGCCCTGTGACCTTTGACCTTTGACCTCGTGACCCAAAATGTAATCAGATTGTTTTCCTATAGTGATACACACTATCACTAAGTTTGAAGTTTAAATCTCCAGTGGTTCTTGAGATATCATGATAACAATCTCAATGTATGGAATTTCATAAGTTGACCTCTGTGACCCTTGACCTTTGACATACGTGCTCCAAAATCTAATCAGATCGTCTTCCTATGGTGATACATACTATCCTTAAGTTTGAAGTTTAAATCTCAAATGGTTCTTGAGATATCGCGCTAACAAACTCAATACAAGGAATTTCATAAGTTGACCTCTGTGACCTGTGACCTTTGACCTACGTACTCCAAAATCTAATCAGATCGTCTTCCTATGGTGATAAATACTATTCCCGAGTCTTAAGTTTAAATCTTAAATGGTTCTTGAGATATTGTGATAACGGTCAAACGGGACGGACGGACGGACGTACGGACGGACGGACGTACGGACGGACGTACGGACGTACGGACGGACAACCCGAAAACATGATGCCTCCGGCACCACCTTCGGTGGCGGAGGCATAAAAAGTCACAACTTTTGATCACTTTGCTGTCCCAATTTTTTACCACAAATAGAAGGGGGAAATAAAGGGGGAAAACAAAGGGGGGAAACAGATTGTTATACTTAGTCTGATCAAAGCTCTAGTAACGCTATGAACTTAATAATCATCAGATAATCTACATACCGGTACCGGTACATAAAATACTGTAATGAGATTAGTAACATATGGGACAAAATACTTTCAAAGAAAAAATGTTTCTTTAAAAGTAAAAGCAACTACAATACATGTAGTAAAGAACCGATAACTGCAATCTACAATGTCTTCTTTGAGAAGCATGTCATGTCATAGAGTTCACTCAGAAAGGCTATTTTTAAGCATACGGTAACATGCTTTTATTTGAGAGCATCGGAACAACATCCTCCTTTGGACTACTGACCTTGGACTCCCTCCGGCAGAAACACCATACACATAAGGCCTGTCTTCATCAGCCCGAGTTTGCCAAATAACCCCCTATTTTAACCATCCCGATTGTTAATTTGCGGCTTCATCAGCCTGCAGTTGCAATTAGTGGGATATTTGTCAAGAAAATATCCCGAGAAAGCTTGGTCTTGTTTCCAAAATATTCCGCTATTCAGGAAATAAGGTGCTGATTTGCGCCCGTCCAAGGTAGTTTATGATGAGCCTATCGGTCTGGTGAAGAGGCAATTTTGAACTTCGGGATAATATCCCAATTCTGAAAATAGCAGGTTATTTGGCAAACTCGAGCTGATGAAGACAGGCCTGAAGTCATTACTGTTTCTTGCATGTCACATCATCAAAGTGTTAAAGCAAACTGGAAAGAATTACAAAGGATTCATGTCTACACCCTGAGGGAGACAAGACCAAACAACTGAGGGGGTAATCACTCTTTGGTGAGCTATCTACCTCCCAGAGTTGGGCCAAATTAGTTCAAGCGAGGGAGCAATATCTTTTAAATGGAAAATAATGCTTTGCTATGGGTTGGCTTGTTTTTATAAATACATACATACAAAAGCATTTAAAAGAGGAAAAAGCTAGATGAATTTAAAGTAGGTCTATTCAGCCATTAATAAAAATAACACTTCCCAGAGGTCCAGTGGCGTGCATGCCAAACATAGCAGCATACAACTATATTGTTACCTCACTGGAAGGGAGTTGGCAAAACTATGATGTATAAATGGCTCTGGCCAGTGTGTGATTACCTTTTATCTAAACTATTGTAAATTTATCCCATAGCAATCAAATATCAAGCTAACTTGATGATAGTATCTGCTGAAAGCAAGAAGACTTGCATCATTCTACAAATTTATGCATTTCTGGCTTTCAACCTGTGATATCATGAATATAAACGCCTATTATTTCATGAATGTATGTAACATAACATTATTTCTAGGGCCAAATTGGTAATCATTCAAGAAAATGTCTTATTTGGCTAAATATTCAGTTTTCATGACTTAACTACCATAGAATTCTTGTTCCATGACTCAAACATCACAGGATACAGCTTTCATGACTTCAATATCCAGGATTCAATTGTAAGAACTAACATAATTTACCGGTAGGCAAACATTTTCCTTCGCATTAAACAGTTTGTCCAATGCCATAAAAAGTAAAAAGTTGAGTAAACAATTTTTTAGAAAGAAAGGGCCAAGAAATAACATTTTAACATGAATGATCAAGGCAAGACATTATTGGAAACTCAATAATTAAAAGAAAATTAAAAAACTTACAATCTGGTCCGTCTAAATTCAAGTATGGCATGTCTGCAATTCTGTGTAGAAACATCCTATGCAGATGAAAAGGAGAAGAAAAAAAAAAAGACTTTGTAAACTCTATGCCCATAGTCATTCTGATAATACTAAGAAAAGGCTTTTCAAATTTAGCAACAGGTTGAATTACATGAAAGCAGAAAAAAGAGAAATAGGTTGGCAAAAGTGTGAAAGAAATGACATTAATGCATAAAAGCAGTTGTAAATGTTAGAAAACGTAGAAAAGAAATATTTGAGAAACATGGAGGTGTTTCAAGTTCGCAGATAATTTATAATTCAAATTATCTTCATTGTAGAACTACAGTCAAACCTGTCTACAGCGACCGCCCAAGGGAAACACAAAAAGTGGTCTTTGTAGACAGGTTCCTTTAGTACATGTTTCAATCAGAAACTATTTTCACAGGAAACAAAAAATGTGGTCTTTGTAGACAGGTGGTTACTAAAGCAGGTTTGACTTTATTAACATGTCAGGTTTTTGTGTTTTCTTGTGATTCACAATTTCACATTATTTACTAAAAGATAATTCATTCATCAGAGAAAATCCTACATAAGCCATGATAAACTGCATGGGCTTTTCAAGAATACTGTGCTTCATATTTTTGTATACTGCAATACACAAATAGCTCGGTGGGCGTAGGAACTTAATTTGCTGAGCGCAGTAACACTATCAGCTTCACTTGCCACATACACACGCACGCACGCACACACATGCAGCGGTTTTATTATTATGTGGACAATGGATTCTAAAACAAGAATGTAAAAAAACATCCAAATAATGCTATATTCCACAGCCTCACTCCACTTCTCTTCAATGACAAGGCCTTCCCAGCAATCTCCAAAACGGCTCTAAAAATAACCCGGTGGGAAAACCCAGCATAATAACTTAACTTAACATTCTTGGTGCCTATGTACATGAAACACTGAACACAAAGGAGCTAAACTCTCAAAACTAGTATGTGGAATGGTTGATTGAAGCCAGTTCACATGCAATATTTAATACGACTATCACAAAATGCTCTTGGAAGATTTATTTATCTGAGGCGTTCCTGACCTAGCAGCAACTACTGTCTTTAAACTGCAAACCAACAATACGCAAAAGAGGGGGGGGGGGGGGGGGGGGGGGGGGGGGCGGGAGAAACAGATCAACGATGGAAATTTGTGAAGCTCGAAGGGGAACTATAGCCACGTGTGAACAACCCGTAACCTTCTTGTGAGCCAGGAAGTGTGAACAGAAGACGCAAGCTAAAACAACATCAGTTGGCCTAGATAGTAATTAATAGACACAAAACGGGAGACAGAGAGGCACAAATTTTTATAATGGAGTTGTTGTGTTTTCGCTCTAGGTGTGACAAAATGGGTTTTTACGATCATTCATAAGTGCCTTGTTTAGATAGCATAATATACTACGAGCTATATGTGACCCATACTCTTACTACATCATAACAGGGCCAATATTAGTTCAACCCATACCCATTCAATCTGTACTCACAAATATATCTTTGTTCCGAACAAACAAACAGTTACGCATACCGGAATTCTACTTCCATTCATTAATCAAAGATATATATATATCTAACCGCAAAGAGCTATATAAACAGGGGGAATTTCCAAGCTCCATCTCTGTTGCCGCCAAAAATGGCCATAAATAGCGAGGGATTCCCACACCGGCGGTCGAGTATGTTGATTTAACTCTACTGTAACAAGCATATTAGGATGTTTATATAGTAACTCTCTTACGATTGTGGACGAGTATCGAGAGGATGCTGCTTTACTTAATGTAATGTCTTAATACATGCTTTCTTCAAAAGTAGCAAAGAGTTAATATGCTATTTCAGTTCTTAAAGATAAGCTTGAGTTTTGATAATGATAGAAAATAAATTCTCACAGAATCCAACAAAACTCACACTGGATGTTCAAGTTTACAAATAAATGACGTGTGCCAAACGATTTTGGTAGAAAATGTATAGGGGCTGAGCAAAGAGCATAGAAAGATAAGGAAATCAAGGTAAGTAGGCCTGACACCATGTACTTAACAAAGGTCACTACGTGCAAATGTGAGTTGTGGTTTGTATTGAAGATGATTTCTGGTAAGTTTTTGTGAGTTTGTTTGTATTTTACTGGTTTAAACAATCAATCTACTGCAGGATAAACAATCCAGAATAAATTATAGCCACGTTCTCTCTACATATGATTCCCATACCAGGGCTCAAGATTAGTTTTAAAGTGCACTGGAAAACTGGATAAAAAAGATGTTCTGCAGACATATTGAAAAAAAATTATGTTATGGTTGGAATGGGAAAGGTTTTTAGTAGATGCTTTTTTTTAATGATACATTTTGGCCAAAGTTGGAAACAATAAAGCTGCAAGCTCTTGCATATTGGCCATTCCCCCAAAATGAAGGATGTTCATCATTATATTCAAAACACAAAGAGTTTGGAAACTGTCAAATAGTACGAATATATAGAAATGGCCAAATCAAATGACCACATTTTGGAAAAATTATGAGATGTGTACACTGCATTGTGGCTCAATGTTCTAAAATGTGTGGTTTTGTTCAAATAGTGCCGTTCATGAAGAGGTGTTCGCGAAGAAATCATCCATTTGCCAATTTGTGATCAATCTTCATATCTTTATGACTAAACACCTCTTTTCTCTACCCATAAAATTTTCCTATATTTCCCAGATTCATTTCGATCATTCTTCTGCAAAATGCACATTCTTGTTTTTAACATTTCAATTCCTAGACTGCAACGTCGGTCTGGCGCTGCTCAGTGGCTGCCGGGCTCACGATCAATTGGGCAAAAAAATTTTCCATTTTTGGTTTAACTTAATAAAATTTGGAGTGGACTTTAAAAGATTATTATTATTATTATTATTATTTGGCATTCAGGTTTTAACTAAATACTAATGCATGAAGCCAGTGCAGTTTCCATTTTCATGAGTGATATGATGTACATTTCTGGTTCTTAGCCAATTTACGTAGCAAGAATTACCAAAGAATAACCGATACATAAAACTGTACCGGGAAGATCCAGCACATATATGCAAAAACAAAACATGATCTCCTTCGTGGTATCGTTTGATTGGTCCACGCCCGAGACAAGGAGGCGGGGACTAAAAGTGGGTGTCGACTTCTGTGTGGTAAATGGATGAACCAATGAACAAGAAATGAGTGCAATGTGAAAAAAAAGTGCAGTTGATCGCATTCCATACTTTACAACTTAGAAGTTCAGATGAGGTTGATCAATGAATGAAATTCTTACATGTAGATGTAAGATCATAAACTCCTCCAAATAGATCTGCATTCAGTAAAAAAAAAAAATGCCATGTGCTACATTAAAGCCATACTGCATGAGAAGCACTACTGCAAATCCCCCTTTCTAGCGCCATCTCAGGTCAGCTGTAGCAGTATGGTTCCATAACTTGCTGCTTCCCTAGCTTAACCATTGGTTCTTACATCGAGTCCCCTGTCTGCTAAATGGAAATTTGCCATTGCGTTACTCACGGTTGGCAAGTTAACCATGAGATGGCGCAATGCAATAAACAGTGCGCTAGAGCGCAGAAAGTTCAACGGTTCGGTATTGCTTTGATCATTACCAGGGCTTTATTCATCTGTGTAACATTGTCAAGGTGATCTTGTCTCTCCAGGGGAAGAATGATGGAATGAATGTAGAGGTGTGGTGGTCGAGTGGATTTGTCGCCGGATAGTGGACCACAATGTCTGCGGTTCTAGTCCCGCCGCAGCACTAATGTCCTTTGGCGAGACATTAATCTATATTTGCCACACTCGACCCAGGGGATGTTAATGGGTACCTGGCAGGTAATAATTCCTTAAAATGCTAGATGGCCTTAATGATTTTTATATCGATAAACCATTAAAAACCCAATCGAATGATGGTTGTTCGATAATCTTTTACTTTATCCTTGTTGATTTCAGACCTGGGGCGTCTACAGTTTTAGTGACAAGACACTTGGCTAGTCAGACTTGTACATGGGTCAAAACAAGGGCATGAATGAACTTTGACCTTGATCTTTGCCATGTTGAGGGGCATTGTGGCCAGTTTAATAGGAGGGAAAACATTCAGTAAAATGCCTTGCTGCATAATTTGAATTCAGCACTTTATAAGAGCTTCCGCTTGCTTTTCTCGTACTTCTTACTCAGTCATGATGTTAGGTAGCACAGCGAAATGTAGAGGCAGGGACAAAAGCAAATTGTTAGGATATATGGAGCTAATAAATGCACATACCATCTAGACGAGGCTTCATTTTAGCTAACCTTTCATTTAGCTATGCAAAATACGAACTGTAATTAACAAATATCCATATTAAACTATTGTGAATTTTGCATTCTGGACGCCTTTTTTCGTACCTCAGCATTTTGCTGAGCTCCCTTAGTTTCAGAAAATCTTTTTAAAAAAAGATTGAGTTTGTTTGCTGTAAAGTTTTTGGAAGTGCTTGGACCCCTATCCAAAGCAGTAGCTAGATGAATTACTCAGCAAAAAGAGTTACACGAGAAAGGGATTATTAAAATGTCTTATGAAAAGCATAGATTAGAGCCAGTTTTCTCAAACATATTTCCTTTCCCAGTGTGAAGAAAAAATTACCTCAATAATGTGAAAATTGGTGGCCGTGCTTATCTGTACTTAATAATAAAAGGCCCAGATGGGAAACAAAGTACAAAAGTAATTGTACTCGGTGATGCTGAAAATATATATATATATATATATATATATATATATATATATTTTTTATAGTACACGGCATGGACAGGCAGCCACGTACAGTATGCAAGGTGAACTAGGCCCGGCCATGCATTGTGTTATGTGAACATGCACACACGTCACATGTACACATGAGTGGGAAGGTTGGAGGCGTGGTCTATGTAGAGAGAGAGTATTTGATTGGTTAATAGCTCAAGTGATGTACACAAACACACAATGAGAATGGAGACATGAATACTTTGAACTGACCCGATTCTGATTCAACCGAAATGGTTCGATAAGTGCTTTAGAATAAGTTCAATGGTTGAAACTTCATGATGTCACCGTTTCTACTTGATCGAGCCATGGGTCGTTCAAAACATTCAATAACAACATGTATCATGGTTGATTCAACAGTGATAAAAATACTTGGCATTTTTTTGGTCTTGCAAAGTACAACATATCTCATTCTTCACTCTCTCTCTCTCTTTCTCTCTCTCTCTCTCTAGCTCATACTCTCTATTTCTCTCTCTCTCTCCTTCTCTCTAACTCGTGCTCTCTATTTCTCTGCCTTACAGACATATTAATGGTATACAAATGATGCATGCGCATGAGTTCATTATTCGATCTATCCGCGCTCGAGTTGAGGCTGTGTGAATCTACCGCACAAAGCCAACGGGCTGAGGATAATAGATACACACACAGCCTCAACAAGGGTAGATAGATAGTATAATGAACGAATGAAAACATGCATCATTTGTTTTATACTACGAAACTTCTAGATCCTTGTTATTCAATGTAAAAAGAATTCATTCAAGATTGTTTAGTTAGAGTTTGGCTGACAAATACGCTATTGTGTTTACATACAGTGTACCTGTCACTTTTCTTGTTTATGTATGTATCTGTTTCTAACATGTTGTTTTTAAGTTATTGTTTTTACATACCTGTTGCTTTTACTGTTTATGTATGTATCTGTTTCTAAGTTGTTGTTTTTGAAGTTATAGTTTTTACATACCTGTTGCTTTTACTGTTTATGTATGTATCTGTTTCTAACTTGTTGTTTTTGAAGTTATAGTTTTTACATACCTGTTGCTTTTACTGTTTATGTATGTATCTGTTTCTAACTTGTTGTTTTTGAAGTTATTGTTTTTACATACCTGTTGCTTTTACTGTTTATGTATGTATCTGTTTCTAACTTGTTGTTTTTGAAGTTATAGTTTTTACATACCTGTTGCTTTTACTGTTTATGTATGTATCTGTTTCTAAGTTGTTGTTTTTAAGTTATTGTTTTTACATACCTGTTGCTTTTACTGTTTATGTATGTATCTGTTTCTAAGTTGTTGTTTTGAAGTTATTGTTTTTACATACCTGTTGCTTTTACTGTTTATGTATGTATCTGTTTCTAAGTTGTTGTTTTTAAGTTATTGTTTTTGAATACCTGCTGCTTTTATTGTTTATGTATGTATTTGTTTCTAAGTTGTTGTTTTTAAGTTATTGTTTTTACATACCTGTCACTTTTATTGTTTACGTTTGTTCATCTATGATTTATATGAAGAATACAAAATAAATGGAATGAGTAGTCTGGCGAAAAGTAGGGGCAGGAAAAACACATCGAGAATGGAAATGGCCTAATATTTGTAGAAAATGGTGAATAAAGAGTTGTAAATTGCATGGTATTTTTTGGTAATAAAAGCCTCTTCAAGGGAGAAAATATATCTACTAATTCTGTATCCTAATGATATGGGTCTACCATAGTCTTTTTCTGCTGGCGCATTTCGCTATTAAGCTACTGTAAAGGGGAAGTCGACCTGGATATTAAGTTGATAGAAGCAGAATAATTCGAAAAACAGTACACAGCAAGTAGGAGATTACAACTTCCATGACATCCTTATTTAAATAGGATTAAATAAGACTGGTTCTCTCATTATTCTACTTTTAAAAACCAACTTGAAGATCAACTTCGAGTTCTGGTAAATATAGAAAATAAATTCTCACAGAATCCAATGAAACTTAAAATGAATGTTCAAGATTACAAATAAATGACATGTGCCAAACAATTTTGGTAGAAAATGTATAGTGGCTGAGTAATGAGCATAGAAAGATAAGGAAATCAAGGTAAGTAGGCCCTACACCAAGTGCTTAACAGGTCACTATGTGTAAATGGGAGATATGTTTTTTATCCAGTAAGTTTTCGTGCAGTTTTTCTCTAGTTCAAACGACCAACTTACTGTAGGAAAACCAATCCAGAATAAATCACAGCAATTTTTGCTCAAACTACGATTCCCATACCAGAGCTCAAGATTAGCTTTAATATCAGGGTGGACTTCCCCTTTGAATTGAGTAAAATAGAATATTCCTTACTTATTGAGGAATGGTTCGATGAGGTTTGACGTCGGGGACACTCTGGGCTTGGGCGGGGTCAAGAAGGTGCCAATATAGTTGGCCATGGTGGCGAAGCAGACACCAGTCACATAGGCGTCGTACGCAGCCTCGTGGAACTTCTGATTAGCTGTGTAGTCTACGAAGCCTGAGGGCGGTATCACTGTGAATTGAAATGCAAATGCGGAGAGCATTTAAAAGCAAGGTCGTATGTTTCTTTTTTCATAATATGAGTATTGTATTATACTGAGAACGTGTGCCTTTTCTTTACTTCAAAAACCTTTACTTGAATACACAGTAGTTCACTATAAAGCTATCTCTATCACTATAACATGTGAAAGAAAATGTTTGTTTTTTCTTTGGCAAAAGAAACAGCATGTACAGTGATTATGCACATTATTATCAATACCTTTTTGAAAAGATTGTTAAAGTAGCTAATTTCTTTATCCCCTATTTCTCCTATGATGAAAGAAAATTATAATTGTTATATTCATGGAGAATAATGAAAAACAATTAGTGGGGGGTGGGGGGAGGGGGGAGGGGTAATCTTCCTTTCTAGTTACATTTTGCAGCACAGTACCAAAAAACACAATATGACAGATCTTTGAAAGTTAACATTCGCTTTTTCAGCAACAGTTGAAGGCAAGAGTTGACGGCATACCTATATGTGGTCTTCTGAAAGGTTCCTCATCACACTTGCTCATTAGATCATTCAGGCCTGTCATCGGAAAGAGTTCCTGCAGAAAAGAAGCAAAATAATTTTTTATAATAACATATGAAGAAAAAAATAATAATTATAACTACATGTATAGTAACAATAATAATGATAAACATAATGATAATACTAATGATAATGATTATTATAACAATATTAATAATAATAGAAATGAAAATAATTACAACAGTCACATATGTATGGTGCTTAATAAAAACGTTTCATGTGCTTAACATTGTAATTATTATTATTGTGCTTTTCAACTTCCATAACAGGTTTTACAAGAAACATATTCATGTTTTGAACCATGTAATTTAATCTTACTGAGCCATTAATAAAATAAATCTATATATTGTAAGTGTGGGCAATATTGTCATGACATTAACAATGTAGAACTTTAACAAGCAGTCGTAAGCTATCTAAATGTTGGTGGAGTAAGGTTATAAAGGCATAAACCGGTATGTTTTCTTTTGGTTTATCAAAGTTGTTAGGTGGATAAGTTTCTGTAAAATAAATGTGAATATCATCTTCATTTAAAGGGCCACTCTAACCCAACTAACATAGCCTTTCAAAACATGAATAAACCTCTACTATTTAATATTCCAGACTCTGATTTTTCACCTAAAAATGATAATAACCATCCATTTTTCACAGTTCACATGCTTGCAGGGCTATGCCCTTCGAAAAAAGGTAGTACGGTCACGTGGCCTTGATGACGCATTTGACGTCAATGCGAGCATGTCCGATTTGTCCTACAACTAAGGATCTTACATTAGGAATGATGAAATTGCCAGAAACGTACTGGGATTATCAAATGCATATTATTTTTCGGATAATTGTCTTTTTTTCTCCAATTAATATCATAGTTTGCCTTTTTAAAGACATTTTAATGCCTAAATCACCCTCCTTTTCACCGGAAAGGCGCCTGCATTGATGTCATAAGCATACGTTTTGGTTAGAGTGACCCTTTAAAGATTACAGGTGTATTATTTCAAAACATAAACATCAGGTGCACCATATGTTCACATAAGAAAGATTCGTTCGTGTTTAAACAGGATCAAATTCTAGCAAATGTTAACACAAGATTTATCATCAATAACCCTGGTCATTGTTTAAACACTCTCATGCGTATTAAAAAAATGCTACAAATCAACATCTACATAAAACTAGCATCGTTAGCACCACAATTAACAATACAACCTATAATAGACATATAATCTTACATCTTCTCGTCTTTCTCACAATATACCCTTTTAACATACAAAAATATTGAGTAGCTTCTAAAATTAAATTGTTATGACTTCCAGGTAAACATTTCTTGAATTGCAATTAAGTCATAAATTGTCTATAAAAAGTGATTATTACCATATTTAACTTTAAAAGCCCATAGTGATTTTCCACTTTTAGACTTTGGTCAGACATCACCCTGGTGCCAAATGGTTACAGGAAGGAAGGAATATTCCTTGAAGGCTGTGAGCACCGAAATTGACAGCCCGGCTAGAGGCAGGGTGATGTTTAAATGCCTTGCCTGGTTGATAAATGTGCTATAAAAATAGCCATTATCATTACTATCATCATGCAAAGCATAAACATTTTACGCTCTTTCATTTTCAACTATTTAAAAAAAGATGGCTCTATTGTGCAGAATGTGTAACTTTAATGACACTAGATGGCATAGTTACATTGTTGGAGATGATTTTACCGGATATTTGTGTATGCTTTTAAACCATGTAAAATGTATTATATTATTGAATGTTGAATAGTATATCTGATTTCTTGTCAAAATTACTGTTCTGTTGGAGATGAAAAATAAAACTGAAACTGAAACTGAAACTGAAACTATATACCAATATTGTACCAATATATATATATATATTATGAGTACTTGTGATGCGTCATTATTGCCTTTAAACAAATTCATAGAAATTTATTTACTAAATATAAATATGGTGCAATTAGAAACAAAAGAAAATAGAAGGTATATTGGTCGATTTTCCAAAGAGTTATACCAGAGAAGGAAGAGGCTGTCATTTGAAACTTGAATGGATTTGATGCTCTTTTTATGGATAAACAAGATGATTGCCTTACTATGTTTCACATTAGTTTGATGTAAAATAAAGACTTTTTCTATTATTAGCATGGAAATGGTGCACTTTTGTGAATGTATATATGTATATGTAAGAGTCTCTTTTTTGTTCAATAAGTAGAGTTATATTTGTTAAAACTTTAATGCGAAAAAAATTCCTACAAAATTTAGGACACTAGTGGGGTGTTGCAAAAAAGTTGATTTGCAATCAATTGCAAATATCAGTTGCAAATTTTGTAACTTGCAATCAATTGCAACTTTCTTGCAACGCCCTATAAGTGACTTCAGTGCCAGGAGAGGGGATGGAGGCATTGTCCATAGTATTTGATTGACAGAACTAAATATTTAAAGGTTGCCAAAATCAGGAAATTTTGACAATTTTTTTAATCGTTATCACGATGAATAAGTTAGTTGTGGAAATATTGTTTAGCATTAAGGCCTAAAATAAAGATGTTGTATTGCCCTTTGCGCCCGACCCAAAAATCTTGAAATCTACGGTCGGCTTTTTTAAAAAGTTTTTTTTTCTTACCGTTATTTAGAAGAAAAAAAATATTAAAGCATTCAAAACTGAGAAATATCAGCCCAGAGATGGAGAAGAAGAAAAAAAAAAGTAAAAAAAAAAAAAAAAAAAAAAATTCTGACCAACCGACCCATGTTTTGGCATCTAAAGTGCAATACAACATCTTTTTTTTGTAGGTCTAATGGCGAGGTGTGACCAAGTCTGAATGTCCTTATATGAACCTCTAAGCACACACACACACACGGCAGAGACTAACCTTGAAGGGTTGCGTATTGGCCATGACCTTGGTGTCAAGTAACCTTGAGAAGACACAACCAACCATCGACTTGAATTCAAGCAGGGTCTGAATATAATAGAGAGAGTGAGAGAGAGGAGGGAGAGAGAGAGGGGAATTGAAAGAGAAAGAGGGGAGGGAGAGAGAGAGGGGAGGGAGAGAAAGAGGGAGGGAGGGAGGGAGAGAGAAAGGGGAGGGAGAGAGAGGAGGGGAAGAGAAAGAGGGGGGATTGAGAGAGAGAGGGAGAGGAGGGAGAGAGAGAGAGAGAGTGGGAGAGAGAGAGAGAGTGGGAGAGAGAGAGAGAGAGATTTGGTAGTATGGGACAGAGTGAGTGAAGTATGGGACAGAAGTGTGGTCCCATTCAGCGAAGTGTGGGACATCGCCATTCGTTTATGTACTGGTCCATACTACCTCTCAAAATTACGGAAGTGTGGACCAAAAGGCCCACACTTCCTAGAAGTTTGGGGCAACTTCCATAGAAATGATAGTCACCAGTCTTTTGATTATGGAAAGCTGGAATGTATTGTATTTGCACAAAAAACACAATTTATCATTTAAAATTGTATTTACATTTGTGGTTTCTTGGTTGTCGTCACAGGGAATGACGATCAAGACAAAAACAACAACTAAGTGCTAAAATTAACTAAAAACCATAATTTTTTCCGGGAGACTACCTCAAAAGGGCCTTTATAAAGTTTAATATACAGGCACGCATGTGGACACCGGCGCCCCATACACTCTACATTAATTAGCTAATTAATACTAGGAGTAATTAGCGACACAAAAACAAAGCAATAAGATGGAAGAATCGAGCGATGACATGGACTTTTCTATAGATTCTACGGTAAGTACACCGCATATCTCACGTTAAACTAATAGTGAACTCTAACCGTGAAAAATAATTTCTAAAAACTAGTTAACAGGGACTCTACGTAGACTACTCGTAATTAGCACGCGTTAATTACCACCGGTAGGTATAGCGGCTAGTCGTCTAGTTACAGATCAGCGGTACCATACCCCTAACTCCAGGAAGCTCCAACACCGGCGCCGCGGCGGCGGTGTTGGAGCTTCATGGAGTTACGGTACCCCCAAAACTTCCGCTGAAATTACATCTCGACCTACGTCTGGCTTTAATGACTGTGGAAAAATGTCAATTTTATTCTTTTAAAACATCCCATACCAGACGGACATTTTTGTCTAGTCCAAATCTAGAATTATTGATCGTCCTTTTTAGGTTTAAGAAATAACTAATCTGGTCTAGATTATAGACTAAACATCTAGTACTTTGGAAGTAGAAATCTACTGTAGATCTAGAGGTATAGAGTTCTTAGTTAGACTTAAAGGTCTAGACCTAGATCTACTTAAAATGACACCATGATTTATGATAAAAATGTAATATTTTTCAAAGTGTTCCCAGGTTTTGGTTTGTTTTGTTTTCAATTAACTTCGGAGTAAATCAACAACTCTTTCACGTAAAGTCAGAAAACCGTATCTACTAAGCATAATTTAGCCTAGATCTAGTCTAGATCTATGACCTTTTTGATGATACAGTATGATTGAAATATGTGCTTAATTTTTAAGTATTAATCAAGTATCAGTAGACGGCTTCGGGTTAGACAGAGTCTAGGCTCTAGCTAGGGACAGTAGATAAGACACTCTGTGAAAATATTTATAGACCCTAAGTAAAGATTGGATGAAAAATATGATTGATGAAATTACAAAGTTCCATAGAGAGTGCTTCAGATGTTTGGAGAAGTGAATTCAACAGCTCATCTCTCCATCTCCTTTCTTTTTTTTTTTGCTGGATTTGCCATTAACTAATTCCTGTAAACATGTAGATTAAAGTCATTGAAATTATTGGTGAAATTAGATATCATTATAGGTGAAATAAGTCACATTAACATTTTCACACTAAAATTCCAACTTAAACAGTAAAGAGGCATTTAGAATGGAGTAGCACAAATACATTAACAACAAGCAGTAAACACAGGCAAGGAAAGTAATTGATGATTTTGTCCTTTTCACAGATGCAAGCCAATGCACACCATATTGCCAGAATGCTAGCCTTCAACATCCCTCCCCATGTATACTACCCTCATTTGAAAAAAGGAGGCTCTCTTAAAGAACTGGCAAGAAAATTTCGAAAAAGAGATGAGAATGATGAGCAAGAAGAGGATGATGAAATGGAACTAGACGATGATGAAGAAGAGGAAGGAACAGAGGATGATGAAATGGAAGGAACAGATGAGAATGAAGAGGAAGGAGGAACAGAGGGTGGTGACAAGGAAGGGGGATCAGAGACTGAGGAAGGAGAAAAGAATGAAGAAACCATAACAGGTCAGTTGTACTGGTAGCATAATGGTATGTTATAATTATATAAAGTATTGATCGTTGAGTAGTGATTTTTCTTTATTTGTTTCTGTTTTATTTTGTCAGGAGAGCCAATGGTAACACAGTGATGATTGTGTACAAATATAGTTTTCCTGTCCAAGAACACTTGCATGAATAATCATTTTCATATTTTGTTTACTTTGTTCTTCTCAAAAATTCATTACTATATTTCATCCCAACTTAACAGAGATCATCCTTGGGCAAGTGTAATCTAAACAGTTAAAACATTTAAGGAGGTTATCATGAGCTATCAGATGATGAAAGCAATTCAGAAACAACAGAGCTGTACACTTTAATGACTGAGAAACATATATCTGAAGATCTCAATTTATTGTTTTGAACTGTTCATTACAAATTGTATATCCTTGTTATCATTGTATTGAACACTTTAAGATGAAACAAAAATGTTATTTTGTCTGAAGAGCAGTAGGTTCATGAAAGTGAGATTACTTGTTATCATTTCATTCTAGAATCTTCTAAACGGGGAGAGCCAAGCTTGAGCAAAGATGAAACTGAAGATGAAGACGAAGTTGAAGATGAAGATGAACAAATCAAAGAACATCAACCGAAATCTGGTAAATATAACCAATCATTGTTATTCAGAAGGTTTTTGTATTACAAACAGTTACAGAAATAAAATATAAAAACAGCCATGATTTTGAGAAGTTTCTTTGGAACACTTCAAATAATTTGTTTACTTTGTTCTTCTCAAAAATACATTACTATATTTCATCCCAACTTAACAGAATCATCCTTTGGCAAATGTAATCTGAAAGATAAAATGATAGTATCCGTGTGAAAAGGGGGAATAATGGATAATCTCAAATTCTATAAATAGCTAAAAGATAGTAACAAATCAACTTTTTTGTGAAACAAGTACTTGTACTTATATCCCTCTTTTCCAAATATTCAATATACAAAAAAAAAAAATCTATTCTGTATTTGAGTATCCACTATACTAGTGATATGTTGAATATTACCATGGTAACAGCAATTTTATGTTCATGCTGACAACACAAAACATTTGAAATATATTTTATAGAAGAAAGTTCCATAATGAACCTGCACACTTGAAATACGCTAACGTTTACAAAGAAATAGGAAATATGTAGACACAAATAATCAAAATATAAATTGAGACGAGCAATATACATGTGTAATATTCCACTTCAAATACAATTTGCTATCACCATTCCTTCATGATATAACCATGTATGAACTATTGAGATGGATAAATGACACTCCTGTATTACCTGCATATGACATATGTTCAATTAGTCTTATATTTTCTATTTACAGAGTTGATTATTCCTAGAGAGCATCTGAGGAAGTTCTATACGGAATTGAAGCATCACGCGGATAGCTTTGAAGGTTTGATCATTCTTCTTCTTTTTTTAATTGCATGCGACTAAAGGAATTTAATAACAGACAATGAGAATGAATTGCATATCACAATATCTCAAGTGTGGTGATAGGGATACTAATGTGGAACTTAAATGATTTTATCTAATCCAACATAAAGAAAGTTTACCAAGTATGTGTAAATATCAAATTAACATGTAGTTTAGAGGGAGTCTGAGGTGGAATGCTCTTTAACAGGCTTATACATGTACATGCACAGATAGATTGAAATAATATCTGATCTATTGCTATGTGTGGTTTTATTGCAGGAACTGACTGAAACATTCTTTAACATTTATTAAAGATTGCTTTTATTACTATATTCGTATTTTCAGAAAGATTTGCAGCTGGAGAAGACCCAAGATGGGACCAAATAAAGATGTTGCGAGACTTCTTGCTGTTGATGGCAATGTTGAGTGGTGCTCCGAGGAGCTGTGTGCTTACGAATATGACTGGTGAAGAAGTAGCAAATGCTACTAATTGCTCTGGTAAAAGGGTCATTAAGGTAAGAGAAAAACTTAATTCTTCAAAGAAGAAAAGGAAGATACCGGTATGCCTTAAAAATGTTACTTCTTTAGTACTTTTTTACCTTCAATTAGATGTGTATTTGTAGATCTGAAAAAGCTACTTAATTCATAGAGATACTAGGAGTTGAAAGAAATCATGGCAGAATCAATGAAGTATCTGAACTTGCAATAAACCCAAGATAAATTAAACTGTAGGATACACGTTTATAAAGCCAGATTTTATTCAAAATTGTTTATGGTGGTATTTCAATGAAGAGTCTACTTTTCTGCAGGTTGGTGTTCACAAGACAGCTCGTGTTTATGGCAAAGCACAAGTGATCATTCGAGAGGATCAGTGGAAATATTTCACAATGTACGATGAAGTGAGGCATCTCTCTCCCGGTGGTTCTCAGTCAGTGGTAAACATGCAGGCACCATTCTTCCTGTCATCTAAGGGAAAGGGAGTAAACAAGCCCAGTACTGCACTCAATGAGTCTTGGAAGGACTTTGGCCTGCCAGGCAAAATCTCATCAAGGGCTATCAGGAAGACAGTGGTGACAGCAGTAAGTTAAAGACGTTGTTATACTTCTTTTAAAAGAATGTTTCTCTTTTTGTATCCCTCTCATTTTTATCAGTAATTTTGTATGGAGTTTAGGATAATTCATTTTATGTACCCAGTTATTCTTGCTTGTCCCATGCAACCATAATGAAAAACGACCAGAGCTTATAAATTTATGAACTTGTTAGATCTTGACTTTTAATATTAAGCATTCGCCTCCATGTATAGGCTCTAATTGGGGCAGATTTTAGTTTTTTCTAATGAAAAGAGCTCATTTCACCTCTTTTAATGTGTACTGAAGTCTCTGATCAAGTTTATGCCCCCGATACACATACTGATACTAGATGCATGTGGATTAATGCCTAATTCTTCTCACAGCATTTCATTCATTCCCTACGATGTTTTGTGTTCTGTTACAGGCACGAGATGAATTATCAAATGAGGAGCGGCAAAGAATCGCTAGTTTCATGTGCCATTCTATAGAAACTGCTGATCACTACTATGCTGCGAGGTATAAGACCTCACAGAACATCGAATGTAGAGACCGAGTCTGGGACATGCTTGTTGGAGAGGTAATAATTTGTTAATTACCCATGTTCCTTACATTAAAAATATGGCTGATTCCTTCTTAATTAAGATCTCAGTGATTTCGCTTGTCGATTGCCACAAAGTGCTCTGTGTGCACTATTATTTATATACCAAGACGAACTTTGAGTTTGATTGAGTTCAATGTGAATTTGCTTATCAAATTTTCATGAACAAAGGCCAATTGTAGTAGTGTATACATACTTTATGCATGATCTCCTGATGAAAAATGTCTCCCTATGTACTGAAAAGCTTGTTGGGGATCGTCAAACATTGCAACAGCTGACATATTCATGCTAATTGCATATCTCCCAAATTTGACATTGTAAATAATGTCCCATGCAGGGAACTACAAGTATACCATGTACTCTACTTGCAGAGAAAGAAAATACATGAATTCAAAACATTAGGGAACTTGTCTGTTGAATGCAAACTGAAAGCACCTTTGTTGTGATAGATTTGGCCTAAATTATTATTTTTTTAATTTTTTTAATGTACTGTATGTGCATAACAGGAAGTCCAGCACTATGCCGATCAGCAACAACAGCACAATTTGAGGCAATCACCCCAGCACAATACAGAGGCAACGGAGAGTGTGGAATCACCCAATACAGAGGCAGCAGAGAATGTGCAGTCACAACAAGCCCCCCTGACCCAACACTTACAAAATAAAACCAGAAAGGTTTGTAAACTGCTAACCCCAAACTTTCTAAATTCAAAAACAGCATTTTGTTTTTAATATTTTTTGGTTTTTAATTTTGTTTTGGGGGGAATGAGTTTTTATAACCCTTCCCAACAAAGTTTGAATAATCAGGGTGTGGGCAGTTGTCAGTCCACTGCAACATTTCTGAAGCAGACTACTTTTACACTGTTCGAGCCTTCAAGTTGACTTTCAGGTATAAATATGATTGACTATGGTAATGGCTGATTTGAAGAACAAAAAGTTGTTTACTGCTTCCAAAGTTTGGAGCAATATGGCAGAAACATGGTTGCCATATTTGGGGTATTAATCACCATTAGCAATATTTTTAGTTTTCTTCTCTTCATTTTGTCCCATTTGCAAGTTTATTAAGTGATAATGTAATATTAGACTTGGTTAGGTGGCTAGTGGTTTGTAAGTCTGCACTGTTTATCACAGATGCAATATTCTATGCTTCCTTGAAGACATTCTTGTGATTATTTATATTTTCTTTGCCTTGACTGTACTATTCAATATTGCTTTTACCAGCCAAGATCTCGCTTTAGACTGACTAGTTCTGAACTTGAGGATATGGAAAGAACTGTCCGTGCTGTGCTCAACAGAACATGCTTCAAAACAAAAAATCCAAAATTCAGGGACATAGTGAGTATTGTAGTTATTTCCAAAAGTATTTAGCACAAGTAAATGAATAATTCATAATGTATGAAATATTGGCCAGTTAGCTGTTTGCTAATGTATCATTAGCATGTTATGGAATATTATGTCATGTCAACTGGAAGTGTTATTAGGAAGAATTAAGAGAATTTCGTTATAATGTAGGCATATTGTCTTATCTCTCGTTTTGGGGAGTAAATATAGTAAAAAATAATTTTGTTTAACTGATATTTCAAAGGATATAACATCTGAATATTTACACTACATGGTTTATCTTTGATATTAAGATGTGTTTACTTTGTGTCCTTGTCAAATGACCTTTAAAAAAGTTTCATGAGGTTTAAAGGTACTATGTTCCTTTTGCAGCCAACCTCAAATTCTGTAGAACTTTGCAGGAATTATGAATATGTCATGTATGTCCTATCTGTGAAATGTAAACGTTAGCAGTGTCCTCATATTCAAATTATGCAAGGAAACCTGTTTACTTGCTAGACTTCACTGTCAGACACTATTGAGTGACTGACTGGCTTTTTTCTTCTTTGGTAATAACATACATGAAAAGAGTTGTAAAGGGTACATGAGCATTTGTCTACATCAATAACCCACTTCTTGTGATGGCCAAGATTAAATTGATTGAATCTTTGCGCAGCATAAAGCGTATGACCATTCGGTACAATTGTCTGAAAATCAAGACTATTACTTTTGGGCTCTATAGCCCTAAAGTCGTTTTGACAACTAATAGTCGTTATTTTCCCACTTGAAGACATTTTCAAGCCCCACCTTTTTTAGGGAAGTTCTAAATTAGTAATATCTTTTAAATGCAGTTGGAATTTAACTTTTTCATTTTTTTGGCCTGCAAATGGGACATAGTACCTTTAAGGGAAGTGACAAGAATTGCATATTATTCAGACATTTTGGTTTGACTGTTGATTAAACCAATTAATGTATTTATTTTGTTCAGACTGATGAAGCTTACCCCCTAATAATGGCAACTACAAGGCAGAAAATGTCAAGGCAACAGTTCTATGACAAGGCTCGCAACATGGGCCTGAGAGATGGTAAGATTATTGTCTTAATATATCCCAAGTCTTAAAAATAGTGGAAACCAGTTGATACCAATTAAAATGTTAACATGTTTTTAATGGTTTCAACTGGCCAGTTATAGCACCAGTGGATTCCAGTTTATTCTAGTAAAGATGTCAAACAATATTTCATGATACTAGTAACGACCAGTATACAAATACCAGTGGAAACCAGTAAAAGTACCAGTTGGAACAACTATCCCCAAATGGTGCTAAACTAATTCAACTAACATCCGGTTTCCTATTGGATCTACATGTAACTTGTTTCAGTTTGTTATGTTGCTTTCAAGTGAAAATAAAATGTCCCACTTGAAGCAAGTCCAATTACATTGAATGTTTTCCAGTTGAGACCAGTAGAATATATCAGTAGCCAATGGTATTTTCAACTGTATAAGGAAACTAACTACAAAAAGTTAACTGACTGGAATCAGTTAGTTGAGATCAAATGGATTTCAACTGGGATTAACTGGATATTTTTTTTAACCTGATGTATGATTTGGAATATGCTTGTCAGGACTTTTAAACAACCATACAAATCAAATCATGCCAAACTCATTTAATTGGAGGAAAGCAATTGCAAGGGAACGCCTTCCTCTGGTCTCTCTTTGCAATTCAAATTGAAATTGGCATTTACATTATGTTGGCCTAATGCATGTGAAAATGTGAAAGTGTGTTGCCATGGAAACATCAAATAGTATATATTTGTTGAAACAATAAATCTCAATAATGCAATACGCTGGTGTGGGATATAAATCAACTTAACTGATATTTCTAGTTTATTATGCTTACTGTTTACAATGGTTTCATGAAATCTTAGGATCCTTTTACAGCAACTGCATATCAGAGGCTGAATTAAGTTTGCATAACATATATACCAGAATCTGATTCAATGGAATCTTGGGTAACCTTATAGTTAATGTTGAGGGATAATCTAATTGTTTCAGAATACATTCTAATGGGATAACCTGTCACTTATATGTGTGTTTTTATCTCTCTTTAGGGCTTTGGTGACTGTATGGTGGATCGTTCAACATGTTACATTCCCTACACATCATGATGTCTTCTACCAGAGATTACCAGAGCACTCCAGAGTAAACAGAATAGTTCCAGATTCTCAGCACATTATTATATTTCTTTTGTTACAGAAGGGTTCATGTACCACTTAGGCAGCCATTTTTTTTTTTATGAATTAGCAAAGATTTCAAATCACCCTTCACCAACACAAGTTGATGTAATTTTCTTTGGGCTAAGGCTTTTGATAGAGTTGACCTTGTTTGCATTTATATAAATCACATGTCTGTTGAAATATGCTCTCGTGGATCAGGTCCTCCCTATTAAATAGGAAACAAAGCGTTTTTATGGTGCTAAATTTGGTTACGCACATGTTAATAATGTAAAAAATCACTTCATCGTGCTAAAACTAAGACATTCATTTAAGTCACCAGTGACCAATAGCTATTTAAAGTACCTTGAAATGAAGACAAGGTATATGTGTTTATATCCTGTATAAAAGATTGATAGATTTGAGCTGAGTAAATCGCCTTCAAGCACAGTTTCAGCATAATCTGAATGGTTGTCAGCTGGTATTGCATCTCATGCTATCGTGAGCAAGAGCAGCTTGCTATGATAAGTTGCATCCGATTGTGTATTGTTATGTTTATTTTTTCAGCTCGTGACATTACTAGGGAATATGAAGGTCTGGAGGATTTACAGGGGCGGATCTTAACTATTTGCAGACAAATTGTGGGGAAAATGTTTTTAAATATATGAAACATAATTATCTACATGAAACAGTTAATAATTTGTTGATTTATGAACCAATATACATTGATAAAAGTTAATATGTTTTGACATAATAGTGAATTTTTAAGCTTCGGGGATGTACACAAGTACAGGTGTACCAAGTTTGCATATTGCATTTCTGTAATAAATAAGACAAATGAAGTCTAAGCTGCCATTACATGCCATATCAGTAAACATGGACGGGAAAATAAGTACAGTTAGAGGGATAGTGAACCAATTGCGACCAATGGTCAATAGTTCAATGGTTAAGAGTTAGCTTTGATAAATATGCCTTTTAACACAATGATCCACAATATATATTTCAATAAATTTACCTATACATGTTAAGGATTTTTTGTCAGAAAACAGGAATGTTGGGATGAGAAATAACGGTACTCATTTTGTTACATGGTAACATATTAGTGGTATGTACGTTGTAAAGAGTAGCGGATATATCTGTAATCATTCAAGTGGGCATATATTGCAACACACTAAGAGATCGGAATGTTGCATCCTGGGAAAGTTGATGAGAACAATATGAGTAGTTCAGGACTGAGATGAAGCTATTTCTGGGTACTGGTCTGGTATACTGTGGCGTTAAAGCTTCTTCAATTTAATTGGATGTTTTATTATTGTTTCGTCGCGGCCAGCGGCTGAATTGAAAAAGATTAACAGCATAATGTAAACAATGAAAATGTACATTTTTTCTTAAAATGTAAAACATTGAAAGAAACTCAGTTATATAGAGGAAATAAGAAGGTTTATAATAATGGTCGAGATTTAGAGGTACTAGTCTACCAAAGTTTTATATATTAGGTCAGCTTGTTATAACATTATTATACATGATCATAATAATAATAATGGTGGCTACTTGCAAAGCGCCCAGGTCCGTCACGCATGATGTGATGTAGGTAACAAAACCTTTAATTTTTAGTTAAGTTGGACTGAGTGAAATGAGATTTATATTTTGAAGTAGAATTGAAATTCAGAATATTTATTTGAAATCAGAAAAACATGATGGAGAAAACCATGGAGAAATTACAAAACAAAGTTTCTTTGGGTTAATGATGTGTAGACTCAATAACGAAAGCAATTAAGAGTGTAATAGTTCAATTTTATTCTAAAAGCATTATAACATTGTTGAAACTATAAGCTTATAGATGAAACATAGAATATTGAAATTTATCATAATTGTATACTAGGGATTAATTAGACATCAATTTAAGGGGTTTTGTCATTGTGTAAGTTTTTTCACATTGACTCTGTACTACGTTGATGTTTGAGATTGTGTATAGTTTTATCCCATGTAACTTTGACATTGTTTGTCTGTACTCAAAGGTATATAAGGTATATAAAGTGCATATGTTTAATAAATCCTTAAACCTGTGATACACAAGAGTTGGCGTGTCAGATGCACGGCTTTTGGTTGTGTGTGGGTGTGTGCGTTTGTGAGGATGTTTGTGTGTGATGTAGGTCCCTTGGTCAGAAAATTTCATGATGCATATAGGCAGTACAGCCCAAACATATATGTCCGTGTGTGAAATGAATGCAAAAAAAAATGAAATGAAATGATCGAAGGAAGAAATAAAGAAATAACGAATCAGAGAAAGAATTGATGAAAGTTTGATTAAAAAAACTTAAAAACCCATTCAAAAGTGAGGACCAGATCGATTTCCTCTAAAGGGATGCCTGTTTGTGATGTAATATTATGACCATGCATAGCAAGGGCATTTAAATGGTGTTGTTGTTGTTGTTGTCGTAATTGTAGTGCTTAACTCAGCAAGCTGGGGCCGGTTCCTCGAAACCGTCATAAGTATAACTTCTTGACCATCCCATTCAAACGTGTGATATAAAATATATAGAATTAACACGCGTTTCAATGGGAAAGTCAAGAAGTTAGACTTATGACTGTTTCGAGGAACGGGCCCCTGGATACAATTCTTCGAAAGAGGGCGTCCCGCATTTTCGTATCAGGTTCATTTTTACACCTCTTCAGACTATGTTTGAAATGAACCCTTTTGGGCTTAAATAATAAGATATCAGAGATTAAACTATAAGTAGAAGTTTTAATAATAACATTAAACCATTTTCCTGCAATATTTGTCATAAGAATTTGTTAAAGAACCATCTTCTGTAGGCGTCCCACACTTCCTTTTTTAGTAATAATTATATATCGCTGTGTGATATGCCATAGGATTAGGGTTAGGTACATTAGGGTTATGGTTAGGGTTAGGGTTGAATAAACGTCTTACTGGCCAAAAGCCACAACATTTTCATTACAAAACATTTATATCACCATTCCACACATGATTATGAATCGTACAAGCTGAATTTCCTTGTTTTGAATAAAATGTTGGCAGTTGTGTTGTCCCATACTTCCACAAACGAATGAAATATGAGTATAAACAAAAAAACGCATATTTTGTTTTTCTCATAAAATTTACAGGATTAAACGTCGAGAAACTACTAATATTAAAGATTATTGCATGTTATAGCTGTTTAGCATTTTTTTGATTTTTTTAATCCACCCCAAATTAAGATTTAGACCAATTTGCATGCTGCTAAATAATCGTCCTTTGCAATTCTTTCATTTTAAAACTATTTGCCAAGTATCTTCTTAAACCCATTACAACATATAGGGTAAATCCTTTAAAACAACGAAATGAGAAACAGCGAATTAAGATTGCATGGAAGAATTAACAAAATTAAAGCTTGACACGATAATATAAAGGATTTTAAAAGTAAAAACGAAATTTGGACCTAATATCTCGTAAAAGAAAGGCGTAATTGATGATTCCCACACTTCCGATCGTGTACAAAATAAATGGGCGGAGCTAACGCGAATTAAGGTGGAAGACTGTGATCCTTTCTCACTTTGTATTTGTCCCACACTTTCTCGCCCGGAGAGAGAGAGAGAGGATTGAGAGAGGGGAGTGAGAGAGAGAGGGGAGGGAGAGTGAGAGAGAGAGAGAGAGAGAGAGAGAGAGAGGGGAAGGGGGGGGGGGGGAGAGTGAGTCATAAAAAAAATTGCACAAAATGTAATGTAGATATAGATTTGATCAGGATTTAACTCAAATATCCTTCACTTTAAGGATTAAAGCACACTTCTTGCTACTTTTTGAGACACAGCATCATAAATACGAAGCACATCTCTAGCTCTGTAAAACTTCTACCAATTTGTAAAAATAAAAGATGAGGTTCAAATTACAAAATGGCCTATTAATAGACATCTGCTTAAATCACATTCAACTCTTAATCCTACATTTTTTATAGGATTTGAAAATGAAACAAACATAAACTGAATTCTATTGACTTAATTATAGGGAATGGGAGGAAATAATACAGTTACAATTCAATTCAAATTCAAATTTATTCATGTTTCCAACAAAATATTACAAATCAATTATAAGCATTTAATAAAAATGTAAGAAATACATGTTGGAAACAGAGGGGTCCACTAAAAAGCAATGCTTGTACAAGTGTGCACACCTCAAATGATACTTAAGAATAATGAGTAATTAAATTAACTAATCTGTAACTACAAAAGGAACTACAAAATAGGGGAAAGAAAAAGGGGGATGCCAACAGAGACGAGAAAGGGACAAGACAATAATTTACACGACAAAGATAGAAGAACACGGTAATAATACAAAGAGTAGACAATGACAAAAAGAAGTGAGAGATCGAGGGTACAGAAAATAATACAAAATGATGAGCTGCATGTGGTTTGAGAAGAAGATAAGGAAAGAGAAATGTGCATGGGGAGCACTGTATGAATATTGCCAATTTGCAGATGAAGTACAGATCTACACTTACATCGGGGAGTGGGCCTGTGAATTGGTGCATCATGTGAATGACATCTAGCATCATGTTGTGACCTACAACGACCTTGCCCGACTCAGAGATCATCTTCATCACCCTGCAGATCCCTGACGCCTCGTCTACTTCATCCTGCAGTAGGGAGTAGATACGAGACAAATATTTTAAGAATACGCTGATCATTAAAATGATCTTATCATTTTTTTTAACCATCTGAGATATTCAGGAAAGTGACCAATGCTAAAGCCATAAATCTAGTCAAGTTGTATATAAAGTAAAGAGAAAGAACCATTATCACCTCTAAAAAGCAAAAACATAATGACAGGATCATGAAAATATTCACTTACCAATTCAGCCTGGAGTTTATCTTGGGCTAACTTCTTTTTCTCTTCTTCCGTTACTCTCCTCACCACTATGAATCTACCTTTCTGTAATAGAACAAAATATGGACGTGGAAAATAAACAAAATTGTGGCATACTTGTATACCCATTAGTTTGGTTGCTTTGATCTTCAGCAAAAATCATTCAGCATAATTACTAATATGTGCACAAGTGTATGTGTAAGTCAAAACTAAAAATGTCAAAATGGACAGCTTTGATCTCAACGAGTTGCTTGACAATCATTTCAATATCCCTTATTCTTGTTTTTCATTTTCCTTCATGGAAATTTATATTGCGCATTTCAATTTTTTAAAGACATTCATATCGACACTTATAACCTGGGCTATGATACTTTAAACTGTTTTTGAAATTACATCGTATACACTTGTTAAATTGTCAAATAATAGCACTCACTTTGTCTTCAGTTGTGTGTGTGTCTAAGTGAAGACCTGATGGATACCTGCATGTTCAAGAGAGATGTTTGGAGAGATAATGATCAAGGTAGATACATGTGGGGATTGAAGGGGGGGGGGGGGGAGGGATTTAAGGGAGGGGCACTGTGCCCCTCCCAACAGATTTCTAACCAAGAAAAAGCAGGGCATCCTCACTGGTAATGGTTAAAAATCAGGTTTAGGATTAAACGTAATTTGCTTTAGTGTGGTGCTGCAAGTGGTGACATATTCTCAAAAGACTTACTGTTTCTTCCTCAAAATGAGTAATTTAGGGTGATGCCCCCCCCCCGACTTTAATGCAAACCAGGGCCCTGTTGCACAAAACTTACCATTGATGGTAACTTTGCCATCAATGGTAACTACCATGGTAACCTTGATTTTGATTGGCTGTTGAGCACTGTTACCATGGTAGTTGCCATTGATGGTAAAGTTACCATCAATGGTAAGTTTTATGCAACTGGGCCCTGGGCCTCATTACTAAAAGCAGACGGATCATAGTAGTTGAAATATTTTGTTGCCCCTACTGAGGTCAAGGTGTGGCTGTGCCACTGGATACATGTAGCAATGATAGATGAAACAATTATAAATGAAATATTTCAGGGAAGATGAAGAAGATGTGAATAGAGCTTGGGATCTGGAAGTACCGGTAGATCGCATTTATAAGAGGGAAAGGAAGACCAAAGATTTCACCGGAAGATATGGTGAAAGAAAGAAAGCAGTAAGGTGGGTCTATTTGAGGAGGATGCTTGAGACAAGAAGAAGTGGAGGGAGGGAGTGTGATCATGACAAGAAAGTCAGTTACCCCTGTAAAAGGAAAATGCTGACTTTCATAAATGATGATGATGATGATGATGATATGAACTTTTTGCGGCTTAAAAGTTATGATTAAACACAATTCCAGAAGTCAAATATAACTTGAGTTGAAGTCAATCAACATTGAGTTATTGGAACTTTATGGACCATTTTACATTACTCCTACATTTTTGGGCAAATTCATCAAGCTAGTAATCTAGTTATCTAAAGGCATTAATCAGAGTTAGTAATACCATGCTGTGAAAATTATTTTTGACACTGAAAACTAAATTCCTCATATTAAAACAAACAGATATTAACCTGTTTTTCAAAACTTCTTTTCCGACAGGTTTTCTGCCAATACAATGGTGATTAAAGCTTCTTTCAGATATGATGGGGTAAATTGTGTGTTCTAAATAATGATGTTTGTGTAACACAATACAATTTATGTTTCTTACAACACAGAGGTCATTGAATACAAATAGGACTTTTGCTGCTTGCAGCTGCCTTTCATTTACACATTGCAACAACAAAAATCCCACTGCACTTTACCTCTTCATATCTGAACGAGCCTTTAGTGATTATCTTAACTTTGTAATGGTCTTACCTTGATTTAATTGTTTGGTATACTAGTTTCCTTTGGTACCTGATGGAAAAACAAAAAGGAAACATGGATAGCTTTAATTAGCTGACATGTATGTGAATAACGTTAATCTCTTCATTCTGTTCAAATGAAGAATATAATCACATTTCAATTACCAGATTTCATCATCAATTTGTCTTTAAAAGCTGGTTTTAACATAAGTGCAAATGTGAAAAACGTATTCCTATTTTGCCTGTTGAATAGTGAAATACCCATTTATTCCATAGTTTTTAGACAGTTACAAAAGAACTTTCTATACAGGGATTTGAAGTGGTTGATTATTAACACTTCAGTTGCTTTTTTGTATCTCTGCACGGTTGCTTGTTTGCCTCACATACTGATTTTACAAGTTTAACATAAGGATTGCTTTGTGCATGGCAATGGTTTTGCAAAATTACCCATTACTGGTCATATTTGGCTCCATTACGACCCGTTTAACACTGGCATAGATTAATCTTGCACTGGAAATCATAAAATAATCATAAACCTTTAGGTCAGTCACGAACCCTAGTACTTTTACAAGCCGATCGCCTGTCTGATTATCAAGATATTTATGATTGGAATTCAAAATTTCAAAAACCGTTTTCCCAATGTTTTGGAAACACCCCCCTCTCAAAAAATGAAATGGAAGCTCTTTTTACCAATCATGTGAAAGAACGTGTTTCGACTGTACTCTCTATTTGATGATACAAATTTTCCCAGGAAACCGCTTACTATAAATTGCGTAGTCCCATATACATCTTTCTGTGTACAGTTCTTGTAACTTTACCAAGACTGGGTCATATTTCTTATAATTTTGATGATTCTAGAACCTTGCAGTACACACCAATATTTATATGGTACATGTAGATGATCAACCTTTTCTGATTGATTCCACAACGTTTCTTTCACAATACAATCGCATGACCAGAACTGGTCTATACCTGTAACAGTGAGTCCCCGTAATTTACCCCCACCCCCACCCCCACAAAAGTATTGACACCCAGCATATCTTACCCTGTGCATGGTTCAAGTTTGAGTTCATCTGCAGTTCCAGCTGCAAACGCTCCAACTCTCTTGCTAAAAACACAGAATAAAAGAAACAGCCATTATGAAATGGTAGTGGCATTTGATTCATATGCATGCAGCCTGGTAGTCCCACTGCACTACTTGTAGCTACTTCCTCCCTTCTTTATAGAAAACAATGCCTAAGCGGTGCTCATTGGTCCCCCATGATCCTCTTTTTCTTATGTTAATTGAGAGCTGAGTTGATGAGATAACCATGTGTCAGTGACCACGCTGGGAGGTCTAATCCCTCTTGGCCCAACTAGTGCAGACAGGCTTTAAAGTTTCTTCAATTCTCACAAACCAGGAGAACTTTCAACCCTTTGGATTTCCATTTTTCATAGGGAGGAGTCTCTGAAATAGAATCATGAATACCTGAATGAAACTCCTTGATTATTCCCTACTGTTGGTCATACACTGTGCAATCTTTCCCCCTTATCACACAGACTTCAAATCTAAGATAATTACATGATAGTATACAAATATTGACTGCTCATGAGGATGATGGTGGGAACTATCACTCCCTCGGTGGTGTTCACACCGGCCCTTCTAACACCCCCTCGGCTTCGCCTCCGGGTTGATAGAAGGGCTGGTGTGAACACCACCGAGGGAGTGGTAGTTCCCACCATCATCCGATTACAGAGCAGTCCATATTTGTTTTATATACCTCATCCATTTTATTGATTCATGATTAGGTCTAGCTGTAGGTCTAGATCTAGCTCTAAAAAACAGTAAACGAGATCAAGAGGAATTTACTCAGCAGAATAAGAAAAATCCAAAATCAAGTCCAAGGCAAGATTATTGAATTCCTACGTGCTGCGCGTAACCATGCGATTGCGGAGGGGTTAGGAGTCCTATCCCAGGGTTTGATAGTAGCTATCAAACCCTCTGACGCAATGATCTTGATAGATCGAAATGCTCCTTGTCATGTGATATAGTTTTGACCAATCAGTGAATGACAATCTATGTATGAGGTAGCTATTAAGCTATAATGATTTATGAAACAGTAGAGGGTGTTTAATTTGTAATTATTTCACACGTTGTCATTCTTTTCTTGTGAACTGCAAAATCAAACTTTAATAACATTCTTAAAGTAACACAGCGAAATGTAGAGGCACGAAAAAGTCGCGTCCAGAATGCAAGAGGCGTAATAGTCAGGAGATGTTTGTCAATTAAATTTTTTTTTTTTGATATTTCTAAATGAAAGATGAGGTAAAACTGAAACCTAATAAGAGAATGGACATGTATTTACCAGCTCCAAATTTTAATCATGTTGTTCTACCTCTGTGTGGTAACATATGTATTCTTCAACATTTATGAATCTTGCATTCCTGGGGGGTGTTTCACAAAGACTAAGATTGACTTTAAGTTGGACTTAACTATGGCAGGCCGTTCATGCCACTAGTTCCTCTAATCATTCCTGGCATTGGTTTCCCAAGGGATATACAAATCGTCACAAACCTACAGAATTTACATGTGTTGATAGTTCATTATCTGAGAAACAAATATTATCCAAAGATCATAATTGAGAGACCAATAGTGAGAGCAACCAGTGGCATGAACAGCCTTCAATAGTTACATGTAAGTACAACTTAAATTCGATCTTAGTTTTTGTGAAACACCCCCCATGTTTTTCACTCAGACTCACCTGACATCGTCTATAAATGGCTTGTGTTCTTCAGGTATCTCGACCGGTCTCTTGGCGGTCGAGGGAGAGTTGAAGTTAGGACTGCAGTCTGAGAGCAGACTGGCGTTCCCCTCGTACTGGGCGTGTCTCTGCTGGACCATCTCCTTCACTCTCATGTTGTCTACTGCCGTCAAGTAACCAATTCCTAATAGAGGGTGTGCAAGTGAGATATCCAAGAATCAAGTTGGGAACAATTTTTTCTTTCGTAAATTTTGTTCATGAAGAGAATAGACACACAGCAATAACTACAGGGGTGATAGTGAGCACTAAAAAAAAAAAAGGTTTTTGTTTTCCCCTCAACCAAAAAAAAAATAGGGAAGAACAGAGAAAATAAGGGGGGAATTGGGAAAATCAGGATAAAATAGGGAAGAAAAAAAGAAATCGGGAAAAAATCGGGAAACTGATTTAAATCGGGTTTTATCAGGCCTGTAACTAACAGAAACAAGTGGTTATTTGACCATTTCCTTCGCTCTCATGTTGTCTACTGCCGTCAAGTAACCAATTGCTTATATAGACTGTGGGGCAAGGGCCAGTTAACCATCTGAAAAAAAAGTTTCGTAGTCCCATCTTTGGCAGAGAAAACTAACTATACCAAATGATTGTGATGAAGTTGCTGATGAGAAAACACCTTTGTTCTCCAAATTTCATACACCCGTTGATGAGATAACATGCTAATTAGTTTAATTGGATTTTAACAAGATTTCCTTGAAAAAGACTAGCGCCAACTATGGTAAATAGTCCATTTTGCTGATTCAAAGTTGCTATTTCTTGATTCTTTTTTGCAAAATGTTTATTTCAGACCTCTATGAGACTGTTCAGGTGTGATTTTTCTGCGCAATTAATTTAATCCGCTAATTAGTTTTATTGGATTTTAACAAGATTTCCTTGAAAAAGACTAGCGCCAACTATGGTAAAATAGCCATTTTGCTGATTCAAAAGGCATTCAAATTTGCTGTTTCTTGATTATTTTTTGCAAAACATTTATTTCAGACCTCTATGAGACTGTTCGGGTGTGATTTTTCTGCGCAATTAATTTATATTTATGCTGTTGGTGAACTTGAAAACACTAATTGCAATTTTCCACGTTTTTTTAATATTTCAGCACGTCATCAAGACGAGTTTTGTTAAGCCCAAGTTATGTAATTTCTTGCATCTTGTTTAAGTTACCATCTGTTTGTATATTCATGTCACTCATTTAACTCTTCCTTTTTTCCCTATTTCTCTCTCTATCTCTCTCTCTCTCTCTCTCTCATCACACACGTTTTTTGTTCTCATGTCTCCTCTTAAAAATCTCTTTTTCTTCCCCTGTTGTTTTCTCCTTACTCTTCCCCTGTTGTTTTCTCCTTACTCTTCCATTCTCTTTCATCATAATTTACCTTATTATATTCAACATGTCTTATTGAGTTTCATCAACTGTGCAAACTCCTTCCAATCAAATCATCAATATTGTTGCTTTTAGTTTATTTTCCACTTCCCCGAAAAATATATTGCTGTTCAAAACTTTGTTAATACTAATACTAGGTAGTACTAGCAACACTGCTCATGGTCTGCATAGCATCAGTTTAGAACAATACAAATTTCAAAGAGAAACCTAACAACAAATTCATACCAAAACTGCCAAATAAATTATATTCTTCTCTGTTTAATTTGATTTCATTCATTACGTAAAATGTATTACCGTACTACCATTTTGTCAATGACATTTATCTACAAGTAGATTACCGGGTACTTTTTCTAAAACCGGTACTTGCCACTGCCAGTGAAATCAGAACTATGGTACATGTATGTTGTAATTTACAAATGCAATTTAACTTGAACTGCAAAGATTGTTAACAGTTTTTACATAAATATTGATGGAATTGAAATAAATTATGAAACATTGATAAGATGTGTCTAGTCATTTGTTGTCTCTTTTTTTTTTGGTTCAAAGAAAATGTCCTAAAATATGTTGATAGAAAAATTGCCAAAAAGCTGTTACTGTTGAGGAATTCATAAATTTTACATATTTCGATTAGAACAAGTGTCCAAGGAGTGTGATGGAAAGTTTGAAACGACCCATACATTTGAACGTAATAAAGTTTTATATTTGACTATAAATCTTGGCAATGCTTCAACATGGCAAAATACATGTATGCATAATAAATAATAAATGTCCATATTATTATTATTATTATGAAACAAATGAGCATGCAATGCAAGTACAATAGTACATTACTGTAAGTGATTACTTAGTAAACATTTTTCCAGCTCTGAAATTATATCTTTACATATATTTAGTATATTCTTATATTACAGTTGCACATAATGTATATGTAAAACACCCCAGTCGACCCATACATTTGTATATGTCTATTCATGAAAGGTTGGTTATTTTGTACATAATTTACAAAGGAACCATAGGGATATAAAAATCATTTTTTTTTAATCCCCAAATTGAATAAGAAATATCAGAGAAAAAGTTTCACAATGATCTTGCCTTTGTTCATTTTAATTTTATCATATATATTTGTTGTTATCAATAGAACCAGTTAATGTTGAAAAATCTGCTGATAAACAGCAAAAAATATTGCATACATCTAGTGCTCAATATGAACGCGTAAATTTTATGCTGATGGTCTCAAATAGGTCCAACAAATCAAAGCTGGCAGATGAGCGCCGAGATTGTAGACTCCTACACAGCTTCTTAGGTTGTGAAGGGATATCAGATGGATCTGGGGGAAAAAGAATATAAAACACTAGGTCAGAAACAAAGCTCATATCAAAAATTGGCGATAGCTTCGCTGTCATTTCAAAAATTTCAGATAGCTTTGGCGTCTTTTAAAAATTCTTTAAATGTTTCAAAAACAAAAATTCATATTAGTCTACAAGTCATTTCGAAAATTGGCAATAGCTTCGCCGTCTTTTCTATTTTAAAATTAAAATTGTTGATACTGATAGCTTGACAGCCGCCATGTCTATCTTCATGTTAGAAAAAGTGCCCCTTGTCTAAATATGCTTTCTATTTTGACCCCTATTGAGTGTGCAACTATAATGGCTTCATGCACTGATTACAAAAAAATGTAAACAACACACCACATCCCAGCACTAAATAAACCAGTTTAAAATAATGCTGTTTTGACCAGGACAATAAGTTAAACTAACTAGGAAGGCATGTCTAAAGTTAAGTAAAGCCTGGCTCAATGCGTCCAACTTGTCCGACATTTTTTTTGTTTTCCATTAGGCCTATTATTATAATTTACAGCTAAGGAGGGTCTACATGTACGTACATGATTACATCAATGACATAACAAACAAAATTGATGTCAACTCACAGAGGCATTGTAAACGATTCAATCAACTGACAGACTTCATCATTCAAGCTCCATCATGCATGCATAAAGGGCCTAAATCTAGGCCTAGCCCATAGGCCTAGGCCTAGAGCCTAGAGCCTAGAGCCTAGAGCCTAGAGGGTCTAGACTCTATTCTCTAATTGTTTTTTTTTTTAATGAGGCTAGAGCTAGATCAAAGTAAAGGCAGGGCCTTAATTTTTGCTGGGTTATCATGGTTATCATGGTTATTGCAAACAAAGAAATTGAAACTCACCTTCAAATTCAGTCTTGTTAGAATCTCGAGGTATTTTACGGAGAAAAGTGCAAAATTGAGACGGATTTCCTTGCCAATGTCGCCGGTATTGAACCGTATACATACAGCGACATGCAGTACCAGTGCAGCGCAAATTACAACATTGTCATTTGCAATGCACCACTGGTACTGTCGCTGTATACAACAACCGTGAAGGCACGTATACGGGCGACATTGGCAAGGAAATCCGTCGCAATTTTGCTCTTTTCTCCGTCCATATTTTTCAAAATCTCAGCAGAAGCAAAAGCTTTGGACCATTTTGTGTCTGTAAATTCTTTCAAAACGACATCATTCACAGTTGGGAAGTGAATAAAACACCTCTTTATCTCCGTATCGGTGACGAAACTTCATCGGTGTCATAATTATGGTTGTTAGATGTTTTTATGTAGCGAACGAGGACAATGACGTAGGGAAAATCCCGCCTCGTGATTGGTTGAATTGGACACACCTCCGATTTCCCGGGATATTACCCACGATTATTAGGAGGCAACATAATTATTATCTTTAATTAGTTTTCACGAAAAACCGTAAAGAAAATGAGGAGAACAAACGGTAAATATGTTTGTAATAATTTTCTTTATATTTTCATACTGGTTTGGTCGACTGCCACTGATGGGACTACGAAACAACACAATACAGTGACTTGCCCTACAGTCTAATAGAGGGTGTGCGATCGACATATATTCAAGAATTGAATTGCCAACAAATTTTTCTTCATGATTATGAAGGGAATAGACACATAGCGATAACTAACAGAAATGAGTGGTTATTTGAGTAAGTTACCGACAAGCAAAATTTAATGGTTCATGAACCATTATAAATCCAAACGTTATCTAAATATTCATACACGTAACTACAGTCAAACCTGTCTATAGCAACCACCCAAGGGAAACACAAAGAGTGGCCTTTGTAGACAGGTGGTCTTTGCAGATAGGTTCCTTTAGTACATGATTCAATGAGAAACCATTTTCAAAGGAAGCAACAAATGTGGCCTTTGTAGACAGGTGGTCACTAAAGCAGGTTTGACTGTACTTATTTAAACTTAAGTTACAATCAAACAAATAAACATCTTTTTCTAAGAGGTCAAAGGTCACCTTTCTTCAGCTACACATTAGAATAAAACAAAAATATAAAGTGAGAGAAAGACAAAACACCAACCTTTATAGAACACTTTGTTGAAATCAAAGCCGTGTGACACCAGAAAATCTATACTGGAACTCTGGAAAGATGGAGAAAAAAAATGACTTAAACTTTAAGGTCGTAAAACCAACTCGAAATCCAAACTGCAGCAAAATATGTCACTAAAGATGATTGTAGATAATCATCAAACTGAATCTCTAGGATTCAATAGATATGAAACCAACAATGGTCAAAATCTGATGTTTCAGATCCACTTTAACTATGCATTACCTTTTTCAAATCTTTATTTGTCACTCTCCACAGATAAGGGGGGTGTTTCACGAAGATCCAAAGTCAAACTTAACTCTAAGTTGGACTTAAAAATTACGGAGAGCCATTTGTAGCATTAAAATAAAATATATTTAAAAGCAAAAATTCAAGTATTTTAAGACTTTTTATAAATTCCACATCAAGAACATGAAATCTCCTTGATAATAGAAAATATGAATAATTTGAATCAACATTTTATGCTTTAAAAAAAAACTATCACAAAATATTTTCATAGATTCTAATGGCCTTCCATAGTTGTTAAGTCCGACTTAGAGATAAGTTCAAATTAGAATCTTTGTGAAACACCCCCCAGGGGAAATACAAATAGGAAAGCATATTTTCAGAATATTTTTTTTGAATACCTGACATAGGAATCTCTGGTCTGGAGCCGCACGCGTGGACGGTCTTGGAAAGACGTAGAAGTTGAAAGGATAGGCCACATAACCATACCTGACAAGCAAAAGACAAATATATACATGATAATTCCTTCAATAAAAAAATAAAATATTTTGTAGTTTTATTAATCTATTTTTTATCCCATGTTTATAGAACAAGTACTAGCTTATTTAAAAGCTTTGATCTATATTCAAAACAAGCACAAAAATAATAGTTTTATTTATCATTTTTTGTCCCATGTTTATAGAACAAGTACTAGCTTTAAAAGCTTTGGTCTATAAGTGTAAGTATTTTAAAAATGATTGATGATTTCATTATGTTTCTCAAAGATTAAGCTAAAATATATGCAAGTATCTTACTTTCATTTTGAATTACTTCACTTTGTTGTATTGCAAATTTGTCACTTAAGCTTTTCATATCTATATATTTGGACGTACAGGGATCATGATATCTCATATAATCAGGTATGCCAACATTAAGATCTATTTTGACTTCTTGTAATGACAGAACATTTCTTTTTAAAGGCTTTTGTAAGTCTAATTTTGTTAAAATGCATTTTTTTTAAAAACATAACTGAAGATTTGCTTTCATTTGTGGAAATACTATCTTCAAAAACCTTTTTATACTTTATATAGCGCTCAAAAATATCCTCCTTGTGCCACATTGTATTTATCATGGGATAGATAGACCAAAGGCTTCAAGATTACTGAACTTTTTCCAGAATAAGATTAATCTTTATCGGTGTAAATAGGGTTGTCACAAGACTAATCAAGACCGGAAATTGATAATTTCACGAAGACATTGTGTCGCACGAAATAATCCTTTTAATGTTTGTTACCTATCGTTTTGTGCACAAATGCATGTGTGGCAACTGAGCAACAACGCAGGGAGTGAGAAAGGTGAAAAAAGCAAGCATAGTGTTAAATGAAAGTGGTCTCACCCTTTCTTCTGTTTCTCATACTTGAATATGCAGACACCAAGCTGAATCAACAGAAAGTCACAACAGTTCTGGAACATACAATGGATCAGAAGAAATCAAGAAATTACAGCTTTATAGCTCTTTAGAGCTTCTATGCTACCTTCTATCTCTCAGAACTCCCATCCCCCTTCTCTCCGTCTCCCCTCCCTTTCCCTCCCCTCTCGTTCCCTTCCCCCCTCTTTCTCTCTCTTTCTGTCTCTTTCTCTGTCTCTATTTCTCTTCTCCCCTCTCTCTCCCCACCCCTATCGTCTGTCTGTCTCTCTCTCTCTCTCTCTCTCTCTCTCTCTCTCAACTTCCGAAACTAACCCATAGGCCAACATATGCATATTATAAAAGGGAGCTTTGAATCTAATTGCAAACGTGAATACAATTCAGTCCTGTTGCGTTTAGGTTGACGTGATAAGCATGAAACCACTTATACAAAACCATGGATTTGGTCTTGATGAAGGAAAGGAGTCACCATCCTTCACACGATAATTATGAAAAAAACTTGGTGACAACCTTATACAAGGTCAACAGACAAAATTTTGGACAAATTGTATGTTCCTCACACTGTAACCTTCAATGTAAAACCTCTTATACCAGGTAATCCTTATACCGAAAACGTGCTGGTTCACCTGTAGACTACTGAATTTTCTCATTCCCATAAACACAGGGACCCCCTATTCCCCCCCCCCCCCCCAACAATGGGTAAAGTTAGAAAGGGAAAGTTCTTATACTTAAACCACTGGATTAGGAATTCACTTTCTCATAACTCTTTGAGATGTTGGACCGAGTAACTCTTATACCAAAAACATGCTGGTTAACCATAGACTTCTGAACTTTCTCATCCCCATAGACTTAACACACGGACCCCCCTAATCGCGTAGACAATGGTTTAAAGGGCTAGTTGAGTTTTGTTGCAGAGGGCGCTACACAATTTTTTTTTTGTGAGATAATGAAAAAACTAGTGTCAAATTTGAAAGCAGTATAATTTAAGTGACAAAACCATCTTTGTTTTGATTCATATCGGTTCAGAGACGGCTGAAATACCCATAAATATAACATTTCTTATATTTGTGGTGCCCCACAAATTTTCGGTAATTTTGAAACCGGCCATTGATAAACGGGATAGCACCTTATACGTTTTATTCCAGCCAATGCCAATATTGGCTTTTTGTTGGCTTTTCCTGTTGATTATTATTATTTTTTTTTAACGTGGAACTGAATTGGTATGATCATATTCAATGTAAATTCACACATTTTGGGTCTAAAATTACCTTCATAGCACTTTTAGGTTCTAAAAGGGCACTAGAAATGTCATAAATAAGATTAATAGCTATAACCATGCACTTTGAAGGCATTTGCGGTCTTAAACAAGAACTCAACTATCCCTTTAAGTTAGAAAAGGAAAGTTCTTATACTTAAACCACTGGATTATAGGACTTCACTTTCTGGTACCTCTTTGAGATGTTGGTACCTCTCTGCTGGAGTATCAAAGACGCCGGGACTCGACCCGCTGTGGAGTCCTGTGAACTCCCCATCGATGGCTACGAATGAGCAGTGATCTAATGCCGAGCTCATCAACTTCAATGCCTCATTGAAATCTAGAATACGAAGAAGAGAAAACAATATTTTAATGAGTTATCTATCAGACATTACACGGAACTATGTGCCGATCTAGTGCCGAGCTCATCAACTTCAATGCCTCATTGAAATCTAAAAAACAAAGAAAAGACAATATTTTAATGAGTTATCTTTCAGACATTACCAGGTTAAATGTGCTACAGTGCATGTCCCATTTTCAGGCCAAAAAAATGAAAAGGTTAAATTCCAATGGGATTTGAAAGATAATAGTAATATACTGTAGATCTTCCTTCAAAACGCAAGGGCTAGAAAATGGCTTTTCATTGGAAAAATAACGATCGTTAGATATGGGTATCCCATACAACTTGGTTCAACTCTCCCCCCTTTTTTTTGCTTGTCAGCTGATAAGGTGACCATTATCCTGTCAAAAACATGTCAGAAGTCCCCCTATTCCCTCCCCTCGTCAATGCCTATGAGCACCTTTCAGGCTGTTGCCTGTTGCGTACAGAGGATTTTTTCAAGGGGGGGGGGGTAGGATTGGCTTTTGGGGGTCATCCATTACCACTTTTTTCTTCTTTTTTTTTATTTAAAAAAAAAAAGGGGGGGGGGTTTCCTCCAAAATACCGTATACACAATTAAAAAGTTAAAGGGGGGAGGGGGTTTAACCGTACGCGCCTGGTTGCCATCATGGCATTTCCTCTTCTCGCCCTGAACAACTTCTAGTCGACTTGTCGAGTTACAGGAAACTTGTCATCTTGTCCTCAAGAAGTTGACTATCCGATTTGCATTAATTTGTCATCTTGAGTTGTCTTCTGCCTTTTCTGGTCCTGATCTAAACTGCTAAAGACAGTTGACTTGCGGAGTTTTAACGACAACATCTCATCTACCAGTAGGCAGTACCATACTCAACTCATTGGCCCACAGTCACACTAACACTCACAGACTAGATTCGGGTTTGAATTACTCCCGCAATTTTCCCACACTCACAGCCCAGACTCGACCCGGAGACATGGCCATGGCAGACACAGTCACGACTCGCATTATCACAGTCACATCTCACAGAGTGACAGACACTCGAGCTCCTCAGTAATCACCGACTCCGAATTTGAGTTAGTCCATTAACATACTGTGTACTTTACAGATGATGTGTAAGCGAAATAAATTAATAATCTACTCACTATCAATGGTCACTTCCATCTTAACTCAAACCGAGTGAAAAGTCGTTGAATATTGATCACAGCGTCCAACAAATGATTCTTCGTTCGCGTTTTTAACTTTGGCGGCCTTGCGCAACAATATGAACTGAATTTAGCGATCAACCGGTCAATAGCATTAAAATGTGATCCTAGTTAGTCTGCGGAAACAGGCTCTTTTATTGAAAAATATTGCTGCTATTTTCATTCAAGGGGACATTTCAGCATATTATAGTACATTGCAGAAAAATATTTTTGAATCACACTTGGAAAAATTGTGATTTATTTTCATTCATTTGTATATTTCTAATCGTCCACTAATTACCTCCGCCCTAGAGAATATGTGGGCACAAGGGATTCCCTAGCTAGGCCTATAATTGCAAGAATAAACAAATATTTGATATTTTTATAAGACTGTTTAGAAAACAAAATGTAATAGAAATATGTTTTGTAGAATTAAGTATATTCGTCAAATCAGATTGCTGGTTTGCACTTGTCCTAGATAAAGACAAAGACCGTGAAAGCAAGCTTCACACGGTTCAGCAATTTATACAACAATGGAGCCTATAGTGATATATGCAGTAATTCAATGAATGAGGAGTATCCCTATCGCAATTTGAATATGTTGTTGTTATGTATGACGTCTGAAATTAAGACTATTCATGTCTTGACTTGTCATTTTATGTATACGCATTGCCCAATGTACCGCGCGCAGTTTCCATCGATGCCTTCATCGAATAAAGTCCATGCTACCACCATGTAGTTTTAAAGTTACGAATACGTCTTTATTTGTCATCTTTATTTGGCTGAACATCAACCTTGAACATTGACAGAACATAACATTGGCGACGAGGATGGGATGATTAGTTTGGTTTGCCGCAGTTTGCTGAAATAAAGACTTGAAAAAAGTTTCTCCAGCAGAGACCCGACATGGTTTGGAATTATGCCTGAGGCTGTACACGTGCAGTTTTTTATGAACGCTTTGCCGTACAGCACGTACAGCTATGGAGAATTGTGCATCAGCATGTATTCAGCAAATGAACCGAACTAATGGAGCTGAGTTTGCCTAATTTGGATGAAAAACTCTTTAGCCAGGAGATCCAGCCGTTGATCGTAGGTGAGCGAGTATTTGTTTTGCTGATGTTGCCTCATCAGTTTAACTTTATTAGCCGCAGTTGGATGAATGGTGAATGGATGCCCCCAGCCTAACTTTCAACTTGACGATCAACCAGTGGCAGTGCTGCAGTAGTACAGTAGGCCATGCAACTCAGTAGCAGTAGCCAAGCCCATGCAAGCTCCAACCAAGTTCAGGGTCCAGCCCAGCCAGCCCAGCCCGCCAGCCAGCCCAGCCAGCCCAGCCCAGCCCAGCCAGCCCCGCCCAGCCAGCCAGCCAAGCCAGCCAGCCAGCCCAGCCCAGCCAGCCCAGCCCTGCCCAGCCAGCCAGCAAGCCAATTCAGCCCAGCCCATGGCCAGTTAGCCAGCCCGCCAGCCAGCCAGCCCAGCCCGCCAGCCAGCCCAGCCCAGCCAGCCCAGCCCAGCCAGCCCCGCCCAGCCAGCCCCGCCCGGCATACATTGTTTCAGAATCCAGGTTCCTGTATCTAGATCTACTGCAGCGTAGACTAGAGGAGGAAGTGTTTTGTTTTAGCCTTAAAATTGAAATACAGGAAGTTGTTACTTCGTGATTGCCTTCAATTTAGGACCAGGATCCAGTTCAGTGACAGTGTCAGTTGACTCAGTTCATAGTTTCGGACTAGTAGCAACCCACCCAAGTGAAAGCCAGACCACTCATCATGAAGTGATGGTGATGTTGATGCAAGCAAATAAACATTTAGAACTCATTTGATAATATTGTCGATTGTTATGATGAATCTGTTTTGTAACTGAGTGTAAGGACCAGTCCCAGACCAGGACTAGTACCATTACAAGTTGAAGTGTAATTCAAGTGTGAAGATGTGGATCTAAGTAGGTCTACAAGTTTAGAGTTAGACATTAGTCTAGGGTTTTTACAGTGTAAATAACAGTAGAACCTATTAACAATCAGACAATAATTACGTCTAGTCTTTGCAGTCTAGTCCAGGTCTAAGTCAAGAATTTTGTTCTTCAGTTGTAAATTGCTTGTCAAAGAAATGTGTATGTGTTAGATACATGTGTGGAAGTGGAAAGAGCCCAAATGTTGTTGTTGTTTGGTATTGGTATTTCAAGTCAAATATTTATGCAAGTATTTGTTATGGTATAAAGTTGTTCATTACAAGTTTAATGCGCCTTACATAAACATGGCAGCACAAATGTTTGGTAATGTCCCTCAGTTGGACTCAGGGTATAAATTTGAAGATTGGATTGAGGTTCTTGAGTCATGGGTTATAGCTAATGATATTACAGCAGATGCAAAGAAGAAGGGTATATTCTTATCAGGATTAGGAAGTAAATCCTATGCCACATTACGTGCATTGTTGCAGCCCAACAAACCAATTGATAAAACTTACCAAGTATGTAAGGATACCCTGTCTGAACATTTTGCCCCCCAACCAACTGAAATAGTCCAAAGGTATAAGTTTTATACTTGTGTTCAAGAATCACGTGAAACAATCCCGCAATTTGTTGCTCGTTTACGCCAGTTGAGTGAAGGATGCAAGTTTAAAGAATTGAATAGCATGCTTCGAGATCGCCTTGTAGTTGGTTGTAAGGACAAAGCTACACAAAGAAAGCTTCTTAGTGAATCAGAGCTTACATTTGATAAAGCGTTGAAAGTAGCCATGGCCATGGAGATAGCTAATAGAGATGTTGAACAATTGCACTCCAGTGACAATGGTAGTGAAGACAAAGAGGTTCACCAGTTAAGAACCACGCAGATGAAAGAAAGGTCTTCAAGCAAGTGGAATTCCAAGCTTACTGAGAAGGAAAAGCCCACAGGTCAGTGGACTGACCAGAAGTTAAGGTGTTGGCGTTGTGGATCGACAAGACATGTTCATCAATCCTGTCCGTTTCAGAAAGAGCAATGCTATCAATGCCAGGAAATTGGACATACTAAAAGCCAATGCAAAGCAGTAAAGAACTATTTTGCAAGATAATTATATTTATGCCAAGTGAAACTATTGTAGATCAAACTCTATTTGTTATGGGGTTAAACATTTTTAATCTTGTATTGCATAAGTCTGCAAAAGTTCAACAGATGTTGTTTATATGTGTTACATAATTATAAGGCAATGATTAAAAGGTAAACATTTATTTTCTTTAGCGATGAAAGCTAATTTGGTGCATTCATCACAAGTGTTGATGTTTTAAAAGTAACAGTGTAAATTGTTCCACATTTTATCAAAAATACTACACGATTTTCATGGAGAAAATGTTACTTATTTTGGTCTGTTCTTTATTATGCCAGGAGATAAGTTAGTTGATAAAGTTTGGATCCAATCAGTTTTGTATCAAAGTACAAGGATTTTGTTTTATTTTCTTGCCATGTAAAGTTTTCATGCATAAAGTAATGCATAAAGTACTGCATAGAGTAATGCATCAAATAATGCATATGTTGACTATTTTCACGGAGGAAAAGTGTTGTTCCTTGGGTGTCAAACAACCTTCAAGTAAAACTTAGATCAGTAAAAATAGGTTGTTATAACAGTGAACATTTTGTGTTGTTGTATTTACATGCATACAAGCAATGTTGCTAGTTTATGTTATACATGGAATAGGATTTTTTTAATAGAATCAAGTTGTGTGAGTACATTCCTATCTTGCCAGTGTCAAATCTCTATACAAACATTTTTTGAGAAAATAAGACCATATTGTTATATAGTTCTGCCCTAGTCTGCATGCCAGTTTGATACATGTATTTCATTTTGATGTACCCATGTAATTCACTAAAAGGGGGAGGAATGTTATGTATGACGTCTGAAATTAAGACTATTCATGTCTTGACTTGTCATTTTATGTATACGCATTGCCCAATGTACCGCGCGCAGTTTCCATCGATGCCTTCATCGAATAAAGTCCATGCTACCACCATGTAGTTTTAAAGTTACGAATACGTCTTTAACAAATAATTATAATTATAACAAAAATAATAATAATAATAATCGACTTGATTCACCTGAACAAATCTTAGAAACAAAAATCACCTCCATAAATAATCAAAACGGCTTAGTGCATTCTATTTATTGAAGATGGCTTTGAACTTAGTCCGTAACTTCAGTTTTTACAATTTGACAACTTCGTTAACGCGTCGTGCGCTGCCTACCTCAGTTTCTAATTCTAAAGCATTTCCTGTTATTTTGAGAGGTAAGGAGTCATTGAATTGTTAACCATCTTTCACTCCGAATCAGATAGTCGACTGTCATGTATGATCGGTAGAACGTAATGCGATATAGTAGCTTAAAATCGTCATGTTCGTCATGGTTTGTTTATTGTGTAGTCCCATCTGCTGATAAAATTGCTGGTAGATATGAATGAGAAGCACGAGACGCTGAGCTGCGCCCGTAGCGTAGGCAACACTACATTTCTATCTACCTAAGATAGGAATATCTAGGTGAACGAATCGTTTACGGTTTAGATTCATTATCAGAATCACATTACCATTATTTTTGTTCTATTAGACTTTTACTATTTCTATGACTAATGACTGTCTTGAGCATGAGACATGAATTTGAATAGGTCTAGTAATACTAGACATGGGCGTAGATCTGTAATTGATACCTATTGTTCAGGGGGGATGATCTATTCATTCATCTCCCCTGAACAATAGGTATTACGTAAGGATTGACGCCCATGCTATAGACTCTAAGTTATTGAGTCTAAGTCTCTTTGCCAAGTTCAGGGCCGTGTATAGATCTAGGGTCTACTGATTGATTCTAAGTTTGCTCAATACATGATGAGCCATAGACTTACGCTCAATGTTATGATCAATCAAAAGGCTTTAAACGACATGGCCCACAATTTAGATACCACTCTCGGTGTCAGTCATAGGACTTTATTCTTATGTTAATAATACACCTCTAACATTAGTCAACCTTTTTTTCTGGAATTCAAATGTACATCTAGATCTAGATCTAGCCTATAGACCTCTACTATAAATTGCCTTTTCATATCAAACATTTACTGAATCCCCAGAATGTTTTAGAAATGGCTGTTTTCCCAGAGTCCAGACACGAGACATAATTCATAAATGTTATTGATTTGATTTTTAGGAAAATGTATTGCTTCATAGGGATGGGATTGGGCCAGACTGCATGACAGTTCTTCACTTTTCTGTACAGGGTATTTTTTTTGTAATTGATTCTTACGATGAGACTAAGTAATGTGGTAGTTCATCCACATTTCCCTCCAGGGCTTAACTTTATCTCAACTTTATCTTAACATCCCCAGACAGACGTCCCACTCAGCGTTTGATGACCGATGTTGAGTTTATCAACTGCTGATGTTTATCGACATGGATGAGGAATCCAAGATCACCTTGACAGCGACCAACAAACGAGAGTGGCCAAACTCAACCCTAAAGGCACTGAACACATTCCGGCAGTCTGAACACTCCTTATGCGATGTCTTCCTCCAAGGGGAGGATGATATGCCCATGGAACCAGTCCCCGCCCATCGGTGCGTGCTTGCTGCCAACAGCGTTTACTTCCATGCCATGTTCACATCGGGGCTTGCGGAGAGTAAACAGGACCACAGGGAGATCTCGATCCGTGGGGTAAACACAGAGAGTCTGTCACTTATCGTGGAGTTCCTCTATGTGGGAAGCTGTCGTCTGCCTAGCGGAACCATGCGTAGAGTGATGGACCTGCTTGCTGCTTCGACCATGCTGCAGGTTGATGAGCTTTCCCATGCATGCAGCATCTACCTTGAAAAGTGCTTAGACTCTGACAGTGCACTAGGTGAAATCAAACGGGCTGTTCACCCTGATATTCGGTTATTTGAGTTACAATATTTATAACAATGTAGTAACATAGTCCTTAAAACTTAAACCTATCATAAATGTTAATTTCTAAATTAAAAACAAAGGTCAGGTTTAATTTGTGTATCCATCAAATACATTTTTTATTTGCCTGCTCACAAAGAAAATTGTAGTGTAAAGAATATTAGACCTTGGTCTTAAATGTTAATTTTTAAAAATAAAAACAAAGCCTCAGGTTCAATTTTTGTATCCGTCAAATACATTTATGTTTGCCTTCTCACAAAGAAAATGGTAGTGTAAAGAATAAGAGGCTTGTATCTTGGAGTTGTTAGTGTAATTTTTATAGAGATGTTTTATGTCACTACTCCTTGCACTTCTGTTGTATAGTTTTCATGAATTTAACTTTGGAACCTGATTGTACACTGCAAGACGTACTACAATCCCTAACGATTAATTCATAATCTACGATAAATTTCATACTTGTATTTCACTTTTGGTTTGATTTGTTTCATCGGACAGTTGTCATGAGTATTCCTCTTCTAAATGTTATTTTTTGTTGTTGCTGAAGATTGAGAAAAATTTATGATCTTAATGTCTTTATAAGACAAAATTTGTTCTCAATAGTAATTACGGTAATATTTGTTTATTGTTTCTCAGAGCTGTGGCTGTTTGCCGAGAGTTATGGAGTGTCTGACCTGGCTGAACCTTGCAAGAGGTATGTCCAGTCATATTTTCGGTCGATCAGCAGTAGCCAGCGTGTGCTTGAGGTGGATCATCAGGATATGGCAGCCCTGCTTGGTCTCGAGGAGGTCAATTTAGGTAGGTCAAGGTTGAAAGTTCAATAGATATTTGCAAGAATCATGCAAACAACTGATGTTACTCTCATTTTTTACAGGAGCAGACTTACCAAGAACTGTCCACATTGTCCGTTTGAAACAGGAAGGGCATCAACCCATATTCTTTAATACAGAGTTAACACCCTTCTGGCTCTGAACAGATGATGCATTGTTTATATATCAGCAAAAGGACCTTGTGGTACACCACTTTTTTTAAGGTTAGATAAGATGTTATTTGACTAGATGTTAAAATAAACATATAAATAAATAAGTGAATGAATGGATAAATGAATGAAAAAAATAAAGATATTAAATAAATTAATATATGAATAAATAAGTTAACAGTACGAGTTAGAATAAATGAGAATGAATAGATAAATAGATTAACATATTAATTATTTATAAATTTAAACATGGTCTACAACTTGAACCCCCATAGGGAATGCAGCAAATGAAGACACCCTGGTTGAACTACTTCTGAGATGGGTGACCAATAACCCCAAAGCTCTTGACTCAGATCTGCTTCCTGTTCTCGGTAAGGTATGTTGGAGTGAAGCCAGCCAAGAGTGCAAGGACAAATTCAGAGAGACACTTGCTGAAATCTCTAAGGACAGTTCGCCAGGTAGGTCCGATTCAAGTTGAAATGTTCTTGGCTTAATTTGACAGATACATTTGCTCTTTTGCGAGGAGGCAGAGTTGAGTTTAGTCATTGATGAAAGATGATGTCACAGAATCACACCAAGTCTAAAAATCTGCTAAATAATGATGTTGAAGAATGGATTATGGTAAACATGCAGCTGAGTAATGAGCAAAGACAGTGTTTGATTTATATTGCTCTCTTATTCTCTCATATCTGCTCCTTTTGTTCATCTGTTTTTCTCCTGTATTGACATTAAAATTCTATTTCTTTTATAGAATCTTTCCAGGCTAAAGAGGTTTTTGATACCATCTCAAAATCATCATCTTTGAACCAAAGCTTCAATCGAACCTTCTTCTGCTCGGTGTGTGCTATAGGAGGCCTTCAGAATTCAAGGGCAGGGTGAGAATTTTTTAAAAACAATATATTGCAGGAGCTGATGATGCCATCAAACTTGATGGCAAAATATCTTTGCTTTAAGGCCCCATCTTTGCCAAATGTGGTAACTTGCTGACACTAAACCACTTTTCTTCTTCTTCTTCCATTTGAGTACCATCTCTCTTACATAATATTGTCATACTTTGTTCAGAAAAAGGTGCGCGGCCGCAGGAACACGTGCAGGGGAAGTGAGTGACAGACAAATAAAAAAAACTCAAAGCTAATGTGCAAGTCGTCCTAGAGGGTGCCCAGATAACAATACGACGTTACGCCAACGTGGGGCCAACGTAAGCTGTTACGTTGGTCCAACGTCGCCAACATGATGTTGGGCCCACGGCTTTCTTGCCGGTGGGCCAACGTTGGCCCGACAGTGACAAAATGACATTAAGCCAACATCGGGCCAGCGTTATGCCGACCCCTATCCGACCATATGTGCCGATGTCCTCCCGACATTGAACCAACGTTATGCCAACCTCTTTTCCACCGTATGCCGACGTCTTTCCGACATTGGACCAACGTCGTCCCAACCCTTTTTTAACCATGTGCCGACGTACGACCAACGTTATGCCAACCCCTATCCCACCATGTGCCGACGTTGTTCCGACATTGGATAAACGTTATGCCAACCCTTATCCCACCATGTGCCGACGTCTCCTCAACATTGGCCCAACGTTATACCAACCCCTTTTCAACCATGTGCCGACGTCTCCACGACGTAGGGCCAACGTTATTCCAACCCCTATCCAACCATTTGCCGACGTAGTTCCGACATTGGACCAACGTTATGCCACCCCTATCCTACCATGTGCCGACGTCGTGGGCTGTTACGTTGCGCCATCGTCGTCAATGTGATGTTGGGCCAACGGCTTTCTTGCCGGCGGGCCAACGTTGGCTCAACAGCGACGAAATGACATTAAGCCAACATCGGGCCAACGTCCCCCCGACGTATGACCAACGTCATGTCAACCCCTATCCCACCATATGCCGACATAGGACAAACGTAATGCCAACCCCTTTTCCACCATGTGCCGACGTCTCCCTGACGTAGGACCAACGTAATGCCAACCCCTTTTACACTATGTGCCGACGTCTCCCCGACGTTGTCCTAACATAATGCCAACCCTTTTCCCACCAAGTGCCGACCCCTCCTCCACCATGTGCCAATGCTAGACCAACGTTATGCCAACCTCTTCTCCACCATTTGCCGACGTAGAAGCAACGTTATGCCAACCCGTATCCCACCATGTGCCGACGTTGTACCTCCCCTTTCCAGTTCATGCCAACATTCTTTTGACATTACCAACACCAACTCAAAAACATATTCACACCAACATCAGTCGTCCGTTCATAAGAACATCGTCATCGTCAAACACATGCATCACAACGTGACAAGGAAAAGCCAAGTAGTTCAAGATTGGATTAAATAAACAGAGCAAAATCCACAAAATGAAGATAGTAACAATTTCATCAAAATTAGACTGAATTTTAGAAAAGTTCATTATAGAACTCGACTTAGATCCCGCTGGAAGATATGTATAATAACAATATTGAAGCAAGAGGGACATGTTATTTTAATTTCGTCATGTCTATTATCTTGTACATTTTAATCACTATCAAAACTTGATAACAACTTATTTGTCCCATTTTAATGAAAAGTTCACCATCTTGCTTCTTAGAATTTGCTCTGAATACATCCCCCTCCCTCTAAAACAAAAGAACAAGGAAAATAAACTGATTTTGTGATAAAACATACTTTATTTTATGTGTAATAAACAAACTGTTGTAAATGTGAATACAATTATTGTACATCTTTCTTCTGTATTTTCGTTTGAATTCGAAAAAGATGTAAACATAGTTTCAAGCTCAAGGTATCTCAATGTGTCACAATATAGGCCTACTATCAATGAATGCTAGGACGATAGGAGCTGTTATAAAATGAATTGTCGCTTACACGTAACACAACATAACATACTGAAATTCCTTGTACGAATATAATAAACAATCCTCACAACTTCCCGAGTAAAACAAAACAAACTTTCTGGCAGACGAACACGATTGCTTATGACAAGATTCCTCTACATATGTACAGCACAAAAATATAAAGAAATTAATAAAGTGTCCACCATTTCCATACCAAAAACTAGGCAATTAATGTAAACAATGTTCCATAAAAAATAAAAAATAAAATTCAGAGAAATTGCCAACATTTTTTATGCTTAGGCATTTCAGAGATGCTGATACATTTCGTCGCCATATCTATTGTTAACACATCTACAAACTGTTTTTTTTTTAGGAGGGATAGTATACATTGCTTGAATGTGTGAAGTAAAGCAATCGCTAAATGTTTATATAACAAGAGAGGAAATTTGAAAGTGAAGTAAGAAAGAGCAGAGCTTGTAAAGGGAAAAACACAAGTTTCTTCACTCTGATATACCACTTTCAATATTTCTTTAAATTGAGAAGAAGGTAGTACGAAAAACATTCAGTCACTTAGATATATGAAACATTTTTTTCTTACCTTTGAAATTCTTTATAGCATGCATTTAGTTCACACGTTATACAGGCATTCAAATCAATTACGACCTTCTTCGACTCATGGTATAGCTCTCTTTTTAAAATTGGGCCATTAGTGAAATTTCACCACAATAAATAACAAGTAAAGATGCATAGCACACTATTTAATAACAAAAGTTATTGTTTATGTTTGTGTACAAAACATAATGCCTGCAGAGCTGGCTAGCAAGCACCGTAGCTTGCCTAAGCGGAGATCGTTCTTGATATAACATCACTAATCCTGTGGTCAATCATTCCGAGGAACTCTGAGAATTGTAAGGGGCGGGGTCCACCATTTGACGAGCAACTTGGAGAGGTTTTCAAAAAATTGTAAAAAAATATAAGGAGGCATTTATTTATGAAACAATTGTTATTATGTTGCTTTAAAAGGGTCTTGATACAAGACATAAAAGTTTTAATTTCCTAAGGCAATGGACCTTTAAAGAACGGGTTAGTCGGAATCAAAATCTTGTCTAGCTTGTGGTGGTACAACTTCGACATCTGCGGCAAAAAAAAGAAGAAGAAAGAAACCAAACAAGATTTAAAAGCAGATCATGGAAACATCACCTTGAAATAGTACGGATATTAATCAAATAGTACGGCATTTAAGGGAAGTAGTCCTGAGTGGCACATCCTCCCTAGTTTTGATGAAATTTCATGGATAGAAGTACTTTGTCATGAAAATAACTTCGTTCAAACTTTAGAGCGAATGACCCAGACGTATGGAAATTAGAAAGGAATGGATTTCTTTTATTTTTGTCTTGTTTAATTAGAATAGCATCAAACACTCTTCTTAACAAAGGAAATATACATTTGAGGTAAAATGGCAGTAATATTCTTCAATAGAAAGAACCAATTTATAGTATCTGTTTGCTCAGTGTTGAGATGCTTGATTGATAACAGTTTAAAGCCCCTCTTAAGTGTTGGATCCCAAAATTAGCCAAAGAATAGATGGCACAATCTCACTTAAATGGTATGATGTAAAAGAGGATGTCATTAACACCCGGACACTTCTGCAAATAGAATATTGCCCTAACAAATGTGTTTGAAGTAGAATATGGATGAAATAATACAAAATTTGCGTTTTCTGCATACAACACAAAACCCTTAGTTAGTAAGTTTGTATTCTTTCTAATTTTTAGGACAAATTTTTGAAGAAGAGTGGCATTTTCTTTCACATCATTATAACATTGAAGTGAAATGTGAAGCTCCCAATACTTTTTTTTTGTATTTATGTAAGCTCCCAATACTTGAGAGAGCTCGAGGGGCTTCAAAGTAGAAACAAAAACACAAAGCTATATCGTTAGTTGCTTATACAAGAAACAAATCAATTGACTGTGTTTTGTTTTTTGTGGCACCCTGCATTCAGAATTGTTTCCCAAAAAATACTGCTATAAGCAGTATTTCAAGATTTGTTGTTGTTGAATAGTTTTGTAAGTGATCACAATGCAGTTTCTCAATATAATCAGGAAAAAGATACTAGCATCCGTTAGCAGCTATGTCCTACACAAACGTACATTAATCCAGTACATTTGTACTTTGTGTGCAGGGCACAACTATAACGAATACTAAGAAGTGCTATCCTGTCTACATGTATAACTAAATACAAAATGAATAAAATGCCAAATGACATACCCATATTTCTGAATGTTGAGGTCAATGGGGTCGTTGGGGTCGACAGTGTTCTGGAGGTTGATGGGGTCGATGTCGAAGGGGTCCTCGGTGCTGTTGATGCTGTTCTGGATGATCGAGGTAGGGGTAGCTGGATCTGAACGGGTAGAGGAATCTGGAATTTGTTGTAAAGTTGACGATATGAAATGCAGGATTTCATATTTAAATTTCAGAATTGTAGGGATTATGGGAGAAAAAAGTATTGGGAATTGGAAGAGCTATATAGAATTGAATGTATTAATAAAGAACGTCAGAATGTTAAAAATAAATAATTAGAATATTTACCTTCAGTTCAAATTATAGCAATTTAATATACATGTGCATAAACAATAAAAACTAATTTGAAAATGAGAATAAAAATGGAGCAATAATCAAATTTGTGAATGAAAATTGTGAATGAAAATTATGGGATCGATCAGTGTTACCCCTGCCCCCAATATTTTTTCCTATTTACTATTTGATCAAATTGAGGTTCTTGGCCAATTGCGACTTTAAATGATTGCAAATGCCAAAATGAGGGTAATTCCCACCAGCTATACCTCTTTCACATCACACTCACAATCCACTAAATGTGTTGGTACAAAGTTCTTGCATATTTTGGTAGACTTGGCACACTCCCTTGTAAGATTTCAGGAGGCTAGAAACATGTACTAGCGGGATATCTTAATTCACAGCCCAATCTCGTAATTTATTCCTTTTCGAACTGAATCATCATCAGCATATATTGAGCTACTACAGAGTATAGTATCGGACCTACTTCTAAATCTGAAAGTATCAGAGACTATAATATCATTTAGATATGCATAAAAAAATGATGCGTCTTCCCATTCAGCTCTATTTGATTCAATTGGTCTTTCCAACAATGCATCAGCACCTTCAACACTTGTAACACCAACAGATTCACAATCATTTGATTCATGGTCGATATTGCATATTGGGATGAACATCATCACTGTCACGGACGCTGCAACATGATGCATCAATACATCATCTAGGTCTAACTCTAAGTCAGGAACATATTAACATTTATCACGGCAAACACTCAATGCATCTGATGCCGACACTTCGGCCCCCATCATAGCCATCATAGCCATCACTCACACTTCAATTGCACGCAGCGGATGTGCATGCTATATAAGCGTACGCCGAGCGGTACACTCGTACTCATGCACTTTCACTTTGGACAGGGAATTATCAATGATTACTTTAACAATTTCTCATGCTATTTCCCTCGCTTTGTGACGGGGAGTTCTCACACTATACAATTTATCAGTTTCACGCGACATGCTCACAAAAATAACGTTGAAAGAGAAAGAAAATCATTCATTTACCATGCAGTGTTGGTACTCCCCGGCAACTGATCCAGACAAATGGACAGGATATGGCTGACGTACGTTGCACTTGCATGAGCACATGGGCATGCGCACGCATGCAATTTTTTTTACCCGGATGTAGCGGTACTAGGTCGTATTTGCTACGTTGGCCCAACGTCATATAGCCAACCAATATACATGCACTATTTATCAGTAAAGATGGAGACGATATAGACAAACGTTAAGCCAAGGTTGGCCCAACGTCGCGTATATTAGCCAACATATCCACCATTTCTCAGTAAAATTTGAAACGATGGACCAACATTGAGCCAACGTTAATAGCCAAACGTCGAATAGCCAATTAACAGCCACAATTTATCAGTAATAATTGAGACGATGGACTAACGTTCAGCCAACATTGGCCCAACATCGAATGGCCAGCCAAAACCCAACATTTAAAATTTAAAATTGAGATGATGGACCAACGTTCAGCCGACGTTAGCCCAACGTCGAATAGCCAACCCAAAGCCACCATTTAAAAAAAAAATTGAGACGATGGACCAACATGAAGCCAACATTGGCCCAACGCCGAATAGCCAACCAAACGCCAACAGTTATCAGTAATATTTGAGACAATGGACCAACGTTCTGCCAACATTGGCCCAACGTCGAATAGCCAACCAATAGCCACCATTTATCAGTGTAAATGGCGACAATGGACCAACGTTGAGCCAACTTTAGCTCAACGTCGAATAGCCAACCAATAGCCACCATTTATCAGTAAAAATAGTGACAATGGACCAATGTTCAGCCGACATTGGCCCAACGTCGAATAGCCAACTAATAGCCACCATTTATCAGTGAAAATGGCGACAATGAGCCAACGTTAGCCCAATGTCGAATAGCCAACCAAAAGCCAACATTTATCAGTAATAAATGAGACAATAGACCAACGTTTAACCAACATTGGCCCAACGTCGAATAGCCAACCAATAGCCAAGATTTATCAGTGATAATTGAGACGATGGACCAACATTTAGCCAACATTGGCCAAACGTCGAATAGCCAACCCAAAGCCACCATTTATCAGTGAAAATGGCGACAATGGACCAACATTGAACCAACAATAGCCCAACGTCGAATAGCTAACCAAAAGCCACCATTTATCAGTGAAAATGGCGACAATGGACCGACGTTCAGCCAACATTGGACCAACGTCGAATAGCCAACCAATAGCCACCATTTATCAGTGAAAATGGCGACAATGGACCAACGTTCAGCCAACATTGGCCCAACGTCGAATAGCCAACCAATAGCCACCATTTATCAGTGAAAATGGCGACAATGGACCAACATTAGCCCAATGTCGAATAGCCAATCAATAGCCAATATTTATCAGTGATAATTGAGACGATGGACCAACATTTAGCCAACATTGGTCCAACGTCGAATAGCCAACCCAAAGCCACCATTTATCAGTGAAAATGGCGACAATGGACCAACATTAAACCAACAATAGCCCAACGTCGAATAGCCAACCAAAAGCCACCATTATTCAGTGAAAATGGCGACAATGGACCAACGTTCAGCCAACATTGGCCCAACGTCGAAGCGCCAACCAATAGCCACCATTTATCGGTGAAAATGGCGACAATGGACCAACGTTCAGCCAACATTAGCCCAACGTCGAATAGCCAACCAATAGCCACCATTTATCAGTGAAAATGGCGACAATGGACCAACGTTCAGCCAACATCGGACCAACGTCGAATAGCCAACCAATAGCCACCATTTATCAGTGAAAATGGCGACAATGGACCAACGTTCAGACAACATTGGCCCAACGTCGAATAGCCAACCAATAGCCACCATTTATCAGTGAAAATGGCGACAATGGACCAACGTTCAGCCAACATTGGCCCGACGTCGAATGAGCCAACCAATAGCCACCATTTATCAGTAAAGAATGGCGACGATGGCCCAACGATTAGCCAACGTTGGCTTGCCGACTGCGACCCTGCCGACCATGGCCGACGTTGGCACAACGCCGTATTGTTATCTGGGTGGTTGCCCTAGGGGGTAGTTGATTGGGGGTGGGTATCCGAGAGGTGGATATTCAGGGGGTAGGTGTCCTAGAACCTTCCCAAACATTTAGTACATTCCAACTATTCACATCATGTTTGTTCATTTGTATAACTTCGAGACGACGATGCCCACAAACCAGTTCGATGGAGGTTGCAGACATCGACACGAGGACCGGCACAGTCCTCAGGCAGTGGTCCAAGCCGAGGGGGTTCCACGGGCGACAGTCGACTAGCAACATCAATCCGCAGTACCACTTCCTACCGTTCCGTGGTCACCTCTATGCATTCTACTCCTTCAATCAAGATAGAAACCTCTTAGCATCAGCCAACTCAAATCGCTATGGCAACAAACCTGACGATGTGCTTTGCCTAAGTGTGGCTAACATTATGAATGCCAATCTGAAAGTGTTGAAGACTAGAAGTTTGAATGTAGAGTCGGTGTGGTGGGACTTGATTGACAAGCATAATTATGCACTTGCCAGGGATGAGGAAAGGGGCGTGGTCTATCTGTGTGGGTGTGCAGAGCAGAGGGAAGGTACCTCATCTAAACGGGTCTTCAAGTTGGATATCGAGAATAACGACTGCTCTGAACTGACCAGTCTACCATTTGGAAGGTAGGGTCAATTATAATTTTGTTTCTCTTTAGTCTATGTTGGACTAGCTACACGTGTATGGGTTCATCTATGAAAATAGAGGATATGAGGAAACAGCATAGCAGATAATTTAGTGAAATTTGTTGTGCGAACTTGCCCTTTATTCAATAATTTATAAGGTCTCATAATCTCATTATCTCTTTATCAGATGTTTGTACAATTTTTATTCAAATCACTGTGAGGAGAACATGGTAGGCCTATATGTAAAATATTTTAACAGTTACATTTTACAATATTCAATCTACATTTGATCTATGAGGATTCGCATATCACAAGCACATCTCTATGCATTTTTTTGAAAACTGATTTTAGGTCATTTAAAGATATACATATTGAGCGTCCCCGCCCGCTTCCTTTTTGGGGGCCGCCTTCTTTTTTAAAAATTTATTTATTTTTATTTTTTAATTTAAATTTTTAAAAAAAATTTAAAGAAAAAAAAACATGAAAAACAACACTGCTAAAATGGATCTCTTTCTGAAAAAAAAAATGTCAGCGGCCATCTTGAAAAATAGCCTGACAGGGAAAATGTACCGAGCAGCCATTTTGAGCGGCCACTTTGAAAGAAAAAAATGGGCCTCCTTCCTATTTTTCAAAAAAACAGGACGCCAAACATGTTTTTTTTTTATTTGGCCTTATTCTCTTTTTGAATACTTATAACAATGCAATGTACTAGTTCCTCATTTTTCATATTTTTGTAATATTTCTTTTTTTCTTCCAGATCTCATCATAGAGCGGTAGTGGTAGAAGGAGACCTATTTGTACTTGGTGGAATAGACCGGTTACTAACCCCTCTCTCAACTGTCCTTAAATATGACTGGAAAAACAATGCGTGGGAAGAAGTGAGGTCCATGCATGAGCCCAGAATAGATGGAGCCTATGCCTGCGTTGGTAAGCGTGCTTATTAAAGTCGATCTAGCTTTCATGAATGAAGTTGATCTCTAGCTACCACAGCATTTTAAATATACAATTCTGAATCTGAAAATAGATCTTCTGATGAGCAGCTTTGTGCTTCAAAGCACCATAGACCATTTATCCCTCATGCTGTGATGTTGTGCACTGCCCCAAGTGGTACACAGTAAGTAGGACAGGTGCGATAACTGATACCTGAGGAACCCCATAATTAAAGTTCTGTTATTTTGTCCTTATTTGGTATCACTGATGAACGCTGCTCATATTGTCATTGCAGTGCCAGATTATTGGTCTATCATACAAACATAACAGCGATATCTATATCTCTTTTTTTGTTGACAGATGGCAGGATATATGCATCAGGTGGATCGACCTCCAAAGTTCGTTCAAGAAATGTTGAGGTGTACAACCCTTCTCTGAACATCTGGACAACACTAAGTCCATTGTCGGTACCCAGGGTCAACCATGCATGGACTCGTTGCTGTGGGAACGTATCTCTTTGCTATGGGCGGTAAGGGATAATTCTCATTTTTTTAAAACAAATTCCAGTGATACATGTACTGTAACAACCTATATGGCTCATATGTAGGCTGTATCTCAATGTTGACTGTTCATTACATGTAAATTGTACCTTTTTTGCTGATTTTGCAAACAGGTCAGTCGTATTCCGGAGAAAACGGTGGTGCCAGGAACGTCCAAAGAACGGTGGAGAGGTACAGCATCACAGAAGGTTGTTGGGAGGCTGCTTGGGAGATGGCAGAGTGCAGATGGGGGATGACAGCTTTCACCCTCTAGAACAGTGATGTATTAAATTCCTTAAAGAAATGTCCACAAAAACAGAAGAACGATACAGCATCACCAAAGGATGTTTGAAGCTGCTGCGGAGATCGATACGTCAGTGCTGGTGGGAATTTATTTCTCTAACTATTGGAGATCGGTGGTTCAAAGTGCCTTTCCCAATATGATGATCCCACTATAATTTCCTTGCCCAGACTTCCATGGTTTTGACCCTTTCCCGTGCAAAATTATTGAAGGTCAAAAAGGTTCAATATTCAGCTTGATGTCAATGCCTCAATTTCTTATTTGTTTTCATGAAATCTTCTATGGACGTGTAAAGTTTACATTAACTCTTTAGATATTGGTATGGGTTAAAAGTATCAAGGGTTATTTCAACTGTTTAGAATATTACTATTGAATTTCATGAGACCGCCTCAGATTTGGAAGCCCCTCAGGTCTTTTCAATAGATTAATAAATGTTTTGAAACTTGATACATGACAATGTGCCCATTATATTCTATACCTCAAAGTGTTCGGAAAGAATATTGTTGTCTGCAATTTCCTTAAAGGGTTCTGGAATAGTTTACCTGTTGTGATATTCAGTCCTGTACCAAATTTTATGTCTCCGCAACAAAGAAGCGGGATCGAGGCATTATGTTTTTGGGCTTTCCGTCCGTACGTCCCGTTCTTGTGATTGCGTTATCTCAAGAACCGATTGATGGATTCCAGCCAAACTTTGGTCATGTATGTATCTTGCAGAGCCAATGAACTAATTATATTTTGGGGTCAAGAGGTCAAAGGTAGCAGGGCTCATTATGTATGCAAAAATAGCTTGTGATCGCGTTATCTCAAGAACCAATGGATTCCCGGCACCAAACGTTGGTCATGTATGAAACTCGAGCCAATGAACTGATTAGATTTTGGGGTCACGAGGTCAAAGGTAACATTATGTATGGAAAAACAGCTCGTGATCACATCATTATAGAACTGATGTACAGATTACCATCAAACTCGGGACATGTAGGAATCTTGCTGAGCCAATGAACTGATTAGATTTTGGCGACATGCTGAGGTCAAAGTTCAAAGGTCATGGGGCACATTATGCATGAAAAGATAGCTTGTGATCACATTATCATTAGAACCAATGGACAGATTACCATCACACTCGGGACATGTATGTATCGTGCTGAGCCAATGAACTGATTAGATTTTGGGGTCAAAGGTCATGGGCACATTATGTATGCAAAGTGATTGCATTATCATTTTACTATTGTAGAACACTTTTTAATTATGCATAGGAATGGTATTGTAAAATAGTAATCCACAAATTTTAATCAGGGTCTATGCAGTTCGGTTTTCTCGTGTACGTATCATCATCTTTATTAAAGTGCAATATTAATGACATATTTTTTGTGCATACAGAAAATGTACCGGTATAAATTTTTCATCATTAAACTGTATTGTTTTTAACCTGAATTCAGAGGTATATGAGTACTTTATTTCATTTATTTATTTCTCCTTTTAATGTTTATTAAAGTTCCTCCACTCCAAATCACTTTTAAATGCGTACTAAGCAATGTGCTACAAATGCACATTTATAACTGACCAATTGGGCAGTTAAATCACAGTAGAAATATGTCTTATCTATCTGATTTATGAGCATGTTTAGATGGATGATAAGTATGAATGTGTGTGTTTTTCCCCATGACTTTTGTTTGTTGCATGTACATGCACATTAAGTTTAATAATGGACTTTCAAAGTGGGCTAGTGAGTTGTACTTCCCTGTCTTGCAATTCTGGTTGGTCTGAGATGTGGAACAAGTGGTTTGTGTGGCACACTATTGATCTACTTAATTTCAAATAAGTTACTGCCATAGATATTTGATTGCCATCTTTTGATGATCTGTATTTCACATGTGTGTTGGTCATTCATTAGCAGATGAATGGCATTTGAGTGTATACGGTGACAACTCTTAAAGTGACTCGGTAACATTGTTGAAGGTCGATGAAAAGACTGCGTAATTTTTGTATGAAATGCATCTTATTATATTTCTTCTTAAACCACAAAGATATTTATGGTTTTCTTTGAAGGCGTCACTGTTCGACACACCCTCTAACAGTAATTTCTCCCAACCAATTTTTGAATGTTCCCAACCGTTTTACCATGAAAATAAGATCTTTCGACGTTTAAATGTTTGGAATGGTATATAGAGTCAATTCACTGCTTTGTGACGATTTAAATTTCACCTAAAATTTAATTAAACTATAATAATATAGTAGGAAGAATTTTGGAATTGAGATCAGTTTTTCCCAATTTTTATCAGTAATAATGGTCTTTTTTCACTCAGACTTTCAGATTATCTTCAATTGTACATTAAGCATTGAAGTCACTACCTTAGCACCAGTTTCTCTCATCTCAACAATATACCAAGTCCCTTTAAAATACTTCTTGGATCTGACCACAATGTATCATGAAGTACCTGTTTATGAAACACAGTTACATAATTTTTTTTTAACACATTGGACATCAACAGATTCATGTGTAACGTACAGCATGCATGCAAATACGTACACAGTCAATTAAATGTTGAACTGACTGAACATTCATTTCACTCCCTGCCAAGGCTTTGTTTAATTAAAACAATGGGACACAAAGATTTTATATTTCAGTATTGATTGATATATAGACATTGGAACGTGTAAAAAACACATTAATTTTACCTTTTTTTGAGATAGCCCCCCCCCCCTTCCTGGCACTCAAGGGGTGGGGGGGGGGCCGGGGCGTGCGATTTTTCAAATTTTCGAAGTCCCCCAAAAATGATTAGTGCTCACTATCCCCCCCCCCCCCCCCCCCCCCCCCCCCCCACTGAGCGAAATATTGGCTGGTACGATTTTCAAATTTTAGCACACTAAATTTCAAATTGATTTCAAATTTGGGCCCGGCCCCACCCCTAAGAAATCCTGGATCCGCGCCTGAGCCCCCCTCCCCCTCCCCTGCTAATTGAGGAAGTAAACTATATACGCTGCTGCATGCACGCTCGTCATTTTCTCAACTGACTGCATGTGGGCCGCGCGGCGCGCACGACACGGAAACAGTTGCATTCAGCGAAGCAAGCAGCTAGTGGCTGCGCCGTGATCATGCATGCATGCTATGCCGGTACCGTACCCGGTAGATACCCGGACCCAGTGAAGCGTTTCCCGTTATTTTGAAAGGTATGAGGTCATTGAATTGTTCTTGGCGCTATCTACCTAAGATAGGAATATTGGTTTTTAGTTTTAATTCTTTTTTGTAGGACTAATGAAATGAATAAATTCTTATCTCCAGAAGTATCGGATTATTATAATAAAGCGTGACCAGCTAGGCCAAGATCAGACAGAATTCAGACATCACTGCACTGCATGCACTAGCTGTCGACGATGTCACTTCAGTGTCAGACATATATTTTTTTTAATGTCACCAGTTACCAGCTAAGTCTATCGTTTAATAATAATTAATAGTCAACCTTTCTTTCTGAGATTCAAGTGCAATAATATATAGACCCTATAAAAATACAACAATATTACATTTGATTTATACAGTGCCTTTTCATAACGTGCATTTTACGCGGTGTAGGCCCTAGACTTAGACCTAGAAAAATATTTCATGATTTATAATTTACCATATCTGCCATGTTAACTAAATTCCCCCCAATTTTTTCTGAAATTGCTGTTTTCCCGGAGTCCAGACATTTATTTGATATTTAGCAAAATTTATTGCTTTTTAGAGATGGGTAACCTACCCAGGTCAAAAAACTGTTAAAGGTAAAGACCAGTATTGGAAACGCCCCAATTTCAAAAAATGAAATGGAAGCTCTCATTACCAATCATGTGAAATAATATGTTTTGACTAATACATGATGATAACAAATTTGCCGGGAAACCACCTACTAATTCATATATTTGGTAAATTTGTTTCTCTCATGGTCTGTGAGAGATATAGGGTAGATCTAGTCCCATATACATCTTTCTGTGTACTAGTGCTAATTGTATCTTTATGAAGAATGGGCCAAATTTCATATCATTTTGATGATTCCAGAACCTTTCAGATGCTAGGTGCTAGATGATCAACCTTTTCTGATCGATTCCACAATGTTTCTTTCACAATGCAATCGCATGACCATAACTGGTCTTTACCTTTAAAGGTAAAGACCAGTTAAAGGTCTAAGTGAATTGGTTTCAATATCGGGCTCTATAGTGTCAAAGTGAGAATTGCAACTGGTACCATTTGATACCAGTTGATTCCAGTTGAAATCCAGTAGATGATACCAGTTGAAAACAAGTAGATACCAGTTGAAACCAGTTGAAACCAATATGATTACCAGTTGAAAACCAGTAGATTTACCAGTTGATATACCATTTGAAAAACAGTTGAATATCCAATAGAGACCAGTAATCATGTACTGGTTTTCAACTGCTAATCATTTACTTGTTTTCAACTGGTAAATCAACTGGTAATCATCTACTGGTCAGCAACTGGTAATCATATTGGTTTCAACTGGTGGTTTCAACTGGTAACATACTGGTTTCCAACTGGAATCAACTGGTATCAATGGTACCAGTTGCAATTCTCACTTTGACAGCAAGTAGATTTACCAGTAAGGCCCATTGGTTAATATACTGATATACCAGTAGTATGGCTAATGGCTTTCAAATGGAATCATCGGGTAAACTACACCCATTGGGTTTGAATATGTCCAACTGGAAACAACTGGTCTCAAATGGTCCACTCTGGTTTCATGGGTTTCAACTGGAATCAACTGGTTTCTTTTCAGCATGTGCCAGTAGAGTCGATGGGTTTCAACTGGGATATACTGGTGCATGTGAAGTTTACCAGTTGTGTCGACTGGTTTCAACTGGTACCAGTTGAATCCAGTTGAAACCAATAGAATAAACTGGCATATATACCAGTTCCTTCAAGTGGATTCAACATGGTAACAGTTGATTCCAGTTGATACCAGTTGAAAATCCAACTGGTTTCAACTATTATTTTTATAACCTGGGAAGGGCGAGACATTCACAACATCTCCTCACTTTTCTGTTTACATGTAGGGTTTTTGTTTTTGTAAGTCATTTTTTTTATGATGAGACGTACTACATATGGTAGTTCATCAAAATGTAATATTTGTTTTTATATCAAACTTCATACTTATTTAGATGCATCTCCCTCCAGGGCTGAACTTTATCTCAACATCCCCAGACAGACGTCCTACTCATAGCATCCTTTGTTACAACCGCTGATGTTTATCAACATGGATAAGGAATCCAAGATTACCTTGACAGCGACCAACAAACAAGGGTGGCCAAACATGGCAAACTCAACCTTCAACACATTCCGGCAGTCTGAACACTCCTTATGCGATGTCTTCTTGAGAGGGGACGATGAGATGGAACCAATACCCGCCCAACGGCATGTTCTTGCTGCCAACAGCCTTTACTTCAATGCCATGTTCGCATCAGGTTTTGTGGAGAGTAAACCGGACCACAGGGAGATCTCGATCGGTGGGGTAGACACAGAGATTTTGTCATTTATCGTGGAGTTCCTCTATGTGGGAAGCTGTCGTCTGCCGAGTGGCACCATGCGTCGAGTGATGGACCTGCTTGCTGCTTCGAACATGCTGCAGGTTGATGAGCTTTCCCGTGCATGCACTATCTACCTTGAAAAGTGCTTGGACTCTGACAGTGCACTAGGTTAGCTTTATAGATATACCGGTAACATAAATCTGGGTTTTACTTTCACAAAGTGGCAATATCTGATCTTTTTTCTCTGACCTTAGCCTTTTTTGCTAGATCAAATACTTTGGGGAAATGGTATCATAAGTCAATTGACATTGTTGTGTAATATATTTTAATGGGTCAAATGAATCCGGACCCTATATATAAAAAACTTTTTTGTCATATCAAGATACGATCATTGATGCAAAGTACTGAAATCCTTATTTAGAGTTAAATGTACTTCCTAACTATAAAGATATATGGTCGGAAAAATGTGGACTTTGATGTTTGTATTATTTGTCTACAAAAGCTTTTAAAAAAATTGATCAGTGTGTGTCTATTATATCTCAGAGCTGTGGCTATCTGCCGAGAGTTGCAGAGTGTCTGACCTGGCCGAGACTTTCAAGAAGTTTGTCCAGTCATACTTTCGGTCGATCAGCAGGAGCCAGCGTGTGCTTGAGCTGGATCTTCAGGATATGGCGGCCCTGCTTGGTCTGGAGGAGGTCAATTTAGGTAGGTCAAGGTTGAAAGCTCAATAGACATTTGCCAGAGATCATGCAAACAACTGATGTTACTCTCATTTTTGACAGGAACAAACTTACAAATACAACTTTCCATATATTGTCTGTCTTGAACCAGAAAAGCATTAACTAATATGTTTTAACACAGATTTCAACGCCTTTCTGGCTCAGAACAGATTAAAACATTGTTTATATATTAGCAAGAGGACCTTGTGGAACACCACTTTTTTAAGGTAAGATAAGCTGTTATTTAAATAGATGTTCAAGTAAATAAATGAATGAGTTACAAATGAATGAATGAATACATATAGAGATATTAAATAAATAAAGTATGAATAAATAAGTAAAGATACAGTTAAAATAAATAAAATGAATAAATAAATAGACATATGAATTAATAATAAATCTAAACAATTTCTATAATTTGAACTCCCGTAGGGAATGCAGCAAATGAAGACACTTTGGTTGAGCTACTTCTGAGATGGCTAACCAATAACCCCAAAGCTCTCGACTCGAATCTGCTTCCTGTTCTCAGTAAGATATGTTGGAGTGAAGCCAGCCAAGAGTGCAAGGACAAATTTAGAGAGAAGCTTGCTGAAATCTCCAAGGACAGTTCGTCAGGTAGGTCCAATTCATGTAAATATGTTTTGGGCTTAATTTTACAGGTACATTGCTCTTTTGCGAGGAGGTCATGTTGAGTTTAGTAATTGAAGGAAGGTGAAGTCACAGAATCACACCAAACTTGCAATAAATGACCAAGACATGGTAAGACTACAAATAAATGCTAAATCTGCCAAATAATGATGATGGGAATGCATTATACATTCTGCTGAGTAATGAGCGAAGACAGTGTTTGTTTTATACATTGCTCTCTTATTCTCTCTTATGATATCTGCTTTATCTCTCTAATGATATCTGCTCCTTTTGTTGATCTTTTTTTCTCCTGTATTGAAATTTAATTTCTATTTCTTTTATAGAATCTTTCCAAGCTGAAGAGGTATTTGATATCTCAAAATCGTCATCTTTGAACCAAAGTTTCAATCGAAACTTCTCCTGCTCGGTGTGTGCTATAGAAGGTCTTCAGAATTCAAGGGCAGGGTCAGTAGTCTTCTTTTTTAAACTACAGCTAGATTGCAGGAGCTGATGTTGCATTAAAATTGATAACAAATCTTACTATCAAAAGCAAAAAATTCCCTCTGCTTTAAAACTCCCATATTTGTCAAATGTTGTGACCTGCTGACTTTAAATCGCTTTTGCCCCACCCCACCCAGGTTTTAAAATGGGTACCCAATATAGATGTGAATGTCATTGTAGTTTGCTCAGCATTGTGAACGTTTGTAAATTGGCGCCTGGCTGGAAAGCTCGCCAGAGAGTTGAGTATGTGCATACATTGTGTGCGAACAAGCCTGAATCCAATGACTGGGGTAATAACATTAATACTGCTGAAATAATACAGAAGATATTTTTCTTACATGTTCTGTAAAGCAATATTTAATCAACATTCAATTACATATGAGGGAATTGGGTTGATCAAAATGCAACATGAATTTTTTTAAAAAAACCCATCGCCTACGGAAAATAGTTCCTTTATTAAGCCTAGGGGAAGAAAGAATTCAGTAGTTAACTGGCTAATGGACAAGACTTCTCCCAAACATTTAGAAAATTTCAACTGTTCACTTAATGTTTATTCTTTCATATAACTTCCAGACGACGTTGCCCACAAACCAGTTCCATGGAGGTTGCAGACATTGACAGGAGGACCGGCACAGTCCTCAGGCAGTGGTCCGGGGAGTTCAAGGGAGGGTACTGTTTCCTACAATACCATGGTAACCTCTATGTATCATCCAACTCATATCACCGTGACAACAAGCATATCGATGTGCTATGCCTGAGTGTGGCTGACGTTATGAATGCCAATCTGAAAGTGCCGAAGACTAGAAGTTGGGATGTAGGGTCGGTGTGGTGGGACTTGTTTCACAAGCAAGAATATGCACATGCCATCGATGAGGAAAGGGGCATTGTCTATCTTTGTGGGTGTGCATCGCATAATTTTCCTGCCTTACCTAAACAGGTCTTGAAGCTGGATATAGAGAATAATGATTGCACTGAACTGACCAGTTTGCCTGCAGTAAGGTAGGTTAAATTTGTTTCTCTTTAGTCTGTTGCACTAGCTATATATCCCTATGGGCTTATCTGTGGACAAATAGAAAAAGAAGATGTTACAACATAACAGCTCATTCAGTGAAATTTGTCGTGCTAACTTGCCCTTCATTCAATAATTTATAAGGTGTCATTATTTCTTTATCAGCTGTTTGTACAATTGTATTCAAATCACTGTGAGGAGAATAAGGTAGGCCCATGTAAGATATTTAAAACAGTTACATTTTACAATATTCAATCTATATTTAATCTATATCATAAGCACATCTCTTTGAAAACTGATTTCATTCTCCTTTTTTTTAAACACTGAACAGTGCAATGTACTAGTTTTGCAATTTTCATCCAAATTTTTTGCTATGGGTGATCAATGTTTTATATTTCTTTATTTCCAGAGCTCATCATACAGCAATAGTGGTAGAAGGAGACCTATTTGTTCTTGGGGGAGAGGAAGACTGGTCGTGGTCAGGAACATATAACCCTGTCTCAACTGTCCTGAAGTATGACTGGATGAACAATGAGTGGAAAGAAGTCAGTCCCATGCTAGACCCCAGAACAAATGGAGCCTACGCCTGTGTTGGTAAGCATGCTTATGAAAGGCGATCAAGCTAGTTGATCTCTAGCTACCACAGCATTTGAAAAATACAAGTCTGAATCTGGAAATAGATCTTCCGATGAGCAGTTTTGTGCTTCAAAGCATCAAACACTATTTATAACGTAGGCGATTAAAAAAAAGATATTGTATTGCCCCTTGCGACCGACCCCAAAATCTTGAAATCTACGGTCGGCTTTTTACAATTTTTTTTTTTACCGTTTTATAGAGAAATAAATATCTAATGAATAACAAAATATGTTTTAAAGCATTCAAAACTGAGAAATATCAGCCCAAAGAGGGAGCAAAAAGAAAAAGATTTCCGACCGACCGACCCTTGTTTTGGCACCTAAAGGGCAATACCACATGTTTTTATGTGAAGTAGCTGGAGGCATTACTTTCGACTGCCGCAGTCGAAGTTCCATCTAGTTTTGTTAGGCCTTATGCTGCGATGTAGTGCATTGTCCCCAAGTGGTGCTGTATACACAAAAAGCAGGATAGGTCCAACAATTGACCCCTGAGGAACCCCATAATTTAAGTTCTGTTATGTTGTCCTTATTTTGTATCATTGATGAACGCTGCTCATGAAATGCAAGAGGAAATATTTACTTTGTCATTGCACTAAGTGCCAGATTATTGGTCTATCATACAAACATAACATTGATTTCTATTTCTCTTTTTTTTTCTGACCCATGTACAGATGGCAAGATATATGCATCAGGTGGATCGACCTCTGTAGATCATTCAAGAAATGTTGAGGTGTACGACCCTTCTCTGGACATCTGGACAAAACTGAGTCCCATGTCGGTACCCAGGGACAACCATAGACTTGTGGCAGTGGGAAAGTATCTCTTTGCTATGGGCGGTAAGGAATAATTCACAATTCACAGTATGTCAATGACCTTTCACTTTTGTGGCAAAATGTTCCAGCTCTATAAAGTCATCACCTCACTCTCGGTTTTACCGCAACCTTCGTTTCAGATTCTGTCTTAGTCAAAGGCCTTACCTGTGGTCTCTGCCTGAAATATATGCCTTATCTAGCCCGATTAGTATTTTTCGCGATAATTTTTTAACGCCAAAGAATCTTAATTTTGCTGAAATTTTATGACTTTTTTATGCCGGAGGCATCATGTTTTCGGGTTGTCCGTCCGTACGTCCGTCCCGTTTGACCGTTATCACAATATCTCAAGAACCATTTAAGATTTAAACTTAAGACTCGGGAATAGTATTTATCACCATAGGAAGACGATCTGATTAGATTTTGGAGCACGTATGTCAAAGGTCAAGGGTCACAGAGGTCAACTTATGAAATTCCATACATTGAGATTGTTATCATGATATCTCTCAAGAACCACTGGAGATTTAAACTTCAAACTTAGTGATAGTGTGTATCACTATAGGAAAACAATCTGATTACATTTTGGAGCACGTAGGTCAAAGGTCAAGGGTCATAGAGGTCAACTTATGAAATTCCATACATTGAGATTGTTATCATGATATCTCAAGAACCACTGGAGATGTAAAAACTTCAAACTTAAGGATAGTATGTATCACCATAGGAAGACGATCTGATTAGATTTTGGAGCATGTAGGTCAAAGGTCAAGGGTCACAGAGGTCAACTTATGAAATTCCATACATTGAGATTGTTATCATAATATCTCAAGAACCACTGGAGATTTAAACTTCAAACTTAATGATAGTGTGTATCACCATAGGAAGACAATCTGATTAGATTTTGGAGCACGTAGGTCAAAGGTCAAGGGTCACAGAGGTCAACTTATGAAATTCCATACATTGAGATTGTTATCATGATATCTCAAGAACCACTGGAGATTTAAACTCCAAACTTGTTTAAATTGCTCTATGGCGGAGGCATCATTTTCGACTGCGCACAGTCAAAATTCCATCTAGTTTTTTTCAAGTCTTGCGCATCTTTTGAAATAAATGTTTCGAAAATCGGACCTACCGTATCAAAGTCACATGACCCTTTTGTCTTTGCATGTCAGCCTGAAAATGGCTCATTTTCGTGATTTGAGTACAAAACATATTGAAACCTCATTTTTCCAAAAGAGAGATAAAACATTGGTTATTTGGTCTTGTGACTCTTGTTTATAGTTTAGGTGTTTATTGTGGGGTTCAAAATAGTTGAATTATAGTTAGAATTGAAACTAGAAAATTTAATTCGTCATGGGGACGAATTAGGTGGTCTGTCTTCACTAATGATAGATTTGAGAATGGGAGAAGTTATCTAGACATGTAAACAATGATGATCATGATGACCATGATGATGATCATGATAGTAAAGGTGATGATGATGATAATGATGTTATATGATAAAAACGATAATGTTAATGATGATGATGAGCATGATCCTGACATCTGATTGAAAAAAATGAGGAAATATTTAGATAGCAAATAGTCTCAGCTACAACATACTAAAATTTGGGAGAAAACTGTTGAATAACAACCGAGATACTGGTCAAAACACATTGTCATGCAGATTCATGTTTTAAAAAAAAGTGACCTCCCATAGACATAACACGCAAGTATGACAAATTATGCATTGTCGCCTTTAAAGGGATCCGGTAACTTTGTCTCAGATTCTGAAATAAAATTCTGGATTTAGCTCATGATGCAATGATAATTATAAACCTTTAGGTCAGTCAGGAACCCCATGACTTTTACAAGCCGATCGCCTGTCTGATTATCAAGATATTTATGATTGGAATTACAAATTTTGAAAACCGTTCGCCTGACGGTTTTCATAACACTACAGTCTATTGGGGAAAACGAGTATGGTAAAACCGGTCACCCAAAGATTTTTACTTTTTTGAGGCACTTCTTGATCATTTTGAAGCGCAATTTTTTTAGGGCTTCAATATTACACCATATCACAGACACTGATAACACATAGAGCCGTGTATCTCAGATTTAACAATGTTAAACGATCCCTTTAATCGAATATTTCACTATGATGACGTTATCCAAATGAAAAATAAATGAAATATTTCTCATAGAGAATTATCTCAGCTACAACATATCAAAATCTGGGAGAAAGTCGATCACTGATAAGTGAGATAATCTCAATTAAACAAAGACAAAAATGACGTCATCAACAAAATATATTTGTTTGAGTTTAGATGCCAATATGATGACTTTGTTTCACTTTGTACGAATCAGGGTGGTATGAAATCATATCTCCAACTCGTGCTTTCTCCAACCATGATATAAAAATTGGGGGTCGATGGACTATCTAAAGAGCTATTTCGATTGTTTTTGATCAAATTTGCATTATATTGCCCATAGCAGCACGCGCGGATTTTAAACTTTGACGCGCGCTCACGGCTTTATGAAAGGTCAAAAGTGACTGAAATTAATGTAAATTGTCATTTACGGTAAGAAGAATCTAAATCATGTAAACATTTTGAATTTTACCTTTTCCGCGCGTTGTGAGCGCGCGCAACGCGCGCGGGGACACGTATGGACGGAAAATTTTGAAATGCTTAAAATGACCTGATTCGTACTCTCGTTTAAAAGTTAAGTGATTTTGAGCATTGTTAAATTTGACGCGCGCGTACACGCGCGTCAAGACCTTTATGTGACCTTTGATGACATGACTTGTTGAACCTTGACATGAAGAATATGTGATATGAATATGAATGACCTTTGCTTATGCATCATGAAGATATGATGGATAATGGGATTTCACAAAATGGCGCCTGGATGACGTCACGATGACCTGATGACCTTCAAAATGTTCCTGTCACGTCTCATGACAATGATCAATGACTGTGCCAAAATTGAATGAAATTGACGAAACCGAACTTGAGTTATCCTAGGCACAAAAAAGTGTAGGAAATTAATAAAAATAAAGAATAAATAAATAAATAAATAATAATAAAGAAAATTCTGATGAAAACAATAGATGATCTGTCGAAAACGACAGACCACCTAATAAAACAATAAAATATATAAATTATCAAATCAATAGAAAATATAAGGAATAACCTAGCTCTTCCAATTTATTTTGTTGTATTATTATCCCAAATGGTCTAAAGAATATATGTAGCGAAAAGCAAGGTTTAAATATGAAGAATATATGATTTATGGGTAAAAATGTGAATTTTATTACCTTATTTGCATAAATTACCATAAATATGCAAATGAGTTAATTTTTCCAACAAAACAAAATTACCATAGTAATCTATACAATTCACTTGACATGCATGCAAACTTCCTGGCTATGCAGTTTCAAAATAGCCCGGCTATATAAGGTTAAAAAATCTGTATCTTAATAATGTTGTCTGTTCATTACATGCATATTGTACTTTTTTTTGCCGATGTTGCAAACAGGCGAGTCGTTTACAGAAGAAGACGGTGCCTGTTCATGGATAATCCTAAATACGGTGGAAAGGTACAGCATCACAGAAGGATGCTGGGAGGCTGCTTGGGAAATGGCAAAGTTCAGACAGGAGATTATGGCTTTCACCGTGTAGAACAGTGATGTAAGGAATGTCCACAAAACAAAAACAAACCTAGATGGAACTTCGACTGCACGCAGTCGAAAATGATGCCTCCGTCATATAGCAATTTTACAAACCAAAACAAGAAATTTTTCAAATTCAATTGTAATCCATTAACAGGTTCTCAGAATATCATGATTACAAGCAATTTCTCATATACATATATGACCTTTTGATCTTTGACCTCATGACCTGCTCTGCAAGATGCCCTGAGTTAAATAGTGATTCATCTGTCAGTTCTAATGAGAATGCGTTCACAAGCTATTTTTGCATACATAATGAGCCCATGACCTTCGACCTTTGACCTCATGACCCAAGAATCTACTCGGTTCATTGGCTCTGCAAGATACATACATGATCTAAGTTTGGCAGTAATCCATCAATCTGTTCTAATGATAATGCAATCACAAGCTATTTTTGCATACATAATGAGCCGTATGACCTTGACCTCATGGCCCCAAAATCAAATTATTTCATCGGCTCTGCAGGTAACATACATGACCAAAGTTTGGAAGGAATCCATCAATCGGTTCTTGAGATTACGTGATCACGAGCTGTTTTTGCATACATAATGAGCCCTGTGACCTTTGACCTCGTGACCTCAAAATCTAATCAGTTCATCGGCTCTGCAAGATACATACATGATCTAAGTTTGGCAGGAATCCATCAATCTGTTCTAATGATAATGCAATCACAAGCTATTTTTGCATACATAATGAGCCGTATGACCTTGACCTCATGGCCCCAAAATCAAATTATTTCATTGGCTCTGCAGGTAACATACATGACCAAAGTTTGGCAGGAATCCATCAATCGGTTCTTGAGATAACGCGATCACGAGCTGTTTTTGCATACGTAATGAGCCCTGTGACCTTTGACCTCGTGACCCTTCAATTCAGAATACATAAACATCAGTTTGTGAAGGACATCTACATCAATATAACAAACACATAGTAATGAGTGGTACATTATGAAATATAGCGCACAGAACAATATTACATATTTGTTATGTTTTGCTATTTCAGTGTATGTTTTAGCATTTGTCCCTGTCTTGTAGTAATAACCCTTTCCACTTTTTCTAAATAAATTATATCCAACCTGAAGAAAAAAAAGTGTTTACCATATATGACAAAAGCGTAGATTATTTTGCTACTAGTCTCGACTCCAAAACATATATCTGTGAGTGACAATGGGAAACTAAATATTTTGGAGCCAATTACTGATAACTTTCCAGAATGTTTTTACGACAGGACAAGTATAGAAAAAATGAATTAACGTTTGCATACCTGTTTGACAAAAATTGCATATTGGTGTACTGTATGTGCAAATATTCATTTGTAGAAATCCTTCGATGGAGGAATTTGAACTGAAATTCTCGTAATATGGAATCTAAAGTTGTCAGAAGTGGCTCTGTCAAATTACATCACAGTGGCAAAATCGTTTCACAAAGCCACTTCCTATATCTTCCTCATCTAATATAGTTGCATTCTGTAAATTTTGTAATGAATCGATTCCAAGTTTTACATAAAGTCGATGACATACTAGTTTCTCCAGTTGTTTATTTTAAGACCTCCTATATATATTTCAATCATTTAACGAGTTTAATTATTTCTGATACAAGTTAACCTTAAATAATATGCATTTTCCCACCATTATTAGACAAGTTTATTTCAAAACTTTTTCTTTTCTTTTTTCTTTTCTTTTCTTCTTTGCCGATGCTTGCCTTCTATACGGTGCTTTTAGTGTGTAATTTATTAAAGGGTGTTGCTTTTAATACATTTTAAGGGTGTATTTGGGGTGTTCATTTTTGTTTTTCAAATTGAACTGTAATATGTCTCTTTATTTAATTATTCATTTGTGTATACTGGGTAGTGACTTTTGATATCATATTTCTACATATTTGTAGAATTTGTCGAATTCTGGACCTCTCGGTGGAACAGCGCCATGTTGGTGGATGCTGACCATCCAGCTGTTTATCTCTTATAGTATGTGTACCTATTGTGCAATTTTTTTATTATTGTCCCCCTTTTTAAACGGAAATAAATTCAAATCAAATGATCCCACTATTTAATATATCCCTGCCAATATATCCATGGTTGTGACCCTTCTTTGTGCAAAGTTATGGAAGGTCAAAAAGGTCATCAACCCATTCTAGGGATTTCCTATTGAACTTGGCGATGTAACTATATTACATACTGAACAGTTCAATAATTTTTCTCACTTTTTTTTTTTATATAAGCAAATAATTATTTGGTTAATAAATAACAGTATTTGAAATATTTTTGAAGAGTAAACTTAAAAAAATTAACTTCATTATTGGGGGAATTTAATGTAATGGCATCCTACAGGCTACTCCATTGTAATATGTAATTACGTGTTCATTTGGAATGTACCAAACTATGATATGTATTTTGTGCCTCGATCTGCCTCTGAAGGTGGTGCAGGAAGCATTATTGTGTTATTTACATCATTTTTTAATCAGATTTTGAAAGAAATGATACTGATAATGGCGTCATATTCATCTATTAAAGTGTGAAGGATCGATTCACTGAAAGTGGCTTTCGAAAAAATGGAGCATTAGGTTTGTATATTCATGGCCGTTATTAACGTTTTTAAATATTAAGGACAATTTTAGAATGCTTTTAAAATGTGCATAGGAATGGTAAAGTAAAATTGTAATCCACATATTTTAACCAGAGTATATGCAGTTTACTTTTATAGTGTAACATTATCTTTATGTTAATGTTTTTTTTAAAGTGCAATTTTACTTTAGTGATGTATTTTTGTGCATACAGATATTTATACATTTTTATCAATAAACTATTGTTTTTTACCTGAATTCAGAGGTTGTGAACACTTCATTTTCTTTATTTCTCTTTCTAGTATTTATTAGAGTTCCTCCACTGCAATCACTTCTAACTGCGTACTAAACAATGTGCTACAAATGCACATTTATAACTGACCAATTGGGCAGGTAAATTATAGGAGAAATATTTTTTTATCAATTTGATTTATGAGCACGTTTAAATGGATGATAATTATGAATGTGCAAATGTCGGACACAGTCAGGGGGGGGGGGGGGAGTCCCATATGACTCGTTTGTTGCATGTTCCCTGTCTTGCAATTCTGTTTGGTCTGGGAAAATTTTGTGGCACATAGAAGATGAATGGTATTTGAGCGTAAACGGTCACAACTCTCAAACGTTTCTTGCATCTGACCACAATGTATAATGAAGTATCTGTTTATGTAAGACAGTTATATATTTGTTTAAACACATTGGACATTAACAGATTTGTGTGCAACAGCATGCAAATACACATCTGACTGAAAATTAATTTCACTCTTTGCCAAGGCTTTAATTAAAACAAGGCGACACAATGATTTTATTTTTCAGTATTGATAGACATTGGAAATGTAAGGTCACTTTAATACATAGAGCAATATACACATACAAAGTACATAATTATTATTATGACACTGACACGTAATTTAGGCTTCCACCAACCTGAAAATGAGAAGGCAAGCTTTCACCCACTCATAATATGGGCAATTGGGCATCATCCCATCCAACATTGGACACATTATTGGATCATGGAGTAGGTCCATGATTGGATGGAATGATGACCATACAGGGGCGGATCTAGCTTTTTGCTAAGGGGGGGGTTGACCAAAATAATGACAATGCGGAGCATCGTCCACGAGCCGCGAAGCGGCGAACCGATTTTTTTGGGGGGTTTATTTGAACCCCGTAAGTGATGTTTTCCTGGCATCTATTAACACAATGGAGACCATAAAAAGCAGTGCATGATAACGTCTTTTTAAATCAAGTAACAGTTAAATACACAGTTATATCCAGAGTTATCATGTGTTTGGTTAAGTTACCAGATGAGTTGAATATCTTCTCACAATATTTGCACTTGAAAGGGTTTCTCTCCAGTGTGCGTTCTTTTTTCTTTCTTTTTTTTCCTTTTTTTTCCCCCTTTTTTTTTTGTTTGTTTTTTTGGGCCGCCCAAGGGGGGGTTTAAACCCCCTAAACCCCCCCCCCCCCCGTAGATCCGCGCCTGGCAAGGGACTCTGTGACATTTGTTCGCCCAACCCCCCCCCCCCCCCCCCCCCCCCCCCCCCCAAAAAGAAATAATAATAATAATAATAATAATAATAATAATAATAATAATAATAATAAATGAAATAAATACATAGAAATAGAATAAAATAAAATTACAAGTTTTAAAAAAAAGATAGGATTTAAAAAAATGGTCCCCGGATTTTTTTTTTGGGGGGGTTGCAACCCCCCCAACCCCCCCTCTAGATCCGCTTCTGCCATATTATTGACTTTGAAACTCGCTTCTGGTCAAGGAAGCAAAAAGAATCCGTCGCCAACATTACAAAAACTTGTTGTTTAAAATTGAAACCCCCATTTGACTATCCCCACTTCCAAAGCTGAGATTGCAGTATGCCTAACACTAGCACTGTGCAATGTAACCCCCCCCCCCCCCCCTTGCCGAGACCTTGACGGGATGATAGAGAGATGAGCATGATAGAGGGAGAGAGGAAGGGAGAATGAGTGCTAGTTTTCAGAGTTAAAATTGTTGTTATAATCACCAATTCTGGGTCATTTTGCCTTGTTCGAAACTTTCATCTAAATTATGAGTGACTTTTGGACATGAAAATATCTTATAACAAGTAAAATATATATTTCCTACTTCCTCATTTCCTTTCAGGCAGAGCCCCAGAAAGAGTTTGTTTACACTATTATATAGATGATGAAGAGTACAGCTGCAATCCAATACCATAATCGCTAGCTCGTGCACGAGCTGCAAGACTCTGACTAAATTCAAACGAGGGAAACAAAATAGGGGCCCAACAAATGAAAGATTTCACATAAAGAAAAAAAAAAAAAAGATTTCTGTATCATGATGATACTAGCAAGGTTGAATAAATGAATGTAACTGAAAAACATAATAAAGTTCAAGGCATTTCATGTAAAAGTAGAGACAACCCATGATATAAAATAAAGTATTGCCACAAACCCAGATCTACATTAATGTGTATTAATACATGGCTACTTCATCAAAGACAACTCCACTAGGAATCGCAAAATAGAGGTATTATATTGCAGGCAAAAAGTGATAGTTCACCCTTCACAGCACTTGTCAAATTTCTCTTGATGACTATAAGCGGTGTCCCTCAACCTCTGAACTAGGAGAAGATACCTTGATAAACAGATTGATCGATTTTTTCATGATTTTTCTTAAAATCATAATTCATGAAGAAGATAGACGGGCTCGATCTCTTCTTTGTTCACCATTATAAGAAACAAAATTAAATTCAGTTAGTTTGAACCACTTAATATGGCACAGAAAGAGTTAAAAAAGAAACAATCAAAAACAAAAACCAAACAATCAAAAACGAAAACAAACAAACAACAAAAAACAAACAATATATTTAAGTGAATTCTTTCCTCATCCTGGCCTTGGCTCTCCTCTCCTCTCTGATTTTCCTCTTGATGTGTTTCGGCAAATCCCAGCTCTGCTGAACAAAATAGTTCTCTAGCGATTCCATAGAGACAGGTGGCATGTATGCTCCTGTCTGCTTCCTCTTCCACCACTTGCCGTCGAGGGCGTCCTTGCTTCCCATTTTCGTATACTTGTAGCGGTAATGCTCCACTCGGATGTACCTGTGAATCAAGTGCGAAGGGAGGTTAGGCCTAAAAGAAAAAGATGTTGTATTGCCCTTTGCGACCGACCTAAAAATCTTGAAATCTACAGTCGGCTTTTAAAAAAGCTTTTTTTTTAAACAGTTTTTTTAGAGAGAAAAAAATATTGAAGCATTCAAAACTGAGAAATATCACCTCAAAGAGGGAGAAACAAAAGAAAAAGATTTCTGACCAACCGACCCATGTTGTGGCACCTAAATGGCAATACAACCTCTTTTTTTTTTTAGGCCTTAGGGTATAGTTTACATTTTGATATATCTGGCTCACATACATTTCATAACTCTCAACAACAACAAAATTCCCAAGATAGTTCCGTTCATTTTACGTTATTGTGAAACAAGCACTACCAGGCAAATAAAAAAAATTACTGTTTAATTTTACCAGCTCAACTGAATCTGTACAATCTTCTGCATTTTTTTTGCCAACACAGCTCTCATGGCCAACATCATGACTTCTCATATAAGTTTACCACAGAAAATTCCATGTCCTTTTCATGCTGCTATGACTTATATTTCTTTTTCTGTTTGAATTTCAGAGACAACTATAATCTTATTATGACTTACTTTGGTGGTTCTTGGTCTTGGAATGGGTTGTATGCTATCAGGTCCAGGGTTTGGTTATCATTGATCAAAAGCTTCCCAGCCAAATGAATGAACCAAGGGTTTGCCTGATAATTCTGAATGGATAAAAAAAAAAATGTAAAGAGAGATTAACAGCATTTAATATATATCTGGGGGGGGGGGGTGTTTCACAAAACTTGTCATCAGTGACAAATGACAGATTTTGTTATAAGCTACTGAAATCCTTGCTTCTGATTGGTTATCAGCAGATTTGTCACTGATATTTGTCATTTGTCATTGCAAAAAGGCTTTGTGAAACACCCCCTGGTCATGCGATTGCGTTGGGAAAGGAACTGTCTAGAAGCAGGTGAAAAGGGTTGTGTATATAGCACATACGAATGGGTGTATACTTTGAGGTTTCAAGGAACTGGCAGGAGTTTACAAAACACAAAATCAAAATAGAAAAAGAAGCTAATTTAAACTACATAGTTAGATTTATCAAATCATATTCTACTTCCCCATTACTTACTACCCAATTTCAGAATAATACCCTACCGAGAATAGTGGAATATCTACATCATCAAAAATACAAACCATTATACATCAATTTGTCAGGTTTCCAATACTGCAAAAGAACTCCAATATCGAAACGTCACATTGCAACCTTAACAGAGGCATGATGGCTCAGTGGTAGAGCAGTGGTCTTGAAAAAAAGTCAATGCGCTAGTGCCCTTTGGTATTAAAGGCATTAATCCTCATTACCAAGTCCCTCTCTCAACTGCGGAGAGACTCAGACGATGGAACACATCTTGCAGTGCGGTGGAACGGGTTGCACAGATGAAGACCTGGCCTATGTATATGAGATGGTCATCGCAGCCATTGGGCGGTGGAAGAGCTTGATTTGATTTAATTTAATTTAGGAACTGTACATTAATCTTGATCTAAGGAGACAAGAACAAAGGAACAAACGAACCAAGTCCCTCAGAGAGGACTTAAAGCTGTCGGTCCCCTAGTTGCTTACTTAAAAGCACATGCATGCTTTCACAGCAGTTACAAACCAACCAACAAACATGTGACATTACCTGAAAGGCAGCGAACCAGAGCAGCCAATCCAGTCTGTAGTGGTAAGGAGTGATAAGGCACGGACGTCGTCTGATATCTCCTGGTTTGCACTTGAACTCGTACTCCAGCCATTCCGCAGCAGGGTTACTGGGATTGGGGTCTCCGGTACCTTGGAAGATCACTTCTGTTCTTTCCTTGGTGATGCTGAGGTGTTAAAGAGAAAAATATGGTACAGTGAAACTTGTCTCTAAAGACCACCCAAGGGAGACGAGAAAAGCGGTCTTTATAGGCAGGTCGTCTTTATGTACATGTTCCTATCGTACATGTTACAATGAGAAATCATTTTCAAGGGAAACAAAAAATGTGGTCTATGTAGACAGGTGGTCTTTCTATACAGGTGGTCACTAAAGCAGGTTTGACTGTATTAGAAAATGGATGACAGATTGTTCCTTTACACTGTAATCATTCTTTTTCAAAGGTTTTTTGAAAGTGTGTATCAATCAACATGCTGGTGCTGTGCAAATTTTTTTTATTTTTTCTTTAAAAAATGGGTTTAGGGTTGGTAGTTAGATTTGTGCATGGTTAACAGACATTCACATCATGAATTAAACAGATGGTTGAAATACATTTAGAATACATTTTCTTCATGCCGGTAAAAAAAACCCTCACTGCTAACATTAAAAATAATAAAATTGGACTTATTCTCTTATGTTTAACCGTTCAATTAAATATATTCTAGTACTTGAATTAATCATTTTGTTTCTAAAAGCTGTTTTCCAAAGCGATGGCCAGTGTTGTGGAACAATTTGCATTTTCTATCAGCTTTGTAGCCAAACGATGTGTGGTGCGGTAGAGTAGATAAGTCACCGGACAGTAGATCACAAGGTACAGGGTTTGATTCCCATCCCAGCATTAACGTCCTTTGGCAAGACATTATTCTACATTTGCCACTCTCAACACAGGTGTTAAATGGGTACCCCATAGGCTGCGAACGTCAATGTAGTTTGCTCAGCATTGTGAGTATCTGTAAGATGGCGCCTGGCCGGAATGCTCCCCAGGGAGTGAGAATGTGCATACATTTTATGAGGGCGAGCCTGAATTTGACGATTGGGACTATAATATATATGTAAAGCGCTTTGAGACATCGACTATGTATTAAGCGCTATACCAACGCGGAATATTATTATTAGTGAACATGTATGTCGAAAATCACTTTGATATTGAGTACAGTAACTTCATCATCAGAATGACACATACATGGTCTGTTCCAAAAAGTTGTCTTGAAGTAAAACAAACCCTTTAATTACCTTCCAAATGCTCCATAGGTGTTGACAATACGGAAAGAGTCGAAAGAGGTATTCATGGCTTGCCTCGATGATAAGAGATTCTTTACTACAGGGATGCTCAGGTAGGCAAGGAGAAGAGCCAGGGAAATATGGGCAACCTTTCTGATATAATCACCTGCAGAATCATTTAAAAAATATGAAAAGTATTTGATTAATAAACATGTATTTTCAGTGAGCTACTTAAAAACTGGGCATATACAATCAGAAATAAAGAGTATCTAATATAAATCACATGCAAAATCATTAAAAAAATACAGGGATAATTTCTATGGGAATATGCCGTACATGAAAATCCATTCTCTACTGAACTTTTGAAAAAGTACAAATCTCAAATCAGACAAAATGTAGCTGAACTATTACAAGGAAAATTTATGCATTAAATTTGATTACATTACGAAAATGGTCTATATTACAGTAAAACCATCAAACTTCTGACAGTTCTTACCAGCATTTGCTTTAGGCCCAATGCCCTGTTCCTCTTCTGAGTGGATCTTGGCAACGATCTCCCTTGTGTTACCTAGCCATGAGGGGAAGAGCCACGCCAGACTACGGTCATCGAAACAACTGATTGCTGGGAGTATCGTGAGCCAGTTCAGAAAACTCAGGTTTCCACTAATTATCAAAGTGACCTGCAAGACAATAGGGTACATTTGTCATGACACAATGTAGAGCTTAATGGGGCAAAGACATACATGCAGATCACTAGATGCCATTGTAAACTAGAAATATCGCAATCTGTATTGCCGCGCAATGCGAATGTATCCCCCGGCAGCGGCAGCGATTTTGTGTTATCCTTATGTGGAAGGAGGGACAAAGATTCCCTCTCCTCTTTGTGAAACAAAAGGATGACGTAGAGATTGCCGCAAGTGGCTCAGACTATTGTCAAGACTAGAAGCAGCATCACCAAAACAATAGGTGTGTAGATCAGATTATGATGCATATTTATAGAAAATTTGAAAGAAATGTGATTTGCATAGCGACACAAGATATTCCTTTAAATATGACCTTTGACCCTATAAGAGATGGAATACTGGGGGGTAGCAGCACCAAATTTGTGGAGGTCTAGATACCTTAATACAAGCAGCATCACTAAAATCTATAGGCTTGTAGATTATACCAAGATACACCTTTGTTCAAAATTTGAACAAAATCCCTTTAGAAATGTGGCCTATAGAGCGCACACAAACAAAAATATGGCCTTGTACCCTATAGAAGGCGGAACACTGGGGCAGCATCACCAAAAGTTATAGGTACGTAGATTATACCAGGATACACCTCCATACAAAATTTGAAAGAAATCCGTCAAGAAATGTGGCAGTTAGAGCGCACACTAGAGTGCACACAAGACATCTATCAAAAATATGACCTTTGACCCTATAAAAGACGGAACATTGGAGGCAGCATCACTAAAATCTATAGGCTTGTAGACTATACCAAGATACACCTTCGTTCAAAATTTGAACAAAATCCCTTTAAAAATGTGGCCTATAGAGCACACACAAACCATCCACAAAAATATGGCCTTGTACCCTATAGAAGACGGAACACTGGGGGCAGCATCACCAAAAGTTATAGGTATGTAGATTATACCAGGATACACCTCCATACAAAATTTGAAAGAAATCCGTCAAGAAATGTGGCAGTTAGAGCACACACTAGAGTGCACACAAGACATCTATCAAAATATGACCTTTGACCCTATAAAAGACGGAACATTGGAGGCAGCATCACTAAAATCTATAGGCTTGTAGATTATACCAAGATACACCTTCGTTCAAAATTTGAACAAAATCCCTTTAAAAATGTGGCCTATAGAGCGCACACAAACCATCCACAGAAATATGGCCTTGTACCCTATAGAAGACGGAACACTGGGGGCAGCATCACCAAAAGTTATAGGTATGTAGATTATAGCAGGATACACCTCCATCCAAAATTTGAAAGAAATCCATCAAGAAATGTGGCAGTGAGAGCGCACACAAGAATATGACGCGGCGGCGGCGGCGGCGTAACGCTGCTGAATCCAAAGTACCCCACCGGCATACTGCCGGGGATTACAATTACAGCCGGAATGCAGTGTAGTTGTCTATAAAGGCAAATTCTCTACCATATAGTTGATTGAGCCCGAGAACGCTCAGGTCAAATATGCACTGCTGAAAATGCAAGCTACATGCATTTGAACTTTCATCAGTGGTCAAGAAAGAGGGATTAAGACTTTGCTGTCACAACATGCTTGGCAGCCATTGATTTATCAACTTAAAAACTGATCAAAAAATGAATAATTTATGCTATGCATACATGGCAACTACACTTGCACGTCTCTAAAATCCTTCTGCCCGCCTGCCCACGAGTCCATTCCCACTTTCTTATCACTATTCTTCTCTCAGTTCCTCTCTCCTCCTCCCACTCAACTTTGCTCCCTTTACTTCCCTTCCCTTCCATTTCCCTACCCCCCCCCCCCCCCCATTCCTAGGCTACATATCTTTCTCTACACATTCATTCCTTGCCTTTTATTTACCTCCTTCTCCCTCTTTTCCCCTACCCCTACTCACCCCAACCCACTCTGTCATTAGCCTACTAACACATAATTACTAACCTGAAAGAGAACCTGTAGTATACCCCCTGTTAGACGAAGGGGTCTCCAGGGAGTGAGTAGAAACACTGGTGTGACAAGCTCTATGAAGTGATTCGACAGGGTCTCAAACTTATGGAACCATTCTGGACTCTGGTGCATGTAATAGCTCATGGGGTTAGGCACCGGTTGTGTCTGAAAAGAGATGTATCACATTTACCATGAATTACACATTGCCTTCTATCATGCAGAGCTGCCAACCTCCAGAACAGAAAATCAGTAATCATAAGGCTCAAAATCAGTAATTTCCTATGCGGCGCTACGAATCTTTAAAAAAAATGGCATGCCAAAACTGCGCGGATGCATGCACGCAGGATTATCTGAAATTTTTGGTGATTTTACTCACACATAGTTGCTAAATATTGATTTTCAGGTCATCACAACACATCAGTTTCTGATGAAAAATTGGCTTCTATTAAGAGAATACTTGATACTTTTCCGTCTTTCTCATGCAGCGAGTGTAAAATGACCGCCATACTGCACCTGCACATGCAACGATATATCCCTTTCTTTACCTTTTTTTTTGTAATCCATAATTTTAGACAACATTCCGTAATGATCGTTAATTTCTGTACCAATTCCGGGAAATCCGTACTAGTTGGCAGCTCTGATTATGCTTCATTGCTATTGGGTGGCATATACACAATGGAATTTATCAAGTTATCTACAAATAGTCATCCCCTATCTCCACCTGTCTCCTTCATCATACCAGGGCCTCGTCTTACAAAGACTTGCGATCGATCCAATCAATCGCAAGTCCTCCAATCAATCAAAAGAAGAAATGAAACGACTATGGATAGGACAATTTAGACCGACAAAACGATTACAGAATCACAAGTAATGTCCAGTGGACAAGTCTATTCAATCTGTTAGGATAAATTCAAAGTTTACCTGTAAAAAGGTAAATTGGAGATCTATCATCAGATCGATGATATATTATACTATCCTTAACATTGACAGGTGTACTGGAACTGAAAAGGTTGCTTACCTCATAATGATAATTCATACAGGTTAGGTCTCGCCAGCATTGGTCGCCTCTGATTTTGATCAGTCCCTATTAAAGAGAACAGCCATGAAACAGCAAGAAATGCTAAAATAAGTGGTACCCTACATGTGTGAACTGACTATTGAAAATATATGCAAAGCCCCAACAGAATTACAAGTATGTTTGATAGAGAATAAACGTGCAACTAATGAATTATACTATTCATGTAGCATTTCTTCAGAAGATAACCATTACAACTCAGATACACTAGAAACAACTTGAACTTTGTATAATGTATAACAGTAATTCAACCTGCATGTAGAAGTATCACCGACAATAATAAAAGAAACCGGCATGGGTGTAATTAAGGGAGAGAAATGGTTTCCAGTTAATGGATCGATCACATACATCTACGCTTCATAGTGACTAAATATATGAACTTTCAAAGGAATCCCTTGACAACTGTAAAAATGGGTACACCAGAACCTTTTGGCAATATCAATTTTTTTTTTCCAAGGGTATGCGCTACCATGAAAGTTCGAACAGACTACAATTTAAGCCGATACTATCACCTATGACACGGATACAGACATTGTAGTGACTTGATTTTGTAATACACACTGGCTACTCACAACAAACCAATTCGTTTTCACAGGATTGTTAGATTTGAGACCCCACTACACATTCCACAGTTCGAATGGAAGTCCTGTGAAATTGAAAATATCAACTTAGACAGGATCCTGTTAATTTGACTTACAGCTCCTATCATGATCCTGAAGAGAAGCCACTTGTAGCCCCAGAGAGTGACCCACGGTGTAGGGGTGTGACGAGGGAAACGACTCAAAGTGAGGAGGGGGCACATGAACACAGCGAGGAAACCCGTCTCAAGAAGCTGAGACTCCCATCCTGAAAAAAACAAAAAAGGAGAGAATATTATCAAAGAGATATAATTTTCCTGAGATTTTGAAATGTTTCACTTTCCAAGAAATTGCAATTTGCTTCATGATTTCTCTTGCGTGCTCAGTCATGTCACTTTTCCTATACACTTATTCTTTTGTATACCATTTTAAGCACATTTTGTCATGTTCCATCAGAAGTTGAAATAAACATTCTTGATTTATTTCCTACTTGGAAGTTAGTCCTCTGAAATTTATTGTGATAATTATTCAACTGAAACTGAAACATTTGAACATTTGAGGCATTTTCTTCTCCATTATTACCTTGCATCAAATCCCTAAACATCTGCCCAAGCAGTATACACTGACATGAATTTACAGAGTAAGTTTTGTTGTTATTATTTTATTCGAAATTATCAATTTTCCACTTGATTTTGACGTAATAATCAAATTGAATGAAATGAACCTTATCAACTTACCAAATGAATACCTGTCAAAATGTAATGAGAAAAAAAATCATAGGGAAACTTTTCAAACAATTTAATTTCAAACCTTGCGCTTCACATTGAGACTTCAGGATAAGAACATATGTTTTCTAGTGTATTTTTAAAAGAAATTTCCAGTTTCACAGTTTGATGTTTGTTTTTCCACCTTCCTTTCACTATATCATAAGTACATTAATAGCACTTCTCATAAGCACATTATACATAAGTAATCATAATTATCTTCAGCCAAAGAGAAGAGTGAGAATAATCTACATGTACCTGCAGCATGGGATCAACTTTAACTTAAATTGAACAAAATCTACCGGTATATATTTTTTTTCTTCTAAATAAATGATCATAATTTAAGATAAATTAAGCCACATCTATCCATAGGCACAATTTTAAAATTTTAATCATTCAAATGTAAATTACTCTGTACTAAGCCAATTTTCCCCATATCATATGTGAGGCTCAACTGGATGCGTAACTAGATTTATGCTCAAGCTTACCTGCCACAGACTCTAAAATAAAAATTGATACAATATAACTGTATAAAATATTTAGTTATTTGTGAATTAAATACCCTCATTTTAACACAATCCCTACAACATATTATTATAAAATCTGCTAAGTCTCTAGTAAGTGTTCTGCTTTTGAAATGATTATTTGCCTGCAACTTCAAGTGGTCTGATTGCACTCAAATTTGGTGGCCTTAAAAAAAAATTCAATTCAGATAAGTTATACTCACCATTTCTGACCAATATTGACAAGAGAGTGATAGAGCACCCACAGGCCTATCATGATCACCATGTTGCTACATCCTAAGACCAGTACCGTACCAGACAGGGCCAGACCAGAATAGGCTAGAGCATCGAGCCACCAGTCCAGGTCCTGGTCCAGGTCTACAAACCAAAGGAGGGTAGGAGAAAAATTGATCGCTTCCTGGGTGACTTGTCCGCTATATGAGAGGAAATAGTATATGATTGATTTTGGGGAGGTATTAATGGCAAAATGAAATGTCATCCTGAAGCTAAAAACTGCTAAGTAAAAGTATTTTACTTAAATCTACAGTAAAACAAAATCTGTTTAGTTTTGGAAGTTGTGAAAACTGTTTACAAGTTTTACAAATAACTCAAATATTACACCTACCCCCCCCCCCCTTGTAATGCAGAACATTCCTGATTAAAAGATATAATTAACCGCTATGGGTTAGCCAATTGGTTATAGAGCTCTGTCTGTTCTACAACCAGTTTGTCTACTTATCATTTGGTCTATTGACCATTTATTTCCACCTGGTCTAATTAATCTCCAATAAGCCTACAACACATTTGGCCTATTGCTCATTTAGTCTAATTTCCAGTCAGCTTAATTCCCAGTTTGTCTAATGCACAGTTTGTCTACTGTTCATATGGTCTAATAATCATTCAATCATAAATAATCATTAAATGATTATGAGACTGTGGAATTGTGGATAGCAGACGGGGCCACGGGCTGGGTGTAGACCATATGGAAATAGACAATTGGGTAGTATAAAAACTGTGAGTGTTTCACAAAGACTAAGATCAAATTTAAGTTGGACTTAATATGGCAGACCATTCATGCCACTGTTTGCTCTCACCATTTGGGCCTACTAGCATTGGTCTTTGAAAGGACGTACAAATCGAGGTCACAAATCTACATTTTTTTAATAATTCAATATTGAAGGATTTTTTTATCTAAAGATCATAATGGTGAGAGCAAACAGTGACATGAAGGGCCTGCCATAGTTAAGTCCAACTTACAGTTGATCTTAGTCTTTGTGAAACACTCCCCTGGCAGTAGATTAAAAGGCAATTCACCGACCAAACCTCACCTTGGAGCCTTGACATAGGTGCGTATTCTGTCCAGGTAGAGTGATGTCGGCAGCAGACCCTTCTGACCAAGCAAAGCTCTGTTTTGATGGAGGGCAACCAGGAAAGCAACAACTGTTAAGAACACAAACACAAAACAAAAGATAAAAGAAAAGGTCAAATTGTATTTCAATGATGCTTGTTTCTTTCTCAATCTTCATAGAGAAAAGTACTTTAGGCTACATGTATCACTATCAGCCTACCGGTAGTTATTTACATTTGTCAGTGGATTGTGTTTATTTTTCCCTTTTTAGGATAGTTATTGAACAAGCAAACTTAAAATTTGCTTCTTTGAAGACATTAAAACTATTTAAGATTTTAAAACCAAATACCACTGGAGCTGGGTGGCTCCCATATTAAAGCCTACAGTATACCGTATTTAGTATATGGGCAGGGCTGACACTGATGTAGAGCTTTTAAAATATAGCCAAGAAACTATCAGAAACCAAAGTCAGTCAAACAACAACAAATAATTACCAAATTAAACTGTGAGTCAGTAGCTAAAAGAGAGCTTAGAAATAGAATAAAGAAATGTCTACCGGGTGAAGTCCTGTACTATGATTTATGTTTCAGTGCTGCAGAGTAAAAGATTGCACTCTGCGACAAAGGTAATTATTCTAGACAACCTGGGGCCTGTTCCTAGAAAAAGTCTAACGTCTTGACTATATCCCATTGAAACGTGTGTTATAGAATTAACACGCGTTTCAATGGGATAGTCAATCTAGACTTATGACTATTTTTAGGAACGGGCCCCAGAAGTTTTGGTTGAGTTTGCCCAACATAGCAACACATACAGAGCTACCAAGTGTCACACATTCAAGGGTCTGAAAATGCTCTCACACATGACGCACGCACAATTTCGAAACGTACGCTTTACGTATGCTATACCCTTGCCCGCGCGCTTGCGGGCCGAATCATGAAAATGTCGCTTGAACTTGGTGTCTCTGCAAATAATGAATGCAGACTGGATTTCACGTATTGTCATTCTAAGGCTGTGCACAACAGTGTAAAGAGGTACGCAAGTACACTCCCAGGCTTACAAGCGAATACTCGAATATTAGGACGCCATGTTTTTTATAATTTTTTTTGAATTTGTTTTAATTTTTTTGTATTTTTAAAAAAAATTTAAGTTAAAGTTTTTTTGTCTAATCTATAGGTTTGCAATGGCATTATTATATAATCATGATAATCAAATTATAGAGCATGTAAAAGAATCAAGTAGACTATAGCGGCGTGCATGTGCATAGTCTAGGTCTATATTGAAATTGCCAATTCTCACTCTCACTCTTAACTCCGGGAAGCTCCAACACCGGCGCCGGCGCCGGTGTTGGAGCTTCCCGGAGTTATCTCACTCTCAGTTCACAAAATGAACAACAGGTTGTTCGTTAGTCGTTTTACAATTTAGGCATTTCAACTTCGGTAAATTCTACAAACTTGAGATTACTCTCTGAAAACAACATGCTTTGCCTTTAGACTTTACTTTAGTTTGGCCCATGCAAGTTCATTACTTTGACAAAACTTACAATACACAAATGAAAGACTCCTCAAGAACACTATTCTTGTCAGCCAGTATGAATTCGAACCAGCAGCATCATCATCATCAGGTCTGCTCGTCTTCTTAATCTTGACACTCTCCTTGCGTTCCCCAACATCGCTGTTCCCTGTATCACCTGATCCAGTTTTATTTTCATCATTTCCACTCCTTTTTCGATGACGGATGCCTTCCATTTTCCAGCTCAGCTCAGCTAGCTCAGCTCAACGTGCGCCGAATCTCAATGTATATCCAGGCAAGAAAGTAATGTTTACCCGGCGCAGCGCAGATCGCGGCTCCAGCTGGCGGCAGCGCGCTCCCAGCCCAGCAGCCCGTGTCGAGCGCCTGTACTTGTAGCTAGCTAGCTCTCGCTTATAAAAATCAGAGTTGCGTAATTGACACACGGATGGTGAAACCAAGGCCGAAGACAGCAAAGACCGACATGATCGTGGAAATTTCTCCTTTTTTGCTTATTTAGGTGAGTTTTTTTCAACTTCTTTTAGTTTTGATTAATGATTTTCTTATTTATGATGACTTGCCAGCAGTTGAGCCGAAATTTAAGTCGAGAATTAAACGAAATTAAGGAATTGGTCCAGAGTTGTTATAGACTCTGCAGCTCTGCGGTTTGTGTGTGTGGACGTTGTTTTGGGTCTGCATGAATGAATGGGATTTTCTTTGTAGTGATTAATACATGGTCCCATGCGTAGATAATTTTGCTGTGTCTGAGAAAATATCTGACTCTCTTCAAGCTACTCGTACATGACACGTATGGAAGTGTAGACACTAGACAGAGCAGGATGGAAGCTCAAACGTAACAAATACTGTAATCAGGAAAATAAGGAATTAGGCCTAATGATAATCGATCATTAGAATTTAGTGTGCACCCATGCACTCGTGTACTTTATACTACAGTAGGGGCGCTGGTCCGAGAATTACTATAAGGATCCTCTGCGTTAACGCGGACCGATGCGTCCACAAAAATAAGGATCGCAGACGTTTCGTATTTTTGATCGGCGCATTGGCGATACAAAAATGGATTCCGCGATGATTTTCTTGATGCATTTTACGTTGACTTTGTACAGAGACCTTCACATTATGAACAATGAATCCTTGGGAAGACGGACAACCTATTAAAGTAGATGGAGAACTAGGGTATTTTTCCACGGGGAATACATTTTTGACATCGCCAGCGGGCGGTTTGGTAACCCAAAATCCCCAGAGCACCGATGAAAAAACACGTCCTCGAAAATGCGATCCTTATTTTTGAGGACGCATTTTGTCAGCGTTTATTAGGATGTCCTCAATTATGAGGACGATCCTCATTCTCGGACCAGCGCCCATACTGGTCTAGTATAACTATAGACTAGCACACCATGCTAACTAGCGTACACTCGACTCGTGTACTCGCAAGTCACAGTGCAGTACGTTTGCACTTTGCGGGTGAGAGTGACCTGATAAATTTACTGTTTAACTCATTTTAGATCACTTGGGGGAGGGGGGGGGGGGGATGGGATATCTTCATAAATCGCAGTTGACACTGCTTACTTACAAATTACATGTAGACCTCTAGATCTCATTACTTTGTGCTCTGAACTTATTAATAGTACTTGTAAATTTGTAAAGATATTTTGTTTTATTGCCTTTATTGTATTATTCATCAAATTATAATTTTGAATCACGCTTTCTTCTCTCCACAAGGCCAGGCCACAGCTCTTCTAGAAATGGATGGGAGCAGTACTAGTAGCTGTGTTGGAGGTATCCTGGAAAGGGATGAAGGAGAAGGATCCTCACAGGTGAAAATACACATCAAATTATGGTGAAATGGGAAAAGAAGGTGCCATCATGGCATTGAAAAAAAGAAAAGAAGAATTTCTAATGCAGGATTTGACCATATTAGGGAAGGGGGGGGGGGGGTCAGTATAGGTGTGAAAACTTTAATCTGGACACCAAAACATACCGGTAAGTTTGTGAATTGAAGCTCAGTGATACTTGATGTTTTGTTCAAACCTAGAACCCTGACTAATTTGTTTAATTATATTGTTTCTAAGTTAAAAAAAACAAACCAAAATTAGGTTAAAAAGCAAGCACAGTATCAAGTCTTAAATTCCCACTGTACTACATGTAGCTATGGGTACTTGCTCCCTCTATAAGAAAATAAGAAAACAATGCCTAACGGTGCCTGTTGGTCCCCCATGATCCTCTTTTTCTTATGTCAATTGAGAGCCGAGTGAGATAGCCACCTGTCAGTGACCTCGCTTGGTGGTCTAATCCCCCTGGCCAAACTAGTACGGACAGGCTTTAATTTTGATGCAGACCAGGGTTTTGTCTGGGTGAATAGTCAGAAGCAAGTCAGAAAATAGTGTATACTTGGATGTACTGTAAAGGTGAGATTTTTAACAGGGTATTTGTAAGTTTTATTATATATTCCTGTTGTTTCAACAGAGCTTGTTTTTAGTTGTTTGTTTTTCTTAAGCATTTTAGACTTCTGTAGAATATTGCCACTTTGCCAGAGCTACATTTCTCTGTGGTGCCTAATGTATCTTTGTCGAATGGGATAAATGAAATACTTCATTATTATAATTCATTTTGTTACCTTAGGGTATGGATATGGAAGGCTCTACAAATGACTACAATGAACACACAGCAGATGTGGAAATTAAGGAGGAAGAAATGGAGGAGAGAAAAGATGGCAAAAAATCGTCCAAGGGGAGCGTCTTCCACATCGACACCAGCCTCATCCAGGCCGTGCCTGCCAAGGAGCAAGCCAGTGAACTCCAGGATCTAGGGATCAGCGTGTTTGACCAGGAGGAGTTTGAACAGGGAGTCTTACAGCAGGTGGACCAAGCCATTAATGAGGAGGAGGCAAAGCTCTCCAGGCTGAGGGACGAGAAGGAGTTAAAAGCTGTGCTGGATGATATAAAGTAGGACTGCTATCTCCCTCTTGAGTGTTGGCAAATAAGTTGCATTTTGTTAATTACAAAGTAAATAATTGATATTTATGTCACCAAATGATGATAGGAGGGAAATTATATCATAATAGTGTGGTAAATAAAGATTACTGTACAAAAGCTCATCTCCACAGGATGGACTTACAAATTTATGATTTTTATTGTCAACAGCATAAAAGCTCTCTCCAAAATACATGTATGCATTTGGAATGTAGCTGATATGATATGTTTAAATTCAGGATTGATAATGAACCATAAAAAACCCAAATGCAAGTCTTGTAAGCATAATGTGATACCATCAGACTAAGAGATAAATTCGATTGAAAAGAGCACTTTCAAGTACACCAAAATCACCTGCATTTTTTGCAATTGTTTTTTAAATATTTCTCAGGGTGTGTCGTTCCGAGTTTCATCACCTGCAGAAAGTAGCGGCCAGCATCCGTGTGCCTTCTGTTCCCTCTATGGTCAGCAGAGAGCTGGAGAAGAAACTGCTATCTGTCAGAACAAAGAAAGAAAACAAAGTAGGATCAATTGTTATAACTGCTATGCTTTTAAGGTTTACGAATGGGCGTTGGGTGATTAGGCCTTTAAAAAAAGATGTTGTATTCCGCTTTAGGTGCCAAAACATGGTTCGGTCGGTCGGAAATATTTTTTTTTTTTTTACTCCCTCTCTGGGCTGATATTTCTCTGTTTTGAATGCTTTAATACATTTTTTTCTTCTAAAAAAGGGTAACAAAAAAAAATACAACATCTTTTTTGTTAGGCCTTATGTTTGTAAAAAGCATTTCAGAGAAGGATAGTGATAGTAATTTCATGTTCTCGTTTGAAATATTTAGTTTGCAGGCTTAAGCCAGGTATGTGATATTTGTAGTGTGTTTGAAGGAATTTCGTAATGAACCAGTGTTCTTTTTGTTCTTTCATATTGACTAACTCTGTGCAAGAAGACAAAACTCTTCAAATGAGCTACTTTTCATGTATTACCTGCTTGATCTGTAATTCAGCACCTGATTAATTCAAGAGCTTCAAACATTTCAGTATTTCGGGCTAGAGTTTGGAACAATTGCTACTTTGAAATTTCCTACTCATATTATTTACAATGTACATCACAAAATGTGTGTTTTTGCCTAAAATTGACAGCAGATGATGTTATATTTGTTTACAGGCTAAGCAGTTGAAGAAACTCAGATCTAGACACAGAGTTCTTTCTGCTAAACTCAGTGGCAAAAGTGATGCTGCTCATGGAGAAGATCATTCTGATGAAGGTATGTGTAAACTTGATAATTGAATAGAATTCATGTTTGAATTTGAAATAAAATGTATCAATCAATCAATCAATCAATCAAACATTGATAAAGGTTGAAGAATAGATGTGAATAAGCTTTTCTACTTGGACTCATCAAAGTAAACTGCAAGAAGGCTCACAAAGTCCTAATTGAACGACATGAATGGAAACTAGGGGCATGATTTCAATCTTCCACAAGCCTTTATTTGGACATGAGGATAACAAAATGTAAAATTAAAGAAGAAAAGAGATTTGCATCCCTCATATATCCTCTGCATTGTTTCTGGCTTTAAGACATTAAGAAAAAAAGGACAGCACATAGTCTAGTCGGTACTTGCCATCATCAATATAAATATTCCTTCTTTCATTAGGAGAAAATGGTGATGGCAGCTCTTCAACCTATGAGAGACTGCTCCACGATCGAGGTGGATCAGATGATGCTCCAGGACCCAGCAAGGGCAAGGAGACAGAGCATGAGCGTCTCATCCGGCTCGGTGAGATGACCCCTTTCGGCACCTTCCTGACCGTGAAGGAGCAGGAGAAACCCAAACCACCTAAGCCCAGGTCCCTGGTGGTCACTGACTTTGAGAAGTTCCTCGGTGGAAAGGACATGGAGATGTACAAGAAGCATAAGGTGGCGTCCAAATGGAAGGGGACTAAGAAAGCCAAGGGGAGTGCCTCGCAGAGTGATCAAGGCAGCATCCTCTTTAGTCTGCTGACACCAAAGCCTGAACCATCTCCTGGACCAAAGGTCAAAGGTCGCAAACAGGATACCACAAAGGCCTCAACCTCCAGAGACTCCTCATCATCGCAAGGGCAGAGGAAACCTGAGAGGGAACGGATGGAGTTTGAACCAAAACATCGCAAGAAGGTCAAAGACAAGTGGGACAATCCGTCGCTGAAGGAGAAGAGACAGAGATCGAAGATGAAGAACTTGACAGAGGATTGGGACAGTGATAACGAGGGGTACATGGAAGATTCCGATGATGGTGGTGATGGGGAGTACCATCCTGATTCAGACCAAGAAGCAGCTTTTGATGAGGACGCATACTCTGGTAAATCATACATTCAAGTGTTCTTTAATATTGGGGTTGCTTTTAGGATTTTTTTCCCTTTTCTTTTCCTTTTCTTTTCTTGTCTCTTGGCTCCTGTCTCTCTAAAAACTAATCTGAAAATGTTTACCTTACTACTTTCTCTTTGACCTATTCTTTATCCTTTTTTTAGAAATGTTTCATTTTGAAATGATATAATACTGTCATGGACTGTTCCTGTTAATGAGTCAATGTTTGAATAAAATACAACATTTTCCTGGGTTTGTAAAAATGCTTTATTACTATTCTTCAGATGATGAACCAGTCATAGGAAGGAGGTTTGCCCGTCCTGGGAAGAGGAAACTGGCTGAGGAGATAGCCGATGGGACCATTACTAACTTGAAGGATCTTCAAAGGAAAAGTGGGGCAAGAGCAAGAAAGGCACAAGAATCGAAGATTAGAAGGGCGAAGGATGACTCCACTCAGGTATGTTATCCTCAAGTTGGCCCTGTAATGTTAAAAACATTTTTTTCTTGTAGGGGGTGGAGAGCACTGGTTATATAGGTAGTGACACTACCACCTTGATATGAAGTAAGTGATGAATATTACTTTGGTAACGTTAATTTGAAATTAATTTGCCAAAATTCACAGAGCAATTATAATGCCGGCTTCAGCTGAGCCACCAGTTAGTACCAGGCAACCCTTTAGATGCCTTGTTACTAATCGAAAGAAATTAAATTTAAATACTCTTGCATGGTTTCAGACAAGTTTGCAAAGCACTCGGTCTTACACCACTTTCAATACAGAATCAGATGAAGAAGGAATCCCCAAAGATATTACATTTGAGATGTCAGATTTCAGATACATACCGGTAGTACTCACACAAAAGTGTACTGGCAGATTTGATCAAAGGTGCTAAACATTCGTAGTCGAGTGGTTTAAGCACTTGACTTGTAATTCGAAGGTCGTGGTTCAATTCCCAACATGGCACTAATGTCCTTTGACAAGGCATTAATCTTCATTTGCCACACTCGACCCAGGTGAGGTAAATGGGTACCTGGCAGGAATTAATTCCTTGAAATGCTGGAGCACTGTAATGGCAGCTGGGCTAAAGCTGGGGTAATACTAAATGCGCTTCAAAATAGACTCTCTAGATAGACGGCGCTATAGAAATGCCTATTATTATTATTATTATTTTTTTTTTTTAAATCACCAGGAGAAGTTCCGTAAAAGATTGAAAGAAGAGAGGAAGAAGGAACTGATGAAGAAACGGGCCAGGCAGATGGAGCGGAGGAGAGGAGGGGAAGATGAGGAAGATGAGGACGATGATTCAGAGGCTGAAGATTCAGAAGAAGATGATGTCGATCTGGACGGAGGTTTCAAGATACCCTCCAAGATCTGGAAGAAGTTATACAGGTCTGTTATTCACTTAACAATGATAATGATGATGATAGTGGTGGTGGTGATGATGATGATGATGGTGGTGGTGATGATGATGATGATGATGATGATGATGATGATCATGATGATGATGATGGTGATGATGATGATGATGGTGATAATGATGAGGATGATGATGATGATGATGATGATGATGATGATGATGATGATGATGGCCGCTTCTTATATACCATCAGTATCTGCCACTGCTGGTTGCTCATGGCACTCATTTGCTCTAAAATATGTCATAAAATTCAATGATTTTATTGATGCCATATTATATTAGAGTAAAATTTTTCCTTGCCACCCACTTGACAGTTGGTAGCAATACCATTTTTTTTCTCACATAACATCGTGTATAGACAATCTAATCTTACATAGCATGCTATTAATTTTAAGTTATATATTTCCACTGTGAATTATGATGTGCAAGCATCATCTCCAGATGACAAGTGGACAAACTCTCTGGACTGTATCACAAACTTTTAGTAGATCAAGTCTTAACTCATCGAATACTAAGCCCAAAATAACTTGTGCTTGGGTCTATGGAAAATGTTGTTAAATTACCAAAATCAAATTCAGCAGGTGATAGTACTAGAATATGTAAGTTTTAAATGTATTCAGTCAATTAAACTAATTGATTTAAGCTGCTCGGTTTGCGTCTGTGTGAAGCATGTTCCAGGAAGACGTAAACTGTTGAATAAAATGACTGTACATGCTTGATCTAAGGAGACACAAACGAACTGTACATCCTGATGACTTGAATCTACATTTCAAACACAAATCATTGTAAATCGAAGGCAAGATGCATATGGTCTTAAACCCCTTGGAACTTGATGGTCTCTATATAAAGCCTACAAAGAATTACTTAGAGAATTTAGTAGTCAACAGGTTAAGATTTACATTTTACCTTACAGATACCAGAAGATTGGTGTTAAATGGCTTTGGGAGTTGCATCGTCAGAAGGCTGGTGGCATCCTAGGAGATGAGATGGGTCTGGGTAAGACCATTGAGATGATTGCTTTCCTAGCGGGACTCAGGACCAGTGCACTACCGAGCAAAGGCTTCAGGTAAGTTGATTTTAGCAGATAGAGTGGTGTTGTTCTTAAAGCCCCACTGCACTACTTATAGCCACTTGCGCCCTCTATATGGCAAACAATGCCTAATCGGCAACCATTGGTCCCTCATGGTCCCCTTTTACTTATGTTTATTGAGAGCTGATTTGATGAGATAACCACCCGTCAGTGACCATGCAGGGAGGTCTAATCACTCCTGGCAAAACTAGTGCAGATGGGCTTTAAAAGAGTTTGTGTTACCAGGAATTCTGTTAATATTTATAGAAATATCAAAGCACATGGATTTACTCTGTAACAGCATTTTGTAAAGTAGACAACACATTTGGGCACACAGCCACCAATACCCGACATTGACAGTTATATAAATCGATGCACACACATTTGTTATGACAAATAAAGTATCAGTCATCAAAATAAAACTGAACAGTTCAGGCAAATGCCATCATACAAGTATATTTAAAGATTTATAGATCCAAAATGTAAAACCCTGCTTCATGAGCATAATGGTCCTGTATTTTTGGTTTGGAGAGGGGTTAATTCCTTGTGGTATTCAGTTCCTCAAGTAAGTTCAGTCCATGCATAAATTAAATTAAATTAAATTAAATTTATTTATGTTTCCATCAAAACATTACAAATCAATTATAAACATTTACAACAAATGTAGAAATACATATTGGAAACAGAGGGGTCCACTAAAAAGCAATGCTTGTACAAGTGTGAACACCTCACATGATACTTAAGAATAATGAGTAATTCTTATAACAAGTCCGTAACTACAAAATGTCTCCCTCCACTTGACATCTGTATAATATCTACTTAATCTTCTTGGAACTTCAGCTACAGGGGACTAGGTCCTGTGTTGATAGTGTGCCCTGCAACAGTTCTTCACCAATGGCTGAAGGAGTTCCACACCTGGTACCCCGAGATAAGAGTGGCCATCCTCCACGAGTCCGGATCACACTCTGGCAAAAGGGTAGGTATTTAATTGATCTACATGTATATAGTGTCTGTTCCAGAGGATACGAGGCACTGTCCCTTAAGTCTATGTACAAATGAATAAGAAGCGTAGAGGTTTATTTTCAGATGTTTCGATAGATGTGGGACCAAGGGTTGTAATGATTTGAAGCCAGCCTGTTTTCGGGTTTTGGGAATGAGAAGGGAAGAAGCTGATATAGATTGAAGTGAATGTGATGTTCTCTGCTGCTAAAAGAGCGAGGGGATGCATTGAGGAAGTATGGCTGACTTAGATTTAACTATTTGAACAAGCAAATGATATTGTAATTTGTCAGTAACTGGAAGCCAGTGTAGTATTTAACTATTTTTTTGATGCGGCAAAATGAAAGTAAAATCAACATGGACATGTTGTAACCGACAGTCAGTTCATGTAAGGAAGGTAAAGTTTGGGTTTCTATGCAGTTGCTAGTCATATTATTTCAAACGGAAATTGTGGTAGAGTTCAAGGCATTGTTTATTTCATTTTACATGGGAATCGTTCAAGTAATGTAGTTAGGTGTACCTGTACAATTGTTTGTAAACACCTCACAGATGAGAATGTAAATATTTTTTTTAATTGGCAAAGGAAAAACAAGCATTTAAAAAAAAAAAAAAAAAAAAAAAATTGAGACAGATAAAAACTGCTCCAGGCGCTGCTACTAGGAAACATGAGAACATGTTATTGACAGGTACAGACAATATATTCCCAAGATAAACCTTAAATCTATGTACCATAAATGATGTACCATGAATTATGTACCATGAATTATGTACCGTAATACAAAAATTGAATTCAAAAGCAACTCATCAATTATCTTTCTATTAATGTTTTTAGGAATCTCTTGTCCGGGACATGGCCAGCTCTCATGGTGTCCTCATCACATCCTTCTCCACCGTCCGGCTCCGTCAGGAGATGCTCCTACGCTACAACTGGCACTATGTGATCCTTGACGAGGGCCACAAGATCCGTAACCCTGATGCCGAGGTCACACTGGCTTGCAAACAGGTTGGCCAAAAAGTTGATAATGATAATCCTAATGTATGAATATTGTAACTGTGATTAAAAAGAAAGTGTGGTCATATCCTGAATGTTGCCATTGATTAGATCGTACACACTAGCTATTATATCCTTGCCTAGGGCATGACAGTAATTTCAACGTAAGTCACTAAGTTCAATTCATCGCAGTCATAATTATAATTATTGTTGTTGTTGTTGTTGTTGATGTTCTGTTGTTATTATCATTATTATAATTATTATTATTGTTGTTGTTGTTGATGTTCTGTTGTTAATATCATTATTATAATTATTATTATAATTATTATTATTATTATTACTATTATAATCATTATTTTGTTGTTGATTACCATTAGTTTTATTAAGTATTTGGCATTGCCTGTGCCTGTAAGCGAAAAGCGAACTGAATCACTGTGACCTTCAGGTCTCTCCCCCGGTCTAACTGACTGTACTGTAGTTGTACAGGTAGACCACCAAACCGTGATTTCTTCCTACTGTTATGTGTATAGATGGTGACTCCCCTTCACACTTGGTATCCATTTAACATCCTATCCGAGGGAAGGAGTGTTTTTCCACAGTAACACACAATGCAGGCTTTAGTCATTCTCCTGGGTTGGATTTCGAGCCCTAGATCCTTGGTTTGACAGGCAGGCGTCTACCGACTAAGCCAACTCACCTCCTCAGTCCAGGGGGGTGTTTCACAAAGACTAAGATAGACTTTAAGTTGGAGTTAACTATGGCAGGCCTTTCATGCCACTAGTTCCTCTAACCATTCCTGGCATTGGTTTCTCAAAGGACGTACAAATCATGATCACAAATCTACAGAATTTACATTTTTTGATAGTTCATTATTGAAGGAAAAAATATTATCTAAAAGATCATAATTGAGAAACCAATGGTGAGAGCAACCAGTGGCATGAACGGCCTGCCATAGTTAGGTCCAACTTAAAGTTGATCTTAATCTTTGTGAAAGACCCCCTGGATGCATATCCATTGATGTAACCTGTTCTCAATCGTGTATCATATTATTACCGTAGTTCCGGACTCCTCATCGCCTTATCCTGACCGGGTCACCCATGCAGAACAACCTGAGGGAGCTGTGGTCTCTGATCGACTTTGTCTTCCCCGGCAAGCTAGGGACACTCCCTGTCTTCATGCAACAGTTCTCAGTACCTATTGTCCAAGGAGGCTATGCCAATGCTTCCAAAGTTCAGGTAATGATATGTTTGTTGGTTCCCATTGAAAATTGTTGGTCTAGTGTATGTGGCATTACCTAATTAGATCCAGGATATCAATGCATTATTCTGGCATACCGATTAAAGCCTTTCTTTGTGAATGAATGGCTTACCTTGAAGGCTGGTTATAACAAAGGCTCCCATTGGAAATTGGTGGTCTAGTGTATGTGGCATTACCTCATTAGAACCAGAAGGATATCAATCCATTATTTAGGCATACCGATCAAAGACTTACTTTGTGAATGGCAATGACTGGCTTACTTTGAGACGGTAACTCTATAACTTGGTCATGAGCTCTTGTTTGGAAGACCATGTAGTAGACTGCGTTGTCTACAGTGCACGTTTTATCTTTCCAACTGTAAACATACATGTATGTTAGAGATGCCTGAAAAGATGGGATTCCATAGAGATGTAATACAGGGAAATTCGTACAGAAAGAGAGAGAGAGAGAGAGAGAGAGAGAGAGAGAGAGAGACAGACAGAGAGGGGGGGGGGGGGGCATAGTAGAAAGTAGGACATCCTAGCTGATAGAGAACTTGATACAAAACCCATACCATAATCAGCCAACCAATTAGTTTGTGTTCATCCTCAGGGATGCCAGGTTTCAGGCACCTGGCGAGTTATTTTCAGACCATAGTTTAGACTTTTTTTTTTGTGTACAAACTAGCTCATTCTAGGTGATTTTCAGGCCCTCTGATCAATTCTAACTGGCATCCCTGCATCCTACATTTCTGAACCCCTCCAGGTCCAGACAGCGTACAAGTGTGCATGCATCCTGAGAGACTCTGTCAGCCCCTACCTGCTGCGCCGCCTTAAGGCCGACGTGAAGCAGGCCCTTCAGCTGCCATCCAAGAACGAGCAGGTCCTGTTCTGCCACCTGACGGAGGAACAGACCCAGGTCTATGAGGAGTACCTGGCCTCCAAGGAATGCAATCTCATCTTGAGAGGAGAATACAAGGTATCGAGCATTTGATGATCATAAGATTTATAAAGTGCAGTTACTCTTTGCTTCAAGGTATAGACCAGTTCTGGTCATGCGATTGCATTGTGAAAGAAACATTATGGAATCGATCAGAAAAGGTTGATCATATAGCATAAGTATTGGTGTGTACTGCAAGGTTCTGGAATCATCAAAATGATAAGAAATTTGGCCCAGTCTTAGTAAAGTTACAAGCACTGTACACAGAAAGATGTATATGGGACTACGCGATATCAATCCAGGCCGGATAGATATGATAATTTACCAAATATATCAATAAGCAGGCGGTTTCCTGGCAAAATTTGTATCACCTATTAGTCAAAACATATTCTTTCACATGATTGGTAATACGAGCTTCCATTTCATATTTCAAGAGGGGGGCGTTTCCAAAACTGGTTTATACCTTCAAGTGAAAAACTCTTAATTCTTGTACATTCAGGTATTAATGGCATACCACCAATTATTCAATGCCTCCTGCAAAAGAGTGGGTCTTCATTAAAGCTCAAATGTATTAAAAGTTAAACCTAATGACTACTAAGCCAAAGATAACTCTTGCTATGACAGAGTCTAAAAAGTTGTAGGTTTTATTCAAATTAAATGACATTCACTGGGTTATGATTGATGTTTACCAATAGCATTGTAGATGGATAATTTGAAGGCATAAAGGCATGATGTAACTGAGTGCAAGGTTTCTTTTATGGGGTCAAATTGGAGAAGGTATCCTTTTTGTGTTTCAGGAAGAAAATGATTTAAGTTGTATTACAAATATTGCATATCAGGTTAAATATGGGTAGAGATTTGCCATCCTGGAACTCGCATTCCATATGCTCTCAGTTCTACTCTTTCTGTGTTGCTTCGATTGCAAGATTGATCAATGGACTTAGCCAGGAAAGGGTCAAATGTATGCTGGTTTTACAAGTCCTTGTTTGCTCCTTGCTTCGATCACAGGTCTTTGCTGGACTCATCACCCTGCGGAAGATCTGCAACCACCCGGACCTGGTGTCGGGCGGACCTAGGATCTTCTCCCACCAGAACCTTTCTGACGAAGACCTGACGGAAGAGCAACGGTACGGGTACTACAAGCGAGCAGGCAAGATGATCGTGGTGGAGTCACTCCTCAAGCTGTGGAAGGAACAGAACCACAGGGTGCTTCTCTTCTCACAGAGCAAACAGGTAATCAAGGGGTCAGTGACACAAAGACGTAACTCCAATTGGGCCATTTTGAGAAAAAGTGGTTTATGTGTCACTGAGCACTTGGGCCTTAAGGAGTAAAGTCTATGTTCACTAGCCATTAACTTCAATGGGGGTGTTGGGTGGAGTTAAGTCTTTGTGTTTCCTGAAAAGCCCGCATTTTTCTGAACATTATGATATCAAATATTCATTTCGGCAAAATATGGAGTTAAGTCTTTGTGTCACTGAACCCTTGTAATGATCTATTGAGAAGATCATCACCTGTTACTGTCAAAATTGAATGATGCCAGGATGCCTTTTGCAAAAAGGAGGCTAGTTGTATCTTATACAAGAGGGCACATGATTGAAGTCTGCATTTTATGTACATTTGCTCTTCCCTAATCCTAATTTGGAATTAGTGGAAAAGCTTACAGTCCCATGAATATGACTTTCAATTGAGGTCCCTTGTAAACTTTAAGGATAACCATACCTTTTACACTTGAAGGAACCAACCCAATGCAAAGGAAGTTCTTTGTGAAAATAGGGGATCAGTTTTTTTTAATGTATTAAAGGTTTGTTTTAACTTTTTATATGCCAAACAAATTATCTCCCTGTGCCACAGTTAACTTATCATGGGTTAGGTATACCAAAGCCTTCAAGATTATGGAACTGTTTCCAGTGTTTAAGATTAATCTATGTGGGTGTTAAAAGAGGTGTCATAGAGCTCAATCAAGATCAGAAACTTGTAATTTTGCAGAGTCATTGTGTTGCACAAAGCAACCCTTCTGTAATAATGATAATAATAGCTAGTTCTAATATAGCGCTTTTCCGAAGGCGAAGGTGCTCTCAAAGCGCTTTACAGATATATAAATTATTACCCCAGTCATCGGATTCAGGCTTACCCGCACACAATGTATGCACATTCTCCACTCCCTGGGGAGCATTCCAGCAAGGCGTCATTTTTACAAGCGCACACTTGTTAATCTAAGCACATTAGCTTTCGCATCCTACCGGGTACCCATTTAACACCTGGGTGGAGAGTGGCAAATGTAGATCAATGTTTTGCCAAAGGACATTAGTGCCGTGGTGGGACTTGTGATCCACAGTCCGGTGACTTATCCACTCGTCCACGACACCTCTCTTCTGTCAATTGGTGCCTATTGTTTTGTCCAAAAGTGGATGTGTGGCTAATGACCGACCAAGCAGAGAGGTGAAGGAAGTAACCGAAGTGTTGATGTTTACGTCTGTTCTGTTTCAGATGCTGGACATCATGGAGGACTTTGTGAAAGACCGCTACTCTTACATGAGAATGGATGGGACTACAACAATCTCATCAAGACAACCGCTCATCACCAAGTTCAACTCAGTGAGTCAGGAAATCCAATGCAAATAATTTTACCTCCATATTTCATTTATTGAGTCATTTATCCACAGGATTCAAAGGCTTGGCAAAGTTGAAATGGATTTATTATTGTATGATGCAATTGGACTGCAGATTCAACAATGGAGAATACCAGGTCACAGTATTATTGAACATAATAGACAGTAGCGATTCTAGATTGAGAGATTACCCCTTTAATTTAGCGAAGGATCGCTTTTTCTGTAACATTGTAACTGCATATCCGTCCATGCTACCAAGCTGATTGCAATACACTCAAGAGCTACATTTTAAAATCTTTTCTGAATTTATAAACCTTATTAACTACTTCACTCTCATAACGTCCTAATAGGCCACATAAAGACTTCTCTTTGCCTTTCAAAGATGTTGTTATCTGTGAGGACTCGTATTTTAATACATTATGTGCTGTTAACATTGATAGAAAAGATTTGTGTAATTTTGTCTTCAATCCATATGCTTCTGATGATTTTTGGTCGTGAGGAGGGTAAAGTGTATTGTCTTTCTCTGTCCACTCAAACAGGATCCCCGAATCTTCCTGTTCCTGCTGACGACCCGCGTCGGGGGTCTGGGAGTGAACCTGACGGGGGCCAACAGGGTGATAATCTACGACCCTGACTGGAACCCGAGCACCGACACCCAAGCCAGGGAGAGGTCATGGAGGATTGGCCAGACCAAACAGGTCACCATCTACAGGTTGCTCACCGCTGGTTCCATTGAAGAGAAGATCTACCACAGGTAAGACTCATATAAACAATAGAAAAACAGGAGAAAGGTAATACCAAAATATAGAGATACAGGGACACATATACAAGAATTGGAAAAAGCAGATATACAAAATTTAGAGATACAGGGACACATTTCGACATGAATTGGAAGAAGAACATGTACAAAAATGCAGATTGACCCATGGACATGGAAAAAAAAATTAGTAGTATAGGATGGGTGATACTGAAAACAGCAAAAAGAATCATGATGGGGTCTGCAGTGTAAGGTCGAATTGGTTAGCAAATATGCGTAAATGTTCTGTAATGTCTTCATCTCCTCATGTCTGAAATAATTTTCATGACAGGCAAATCTTCAAGACGTTCCTGACCAACCGAGTCCTCAAGGACCCCCGTCAGCGTCGCTTCTTCAAGTCCAATGACCTCTTTGAGCTCTTCACCCTGGGGTCATCAGACAAGGGCAGGAGCACCGAGACCAGCGCCATCTTTGCCGGCACGAACTCTGAGGTACGACCCAATCAGAGTTCCTACGAGTCGAAGGCCACCAAGGAGCCGATGATGAAGATGGGCAAGAAGAAGGGTGAGGCCCTGGAGAAGGCGGAGAGGCGAAAGAAGCAGGCGGAGGTCATCCAGAGGGAGCTGCTGCTCAAGAAGAAGATGGAGGCCGACAAGAAGAGGATGAAAGTGGAGTTGGAGGAGGAGGACAATGGCATTGCTGCTGCATCCAGGGTGGGTCATGTCCATTCTGCAGCCTGTCAAGGAAAGTGTGTGATATCACCCAAGAGACTTGGAGACTCTGGTGGTGTGCAGCTCGGGGAGGTTGGGTCCTCAAGTCGGCATGGTCACATGTCAACATCAGCATCATCTTCCACACACCCATCATCTAAATCTCCATCGTCATCATCAACCCAAGTCAATGCCATCTCATCGTCTAGCTCGGGCAAGAAGGCGAAAAAGAAGAAGAGGAGAGATGCAAGTATGTAATAATAATAATATTCAGCTTTTATATAACGCTTAATACATCAATGATGTGTCTTAGTTGTAGTCAAGAAATATGCAGTGCTACATCAATCGTCCCTAATAACTGGTTTTTGATGTACACCTATTTTCATGCATAAATCTGAAATATGCAAGGTGGATGCCACTCATACATTTGCTTTCATAAACAATTGTTGAATTAGATATCTCATCATCATGGTTCGAGGAAGAATCGTCCATATATTACAATTCCTTGAGGTACTGCATTGTGAAAATATCTTTTGATGCCTCATTCATTTTCTAGTACAGGCTACACGTATATTTAGATAATCATTACAATGAAGGAAAATACCCCCATTTAACTAATGCCTGTTATATTATCACTAATTGCATTTCTTCTTTGCTTTTCTCTTATCTTCTCCAGAGCTTGATGGTCTTAAAATCCCCCATCTTGCCAAGACCAAAGCCTATGCACCCAGAGCGGAAGAGGAGGATGAGACCACCAAGAATGCAGACGAGGACAACTATGTCTTGCAGAAGCTCTTCAAGAAAAGTGGTAAGTACCATCTTGAAGCACACTGTCCTGGGAGGCGTTTCACAAAACTTGTCATCAGTGACAAATGACTTTTTTTGTAATATAAGCTACTGAAATCATTGCTTCTGATTGGTTATCAGCAGATTTGTCACTGATTTTTGTCATTTGTCATTGGAAAAAGGCTTTGTGAAACGGGCCCCAGATTATTAATAATGGGATAATATTGATTTGATTTGGTTCATTTTATTTATCTATTTAACCATCGCCAAGTGAGTACAATAGATCTTCATATAGAGAAAACATTGCTTGGTATTATCATTAAATGATGTAGTTTATCTGTATACCCTCTGATTTAAACAAAAGTTTGATGTATTTTTCAGTCTGTAGCAAGAAAACTATTGCATTCTTGTCTCGAAATCCTAATCCTAATATCAAGATACTTAAAATATTTCAAAGGGTACTTGTGTGTAAATTTTTTCAGCGTTATGAATCAATCAGATATATGAGAAAAGGAATTACATATATCTACTGCAATAGACCAGTTCACGGTTAGCACATCTCTGCAATGACCCCGAATATCCACAGGTCTATAAAACATGAAGAGGTCCCACTTTGTACATTTTGAAATAATCACCCCTACAGCGATGGAGGTGCTACATAAATAGCCTTTGTTTCCCCTTTTTAAAGCATACTTCCACCTGTGTATCATGGAGTGGACTGCTTGTGCATAAATGAATAATGATTTACATAACTTTCAAGAACACGTATACAGTATTTTGTCTCTTTGTATTTCACAATTTGTTCTGCAATGACCTTTATCTGCTCATGCTCAGACTGCAACCCTGAACTGACTTTTTCAATGAATATTGCAATGATCGCATTTGATGCTCTTTGATGTGATACAGGTGTTCACAGTGCTCTTCAGCATGACAACATTATGCAGTCATCCAACCCAGACTTCGTCTTGGTGGAGAACGAGGCAGAGAGAGTCGCTAAGGAAGCAGCCAGCGCGGTTCGCCAGTCCAGGAGGCGTTGCTTTGGTGCCAGCTCCGGTATCCCCACCTGGACTGGAGCAGCGGGGGGTTCCTCAGGGAGCAAGTTAGTACCCTTAGCAGTTTTGTTATACAGTCAAACCTGTCTACAGCGACACCCCAAGGAAAACACATAAAGTGGTCTTTGTAGACAGGTTCCTTTAGTGCATGTTTCAATGAGAAACCATTTTCAAGGGAGACAAAAAATGTACTTGTTGTAGACAGGTGGTCTTTGTAGACAGGTGGTCACTAAAGCAGGTTTGACTGTATCATCTTTATTTGCTTGCCTAAAATTGATAATGAACATTGGTCTTTGAAATCACAATTATCCCAGATTCCATTGGTATCATCATGCAGTGATTAAAATTTTTGTACTTTCAGTATTGACGTGTATGTAGGCTGACAATATATTTTTCTTTCAAAGCAACTTCAAAGCTTTTGAGACTCACACAAATGGTGATTTACTCAATGTGGTGTAGTAAAGAAACTGCAGATAACATGTCATCGTTGATACATGTACGCGGTCATAATGTACCGTACATGGATCATCATCTGTGCTGATATACATGTGTATGACCCTAAATAAAATTAATCTTTTCCAACTAGTCTACAATATGAAATATGATATCTGTATCAATGCTTATCTGATTGCTGTTACATTTTGTTCTGTTTCACTTAGGCTTCGTTTTGGAGGCAAGAGCAACAGCAGACTTGTAGACAACTCAGAGAGGTCAGAGTCACCCAAACCGAACGGAACACCAATGAAGAAGGTATGTAACCCTGCTGCCTTTCTTTGGTTGCTGTCCTGCAAATACTAAATCCATATAAGAATTTCCACTTTCCTCAAAAAAACAATTGATAGAGTAGTTCCAGATATTACATCAGCTGATCAGAATGCATACTGTTACAAGTTTTACTTTGATGTTGTTACTAATTAGTTGGAGAGTCTTGTGTAATTGTGATTTGTGATTGATCACTATTTTATTTATCAAGGGATTAAAACCAAGTCACTTCTGGGGGGCGTTTCACAAAACTTGTCATCAGTGACAAATAACAGTTTTTGTTATAAGCTACTGAAATCCTTGCTTCTGATTGGTTATCAGCAGATTTGTCACTGATTTTGTCATTGAAAAATGCTTTGTGAAACGGGTCCCAGATTTCTCTCGTTCCCATGGCTTAGTACAGGAACCAGCCTGTACCCATAGGCAATGGGTTAGGGATCATATCCTCTACACTTGCATGTTCTGCAAACATAGGGAATAAAGGTAACCCTTCCTCTACATGTATATTTCCTTGAATCTACTTTCCAGAAATTGTTTGGCAAGAAGAAGATGTTCAATGGTGACATGTCCACAGCGACGACGATGAACGAGGATGCAGAGCAAACCAACGACATGCCCTCTTCCAACAGCCTTCTCAACAGGATGCGCGCCAGGAACCACCTCCAGAAAGACGAGGACAACCCTTCCTCATCCGACGATGAGGACAGGCAGAGGTCGGTGTCGACGGCAGGAACGGAACACGATGGCGTCATGAAGGAGATGGTGGAGTTTATCGGCAATCACTCCGAGGTCCCGGGGCAGGCAACGACCGATGAGCTGCTGAAGGCATTCGCGAGCAAGATTGAGAAGTCAAATTCGGCGATGTTCCGGTCGATGCTGCGTCAGGTCTGCACATTCCACAGAACTCAGAAAAAGGAAGGATTCTGGAGACTCAAAGCAGAATTTCTGTAAGAACCTGGAGGATAAATTTTGAAATACGCAAGTGAAATGTAGACTTCGGGTTCAACATTGTTCTAGTCCATGCTTTATCATGTCTGCACCTTCTATAGGACACCGACAAAGGTAGGATTCTGGAGACTGGAGAATTTCTCTAGAAACGTGATTAATGAATTTGAATTTGTCAGCAAGATGAAGAAGTCAAACTCAGCATTGTTTTGGTCGATGCATCATCAGATGTCCACTATTTTGTAGGGGACAAACAAATTAGGGATTCTGGAGTCTCATGGCAGAATTTCAAAAAATGTGGATTTGCAAGAGAGGTGGAGAAGTCGAGTATGGCATTGTTCTGCTACAATGTATATGCTTCATTAGTTCTTTACTTGCAACAGTGGCCAAAAGAAAGAGCGATTTCTGAGACTGGGAGCAATATTTTGTGAGACACCTTGTGGAAGATATTCTGTTCTTCTGATTGAATTGTGAAGTGGAATGAATGTCAACTTTGAGTGGGTCAAGTAACTTAGAAATAATGGATTCCTCGCCGAATACAAGTCAACATTCAGTCATGGATTTTCCTTGTCAAATGAAACTCTAAATACTGTGAATTTATTGAATTTCAAAGGTATATTGGTTATGAAAAGGAGTACTCGAGTATCTTCCATGTTTTGCAAGGAAAATATGTCTTTTGAGAATCTGTTTGGGCATAGTTGTATGGCTATACACAATCAATTGGATATGAGAAAGTTTAATACGTGTAATGGTAATTGACCCAATCTAATGCAATTTTTCTGCACATTTGCAATTTAGGCAGGGGTACAGAAGGGGAAACAAATTGTGTTGTGTACAATTTTTTTAAGGCTTCTAGTTTTACAGTACATTCAGATTTGCCTGAAGAATTCTACTCTTATTTCAAAGAAAAATTTCATATTGTATTCATGCATTCAACTAAAAATAGAATTGAGAAAAAGTCAGGTATTTACATGTACTTATGTTATTCCCATTTATTGTGACGGCTGTTTCAGTCAATGATCATGTTCTTGAATTTTCTACACTTGTGCCTCTTGAAAAGTAGTGGTATGGAAATGCGCTTAATATTCATGACAGTGGGTACTGTAGGTTCAAAATAAAAGGAACTTGCTTGTTTACACATCTGGCATGTTGTATTAATGCATTTTATTTTAATCATTTTGAAGAGAACAAAAACTCATACTTGTACAACATGGATATTCGGTATACATTCATTTGATACAATGTGTATATACCATCTTTTAGTACTTGCTGGTCATTTGAGGTGAGTAGTGACTTTCTGTTTAGGGGATTAGAAATCACACAATCACTTATAAGAATTAGTTGTATGTTTGATTATCTATGCAGGTTTAATAAGAAAAAGAGCCTTTTGAATTCTGACCTACATGTACAAAAATATTTTTTTTGTCCTAGTTTTTAGTACACATATTGGTTACATGTTCATGAAATTGTATTATGTCCATTCCATGTAGTATTGACAAAGAAATTGTGAAAAGAAGTTAATACAGGGAACAAGAAAAATAATTTGTTCAATATTATCACTTTCTTTCAGTTTAAAATGAAGATGATGATGTGTACTACTCTTGGAAGAAAAAGAAGAAGAGAAGACATGTATATTCCTGATTAAAGCTTGTATGTCAGTGCGAATGTACAAGTACATCTACATAAAATCCCTATCCTCTGTATTAATGAAAAAAAGCTAGAATTTTATTGTGCATGACAAAGTAAATATTATTTGAAAGACAGATTGTCCAGAACAAAGGCATTAGAAGATATCACCTTGTAAAATTGTATTGCCGTACTAAATTTAGATGGAAATAATGTATGCATGTTGAAGTCAGTTTTCCATGGTACTTTTGCCAGTATCCAACATTTTAGAGGATGCCAAAGACAAAGTTATCCACCCACTATGAGCTCTGAAACTAGCAATGGTACATGTGTACTAGTCATGGTCTAGTCGAATCTGTTTATTGAGGCCACCAAAGGGGGAAATGTGGCGTCTGAAGACGGATGGCCTCCCTAAACAGGTTCTACACTACACATTTTCCTTAAGGAATATAACATACACTGTACATGTACATGAATACAATAGTCCTTTGATAGGTGGTCATTATAGAGAGGTAGCCGTAAATTCAGGTTGGAGACTTTACATTCATTTCTATTTTTCTCCACAATGCTCATTCCTCAGTACACAGTTCCAAACATTCATTATTTGTAATCTCTGAAGAGAAGATAATCATGTATTTATAAGAAGTCATCTCAAGGATAATTGAACGGTGCAATTAACTTCGAATAAAACAGTGGCATTTGATATGTATTTAGATACAATAAAATTGCAATAAAGCAAAATTAGTGAAGTGTTTTGTTTCATTTTATCGTTGTAATCTGAAGTGTTATTGAAGGTAATCTGTTCAAGTTCAGGGCCTTGTCTTATAACTTTGCGACTGATTCAAAGTGATCACATCTTGATATTAATCGCACCTCAGTATGTGTACTAAAAGAGAAAGAATGTTAACTTAGCGATTGATTGGAGGACTTGCGATCGATCTGGATGAATCGCAACTCTTCACAATCCAGGGCTAACATCCTGAATACAAATGTAGTACTCCTTCTTTTGCTACTATTCTACCCATCCAACCAAGGGCACATACTGTATTTGTTTTGTACAGTTTCACTCAGTAACAAATACTCTGAAGCACACAAACTAGATGTTTGTTTTTCCTGTCTGGCTATCTCTCTCTTTCTCTACATTGCACTTTGCCTTACATAGTCAAAGTCTTGCCCTCCACCCCCTCCCTCCCTCTCTCTCTCTCTCTCTCTCTCTCTCTCTCACTCACTCTTTCTCTCTCTCTCTCACTCTCTCTTTTCTTCTCTTCCAGTGTATGAGTTTCTTTCAATATCACTACATTTTCTCCGTCTTTCTCAATGTCACCACAAACTATTACAAGAGAAACACTTCAAATACAAAGCATTGATTTTCATGGTAACCAATTTATTTACAGGCACACAATTTTTGTTTTCATGATGCACTGTGCATATATGTATATAAAGGTATGTACAGCAGTGAAATAAAATTCAATAATTTGTTAAAAAGATTACCAAATTTTGAGTAGACGTACATAATTCAATTAAACGATATATATATATATATATCTGACATGATTTTTGTTCCAGCATTTTGAGATAATCAATGCCCAAATTTAACCAAATTATAATCATCATCATCATCTTAATATTACACCAGACAATGTAGAAAATGTTGCACATAATGTAACGAATCCTACCTATCGTCCATAGGGGTAATAAGCCAGTTCACGGTTGCAGTCTGAGCATGAGCAGATAAAGGTCATTGCAGAACAAATTTTGAAATACATGGAGACGAAATACTGGATACGTGCTCATGCAAGTTATGTAACATTATTCATTCATGCACATTCAGTGCACTCCATTGTACACAGGTAGAAGTATTCTTTGAAAAGGGGGAACAAAGGCTATTTTATAAAGCACCTCCATCGCTGTAGGAGTGATTATTTCAAAATGTACAAAGTGGGACCTCTTCATGTTTTGAAGATCTGTGGATATTCGGGGTCATAGCAGTAAGGTGCTAACCGTGAACTGGTCTATTGTCCGAGGGTTTTTTGTCCAGGGAGTAAGTGTCCTGATACGCACTTTAGCATCTAATGGCAATGAAGAGTAATGTTTGGCAAGGTAATTAGAGAGAAGAATCCCCACTGAACCAACCAAATTGCAGATGAATCGGAATGGAAAACAGGCAGTTCAAAGTGGAAACAAGCGTTTGGACACAATCCGTCTGAAAGTGTCATTAAATATTTGGAGACACAATGGTATTACCCTTACCAAGTTCTGTAATTGATTTGTCCAGATTAATTTTTCTCAAGGATGTGACATTTTAAAGCCCCTCTGCACTAGCTTGACATGCAGGGATTAGACCTCCCTGCGATATCACTTTTATCTCATCAAATATCTCATCGGTTATCTCATCAAAAAGTAAAGAAAAAGGGCATCATGGGGAATCAACGGGTACCGCTTGGGCATTGTTGGCTGTATAGAGGGCACAAGTAGCTATAAGTAGTGCAGCAGGGCTTTAACCCTTACATTTAAAATTATACACCAAAGGCCCTAATTCAACCAGTCCACCCTTGATTCTTGAAAGACTACAGTGGAGCCTAATCATAAGAGCTCTGATCTAACAAGGTATCTTTTATAAAAAGGTGATTTTGCTGATCCCAGTTCTTTATATTCTTCTGGTTTTTTTTACCCTGATAAACAAGATTCCTGATATAACAAGGTCATTTCTATGGCCTCAAGGACCTCGTTATAAAAAGGTCCCACTGTATTAAAACAATAGACATATCATTTTCAAGGGGTATGAATAAGTTGGATGAGAGAGAGTGCTCTTTTGGCTTCGAAGAGAAGAAAAACTAATGTAAAACCCTTCTTGAACACCATAACTTTCATCTTGTCAAAGCTTTTGCATTCAATGTCAGACAGAAACAGTACTGATCCGCATTTCAGCACTATTGCATTTTCTAGTGCAATTACAACACATCAGATACATTTAAGTATCTTGGGTGATTACCCCAAACACCAATATGTTTAGTCTCAATATCCATCAAATTAATGTCAGAGTTTGCTCATATCTCAAGAACATTTATATAATATGGACTGGCCTTGAGGGAGATACCACATAATATTTCCCAAACTAGACTCATTTTGCCCCGGGTCAAAGACGAGGTCAATATGGGTCTTGTGAGGGCAATATATGTGGTATCTCCCGAAAGTTAAGCCAGTCAACATTGTTATTGTTATCCAAATCGGACATCTCGAGCAAATACATAAATCAACCATGACAATCTCAAAGAACTGAAAAAACTTTGACAAACCAGCACTGTGCATTCAGCTGCTTGATGAAATTTTTGAAATACTGCAAACAGTGTGCCTTTGGTGTGATTATAACGTCACAATAGAGTGTGCGCAAAGTGCGCAGGTTCTCGTACGCATAATAGATGCGCAATGAAAATGACAAAATACAGCGCAAAGAATATGGTCTTATATTTACTGCTTTTCTAACACGTAAAGTCCATAGGCTTTTTCATGAGAGGGTAATATGGTCTTATATTACTGCTTAGCTCTTTTAGGATTGCAACAAGTGTAATATGATTTTGTAAAACCACTGCTCAGATGTCTGATACAGGTAATATAGTAAATTTCATAATTTCATCATGAAACTGTTCTGCCTTCTGACAGTTGAATTTAACATAATTCATAAATGGTAATGTAAAAAAAGAAGAAAAAAGAATAAAACTGCATATACAGCTGCCATAGCAGTATACAGGTAAGAAAATCTTCCTACAGTAGAGGTCGACTCTGTCTGAAGGTCAACTCTGTCGGGTCAAAGTTGACCCAAGGTTATGTGATCAGCTTGGGCTCAATCAGAGAGGGTAAGGTCACCAATACCTGCAAAGAGGAAATAAAAATAGGGAACAAGTATGGCTTGTATGAGATTATTTGGATAAACATGATACTGAATGCGATTTAAGAGATAGCAAGGTTTGAGAGTATCAAATAATAAAGGAGAATGCAATATAAAGAAATTTCACAATGTTGAATAAAGTTTAAACAGAAAAATATTGGTTAAAGGAAGAAAGATATGTCATACAGAATGATTATTATAAGAATGCATGTTATGAGGAGCAACCCTGTAAAATAATTTACCTTTACCTGTTAACGGAATAAGTAATTTAAAGAATTTAAAATTGTCTGTTCAGCATTTTCTTCATCTTGCCTGTATAGTCAGGACAGTGCTGAAAAATATGTTTTCATTTTCTCCCTTTCCTCACGTATTATCGGTGGCTTCAACTGTACGCTGTCACAGTCCTTTTCTTCCTCTCCCTGCCTATTAATAATTACAGGGCTTATATAGCGCCTAACACTTACTTTGTCAGAAGTCTCTAAGCGCTCTACAATAATGCAGCATAATTACCCTGGCTTTAGCAGTGCAGCTGTTACGCGCGCTGCGTTTCAAGGAATAAATTCCTACCAGGTACCCATTTACTTCACCTGGGTGGAGTGTGGCAAATGTAGATCAATGTCTTGCCAAAGGACATTAGTGCAGCGGCGGGACTCGAAACGCAGACCTTGTGATCGACAGTTTGGCGACATATCCACTCGACCACAAGACCTCTGCCTATTCCCTCCTCTCTCTTCTTTCTTTCTATCTTCCTGGATTTCTTTCCTTTTCGTCTCTCAGCGAGTAATCTACATATTGCTCATAATTAGGGGCTTCATTATTTATTATTATCTTCTACAATTTCATTAAATTACTTAAGTTACAATTCTTTGATTGTATTTTATCTTTTTTAACTGTCTGTAGTTGTGATGTATACATTTCAGGGCCCCATGGAAGACCAATTTTTGTTGAATGGGCTACCCTGGTGAAATATTCATTAATAAATAAATTAAGAAGTACCAGTCTGTCTATCGGGGCAGGTTTGGATTGCTCGTCATTCTCCTCTGGTTCCATCTCAAACTTTCCACCATCTCTCTTTGGCTCTGCTGCCATTGCCACATCACTGAGTCGGAGCTCCATCATGGAGTTAGAATGATTGAAGTTGATCACTTCTCCTTCCTGAATATAAATATAATTGTTCACTCTTTAGATTTCACTAAAAAATGGCATCACGATGGCTGAAATCTTTATGAATTAGTTCTAAGACACATCCTAAGGACTTTATCAGTTTATCAGTTTCGATGTCTTCCTCAGACATGTACCGGTGAACGGATGCTGAAGTTAGCCACCAGTTTTACCATCACCAGAAGATGCCGTTTTGGTGATCGGTGCTTCATAAATGTCAGACAACTGGTACGTTGTATGCGTTAGATTTCAACTCTTGCCACTTTTTACATCATCTTTCATGGTAAACAATAATAATAATAATAAAATAATTAGATCAATTTATATAGCCTAGCTACTATATAAAATACTCTACCACGCTGTGATATAATTTTTTTCCCTTAAATACAGTATCATCAATTCTTAAGTTTAGAAGTCTTTGTATGAAATGATTACCTCTTTACTGTGGATCACATGGTGCACAGTGGTGCTTCTAGCACCAAGGACCTTTATACACTACCCTAAAAAATGTAATATCTAACTTGTGTTTCTTGATGACATTAGGACCTTTTCTTTTTCTCCATTTCCTCAAATCCAGTTATTGGTTATCAATATATTTCATTACTCTCTTTGTGGGTAGAAATTTACTTTTTCAAAAACATCTTTTCTGAAATTACTGGTATACAATTCTAAAATTTTCAATACAATCCCGAAAAGAAAAGAAAAAGAGCCGATTAACTTACCTTATAACCCGATACTTCAGGTGTGTACAGACCCGAGAGCTCCAGAATCTAATTAAAGAGACCAAGATACACAAAACATTGAGATGACTACCACTACACATATTAGGGACTGCACCAAAATGAAAGAATGAACTTGATACAGAGTATAATATCTTTTCTTTCTTGCTAACAAGCATTTATTGCTTTCCTAGCTGTCAGGTAAAATAACCACCACCACCACTTCAATAGATTATTTTGAATCATTTCTTCTGAAATGATATTTATATTATGATTGTGATACCCGGTAATGAGTTCATGATCCACAGAAATGGAATAATTATTGAAAATATATACTAGGTTCATACTTGGTGGCAGTTGTGGCTTTACATGAATTTTTTCCTGGATCAATTGTTCCTCAAAAATATCTCAACAAGAAAATATGGGTTTATACAATACCTTGTATGCAATGATATCCCCAGAACGTGGGGGTCCAACTAAAGGTGGGTAGCTGCTGTAGTCCTTGGGCTTCTTGGGCTGAACTGGTTTCTTGGGCTGAACTGGCTTCTTGGGCTGTTCTGGCTTCGTGAGTTTTGTTTGTTTCGTGGACTGCTTGGGTTTCTGTCCGGCAATGTTCAACAGCTACATTATACAATTTAAGGGGGGGGGGGGTATGAAAGACAAAGAGTAAGGTTTCACATTTTGGTTTCATGTTTTGATTTCACAAATTATTTCATTTAAAATAAAAACATCTGGCATATTGCACTACCAATGCACACGTGTTCATTTTCAGTGTTTCTGCCATTCAGATTTATTGGCATGCACAGAGCCCTGTTGCATAAAACTTACCACTGATGGTAACTTTTTTTCAAATCTCAAATATGTTATTAGTATTGAAAAAAATATCGCTAGTGATATTCGTTTGTCTCGCAATGTGGTCAATAAGGAATCTAAAAGATCACGACGTTTCGTGCGCTATCTGCAACACTTCGTCAAACGTCGTGATCTTTTAGATTCCTTATTGACCACATTGCGAGACAAACGAATATCACTAGCGATATTATTTTTCGATACTACATCCGCAATGAGTAATATATTTAGCATGTTATTAGTAGTTTGAATGTTTCAACTTGATTACATACTGCAAAATTACTGACCTTTGCCTGTATCCCACCTGGTGTACTGCAATTAGACTCATCCAAAGAAGAAAGGTTGTTACAATGCTCAGATCTTTTTCCCTGTATCTCGCTAACACCATTATATGGTTCTTCTAGCTCCATTGGATTGTCTTCAGTTGTCCCTGTTTCGACCATGGGAATTCTTGGCTCAAGGTTTTTTTGTTGGGCTGGTTGACCTGAAAGCGGCCTTGCTGTAGCAGAAGGTTGCATACCACCTCCTGCTTCGGATTCACCAGAGTCAGAGTCTGATGAAAACCTGACATGCCCAACAGAGGACTTTGACACTGATTTCTTCAACGAAGCACTCCTGGTGGAGGAGAGCTCTTTCCCTTGAACTGGACATTTAGGGAGTTCTGCTGGCTTTTTTGTCAAGGCCACTCCTGGCTCAGTATTGTTCTTCATGGTTTGCTTCTGTTGAAGTTGCCCAGGAGGATGTTCACCAGAGTCTGATGAGGAAGATGCAGAGGACATAGAAGAAACAGACGAAGAGGTGGAGGTACTTTCAGTTCTTGTCACGCCATTTCTTTTATTCTTACCACTCTTCACGATGTTAGCCACTGGTGTTTTGCCGAGAAGTCCTGAGCCTGAACTCTTCAGAGAAGGTTTTCTCTTTCTAGCTACCGTCTCCTCTTCAGTCGAGCTCGACTCGGAGTCGGAATGCAACGGCCCGGATCCATTACACTTGATTTTGCTCACATTGGTTTTGATTTGTTTACTTCCTGAGCCCCCTGCATGAAGAACAGACGTTCCGGGATTCACAGAACTTTGCGCTTGAGTGGACGATTGCATCAGTGACTTCGATGGTCGCACCTTTCTCCTGCCTACAACTTTGCGAAAACTTTTAGCCTTCGAGATTGCCCTTGACTGCTCACCATCTTCTGAGCTGGAATCTGATGAGGAGCTGGAACCATGCCTAAGAGGGGCCTGACCATTCTTAGTTGAACGTTTGTGAACTCTAGCAGAATATTTTGGGGTGCCATTCTTGGCTGAAGGAGAGCAAGCTAAAGAATCTAATCTGCTTGTTTGTTCAGCTTCTGTTATTTTCTCCTTTCCCTGGAATGCCATTCCATCATTCATCAATCTGTCTTCATGCCTCGCCTTATTGTTAGTCCCCTTCTTTTCTCTACAAGCCTTTTTCCTTTTAGCTCTTGAAGTACGGGCCATGTTGCCTTCACTACTCCCGACCAGCTTGGCCTCTGTATTAGCTTTCTTCCTCTTGCTTGCTTGCTTCGGTTCAGCATCACGCAGTTCCTTTACCTCAATTTCATCTGGCTTTAAACCACCTTCACCAAGAAACCTCACCCTGCACGAAATTGGGAAAGATAAAAATATTACCATATTTAGCCATAGATAACCCACAGACTAGCATTGGAGCTGAATAAATCATTCAGTGTTTAAAATTACAAATGTAGACTAGTATAAATCAAATTAATTGCCGATTTACAATTGATTGGTTACAAATTTACAAATCAATAATTATCTTATTCTTTATCAGATTTTCCGGAAATTCAGCTCTGAAACTTTCATCAATCTAGACTATATAGAATTGGGAATCAGCATGGCCCCCAAAATTTCAGCCTTTATTTCGGGAGGTGTTCAGAATCAATCAGAGATCAGAACTCCAGAAGTTCAGGATGGAGTTCCCCTTTTAAACACTCCAGCATAGCATAGAGAGTCAATGCTAATGCGTATTAGCACTGAACTACGAGTTAATAGGCAGCATTCGCACACATGAATAGGCAATACACTCATAATACACAAATGCACACAATCATGCCGATGTGGCTGATCGGCAAGTATGACAGACTTAGTCAGTAGACTTACAATTTGAATTTTTAAATAATTCTTTCTAACAGTCATTGGTAAGTTGAAAAAGTAAAAGACCCGGTTTTCGGCCACTTAAGACAAAATCCTATTTTTTGGACTCTTTACTTCCTATTTATTATCATTTCTTGTTCAAATCATGAAGTAAATATTATTATTATTTAAACAAAAAAAGAATCCCAGAAAAAAATCACAAATTGCCATGACAATATTCATTTCAATTTTCACTGTTTTGGAACCAGTTATCGGCATAGCGTACCAGTTTTCGGACGCATGTACAAAGTCAATAGGAAGCGCTCGCGCGCGCCGTGCGTTTCCGCGCTGATGTATAGCACAAGCGGGCGGAGCAGGTATCCCACGCCGGAGCACCCGGGTGCTCGCCTGGCCGAAGACAGGCACAGCGGTGATCGGAAGTTGGAATCTGAATTAGACAGACATATCGTGTGTGCGTGGCGGGGTCCGGCTGCATTGACTTAATACATGCGATGAGATACTTTTAAGCTTGCGACCAACACAAAATCGGGCTCTAAATCTGAAAAATACTTGAAATAAAGCTCATTTTATGGTACCCATATTTCTTACATACACGCGTAAGAAACTCGATTTTTCAGATTTGGGTAGCGGGACCGCCGATTACATCGCTAAAATGTGATATTTTAGGATATATTTTCCATTGCAAATGTGGTTCTTCAGTGATACTGGCATGGTATGGTATGTGTGGGATATGTGATATGCTATTATGCGATGTATTTTAAAGGGATTTTACCATGCATCCAATAGATCGGCCGAAAACTGGAGCTGTCCGATTACCGGCTCCTTTACTCTACTGCTATTTTGGTGTCATCAATTGTCACTAAAATACAGATTTTTAGTGAAATCAGTTGAGTTTTGTACAGTAGTGTTATAGCACAGCTTTTAACACACAGCCAGGATAGTAATGCAGCTATGTCTTTTATGTGTGCTTGAATTTATTCAGCCAGCCCTCCACCACCACCATCATTCAAGCATCATAGAAAGGACAGGGCCAGCGTGAGTTGGAACTGTGTGCGGATCGTGGTTTAATTTGAAATAATTTTTTGTTTTTATTTTTTTGTAGACTATGACTAATATTATATTAAAATGAGATTGGAAAAAGAAAGAAAGAAATAATAATTTTACCAAGACATTAAAAGAAAGAGATGAGATGAAATTGGCAACAATAGTCAAATTTGACTAATAGCCATTATAATACCAAACGAACAACAACAACAACATCATGACCATGTTCACTGCAATAAACATTCAAACAATGTCATCTCTACCTCACCTGATTAAATCATTTTCTTTAATGATCTCCGACTTTTCAAATGGGGGAAGAACAAAATCGTCTAACAGGAGTTCAATCTGAGATGACCTTCCGAGGTGGAATGTATTCTGAATGCAATACTCCACATCAGTAATTCTCCGGCACGCATCGATGTTGAGCAGAAACCAACACTTTCTCCTGCCGACACTACCGGGGCGAAATGGTGTGCAATCGTCGAAGAGCAGGCGCACGCGGATGTTTGAGGAGCGTGACATGCCTGTATCTTTCACAGCTTCCTTGCTAGGTAATTATGAAGTGAATTAATTGTCTGGGTCACTCATGAAATGTAGACCACGAAGCTTATGCACCTGCGTTAATGTAGGACAATTACTGTAAGTGGATTAACGATAAAAATCAAAAAATAATTCACGAGAATCATCGTAGTACGTTAAGTGAGAAAACTCCGTATGGAAAGCCAAACGTACATCGTGTTCACGCTAATCGACCTATGAGAAGCCCGATGCCAAAAGAGACTGTTATATGTTTTCCCCAAAGATGTTCAAGCCTCAAGGTATCGGTTTAATAGGCAATTTTGATACCCATTGTATTACCTATCCTATAAGTCGTATTTAGATTATGTCATACACGGTGACTATATGTCACCGTGTGGGGGAGCTAGGTCACCTCTTTTAGGTCATCTATAACCACCACTACCAAAACAGGTCATCTGGAGTAGGGGTATCTGCAAGAAGGTCTTCAGTATCATTCAAGAAGTTATCCGCTGTAAAGGACTGTTATAAACACTCTCTATATCCCAGGACATTCCCCGAATGGAACTTTCTCCCTACCCATGCTAGAAATATTTATTTTAAAAAAAATACCAAGGGAGGGGGGGTTAACCTCTAACCCCCCCCCCCTCCCCCTGCGTACGCGCATACCACCACCACTGCTGTCTTAAGTCGAGGGCAGAAAATCATACTGATAAAATATTGAAAAAATATGTGTTAAAGGATCAAGATCTAATGAGAAAGTTAAAAGGAGGTTGATATTTATAAAAAATGTGTGCAAATCTCAAAGTGACTCAGCTTTGAGAATAATAATAATAATAATATTTAATTTTTATATAGCGCTTAATACAAATGTCTCTAAGCGCTTTACAAATATACTATTAGAATAGAATAGAATAGAATAGAATGTCCATTAGGCACTATAGGTCATAAAACATGAAATGCAGGAACGACAATTCAAGGGGGTGCATGGAAACTCCTCTCACATAGAGAAAATCGCCAAAAATTGTCAAGATTGTCATTTTAAAGCCTCTCAAATCCATATGATGGAGAAAAGAGAATTGGCTTAGAATATCCCTTAAGACTGCATGTATATACCCGAAATTTTATTCCTGCATGTGCATTTTTTTTAATTAAAAAAAAAAATCACAAGGGGGGGGGGGGGGGTTTGCTCCAAAATACACACATACACAAAACTGACGGGGGGGTTCAACCCCCCCCCCCCCCCCCCCCCTGCGTACGCGCCTGTGCATGTGTACCACAATGACTTGAACCAACTAATCTGAGCGGCTCAGGAACAGATTTGTAAACAAGAAGTCCATGCAACAATGTTTTTAAATGGTCATTGTCATCTTGCGAATCATTGCAAATCTCTACTATACGTTTATGCACAAAAACATAACCCGGAGATAATCAGTTGCCAGTCGGTTCACGCCTTCTCTCAGTCCATTGTGTTAGCTGCGCGCTGTCACAAATTGCGCGCCATTGTTGCATCAGAGGAATGCTATAGAAACGTGCTACTTGTTGCCCCCCACAGTGATTATGCTCAATAAGTATTTATTCTTGACCTCGCTTCCTCAATACCATGTGCATGGAATTTTCAATCCAAGGATAATATAGGACACTAAGAGGTAAGTCATGTGATTTATTTGTCAGTTCTTTGAATTTGTATTTGTTCTCGTTCTGTGTTACTGTTATCTAGAGCACAGTTTTGCTTTTTCTGCGTTACCTTTCTTAAACAAAACAGACTATAGCTTCCGATCGTCGGGTGTTTTCTTAGACTAGTCATCCACAGTGGTGGATCCAGGGAGGGGGTCCGCCGCCCCGTGGGAAAAACACGTAAAAACATGTTAATTTTAACTTTATTTGAAGACGGACCCCCTCCCCTGGTGCTTAAGGGGGGGGGGGTGCGATTTTTCTTTTTCTTCTTCTCACGAATTGGGCCCCCTCTTTCGGGTCCAGGCCTTTGTATTATAGCGCTTCTTGTTGATCCACTCGTACAAGATGATTACATTGGTTGCTCATTTTATCGTTTAATAATTACAGCTATAGGCCTAACAGTATTTTCAGTAGTATTTATCATCATCATCATCATCATCGTCATCACCATCAATGTCATCATCACCATCATCGTCATCACCATCATTGTCATCATCATCATCAACGTCATCGTTTTCATCATTATCATTGTCATCATCATCATCATCATCATCATTATCATGGTCATCATCACCATAATGTATGAATTTGAGCTCGACCTTTTCCAATTTTACATATTAAATCGTTATATGAATTACTTGTTAATGATCAGAAAACAAAACCTATTTTTGCCTTTATTTCGTTTCCATAAACGATGACTTTATCATTGTCTTAAAAAGGTTAAATAACGTGATACATTACTATTTACCAAAATAAGATGTGTCAGGACCATATTCAAATACAGTGCGTTCAGGAAAAAATGAAACCGAGAACATGAGTATCAATGTTTTATCATAACTTAATCACAATCATAATTAATAAATGACACATATTTGTAAAGCTTAGATCCTCTTCTTTCATCTGATACAACTCATATGATGCACATATATTTCAGAAACTTGGGTGAATAAAACAATTTGAAGAAAGGGTATTTAAGAGTCATTTGGCAAACGGTATCTGAATTTTTAAGGACAAAAATCATATTTCTAGAAAGTTTATTTTCTGCCCTTTCAAATGACATCTCAATCAGGAAAAATGGGCCAGGAATAACAGAGTTCTGTTTGTTTAAAGTAATGTTTGCATTTCCATAATTTTATCAAACGAATCCGTTCCACTGGCTGCCTGCCGTAACAACAAACAAAAAAGACAAAAGACTTCATGCAAGGCTAATCGTCAACAAAACGGAGTTTTAAGTCTTATGTCAACTCTTTTTGTTGCTACGGCAGGCAGCCAGACATATCTCTGTCCATATAGGGTTACGTTTAGATCTCAACATATATTACCCATTACTCCCTCTTTCTGACTATCACTCTCTCTTTCAATCACCAATTTTATCAATGTCCTTCTTCTGAATTCCTTCGTCTCTTTCTCTTTCTCTCAATTTATTTCTCCAGATCTTAATCAATCTTCACCATTGTATAATACAGGTTTTTCTTTTTCTATCAATATATCTTCAGATTTTATTAATCGCTTTCTTTTATCATTCTGTTTCTGTCCCCCTCTCATATCCGATTTAGCACTACGTTGTACATGTAGTGATCCATAATAATTAGTGGGACATTTTTCGGAGGGGAAGGGGGGGGGGGTAGGCCCACTTCAACGTTATAATTTCCATTACTTCAACTTACAATCAAGACTTCGGGAATATCTTTGTTGTCAGTGTGTATTAGGTTTCATTGGGGCAATTAATAGGACGTATATATAATTATGACCGATTGGAGGTAGGACTATTTTTTAGAGGATTTTTTAATAGTAGTTCTGATTTAAATATGTACTCAGAATTAAAAAATTAATAAAATTAATTCAAAAAATGAAAAAATTAGATTATGAAAAACCTACATGCACAGCTTCACAGAACGTTTTATTCTTCCCGTTTACCATTACATAATGTACACATACAAACAACATCAAACTGTTTAATTGAGGGAAGACCAATAGTGATTTATTCAAATATTAATAATGGTTACATAACACATTGCAGAAACCTCAGCGAAAACAAAATTCAAATTGATATTTCCTTTTAAGAATCAGAATTTCAGATAGTGGCCTATTTCATTTTAAAGTAAACTAAGCTTTTTTGAAATACATATTTTAATTGAAAACATAATGAAGCTAGCGGTGCGTTGTTTTTAAAAGACATATATGTGACGTCATTTAACTGATATAATGCTCATTATGGGTGGTTCGCGTTGGATTAACGTATACAAACGCCGTGACTGGTATGATAAAAAATATATTTGATATGATATCTTATCTCATATTCTGTAACATAACTATAAGAATGAATTACTTAATTAACAAAATACAAGAGCAATATCAATCATGCAACAACAAGTATTATAATAAAAGATGATTCGCTATAATGCCAATGTGAATAGTTTGAATTTGGTATCTATGTATGAAATCGTGCATCATTTGAAAATGTGGTTGTTAAGGATTATTGACGTAATGATCTTTCAAATATATTCATTTCCAGAGATGCTTTAGATAACTTATATTGATGAAATTTGTGCTCCAATGTCTTCTATTCATTTTCTCTCTCTTTCTCTTGGAAGGGGTTTTGTATGTTAATATTATTAATACATGGGCCTTTCTACCTTTAATGCATTTCTTTTCTTTTCAAGAAAAAAGAACTATAATAAGCTTTCATATACTATTTCAAGATCTTTATGTAATAAAACAATAAACATGCACTGGATAATCATTCTATTCATGTTTCAGAGTGATATTTTCTTGTTAATTCAAACTTATCTAAAATTGTGTTTAACTTGATAAGGCCTGGGCTTCATTTACAAGCACACGTTGCTTCTTAGAAGTGTTGGCCTATAATGTACTCTCAATTTATCGATTGTACGTACTTGATTTTTTCCTTTAATAAAGCCAAATAAATTAAATTGATTTGATTGAACTTTCCTTCAAACGTTACTCATGTCACAGTAGAATTATTATAGATGATCCCTTATTGTATGGTCTTTCTCCTCATTTTCCAATGCTCAGGGTACTTCTAAGCTACATGTACAGTCGTGTTATCTGAAATAGAATTAAGTAAACAAAGTAAAAAAAAAAAGGAAGAAGGCGTAATGTAATTCCAATAAGCATGGGCCTGTGTGGGGAATGGGGATATACGCCTATATAAAACAAGACAATGTAAATATACATTAAAAACGAAGAGAGAGAATGCTGTAGATGAAGAAAGGGAAAGAAGGAAGAGAGAGAGAGAAAACGAGGAATGAATGGGGACAAAAATTCAGAGTAAAGAGGTTGGAAAAAGTTTGAAAGGCTTGTGGAAGAAATAATTTCATATAAATGAAGGCCACAACTCCATTCTCACTTTACATTTAGATTGGAAAGTGAAATTAAAGGGGCGTTTGGTGGCGGATGGAGGGGGATGGGGGTCGTGAATAAACAATTTTTTTTATAAAAACAATTCCTTCTTTGATTTAAAAAATGTTGAGGATATTGGCAGATGATTTTTATCCATAAATTTTTACTCCTCAGTGCTTACGTTTGATTGCAAGATTACTGTTGTTGTTTTTTATATAATAACTTACGCCTTTAAATTTCAACTTTAGATTGATATTTGGGGTGTTAGGGGAAGAAAGCGACATGGGGAAGTGAGTGAGGCACAGAGAGAGAGAAAGAGAGAGAAAGAGAGAGAAAGAGAGCGGGTGATGGTGTGTGCGTGCATGTGTGCGAAGAAGAGTGTGAAATTGTCAGATTCTTGAGTTGTGCATTTTAGTACTAAAAATTTTAAAAAAATAATAATCACAACAACATCATCATCAATAATATGGACTATTTAGGAAAACTTACAAGAAGAAAAAAAATCAATGAGGGCAGAAGAATGTTTTAATAATGGTATCAAGAATATTTGGTCAATATGTGTCATATTGCTATGTTTCGTTCGGAGAAAAAAAGCCAGTGGGTTAAGATATTTTTTTTGTCTCTAATTTGCATTCTTTTGAAACGAACACAAAGATATATTTAAACAAATGATATACACGGTATTCTCTTAAGTATTGCGATCATACTACAAGGATAGTCAAAGGAACACAGTGTTTCAATTATGGAAGTTATCATAATTATTCTTATTATACGATAGACAATAAACTTACCTTTTATAATCCATAATAGGCAAAGATACTAGATAAGTTGTTAAACCGAGTTTCCAGCTGGAATTTAAAAAAGTAGAGAAACCTGGTTTATAATAATTCTGAATTAAACTAGTGTCCTGTCGTAAAGAAAAGTTCAATTAATACAGAGTGATCACAAGTCTTTGAATCGTTTAGGCGCAACTTACAGAACCCCTATCTACATGTATTTAGTACAGAGTTGCGATTAATATTATAGATAAAGTTGAGCTCTGGGGGGGGGGGGGGGTGTTTCTCTAAGATCCTAAGTTGAACTTATCTCTAAGTTGGACTTAAACATTATAGAAAGCCGTTAGCATCTATGAAAATATTTTGTTATTTAAAAAGGCATAACGTGTTGATTAAAATTCTATTTTCGAGGAGATTTCATGTTCTTGATCTGAAATTTATAAAAAGTCTAAAATACTTGAATTTTCATTTTTGAATATATTTTATTTTAAGGCTACACTTTACTGTGTACTTTACTCGTTGGCAGAACTACGGGGGAATGGGGAACTTACACCCCCCTCCACATCGAATTGAATAATTTGAAAATACTGAATTAAATTCATATATAACCAAGAAAATGAAAGTTTATGAAATGTTATGTAAATAACAACTTGGAGAGAAGCTCGCATTATACGTCACAATGTTAACAATTCCTCGGGGGTTACTGTCCTCGGTGGGGGGGGGGGGGGGTTCTCCGGGAGGTAATTGTCTTTTAGGGTAATTGTCCTTGGGAGCTAATTGTCCTCGGGGGCTTATTGTGCTCTGGAGGTAGTTTTCCGAGGGTTAATATTCAGGGGTTAATCCTGATAGGTAAAGCGGGATGTAACGTCCCCTTAATTGAGTATATAGAAACAGCGATGCCTCTCATAGCAGTCAGTATATCTATACTATTACTATTGGAATTAATACGATGATATTAATTGTTTAATATACAGGTCATATCATCTTACAATCTCCTCCAAGCTCGCAATCTACTCCATAGAATGCTGCAGGACAGAAACAGAAGTAGGAGCCACCGCTTGCTTGGCACAATCCTCCATTCAGACACGGAGACGACAAGCAAACGTCGATTTCTGTGAAAACAAGTTTACAAAAACAAATGATAAAGAATTGAATGATAAATCATTAATATTCATTAAGTCTCAATCAACCAAGGCAGCTTAACCATTATTCTCCATTTATTTAAATACATATTCGACTTGCAACCGTTGATTTCTGTGCATACAAAATAATATACACAAACAAATGTTAAGGAACAGACTGTTGAATAGTTAAAATATTTTGGGTTTTATTGAACCATGCAGGGTAGCATACGAGTATCATTTCATTATCCGACTTTGAAAAGACGAGAGTGATAGATCATTGAAAATATATAACTTACGTAAAAAATAGGTTTTTCAAGGAAGGTGGTTGAATTAAATTATATGCTTTTCTTTCCAAATTCAATGAAAATATATTGCATAAATATGTCTTCTAAGTGGATATAATAAACCAGCGCAAACTCATGGCATAATTTACTTTCCCCTAAATGATGAATAATCATAATTATGAACAGTCACTGTAGTAATCCGTTAAAGAAAATACGGACAGATGTTTCAGAAATAAATATGGTAGTCAGTCCATTACGTTGGTTTAATCAGATGATGAATCAAAAATTTCACGACAGAAGTTTGAAAATCACTTGAACATGCAAATAGTTGTATATCATTGAACATTTCTAAGCGACATACAAATAACTGTCGGATAACAAAGCATGAAACTTCTCTTCAATGATATACAGAATGCAATCTCATGGCATAATTAACTTACCGCTGGGCCATGAAAACTCATGAGAGTATTCACTGGGGTAGTCTACAGAAGAGAAAAACAGTAAAGATATATAATAAATATCTTTCAAATTAAGCCCATTATGCTGCTATGATAACATGGTGACGCTAAAAATAAACAAGAGAAATTTCATGATCCGACTTGGAAAAGACGAGAGTGATAAATCATTGGATTTATATAACCTATATACAAAATAGGTTTTTCAAGGAAGGTGGTTGAATTAAATTATATGCTTTTCTTTCCAAATTTCAATGAAAATTTATTGCATAAAATGTCTTCTACGTGGATAGAATAAACCAGCGCAAACTTATGGCATAATAAAATGATGAATAATCATATGAATAGTCACTGCAGTAATCGGTTAAAGCGAATCCGGACAGATGTTTCAGAAATAAATATGGTATTTAGTCCATTTGGTTGGTATAATCAGATGTTGAATGAAACATTTCACGAGAGAAGTTTGATAATCACTTGAACAAGCTGATAATTGTATACAATTGAACATTTCTAAGCGACATAAAAATAACTGTCAGATAACAAAGCATGAAACTTCTCTTCTTCTTCGTCAATGATATACGTAATGCAATCTCATGGCATAATTAACTTACCGCTGGGCCATGAAAACTCATGAGAATATTCACTGGGGTAGTCTAGAAGAGAGAAACGGTAAAGATATATAATAAATATCTTCCATATTAAGCCCATTATGCTGCTTTGATAAAATAGTGACGTTAAAAATAAACAAGAGATATTTCATAATCCGACTTGGAAAAGACGAGAGTGATAGATCATTGAAAATGTATAGCTTACGTACAAAATAAGTTTTTCAAGGAAGGTGGTTGAATTAAATTATATGCTTTTCTTTCCAAATTTCAATGAAAATTTATTGCATAAATATATCTTCTACGTGGATATAATGAACCAGCGCATACTCATGGCATAATTTACTTACCCCTAAATTATGAATAATCATATGAATAGCCTCTCTAGTAATCGGTTAAAGCAAATCGGGACAGATGTTTCAGAAATAAATATGGTATTTAGCCCATTTGGTAGGTATAATCAAATGATGAATAAAAAATATCACGATAGAAGTTTGATAATTACTTGAACAAGCTGATAGTTGTATATCATTGAACATTTCGAAGCGACATAAAAATAACTGTCGGATAACAAATCATGAAACTTCTCTTCTACTTCGTCAATGACATATAGAATGCAAACTCATGGCATAATTAACTTACCGCTGGGCCATGAAAACTCATAAGAGTATTCACTGGGGTAGTCTATAGGAGAGAAAAACAGTAAAGATATATAATAAATATCTTCCATATTAAGCCCATTATGCTGTTATGATAACATGGTGACGCTAAAAATAAACAAGAGAAATTGCATAATCCGACTTGGAAAAGACGAGAGTGATAGATCATTAAAAATGTATAACTTACGTAAAAAATAAGTCTTTCAAGGAAGGTGGTTGAATTAAATTATATGCTTTTCTTTCCAAATTTCAATGAAACTTTATTGCATAAATATGTCTTCCGCCTCTACGTGGATATAATAAACCAGCGCAAACTCATTGCATAATTTACTTACCCCTAAATGATGAATAATCATATGAATAGTCACTGTAGTAATCCGTTAAAGAAAATCGGGACAGATATTTCAGAAATGAAAATGGTATCTAGCCAAATTGGTTGGTATATTCAGATGATGAATTAAAAATTTCACGAGAGAAGTTTGTTAATCACTTGAACAAGCTGATAGTTGTATATCATTGAACATTTCTGAGCGACATAAAAATAACTGTCGTATAACAAGCATGAAACTTCTCTTCTTCTTCGTCAATGATATACAGAATGCAATCTCATGGCATAATTTACTTACCGCTGGGCCATGAAAACTCATAAGAGTATTCACTGGGGTAGTCTACAGAAGAGAAAAACAGTAAAGATATAAAATAAATATCTTCCATATTAAGCCCATTATGCTGCTATGATAACATGGTGACGCTAAAAATAAACAAGAGAAATTTCATGATCCGACTTGGAAAAGACGAGAGTGATAGATCATTGAATATATATAACCTACGTACAAAATAGGTTTTTCAAGGAAGGTTGTTAAATTACATTTTATGTTTTTCTTTCCAAATTTCAATGAAAATTTATTGCATAAATATATCTTATACGTGGATATAATAAACCAGCGCAAACTCATGGCATAATTTACTTACCCCTAAATGATGAATAGTCATATGAATAGTCACTGTAGTAATCCGTTAAAGCAAATCGAGACAGATGTTTCAGAAATAAATATGGTATTTAGCCCATTTCGTTGGTATAATCACATGATAAATCACAAATTTCACGAGAGAAGTTTGATAATCACTTAAACATGCTGCTAATTGTTTATCATTGAACATTTCTGAGCGACATAAAAATAACTGTCGTATAACAAGCATGAAACTTCTCTTCTTCTTCTTCAATGATATACAGAATGCAATCTCATGGCATAATTTACTTACCGCTGGGCCATGAAAACTCATAAGAGTATTCACTGGGGTAGCCTATAGGAGAGAAAAACAGTAAAGATATATAATAAATATCTTCCATATTAAGCCCATTATGCTGTTATGATAACATGGTGACGCTAAAAATAAACAAGAGAAATTTCATAATCCGACTTGGAAAAGACCTGAGTAATAGATCATCGAAAATGTATAGCTTACGAACAAAATAAGTTTTTCAAGGAAGGTGGTTGAATTAAATTATATGCTTTTCTTTCCAAATTTCAATGAAAATTTATTGCATAAAATGTCTTCTACGTGGATATAATAAACCAGCGCAAACTTATGGCATAATAAAATGATGAATAATCATATGAATAGTCACTGCAGTAATCGGTTAAAGCGAATCCGGACAGATGTTTCAGAAATAAATATGGTATTTAGTCCATTTGGTTGGTATAATCAGATGTTGAATGAAACATTTCACGAGAGAAGTTTGATAATCACTTGAACAAGCTGATAATTGTATACAATTGAACATTTCTAAGCGACATAAAAATAACTGTCGGATAACAAAGCATGAAACTTCTCTTCTTCTTCGTCAATGATATACGTAATGCAATCTCATGGCATAATTAACTTACCGCTGGGCCATGAAAACTCATAAGAGTATTCACTGGGGTAGTCTATAGAAGAGAAAAACAGTAAAGATATATAATAAATATCTTCCATATTGAGCCCATTATGTTGCTATGAATACATGGTTACGCTAAAAATAAACAAGAGAAATTTCATAATCCGACTTTGAAAAGACGAGAGTGATAGATCATTGAAAATGTATAGCTTACGTACAAAATAAGTTTTTCAAGGAAGGTGGTTGAATTAAATTATATGCTTTTCTTTCCAAATTTCAATGAAAATTTATTGCATAAATATATGTCTTCTACGTAGATATAATAAGCCAGCGCAAACTCATGGCATAATTTACTTACTCCTAAATGATGAATAATCATATGAATAGTCACTGTAGTAATCCGTTAAAGAAAATCGGGACAGAAGTTTCAGAAATAAAAATGGTATTTAGCCAAATTGGTTGGTATAATCAGATGATGAATCAACAATTTCAAGACAGAAGTTTGTTAATCACTTGAACAAGCTGATAGTTGTATATCATTGAACATTTCGAAGCGACATAAAAATAACTGTCGGATAACAAAGCATGAAACTTGTCTTCTTCTTCGTCAATGATATACAGAATGCAATCTCATGGCATAATTAACTTACCGCTGGGCCATGAAAACTCATGAGAATATTCACTGGGGTAGTCTAGAAGAGAGAAACAGTAAAGATATATAATAAATATCTTCCATATTAAGCCCATTATGCTGCTTTGATAAAATAGTGACGTTAAAAATAAACAAGAGATATTTCATAATCCGACTTGGAAGAGACGAGAGTGATAGATCATTGAAAATGTATAACCTATACGTACAAAATTGGTTTTTCAAGGAAGGTGGTTGAATTAAATTATATGCTTTTCTTTCCAAATTTCAATGAAAATTTATTGCATAAATATATCTTCTACGTGGATATAATGAACCAGCGCATACTCATGGCATAATTTACTTACCCCTAAATTATGAATAATCATATATGAATAGTCTCTGTAGTAATCGGTTAAAGCAAATCGGGACAGATGTTTCAGAAATAAATATGGTATTTAGCCCATTTGGTAGGTATAATCAGATGATGAATAAAAAATATCACGATAGAAGTTTGATAATTACTTTAACAAGCTGATAGTTGTATATCATTGAACATTTCGAAGCGACATAAAAATAACTGTCGGATAACAAATCATGAAACTTCTCTTCTACTTCGTCAATGACATATAGAATGCAAACTCATGGCATAATTAACTTACCGCTGGGCCATGAAAACTCATAAGAGTATTCACTGGGGTAGTCTATAGGAGAGAAAAACAGTAAAGATATATAATAAATATCTTCCATATTAAGCCCATTATGCTGTTATGATAACATGGTGACGCTAAAAATAAACAAGAGAAATTGCATAATCCGACTTGGAAAAGACGAGAGTGATAGATCATTAAAAATGTATAACTTACGTAAAAAATAAGTCTTTCAAGGAAGGTGGTTGAATTAAATTATATACTTTTCTTTCCAAATTTCAATGAAACTTTATTGCATAAATATGTCTTCCGCCTCTACGTGGATATAATAAACCAGCGCAAACTCATTGCATAATTTACTTACCCCTAAATGATGAATAATTATATGAATAGTCACTGTAGTAATCCGTTAAAGAAAATCGGGACAGATATTTCAGAAATGAAAATGGTATCTAGCCAAATTGGTTGGTATAATCAGATGATGAATTAAAAATTTCACGAGAGAAGTTTGTTAATCACTTGAACAAGCTGATAGTTGTATATCATTGAACATTTCTGAGCGACATAAAAATAACTGTCGGATAACAAGGCATGAAACTTCTCTTCTACTTCGTCAATGACATAAAGAATGCAACCTCTTGGCATAATTAACTTACCGCTGGGCCATGAAAACTCATGAGAGTATTCACTGGGGTAATCTATAGAAGAGAAAAACAGTAAAGATATGTAATAAATATCTTCCATTTTAAGCCCATTATGCTGTTATGATAACATGGTGACGCTAAAATCAAACAAGAGAAATTTCATAATCCGACTTGGAAAAGACGAGAGTGATAGATCATTGAAAATGTATAACTTACGTAAAAAAAGTTTTTTCAAGGAAGGTGGTTGAATTAAATTATATGCTTTTCTTTCCAAATTTCAATGAAAATTTATTGCATAAATATATCTTCTACGTGGATATAATGAACCAGCGCATACTCATGACATAATTTACTTACCCCTAAATTATGAATAATCATATATGAATAGTCTCTGTAGTAATCGGTTAAAGCAAATCGGGACAGATGTTTCAGAAATAAATATGGTATTTAGCCCATTTGGTAGGTATAATCAAATGATGAATAAAAAATATCACGATAGAAGTTTGATAATTACTTGAACAAGCTGATAGTTGTATATCATTGAACATTTCGAAGCGACATAAAAATAACTGTCGGATAACAAATCATGAAACTTCTCTTCTACTTCGTCAATGACATATAGAATGCAAACTCATGGCATAATTAACTTACCGCTGGGCCATGAAAACTCATAAGAGTATTCACTGGGGTAGTCTATAGGAGAGAAAAACAGTAAAGATATATAATAAATATCTTCCATATTAAGCCCATTATGCTGTTATGATAACATGGTGACGCTAAAAATAAACAAGAGAAATTGCATAATCCGACTTGGAAAAGACGAGAGTGATAGATCATTAAAAATGTATAACTTACGTAAAAACAAGTCTTTCAAGGAAGGTGGTTGAATTAAATTATATACTTTTCTTTCCAAATTTCAATGAAACTTTATTGCATAAATATGTCTTCCGCCTCTACGTGGATATAATAAACCAGCGCAAACTCATTGCATAATTTACTTACCCCTAAATGATGAATAATTATATGAATAGTCACTGTAGTAATCCGTTAAAGAAAATCGGGACAGATATTTCAGAAATGAAAATGGTATCTAGCCAAATTGGTTGGTATAATCAGATGATGAATTAAAAATTTCACGAGAGAAGTTTGTTAATCACTTGAACAAGCTGATAGTTGTATATCATTGAACATTTCTGAGCGACATAAAAATAACTGTCGGATAACAAGGCATGAAACTTCTCTTCTACTTCGTCAATGACATAAAGAATGCAACCTCTTGGCATAATTAACTTACCGCTGGGCCATGAAAACTCATGAGAGTATTCACTGGGGTAATCTATAGAAGAGAAAAACAGTAAAGATATGTAATAAATATCTTCCATTTTAAGCCCATTATGCTGTTATGATAACATGGTGACGCTAAAATCAAACAAGAGAAATTTCATAATCCGACTTGGAAAAGACGAGAGTGATAGATCATTGAAAATGTATAACTTACGTAAAAAAAGTTTTTTCAAGGAAGGTGGTTGAATTAAATTATATGCTTTTCTTTCCAAATTTCATTGAAACTTTATTGCATAAATATGTCTTCCGCCTCTACGTGGATATAATAAACCAGCGCAAACTCATGGCATAATATACTTACCCCTAAATGATGAATAATCATATGAATAGTCACTGTAGTAATCGATTAAAGCAAATCGGGACAGATGTTTCAAAAATAAATATGCTATTTAGCCCATTTAGTTGGCATAATCAGATGATGAATCAACAATTTCACGAGAGAAGTTTGATAATCACTTGAACATGCTGATAGTTGTATATCATTGAACATTTCTGAGCGACATAAAAATAACTGTCGCTTAACAAAGCATGAAACTTCTCCTCTTCTTCGTCAATGATATACAGAGTGCAATCTCATGGCATAATTAACTTACCGCTGGGCCATGAAAACTCGTAAGAATATTCACTGGGGTAGTCTATAGAAGAGAAAAACATTAAAGATATATGATAAATATCTTCCATATTGAGCCCATTATGTTGTTATGATAAAATGGTGACGCTAAAAATAAACAAGAGAAATTGCATAATCCGACTTGGAAAAGACGAGAGTGATAGATCATTGAAAATGTATAACTTACGTAAAAATTAAGTTTATTCAAGGAAGGCGGTTGAATTAAATTATATTCTTTTCTTTCCAAATTTCAATGAAACTTTATTGCATAAATATGTCTTCCGCCTCTACGTGGATATAATAAACCAGCGCAAACTCATGGCATAATATACTTACCCCTAAATGATGAATAATCGTATGAATAGTCACTGTAGTAATCGGTTAAAGCAAATCGGGACAAATGTTTCAGAAATAAATATGGTATTTAGCCCATTTGGTTGGTATAATCATATGATAAAATCTCAAATTTCACGAGAGAAGTTTGATAATCACTTGAACATGCTGATAGAACTTACATTGAACATTTCTGAGCGACATAAAAATAACTGTCGCATAACAAAGCATGAAACTTCTCTTCTTCTTCGTCAATGATATACAGAATGCAATCTCATGGCATAATTAACTTACCGCTGGGCCATGAAAAATCATATGAGTAGTCACTGTTGTCGTCTAGAAGAGAAAAACAGTGAAGATATATATAATAAATATCTACCATATTAAAGGGACTTGGTAACATTGTTTAGATAAGATAAAATGCTGCTAAAGTAGTGACGTCAATGCGAGATGTATACAATTCAGGAGAATCTGAATGTTTGAGTGAAAACAGACCATTATTAATGAAAAAAAACTGGGGAAAACTGATCTGATTGATTTCTAAATTCTCCCAACTACACTGTTGGTCACAGAGTCAAAATAATTTTGTTTACCCCAATTCATGAAATGATTTTGACAATAATTTATTCCTAATAGATCTAGATAATAGTATACATTCTCATATTTTATTGAATAATAATTGGCGAGTGTTTTTTTTTTTAGCGTGACTGCTAAAGCATGTGTATGCTACTATATTTATAAATTAGGGGACCTACGTCCTTAGGTCATAACTGACAGTAATGAGGATTAATGCCTCACAAAAGGGCACTGATATAGCAAATCGATAGAATTTTTTCATCCTGGGGCCTCACAGTTACTAGGCCATTGCTTTGCAACTGATTCATGACTGCACGCAGCGGGGCTAGGGTAGGGGGCAGCCCCAACAAGGAAAGGAAAAAAAAGCAATAAATTATCAATAATTCATTGCATTTCCCCCGGTCCCCAACAGGAACAGTTCCTCTGTGTGGCCATGCCTTTATTATACAATTCCAAAAATTGAAGTACTGAAAGATTTTTAAAAGCCTGTTTTATGTCTTATTTTCAGGGGAAAATGGTTTGGAAAACCTCGAGTTAGCTAAAGATTGACGCCTTCAAAGAAATCCATTATTATCTTTGTGGTTTCAGAATTTGTTCAGAATTTTTGGAATGTTAGAGGGTAAGTACAATAAAGGAATATTAAATAATAAGTAACATTCCATACAAAGATTACACATTTAGAGCACATTTTTTGTTTGTGCCGTTAATTTGAAAATTAGACCTACTGATATTTCGTTCAGTGGGGGAGGGGGGGGGGGTAAATCTGTTTTTTTCACCGTTTAGCACACACAATTTTGATTTTTGTAATTATTATTTTTCTTTTTTTCTTCTTTATTTGACAAAAAATGAGGGGGGGGGGTATCCTCCTATAACCACACATTTAAAAAAATTGAGGGGGGGGGGTAACCCTAACCCCACCCCCTTCTTTCCCGTCTGCGTACGCGCCTGGCTATGGTACATATCATATTGGGTGCGGTAGACCGTTTAGTCTGCAAGGATTTACACCTGCAAACGACATCGTTTCAGCCGTTTTCATGAACACGATCACCAAAAAACAAAACAAAAAAAAACCTTCGCATACTTTCAATTCATTAACCCAAGTCACCACATTTTCAAATGTGTGAACAATGCTATGGCTACATACATAGCCGAACACTTATTATTATAGTTAGTATTATTTTTAGGCATTCGGAGATTTTAAAGAGAGACTTAATTGCCAAAACACTTACCGGCACAAACCGTTGTGTAGTCTGAGCAACAATCTCCGGCTCTCTGGCAAAAACTGTCGCAATAACAACCGACACCCACCATATAACCGCAGTCACAGCAATCTTCGCACGACCCTGAGAATTGATAAATCTAATTTATTCAACACTTTTCTTTAAAAAGTCATGCACTTACAAAGAATTCAATACAATCATACTCCGACAATAACACGGGGAAATATATCGTAGAAATTTATGATCAGGTTGGAATATCAAAAAAAAATTACAAAAACCTGTCGTGAGATAAATCTTACACAAAATGCAAACAAAAAGTCAAAAAGAGAACGAAACGATAGAATGTTAATAACAACAATTAGCACAGCGGTTACAAGTTTCCACAAAGAATAATATTTCAAAAATGTTCTAAAAAATGAGAGATAAATAAATTATATTAAAAGCTATTAATCTAGTTGTTAAGATTACATGCATAATACGTACCTTCACTATTTTTAAACTAGTGCCAGGCGCGTACACAGGGGGGAGGGGTTTGGGAGGTTAAACCCCCCCCTTTGGTAATTTGTTTTGTGTAAACCCCCCCCCCCCCCCCTAAATTTCCCTAAAACCCCCCCCCCCCCCTTTTGGATTTTTTTTTTTTTTTTTTTTTATTAAAAAAAAAAAAAAAAAAAAAATAATCCCATGCTGACCTAAAAAAGCTGACTTTACCCCCCCCCCCCAACAGAGCAAAATGTCAAATTTTCAAATTTCGAGACCCCCCCCCCCAAAAAAAAAGTGTCCTCTTACCCCCCCCCCCCCCCCCCCCCCCCCCCCCCCCCCCCCCCCTTAATAAGTATCAGAGTGTATTTTTAGCATTGGTAAAGTTGAAGAAAGTAGATTACATTTGAATCAAATTTTCTCTTCTTTATACAATATTCATTTGAAAATTTCCTTTGAAACTCCTAAATTAGATTGTCACTGTTAGACGAACCAAGGCCATATAATCGGTACATAATATGTGCTTAATATGAAACACGTGGATACTATTGTGCATTTAACATTTTGAGAAACGCCACTACTAATGCTGCTACTGACACTTATTAGTGTCTCCCACTCCCTGGCACAATACCGTAGCATCGTCTCCGGCAAGTGATGTCTACATTTATGAATGAAATAAGAACACTTACCCCTTTGAGCGGAGACTTGATGAGACACGAGTCCAATGACGACCAAGAAAAGTAACAGATGACGATCCATGACGGCCAAATCTTCTTTCTTACGATGAGATGAGAATATCAAATGCAAGGTCTATGTCAAATCTAAAAGAGACGAAGACGACTTGTTTTCTGCTAAGTAATATCTTGGTATTTATACATTTTTAAAGTTTTCTTACTCATTGTGTAGCAGCTGAGGCAACATTTGGGTTCGGATCGAAACATCGATAGTGCATGTAAATTGTCTTTCGTTTCATTTGTCACTTATTGATTGTTCATATAAAACTCAATGTCCATTAGGTGTAAATGTCAAAGAAACTACGCAGTAGAAATAGTTAATGCGTACCCTAAGGACACTGAGTGGGGGGGGGGGATATATACCAAAAAAGGGAGAAGATAATTGTTAGAGAAATGTCAAAAGACATCTTCTGGATGGCGGACTTGAGGGGTCACTTCGAGCCGGAGTGAAAATATCAAAATTAAATATGTAATAGGTTTATCAAGTTTTATTGAAGTTTACAAACAAAACTGCGAAGGTATACAAAATAGGACAGAGGGAGAGAGATAACGATTGACTACGTAATGTTGTTTTTTTCTTCAACGTGTGCTTAACCTTTTCTTTAAGAAACTGAATGAAAGATAGAGGTAGAAAAGTGCGTTTTACCACGCCCTATCAGAATTGCCCAGGGGCTGTATCGACAAACTTTTCAGTTACAATCGCACCTGCCCAACAAGAAAATAAACTTCATGAAATTAAATCTTAAAGCAACGTAGACTCAACGTATGCTTTACACGGGGGTGTTGTTTACACTCTAATAGTACGACCGTTATATCAATATTCAAAAGAAAATAACATGTAGCTAGCAGGCGCAAAGAATAATACAATACCAACATGTCTGGAGAAAAACCGATTACACCTGCTGTTATTTTCTTTGTTTTTGCATGAAATAGTAAATCAATGACATAAAAGTGCACGGTGCCCTTTAAAAAAAAATTTTTTTAAAGGAAATTCAGCCCATTTATCGACCGACTCACACGCAAGCAAGTGAAAAGTTGACTTTATATATCTTATATATCGGCTATAATTACCCTCTACCAATTATTAAGTAATGATTAAAAGGAACGAGAAAGTTAATAATCTTAAATCAATTTGTGGGCATCAAATCTTTTACCTCAGTCACGCCGCCAAACGGGATCTGATCATCTCCGAAGGTTTGCGAGACCGAATATCCGCGAGACCAGGGGCGGTGAAGAGTCTTTAAAAGTGGGGAGGGGGGACCAAAAAAAAGGAATTGGCGTGGGGTCCAGGGCCTGAGCCCCGGCAGGGGATCAAGGGACTGGGGCCCCGGAATCTCAGGATTTTTAGGCATTAAATTACGGTCAGGTAAGCATATTTAGATACCTACGGGGAGTCAAGGGGCAGAGCCCCAGGAAGCCAAGAGGTTTTAGGTATTTAATTATTGTCAAATGAGCATCCAGGGGCCGCCTTAGGGCCCTTGGTGGGGTCCAGGGGGCAGATCCCCCGGAAGTTTTGGCTTTTTAGGTATTTAATTACGGACAGATGAGCATCCAGGGGACCGCCTTAGGGCCATTGGTGGGGTTTGGGGGGGGGGAGGAGCCCCCGTAAGCTCTGCGATTTTAGGCATTTTATTCGGTCAGATGAGCATATTTTGATACCTCATTTGAGACATTGGCAGGTCACTTATTTTTTTCTTTCTCTCTTTCTTTCTTTTTCTCTGTAACATAATTTTTCAAAAAGTGAGGGGGGAATTTGGGAATTTCTATTTTTTGCGACAAAAATATAAAAAGTCATGACCTACAACAAAAGTGAGAAAAAATACCGGAAAATCATGTCTTTTCAGCAACATTTGTAAACTACTGGTATCGAATTAGAAATAACTCCCCCCCCCCCCCCCCATCAGTACGCCAGCGTTCAGGGGCTCATGTCTTCTCACCTCTATCACAAAAAACACACACGCTTTCTCATCCTCTCACAATATTTCCACGATATGCGCGTATCGCTATTATAAAAACCTCCATTGATAAATATAGGTGGCATGCGGAATATTTAGGAAATTTAATTCCTGTTAATTATCCTTTTGTTTGAATGCAATTTTATATGTGATTTAATTCAGGTTTTTATTGTTATGTTCTTTTGGGTTAAAAATACAAACCATCTTAACTCCGTTACTGTTTTTCTTTCTTTTTTGGAGAGGGGGGGGGGGGGCGTTTGGCGGGGGGGGGGGCAAATGCGTTTTGCCCCTCCCCCACCTTTTTGGTTGGGGGCAAGTGCCCCCCTCCCCTCCCCCACTTCCGGCGCCTATGACTGAGAAGCTCTAGTTGAAAGTAGGAATCGAGGTGGCAGAAATAGCACTATTTTCTGTCGACGATAATTTGTATCGGTAGCATCATAGCAATATTACGTTTGGTCACATGATGCTACGATGACCAATCACTGAACAGGATTTCATTGATCAAAAATATAATTTAAGTTATCACATCAGATTCCGTGTGCGTGCATCATATGAATATCTATGACTAGCGCATGACGTATACGTTTCTTTTAAGCCAACCAAATGCAGTGCTAGGATGGCTGGTCTAGGTTAAAAAGAAGACGCGACGGGGAAAATCAATTCCTAGCATGTCCGCGCCTTCCCTTATTATGCAGACGATACAATAGTTCTTGCAAAAAGTGAAAGTGATCTTCAGCTTGCTCTTGATGCAGTATCTGATTACTGTAAAAAAAAATGGTTTCTTCAAGTTAGCACAGCTAAAACCAAAGTTATTGTATTTTCTCGTGGTAAAGTTCGAAAAATTCCTATATTAAAATTTGATCATGATATTGTAGAAGTTGTTGATTAATACGTCTATCTTGGAACTACTTTTAACTACAACAACAAATTTCGTAAAGCACAAATTAAGCAACTTAATAAAGCTAGACGAGCAATGAATAGTCTATTATCTAAAACTAACCAACTGCAATTACCTATTGATATCCTCTTGGAATTATTTGATCAACTTGTGTTGCCTATTCTGCTCTATGGAAGTGGAAAAATAATACTTCGTTTTCATTTTTTAAGTATGTGCAAAAAACATGTTATGAGTTCAATATTAACTTCATGTTTCTCTTCTTTTTTTAATTTTTTTTTATTATCTCATATCAATTTATTAAATTGATATCAAGAATATTTTCAGTAATTTATTAATTCAGATATCAATTTACTGGTGCCAGCAAATTTCTTTTTCAATTGCTTCCATTAATTTCGTCATTAATTATCGTTTCAATAATATTATCGTTTTGTTTTTTATTACTTTTATTATTATCATCATCAATATTGATATAATCATTATAATCATAATTTTTCTCACTATTGTCGATAGTGTTATTTTGTATGGATAAACATTAATTCTATTTGTATTGTATATTTCACAGTGTTAAATTGACAAATTCAAACTGATTGTAAACTTCTACAATACCCCAATGTGGGTGACATGAGAATAAATTGTCATTGTCATTGTCATTAACATTCTCCTTGTCATTGTCATTGTATAGCCCATTGTGTTAGCTGCGCGCTGTGAACAAACTGCGCACCATTGTTGCGTCAGAGTACTGCTATAGAAACGTGCTACCTGTTGACCAATTTTGTGCCCCCATGGTGTATTTTGTTCTCGATTCTGTTTGCTCTATACAATCGCATTTTCACATGGACAATATAGGACACTAAGTGGTAAGCCGTATGATTTATTCCTTTTCTTCGGCTTTGATTTGTTTTCGTTTTGCACACGTTTTTTTTTCTGTGTTACTTTTCTTGTACATGGAAATCGGACTTAAAGCCTCCGATCTTCTGGTATTTTATAAGGCAGGTCATCCATGAACATCCAGTTCCCATTTATATCATGAGTTGCTTTCGGATTCCTTGTATTAGAGCGCTTCTTGTTGATCCAAGATAACTTGTACAATATGATTACATTGGTTGCATGACTCATTTTACCGTTTAATTATTACATCTAGGCCTAACAGAAACAGTATTCTCAGAATCATTAGCAAATATTCATCACCATCGCCATCATCATCATAATCATTGTCACCATTATCATTGTCATCATCACCTTTATCGTTTCTTCAACATCAGCATCATCATCGTTTTCATCATATTCATTGTAATCATCATCGTGATCATCAACATCGTTTTCATCATTATCATCTTCATCATTATCATAGTCATCATCATCATCACCAACATGACTGTATGGATTTGAGCTCGATCTGTTCTTATTTTTCATATAAAAATGTTAATTTTTATCTGAGATACTTGTTAATGATAAGAAAACAAAACCTGTTACTGCTTTTATGTTGTTTCCATGAACGTTAAACTTTTCATTGTCTGAAATGTCGATACATTACTCTGAAATAAGATGTGTCAGGACCATATTCATATAAAGGCGTAGAAGTAGGCGAATGCACTGTTCGCCGAAATGTCCATACTGGCGAATGCAATATCCTGTGTCCATGCAGGAGAGGGGGGGGGGGGGGGGGGGGGGGGGGAGTAGACACCAAGTGCACCTAGCTCCTGCTATTACGTGATATTAAAGATCTCATTTTGGTCTAACTTACTGACAGAGTTCAGCTAAAATTACAATGGATTGGTGTCACTCACCGGATGCAAAGGGTTTTCGTTTTACACTAAAGCTATGAATTTTGTCGGGCTCTGTTTGTACACAGTTCCTCCCCACTGGCAACTTGTACCCCTATTAGAGTGTTTGACCTATAATCCGGTAACGGTCACCCCTAGTCTGGTAGTAAAGTGGGAGATTTTTTATTTCTTATATTTTGTTCGGTATATTGCGATGGCCAATTCACTCGTGAGACTTGCCCGCTAGATTTTATACACTGAAAAGTGTAATTTGGAGAAGTGGTGTCAGCCCTTTGGTCGAATTGTGCCTGTGCTCATTTAGTATTTTAGTTTCTACCTTTTAATCTCTCTTTCTCTCCCATTGTCTTCTTCTAGGTATCTTCTCATCAAAGTCCATTTCTGATGTTTGTCTGTCCATAGGTTACGGTTAGATCTCACCATATATTACTCTTTAACATCACTCTTTCTGAACATCACTCCCTCTTTTACTGAATTACTTCGTCTCTTTCTTTTTCTCTCAATTTATTTCTCTACACCTTCATCAATCGTTACCTTTGTATACAGGTCTTTCTTTTCCTATCAATATATCTTCATATTTTATCCATCGATTTCAATTATCTCTTTATGTCCCCCTCTCATATCCGATTTAGATAACTTGAAGACTTCGGGAATATTTTTGTTGGGGGTGAATTAGCTTAGGTTTCATTGGACCAATTAATGTTACGTGTATATGACCGAAAGGAGGTAGGACCATTCATTTATAACTATCTGTTATTAATAGTGATTTTAATATATATTCAGAACTAACAAATAAATACATTTTTAATGAAAAATTTAATTATGATTTTTCATGACAGATTATTTAATACTACCTAATGGACACATACAAACAACAGCAAACCGGTTCATTGAGGGAAGACCAATATTTATTTATTATTATAATAATAATGATTACATATTACATTGCAGAAACCTCCGACAGATGAATAATTCAAAATCATTTTTCTTTACGAATTCGCATTTCAGACAGTGTCTTATTCTATTTTAGAGTAAACTAAGCTTTTTTGAAATAGATACAGTAATTGCAAACATATTTTGAAGCTATCGGTGCGATGTTTTTAAAGACGTTTGGAACGTCACTTAAGTGCTAGAATGTTCATTACGGGTGGTTTGCATTAGATTAATGTATGCAAATTTGTTTCATATAAATCAGTTTTAGGAAATTGTATTTTAAATTATGTAACATAAATATGAGAATGAATGAACAATCAGAATCGAAGAACAATATCGATCATGCAACAAGTATTATAATCAAAGACGATTCACAATAATGCCAATATTTACGGAATAGTTTGAATTTGGTATGTGTGGATAAAATCGTGCATCAATTGAAAATGCCACTATTAAGGATCGTGGTTATAATAAGGATCTTTCATATGTACTCATTTTTCAGAGACGCTTTAGATAATATATATTGATGAAATTAATGCTCAAACGCCTCCTTTCCCTTTTCTCTCTCTTTGTCTTGGAAGGCGTTCCGAATTTTAATACATGGACCTTTCTACCTTTAATGCAATTTTTTCTTTTCAAGAAAAAACAAGTATAATAACCTTTTAATATACCATTTTAAGATTTATATATAATGAAAAAAAAATTTGCACTAGATAATCATTCTACTCATGTTTCAGAGTGTAATTTTCTTGTTATTCCAAACGTATCTAATATTGTGTTTAACTTGATCAGGGCTTCATTTAAAAGCACACATTGCTTCCTAAAGGTCCTGGCCTGTTATTTACTCTGTGTTTATCATCTGTACTTGATTTCCCTTTCAATGATGCCAAATAGATTGAGTTGATTTGATTGAATTTTCTTCAAATGTTACTCATGGCACGGTGGAATAGATGATTCCTTATTGTCTGGTCTTTCTCCTCATTTTTCAATGCTTGTGGTACTTCTAGGCTACAGTCGTGTTATCTGAAATAGAATTCGATCCAATCAATTAGATTAAAAGTAACAGTTATTTCTTATTTTTTATATTAGCAATATAAATCAAATTATATCATGTATTTTTGTTCTCCTAATGATCGATAACTGTTATAGAGCATATTAACACGAGGAAGAAGGCGTAATTTAATCCCAGTTAGCATAGGCCTGTGTGGGAAATCGGGATATACACCTGTATAAAAACTAGACAATATAAATATACATGTTGGATCGAAAGGAGAGAATGATGAAGAATAAGAAAGGGAAAGAATGTGTTGGAATGGGGCAAAGAATTTAGAGTAAAGAGGTTGGAAAAAGTTCGAAAGGCTGGAGGAAGAAATATTTACATAAATTATAAATGAAGGACACATTTCCATTCTCACTTTACATTTAAATTAGGGATCGGGAACAAAAAATATCAACGTTTGAACAATTCATTCTTTAATTTTAAAAATGTTGGGGTTATTGGCAGATGATTTTATCATAAATGGTTTACTCTTTGGTGCTAACTATTTGTTTAAAAGTTTACTGAATTATCTGTCTGTTTTTTATTATAATAACTTACGCCTTTAAATCTGGATTAATAGATTGAGATTTGGGGTGTTATGGGGAAAAAGAGGTAGGGGGAAGTGAGAAAGAGACAGTCGCGACTCGTGTGGGCGTGTATGTGTGTGAAAATGAATGAGAAATTGTGAGATTTTTGTGTTGGGCAATTTACTACTAAAAAATTATTTATAAAATAATAACATCGTCAATAATATTGCTTATCTAGGAACGCTTATGAAAAATTGTTTTCCGACCATACTTCAAAAATATTCAAAGGAACATAGTTTTTAAACCCTGAAAGTTATCATATTCTTATTACATGACCGCTAATAAACTTACCGTTCATAATCCATAATAAGCATAGATACTATAGGATAGTTGTCGAGTTCCAAGCTGGAATTTAAAAAAGTAGAGAAACATGACTTATAGTATAAGATAATTAAAGTTTTCTTTGTTAAAATGTTCTAATTTTCTTAAATTTTCTAACTCTTCCTGTCCCTGCATTGAACCATTCCAACACTTTCCTGACAATGACATTGGTACTGATGCACATGTCATGTACAACTAGGAAATGGGTTAAATATTAAATGATTTTAAAAATTAATGATTGAATGTTAACTAAAGACATGTAATAAGTGCCAGATTTGCACCGTGATAGAGTCGAAGCCTAAAACATTTTTGTGCAGACCAATATTCGTGATTAAAACAAAAATTAGTTAGTGCTCCCTAAAGCATAAAATATTAAATACATTAGTGCTATCCGAACGAATAGACCCTCACCCATGAAACCCTAAAAAGAATCATGCAGATATCATCCAGTTTTGGAGGATTTGTCAAAGTGTGTATCTTTTATACGTGCTTTATTCTGCGCACAATTATCGTCCAGGTTGTACTTAGCTGAGCTACAATGAATGATAGAGGGCCAATGAATTTCTTCCTTCAGGGTACCTTTTTTTTCCGCCTGGGTAGAGAGTGGTAAACAATACTGTCTAATAAACACATGTGTGGCGTAAACAGACCTTACAAACTCCCAAACCGGAAACAAGTTAGTGTTGAACACTGTCTCAGTAATGACCTATTACTTAATAACTGTTGCTATTACTATCACAAGTGCTTTTGCTATTGCTATTACTAATTATTACTGTTACCATTGTAATAATTTACAATGGCATCTCTCTAAACGGAAACATGGATAAGAGTCTTCTCCCCTAAAACACTCTCCACCATTCTACTTGGCTACAGAAAGATAAGAAACGCTCCTGTTTCCATATAAAAGACGAAAGGTTCTTACTCTATATTTCCTTCGTTTTTGTGACGTACCCTGTCATTACTACTGAACCAACTTAGTATGAATTTAGAATATAGTATTGTACACGGAATTTTTGGTTTTCTGAATAGCTCTTGTTGGCATTGGAATGACCTTTTCTTCAAGTAACATCAATTGAATTCAATATTGAAATCATATGTTTGCAAACCATTCCATCGGTGCAATATTAAATTCAGTTGAAATAAAACAAATTTTAAGAAATTCATAGATGATTGATTAAAAATTAATCAAATCATCACAAAGGAATATAGTTTAAGATGTACTTAACTCTAGTCCGATTCCTACATTAGAAAGATGATACAGATTTTCATTCTAATATTTTATGAACGATTCTTAGGTAATACTCAACGGAACGTACGACCCTTCCTGCAAATCCGCTTTTAGTATTATAGTTAAATCGATTCAATTCAATTCACTTTATTCGCACATTTGATTAAAAAATTCGCAATAACGAGCATTAACAATGGAAAGTAAATTCCAACGAATAATACAACAGAAGTATCAAAATGTGGGGGAGGGGAACAAACAAAGGTCAAATCACTATCAAAGGCTTGTCCCTAAACTATATGAGTAAATATATATAAATTAAGTTGTACAAAAGCAAGAAAGAGAAAAAACAATGCAAACGTACCGCTTTACAGACCCAGAGGGTGTTTGCTTTAATGAGATTTGTTTAAACTAGATAAAGAAGGGCGATTCTTTTTTTCAGACCCAAGACTTTTCCACAATTTCGGAAACAGTGTTCCTCAAGATCTTGTATTTGAGAAGTATCCTGAGGATCTCACCTCCTTGTCTTCTTTGGTTATTTCAAAATTAATTTCATGTTTGAATTGTGAAATTGTTTTATCAGTGAGATAAATTTTCATTAAAATCACTTGAAACGGATTTTGAAGAGTACAGTTTTAGCAATATTCAATACTAAATTTGTCAAACCATGACTGAGAAGCAAACTTACCCTGATGATATTCACAATGCTCTCCATAATATCCGTCCGGACAGAAACACGAAGATGAATTTCCATTGCTGTAACACGTCCCACCGTTCAGACAGGGTGCAAAACTACACGGGTCGCTCCCGTTTCCTATTTAAGAAAGTTGATGAAGATTGTCACTATTATATTTTCTGAGCAATGAGGAAACAGTCAACAGACGCTATGGCCTCCCAGTCAGATTTGTTTTTTGAGGGTCTTAAAGATACTATGTCCCTTTTGTAGCGAACATCAAATTGTGTTGAAATTTGCAGGACTAATGAATATGTCATGTATGTCCTGTCTGTAAAATGTAAACGTTAGCAGTGTCCTAATATTCAAATTATGCAAGGAAACCTAATAGTCGTTATTTTCACACTTAAAGACATTTTCAAGCCCACTTTGTTCAGGAAAATTCTAAATAAGTGTTATCTTTCAAATGCAGTGGGAATTTAACATTTTCGTTTATTTGGCCTGCAAATGGGACATAGTACCTTTGATGTTTAGGCGACTTGAGCCTGAGGATCTCCTCTTTTTCCCTTCTTTGGTAATTTCGAAATTAATTTCGTTTTTTAATTGTGAAAATAGTTTATAAGTGAGATAAAGTTTCATCGAAATCAGTTGAAAAGGAATTTGAAGAGTACAGTTTCAGAAATATTCAATACTAAATTTATCAATCTTTGACTGAGAAGCAAACTTACCATGATGGTATTCACAATGCTCTCCATAATATCCGTCTGGACAGAAACACGAAGATGAATTTCCATTGCTGTAACACGTCCCACCGTTCAGACAGTGTGCAAAACTACACGGGTCGCTCCCGTTTCCTATATAAGAAAGTTGATGAAGATTTTCACTCTTATATTTCCTGAACAACGAGGAAAAGTCAACAGACGCTATGGTTTCCCATGCAGATTCGCTTTTTTTTAGGGTCCTGAAGATACTATGTTCCTTTTGCAGCGAACATTAAATTGTGTTGAAATTTGCTGGACTTATGAATATGTCATGTATGTCCTATCTGTAAAATGTGAACGTTAGCAGTGTCCTAATATTCAAGTTATGCAAGGAAACCCACACTTAAAGACATTTTCAAGCCCCCTTTTTTCAATGAAGTTCTATATTAGTATTGTCTTTCAAATGCCGTGAGAATTAAACCTTTTCATTTTTTGGGACTGCAAATGGGACATAGTACCTTTAATGCTTAGGCGATTTAAGCCTGAGTATCTCCTCTTTTTCCATTCTTTAGTAATTTCAAAATAAATTTCATGTTGGATTGTGAAAATGTTTTATAAGTGAGATAAATTTTCATCGAAATCAGTTGAAACGGAATTTGAAGAGTACAGTTTCAGCAATATTCAATACTAAATTCGTCAATCATTGACTGAGAAGCGAACTTACCATGATGGTATTCACAATGCTCTCCATAATATCCGTCTGGACAGATACACGAAGATGAATTTCCATTGCTGTAACACGTCCCACCGTTCAGACAGGGTGCAAAACTACACGGGTCGCTCCCGTTTCCTATTTAAGAAAGTTGATGAAGATTTTCATTCTTATATTTTCTGAGCAATGAGGAAAAGTCAACAGACGCTGATGAGGCACTCCACACAGATTTGCTTCAAGTAGAATAAACAGTATTCGTTAAGATCATGCATTTAAGGAGAACTTTTGTTGTTGTCTAAATGCTTAGATGATTTGAGCTTGAGGATTTCCTCTTTTTCCATTCTTTGGTAAATTCAAAATTAATTTCATGTTTGAATCGTGAAATTTGTTTCAAAAGTGTGAAATTTTTTCATTGAAATCAGTTGAAACGGAATTTGAAGACTACAGTTTCAGCAATATTCAATACTAAATTTGTCAAACCATGACTGAGAAGCAAACTTACCATGATGATATTCACAATGCTCTCCATAATATCCGTCTGGACAGATACACGAAGATGAATTTCCATTGCTGTAACACGTCCCACCGTTCAGACAGGGTGCAAAACTACACGGGTCGCTCCCGTTTCCTATTTAAGAAAGTTGATGAAGATTTTCACTCTTATATTTCTGAACAATGAGGAAAAGTCAACAGACGCTGTGGCACTCCATACAGATTTGCTTTAAGTAGAATAATCAGTGTTTGTTAAGATCACGCTTTTAAGGAGTTCATGTATTTTTGTCTAAATGCTTAGATGACTTGAGCATGAGGATCCCCTCTTTTTCCCTTCTTTGGTAAATTCAAAAATAATTTCATGTTTGAATTTTGAAAATGTTTCAAAGATGAGATAAATTGTCATTAAAATCAGTTGAAACGGAATTTGAAGAGTACCGCTTCAGAAATATTCAATACTAAATTTGTCAAACCATGGCTGAGAAGCAAACTTACCATGATGATATTCACAATGCTCTCCATAATATCCGTCTGGACAGATACACGAAGATGAATTTCCATTGCTGTAACACGTCCCACCGTTCAGACAGGGTGCAAAACTACACGGGTCGCTCCCGTTTCCTATTTAAGAAAGTTGATGAAGATTTTCATTCTTATATTTTCTGAGCAATGAGGAAAAGTCAACAGACGATGATGAGGCACTCCACACAGATTGCTTCAAGTAGAATAAACAGTGTTCGTTAAGATCACGCTTTTAAGGAGAACTTTTTATGTTGTCTAAATGCTTAGATGATCTGAGCTTGAGGATCCCCTCTTTTTCCATTCTTTGGTAAATTCAAAATTAATTTCATGTTTGAATTGTGAAAATGTTTCAAAAGTGAGATAAATTTTCACTAAAATCATTTGAAACGGAATTTGAAGAGTACAGTTTCAGCAATATTCAATACTAAATTTATCAAAACATGACTGAGAAGCAAACTAACCTTGATGGTATTCACAATGCTCTCCATAATATCCGTCTGGACAGAAACACGAAGATGAATTTCCATTGCTGTAACACGTCCCACCGTTCAGACAGGGTGCAAAACTACACGGGTCGCTCCCGTTTCCTATTTAAGAAAGTTGATGAAGATTTTCACTCTTATATTTTCTGAGCAATGAGGAAAAGTCAACAGACGATAATGAGGCACTCCACACAGATTGTTTTAAGTAGAATAAACAGTGTTCGTTAAGATCATGCATTTAAGGAGGACTTTTTTTTGGTCTAAATGCTTAGATGATCTGAGCTTGAGGATCCCCTCTTTTTCCATTCTTTGGTAAATTCAAAATTCATTTCATGTTTGAATTGTGAAAATGTTTCAAAAGTGAGATAAATTTTTACTAAAATCATTTGAAACGGAATTTGAAGAGTACAGTTTTAGCAATATTCAATACTAAATTCATCAAACCATGACTGAGAAGCAAACTTACCATGATGATATTCACAATGCTCTCCATAATATCCGTCTGGACAGAAACACGAAGATGAATTTCCATTGCTGTAACACGTCCCACCGTTCAGACAGGGTGCAAAACTACACGGGTCGCTCCCGTTTCCTATTTAAGAAAGTTGATGAAGATTTTCATTCTTATATTTTCTGAGCAATGAGGAAAAGTCAACAGACGATGATGAGGCACTCCACACAGATTGTTTCAAGTAGAATAAACAGTATTCGTTAAGATCATGCATTTAAGGAGAACTTTTTTTGTTGTCTAAATGCTTAGATGATCTGAGCTTGAGGATCCCCTCTTTTTCCATTCTTTGGTAAATTCAAAATTAATTTCATGTTTGAATTGTGAAAATGTTTCAAAAGTGAGATAAATTTTCACTAAAATCATTTGAAAAGGAATTTGAAGACTACAGTTTCAGCAATATTCAATACTAAATTTATCAAACCATGACTGAGAAGCAAACTTACCCTGATGATATTCACAATGCTCTCCATAATATCCGTCTGGACAAATACACGAAGATGAATTTCCATTGCTGTAACACGTCCCACCGTTCAGACAGGGTGCAGAACTACATGGGTCGCTTCCGTTTCCTATTTAAGTAAGTTGATCAAGTATTTTACTCTCATATTTTCTGAACAATGAGGAAAAGTCAACAGACGCCGAGGCACTCCATACAGATTTGCTTCAAGTAGAATAAACAGTGTTCGTTAAGATCATGCAGTTAAGGAGTTCATGTATTTTTGTTTAAATGCTAAGATTATTTTGGCCTAGGATCTCCTCTACTGCCTCCTTTGGGAATTTCGAAATTGATTTCAAGTTTAAATTGCAAAATCGTTTCATCGTTGGGCTAAATATTATCGAAATGAATTGAAACAAGACTTGTCGAATACAGTTTCAGAAATATTATGTACTAAATATGTCAAACCATGACTTAGAAGCAAAATTACCTTGATGATATTGACAATACTCTCCAGTGTATCCATCTGGACAGTAACACCAAGATGAGTTTCCATAGCTGCTACACGACCCACCGTTCAGACAGGGTGCCGAACTACAGGGATCGCTCTTCTTTTCTGTATGATAAATATACAACAGGGTACTTTTCTTTCCTCCATTTTAACTTAACCGTGTGTTACGTTTGGATAATAAGATTAGGAGATATATCAAAATATACGATTAATTAGAAGTAAAGGACTGGTATTCCAGTCGTTTATACACTTGAATGGAGATGCACAGGTCGTGGGTTCAAACCATACATGTACATGGCACTTTTGTCCTCGAGCAATATATTTTTCTTGAGAAAATAAACTCAACGTCGCTTTTCTTCATCCATGTGTTAAATAGATGCCCAGTATTAAAGATGCGAAAGTCATTGTTACTCTGCCCAGCATCGTGATTGCCTAAACAAAGGCGCCTGGCTGGAATGCTCCTCCTCAGACGTATGCCTTATAATTATTTGGTTACATTCCGAAAATGGCTCATTGTGCTTTACTTTTTAGTTGTTTCCATATCATATACGAATATAAAGCGTCCCATGTTTTAAAAATGTGTACACACACCCACACACGCAACAACATATACACACACACGAACACGCAGACCGTTGTATACACCAAACGTACACACATAGTTATTTCAACTGAGTCTGTCTGGCCTAATCCGTTTCAACGTTGTAGCTATAATTAATTGTCACCATTCAGTTTCGAACTAACTGTGAGTATTGAAGGTTTGCATAAATTAATAAGTTACCTTGGCATCTATCCCCAAAATACCCAGAAGGACAGGTACATGTGAACGTTCCCCCAACACTGTCACAGAATCCACCGTTCTGACAGGGTGTTGACTCGCAAGGATCTGTAGAAACACCAAAGTTAATAGGCTGAGCACATAATATCAGCAGGCACAGACTTGAATTTATCACTAGAATACACTTCCATATCAAGCCTTCAGCTGCACCTAACACTAGTCTAGGGCTGCGTCAGGGCAGCCATGGTAAAGATCCTATTGAGTAGACCGTTTAGTCTGCAAGGGTTTACGCCTACAAAATATATAATTTCAGCAGTTTTCATGAACACGATTAATCAAAAATCAACCTTCGCATACTTTCAACTCAGCCCTAGCCATCACATTTTGAATTGTGCGAACAATGCCATAACTTCAAAGACAGCCCAAACATTATTTTACAAGGTGTCATTTTGCGTCCACTAGCCTATTTCGACGTGTAAATCTAAAAGTCCCTTTTACCTGCGCTAATTTAACATTGGAAAGCATACAATTAATGCGATACGTCATTATTACGACAGTGTGTGCACTGTTATTAAGCACTCTGTCATTGTTCATTTTTTTAAAAGCCATACAACTCGTTGGCGCATGCCTAAAGTTAGGCAGTTTACGCCTCGTGTTTAACGAGCTTTAAATTGAGAGAAGCGAGGTAGCCATGCTAAAGAACATAGTTAAAGGTAATGCAGAAAATGTGATAGATAGTAATTCTTTAAAATGTTGATATATTTGGATACCCCTGTGAATATGTTATAAGCACTGGGAATTTTAGCCCTTAAAACACTTCTGCTTTCGAGAAGTTTGAATTATCAAAATTTACCGGTGCTCCCGGTAAATTTCAAATATTTAAAATAGCGCCTAAAGCCATTCCATGGTAGCTGCGACCATGATAATCTCATAATATGCAGTTCTGATATATAATTTCCAAACGATAATAGCAGAATAGCAAATCGTTCGATTGTAGTCAAATAACATTCTTTTAAAGCTAAAATAATATCAGTCTTGAGAGGGAGCTTTACAACATGAAGAGTATATTATTTACAATTTCATCACTTTAGACTCGATTATCACCGCGAAAACGCTCATTGAATATTGTAAAATCGCATACGCTTCCAATAATTATATTAATTTGAACCGAATTCAGGACCCCATACTAAAACTTGGTATTTACTTTTTATAAGACAATGTCCTAGGAATTCTCTATAATTATAAAAAAAAATAGTTGATCTATTTAGGCCTACAGAGATTTAATTGCCCAAACACTTACCGGCACAGTGCGTTGCGTAGTCTGAGCAACAATCACCGGCTGTCTGGCAATAATTATCGCAATAGCAATTATTGCCACCCATAAAGCCGCAGTCACAGCACCCTTCGCACGACCCTGAAAATGAATTAAATCAAATTTATTCACCACTTGCCTTTAAAAAATATATAATGCAATCACAAAGAATGCAATACATACATAGCTAACAATAACACGGACAATACATTGTAGGAATTTATGAATTGGTTGAATCTTAAAAAGTTCACAAAAACTTATATTAGGTAAAGATTATCTTAGACAAAACGCAAAGAAACATGTCAAAACGACAACGAAATGATAAAATAATAATTACGAACATAAATAGCGGTTATTAGTTTCCACAAAAATAATATTAAGAGAATTATCTTTAAAAACAAGAGATAGATATGCTTCAGCCATTATTTCATTTGTTAAGATTCCATGTATATGCTCGTATCTTCCCTATTTTTAAACTAGGATATTTTGTATATATATAATATGTGCAAAAATACTTTTTTAAAGGGTAGTAAGTAACAAATAACAAATGCCAGGCTGTAATATAAGCATCATAAAGATGACAAAAGTAGATTTCAATTAAATTAATTTTGTCACCACTCTATACAAAAATCCTTTGAACAAAATCCTTTGAATTTTAAAAATTAGGTCTTAGACGAACCAAGGCCATAAAATATGTACATATCTGTGCTTTATATGAAACAAGTGAATACTATTGTGCATCGAACTTGCCAATACATTTGAGAAACGCCACTACTAATGCTGCTGCTACTGACACTTATTAGTGTCTCACACTCCCTGGCACAATACCATAGCATCGTCTCAGGCAAATGATGTCTACATTTATGAATTAAATAAGAACACTTGCCCCTTTGAGCGGAGACCTGATGAGAAACGAGTCCAATGACGACCAAGCAAAGTACCAGATGACGATCCATGACGGCCAATTCTTCTTCCTACCGATGATATGAGAATATCAAATTGAAGGTCTATGTCGAATCTAAAAGAGACGAAGACGACTTGTTTTCTGCTAAGTGGTGCCTTGGTATTTATACATTTTTAAGGTAATTTTTTCTCATTGTTTAGCAGCTGAGGCAACATTTGAGATCGGATCGAAACGTCGATAGTGCATATATATTGTCTTTTGTTAATTGTTAACTTATCGATTGTTCATATTAAACACATTTCCCTCAAGTGTAGATGTCAAAGAAAGTACAGCTGTAGAAATAGTTAATAGTTGTTAATCTTTTTTTTAAGTTCTTGTAAATTTGAGATAACTTGCAATATGGCTGCATTTCATTTGTTTGCGAACTTTTGTAAAGTTTGAAACGTCTGTTCCCATTTTCAGCACAATTCATATTATGTTATGCTTGTTTTTGTTTTTTAATCTTTCGCAGAGTATGATCACTGATCAATTGTACTGACTTTTTGTATTGATCCTGATTTTGTTTCTAATTTACCTGTTACAAAGAAGCTTAGATTAAACAAAAATAAGAAGATAATTGTTAGAGAAATGTGAAAAGGCCCCCCCCCCCCCCCACTCTGGGGTCTGAATGACCGCATGCGTGTTACCAAAATGTTCGGTAAAGGGGTACTTTTCACGCACCAAAGTCCGGTCCGTACATACACACAATTGACTTTACACACCGGACTTAGGGGGCGTTTTCAAAAGAAGGGAACACGCATATGCGTAACCTAAATAACACTGAGTGGGGGGGGGGGGGGGGCCGGGGAAAAGGCATCTTCTGGATGGCGGACTTGAGGGGTCACTTCGAGCCGGAGTGAAAATATAAAATTCAAATATGTAATAGGCTTATCAGGTTTGTTTGAAGTTAACGAAGAAAAGTTCGAAGGGAATCAGAAAAAGGAGAGAGGAAGAGAAATAACGATTGACTACGTTTTTTTTTCTTCAACGTGTGCTTAACCTCTTTACGAAACTGTATGACAGGTAGAAGTAGAAAAGTGCGTCTTAAAGGCTACATTTTGATGATGTTATTATTGAAACCATTTACTGGTCTGCAATTATGGTATAGCTCACACCGAGAAGAGCTCGCGTTCAAAAATGACCCGACCAAACAAAAATTGGCTGTCTTTAATGACGTAAAGTGTAATACCCGTCACATTTCGGTAATCTTAATACCACAGAGCTTAGTGAATACGCGCAAAATTTCGTTGTGTGCAGTTGTACCCGACCAGACGCGATGACCCGATGATCCGACGTAACCCAGAATGATATCGCGTCCGGTCGGGTGGTCGCGCTATGAAAAGTTGAAAATGTAGTTATGTTCATACTAAGCATATTTGTACCTTGTGTCACGTAATGCAGCGTTAAACAAAAACAAAAACTTTGACCGAATTCATCTATCTTGGTATCGATTTTCACAAAATAAGATCCACCTTGCACTGGTTCCTATGAGTTCAACCCCATTTTACTGTAGGAAGAATGCTATTTCTTCCCCCCCCCCCCCTCCCCTTTTTTTGTACGGGACGGAAGGGGGTTGGGACCGTGTTTTACACAGAATGGCCAAAGATCTGTCGATTTAAAAATCGATTTCAAGTCCGCTTGGTGGCGTGACTAATGTATAAGTTTTGCCGCCCACAAATTGATTTGAGTGTAAACTTACTAGTTTATTTTAGTTATTCTTAATAATTGGCACTGGATAATAATAGCCGACAAATAAAGTAAACGTTTCGCTCGTTTTCGTGTGAGTCGGTCGATAAATGGGCTAAATTTCCAAAATGGCACGCCGTGCATTTTTATGTCAATGGTTGACTATTTCATAAAAAACCGAACTGGCAGCAGGTGTATCGGTTTTTCTCCAAACATGTTGGTAGTTTATTTTTGCTTTGAACCTGCTAGCTATTAAGTGTTCTTTTCTTTTTCATATTGAAATAACGATCGTACTATTTGGATTAAACACCACCCCCGTGTAAGCAAACGTTGAGTCCTCGATATTGTTAGATTTAATTTTATGAAGTTTATTTTCATGTTGGCCAGGTGCGAATACTGAAAAGTTTGTCGAAACAGCCGGCAAAAATGTTTTTTCTCCAAACATGTTGGTAGTTTATTTTTGCTTTGAACCTGCGAGCTATTAAGTGCTCTTTTCTTTTTCATATTGAAATAACGATCGTACTATTTGGATTAAACACCACCCCCGTGTAAGCAAACGTTGAGTCCTCGATATTGTTAGATTTAATTTTATGAAGTTTATTTTCATGTTGGCCAGGTGCGAATACTGAAAAGTTTGTCGAAACAGCCGGCAAAATGTTTTTTCTACAGACATGTTGGTAGTTTATTTTCTTTGCACCTGCTAGCTATTAAGTGTTCTTTTATTTTTCATATTGAAATAACGATCGTACTATTTGAGTTTAAACACCACCCCCGTGTAGGCAAACGTTGAGCCCTCGATATTGTTAGATTTAATTTTATGAAGTTTAGTTTTATGTTGGCCAGGTGCGATTACTGAAAAGTTTGTCGAAACAGCCGGCAAAAATGGTTTTTCTACAGACATGTTGGTAGTTTATTTTTCTTTGCACCTGCTAGCTTTTAAGTGTTCTTTTCTATTTCATATTGAAATAACGATCGTACTATTTGAGTTTAAACACCACCCCCGTGTTAGCAAACGTTGAGTCCTCGATATTGTTAGATTTAATTTTGTGAAGTTTAGTTTCATGTTGGCCAGGTGCGATTACTGAAAAGTTTGTCAAACAGCCTCTAGGCTCGTTTACATATGGCCTGGTAAACGTCCGGCCAAAACAAGATGCCGCGGTTTGTTTAATTCTTTTATGTGTAAATGAATGACAACTGTGAGTAACAAAGTTCCTGCTCGTATTCACTCAGCTCTGCGTTATTATAGATACAGAAATATGACACGTATGACACTTTAAGTCTTTATAGACCGCCGATTTTTGTTGCCGGTTCACACCTGGACGAACCCTTGACGTGAACTACAGACCATAATGTACAGACAACTAAATGGTCCCAATAATAACAATATCTAAATGAAACCTTAACGACACACTTTTTCTACTCCTACTTTTCATTTAGTTTCTTAAGCAGATGGTTGAGCACACGTTGCCAAACAAATTAACACCTACGCAGTCAATCGTTATCCCTATCTCTCTCTCTCTCTCTCTCTCCTATTTCTAAATACCTTCGAACTTTTGTTTGTAAACTTCAATAAAATTTGATAAGCTTATTATATATATATTTTTTTCTCACTCCGGCTCAACGTGACTCCTCAAGTTCGCCATCCAAAAGATGCCTTTTCACATTTCTCTGACAACTTTTTTTTGAAAATCTAAGCTCTTATGTATTTTTTTTTAAATGTTTAAATCAGGATCAGAACATTTATCGGGATTAATTTAAAGTAAGTACCATTTATCAGTGATTAAACTGTTTAAAAGATTTTAGAAAAAATATTTTTAAAAAGATAACATTATGAAACTTGCTGACAATGGGAACAGGCGTTTCAAACTTTGCAAAAGTTGGCGCACAAATGAAATGCAGAAATATTTTAAGTTGTCTCAAAAGCACAACAAAAAAACTTGTTACGTATTAACAAATATTGAGGATTTCTACAGGTCACTTTCTTTGGCATTAACACTCAATGGGCATTTTTGTTATGAGCAATATATCAGTTTAGTTATTTATTAATAATATTAACCCTTGCATGCATTATTGACGTTTCCATTCGAGCTCAAGTGTTGCCTCAGCTGCTAAACAAAGAGAAAAAATGAATTTAAAAATGTATAAATTACCATGTTGAACACTCTTTCACAACGTTGCATTAAATATTCTCATCTCATCGTTAGAAAGAAGATTTGGTCGTCATGGATTGTCGTCTGGTACTTTGCTTGGTCATCATTGGACTCGTTTCTCACCATCAAGTCTCAGCCCAAAGTGGTAAGTGTTCAAGTCCACGTTCAAGTTCAAGACACAATTTGTCATATTATGCTGGGGGGCACAAGTCTAAAAGAAATTACAAGCCTTCTCCCTTGAAAACAAAAGTTCTCCCAATTTTAATTTTCATTTTATTTGTTTAAATCTCCCTTTAGAAATCGCCCACTGCCATGCTTATACCTCCCCTTGAAGAGTATTTGATTTTTTTTTTAGCGATATATGGATATAATCTAAAGAGCAGAACAAAAGTTTGCAGGAGTCGGGTCACAAAGTAACTACCATAAATGATAATAATTTTAACTTATAAAGCGCACATATCCATTCTAAAAGACTGCTCAAGGTGCTCAAATTAAATTGGTTAAATGACTATCCCTTTAATTATGATTGTTGTCCATTTGGTAACGCACATAATTTTGTCACGGGCCTATTAACACTACGTGAACAAAGATTTGATTACGTAACATTCAACATTCTATTCACCCTTGTATATTGTTGCTGATTTATTTGCGTGATTGTTACATTGTATTTGTATCCTGACAAGGGTCCTTGAGTTTTTGAACCATTAACTGATTGATTTATTTTATTCATACATCATGCAAAATTAACGAAGCACAAGGCATTTCTGAAAATATTATAATTTCTTTAAGTAAAAAATCCTGAATCATAGTAATTAATGACGTGAAAAAATGTGCTGTAAATCATTAAATACGGAAATGAAAAGTGAACCTACTTGAAAGATGGAATTGTTCCGTGTGGGTTTACTGAATTAAACTACTGATTTCATAGATAGAAAAACAGAATACACATACACGAGACTGAGACAAAAAACAGAAAGGAAACAAAATACAAAATATCACAGCTAAAAGTGGGAGAAAGAGAGAGAGAAGTCGAGAGGGGAGGGGGAAGAAAACAAAAGTGATTCAGATAGTTAGGTTAATAGATAGGTAGATATTGGTGGGTAGATTATAGAGAGAGAGAGAGAGAGAGGGGGAGATGAAAGAAGAAAAAAATCAATCAATAAGGAAATAAAGTAGTAGGGAGTCAGAAAGGGACTGGAAACTTCTCTAAATATCGTCTTAGTAGGGCTAAAATATTAGTAGTAGTAGTAGTAGTAGTAGTAGTGGTAGTAGTAGTAACAGCAGCGGTACTAGCAAAAGTAGTAGCAGTAGTAGTAGCAGTAGTACTAGTAGAAGTAGCCCTAGCAGTAGTATGAGAAGTAGAAGCAGTGGTACTAGTACTAGTAGTAGTAGTAGTAGTAGAAGTAGAAATGCCTCCGCCACCGAAGGTGGTGCCGGAGGCATCATGTTTTCGGGTTGTCCGTCCGTACGTCCGTACGTCCGTCCCGTTTGACCGTTATCACAATATCTCAAGAACCATTTAAGATTTAAACTTAAGACCCGGGAATAGTATTTATCACCATAGGAAGACGATCTGATTAGATTTTGGAGTACGTAGGTCAAAGGTCACAGGTCACAGAGGTCAACTTATGAAATTCCTTGTATTGAGTTTGTTAGCGCGATATCTCAAGAACCATTTGAGATTTAAACTTCAAACTTAAGGATAGTATGTATCACCATAGGAAGACGATCTGATTAGATTCTGGAGCACGTATGTCAAAGGTCAAGGGTCACAGAGGTCAACTTATGAAATTCCATACATTGAGATTGTTATCATGATATCTCAAGAACCACTGGAGATTTAAACTTCAAACTTAGTGATAGTGTGTATCACTATAGGAAAACAATCTGATTACATTTTGGAGCACGTAGGTCAAAGGTCAAGGGTCATAGAGGTCAACTTATGAAATTCCATACATTGAGATTGTTATCATGATATCTCAAGAACCACTGGAGATGTAAAAACTTCAAACTTAAGGATAGTATGTATCACCATAGGAAGACGATCTGATTAGATTTTGGAGCACGTAGGTCAAAGGTCAAGGGTCACAGAGGTCAACTTATGAAATTCCATACATTGTGATTGTTATCATAATATCTCAAGAACCACTGGAGATTTAAACGTCAAACTTAATGATAGTGTGTGTCACCATAGGAAGACAATCTGATTAGATTTTAGAGCACGTAGGTCAAAGGTCAAGGGTCACAGATGTCAACTTATGAAATTCCATACATTGAGATCGTTATCGCGATATCTCAAGAACCACTGGAGAATTTTCACTTCAAACTTAATGATAGTATGTATCACCATATCATAATATCTCAAGAACCACTGGAGATTTAAACTTCAAACTTAATGATAGTGTGTATCACCTTAGGAAGACAATCTGATTAGATTTTGGAGCACGTAGGTCAAAGGTCAAGGGTCACAGAGGTCAACTTATGAAATTCCATACATTGAGATCGTTATCGCGATATCTCAAGAACCACTGGAGAATTTTCACTTCAAACTTAATGATAGTATGTATCACCATAGGAAGACGATCTGTTTAGATTTTGGAGCACGTAGGTCAAGGGTCACAGAGGTCATCTTGTGAAATTCCATGTCTTCAGCTCGTTATCGCGATATCTCAAGAACCATTTGAGATTTTAAACTTCAAACTTAAGGATAGTATATATATCACCATAGGAAAACGATCAGATTAGATTTTGGAGTACATGTATGTCAAAGGTCATAGAGGTCAACTTGAAAAATTCAGACTACATGTATAGGACTTGTCATGATATGTCAAGAACCACTTGAAATATGTTCCGTTACTTAACCTGTACTTAACTGGGCTATTTTAAGCACCTCCCTGACTGGGGGGGGGGGAGGGGCCGATTGCCTCGAAATTTGGCACGCGTCTTGAGAAATTGCGCAAAGGAAGAGACCTCACTATTATTTTGCTGAAAATTGCTTATTTTATCAATTATGCTAATTTATGCAATTGCATAAAGGAAGAGACCTCACTATAATTTTGCTGAAAATTACTTATTTTATCAATTATGCTAATTTATGCAAATCAAATTCATGAATAATGATTTTTATTAACAATTACATAAATAAAGCTTTTACAGAGTTGATTTTGTGGCAAAAAGTTTCTAAAAAGCCTATCGGGCATTATCACATAAAAAAATTGTCCATGTCTATTTCAATTCTTATGTATTTCATTGTTTTATGAACTTCTTTTGTATTCTATTGTTATTAATTCTTAATTTTATGTATTGTATTGTTTTAGGACTTCTGATACTTGAGGTTGTTACGTATCAATATTTTGCTTGAATAAATGATAACTAAACTCTTAAGAGTAAAATTATGCTGATTTATAGACCAAACTAGAAACTTCACTTTGCCATTCATTTTGTACACAAAATGACAAATTTCTCAATTTTCGGCTTGACCTTAGGTTACAATAGGTCAAGTAACTCTCTAGCTGAATGTCTGATTTTCAAAAACTTGGTGTCAAAAGATCCGTAAGACTTGAAAGAAAAAACTCATGAAGCAGCATCGCCGAAAACATGGCGGTTCATGCGCAACAAAATTTGTTTTGGGGGGGGGGGGGGGGCCTCCGAGGCTCCCTCCTCCCTCCCCCCCCCCCCCCCAGTTAAGTAAGAGTTAAAAACTTTTTTTAAATATGATAATGTGTATCACCTTAGGAAGATCATCTGATTTAATTTTGAAGTGTCTAGGTCAGAGGTCAACTGACAAAATTTTAGGTACATATAGCTTTTTTAATGCAAAACCTCAAGAACTGTTTGATATATTTCCTTCAAACGTGATGATAGTGTGTATACCCATAGGAATACAATTCGATTTAATTTTGTAGTAACTTGCTCAGGGGTCATAGGTCACAGAAGTCGACTCATAGAATGAATTTCCAGGAGTTGGCTTTTTTAAAGTTAAAATCTCTCTAACCACCTACATGTAGACATATAAACATAATAGGTAGATGATCTGATTACATTATGGACTAATTACATGTAGGTCAAATGTATAACCATAGGAAGACGATTCGATTTTTAGAATACAAAGAAAAGAACGGGATGGGTGGGGGTAAAGAAAAATCATTTGACAGTGATCATTTTTACCTCTGACATTTTTTCCTCCGACCTTTTTATGCCTCTGTTACAAAGTAGCCGGAGGCATTATGTTTTCGGGTTGTCCGTCCGTACGTACGTACGTACATCTGTACGTACGTCTGTACGTCTGTACGTCCCGTTCTCGTGATCGCGTTATCTGAAGAACCGATTGATGGATTCCTGCCAAACTTTGGTCATGTATGTATCTTGCAGAGCCGATGAACTGATTAGATTTTGCGGTCACAAGGTCAAAGGTCAAAGGTCACAGGGCTCATTATGTATGCAAAAACAGCTCGTGATCGCGTTATCTCAAGAACCGATTGATGGATTCCTGCCAAACTTAGGTCATGTATGTTACTTGCAGAGCCGATGAACTGATTAGATTTTGGGGTCACGAGGTCAAAGGTCAAAGGTCACAGGGCACATTATGTATGCAAAAAATAGCTTGTGATCGTACAATCATTAGAACAGATTGATGGATTCCTGCCAAACTTCATTTATGTATCTTGCAGAGCCAATAAACTGAGTAGATTCTTGGTTCATAAGGTCAAAGGTCAAAGGTCATTGGCTCATTATGTATGCAAAAATAGCTTGTGAAAGCATTCTCATTAGAACTTACAGATGGATTACTATTTAACTCAGGACATCTTGCAGAGCCAATGAACTGAGTAGATTTTAGGGTCATGAGGTCAAAGATCAAAGGGTCATATATGTATATGAGAAATTGCTTGTAATCACGATATTCTGAGAACCTGTTAATGGATTACAATTGAACTGGAATTTTAAAAATTTCTTCTGTTTTGGTTTCTAAAATTGCTCTATGACGGAGGCATCATTTTCGACTGCGCGCAGTCGAAGTTCCATCTAGTTTTAAGATAATTTTGTTTAAATTATTTTTGTGGAAACTAATAACCACTGTGTTTATGTTTGTAATAATCATTCTATCATTTTGTCGTTCGTTTTGCGTAAAATCATCTACCTACAAATTTCTGTAACTTTTTGATGATCCAACCAATTCATTTATTCCTACAATGTTTGTACTGTATTCTTTGTAATTGCGTGATTTTTTTTTTAAAGGAAAAAGGTGAATAAATTTGACTAAATTCATTTTCAGGGTCGTGTGAAGGGTGCTGTGACTGCGGCTATATGGATGGCGGCATGGATGGCGGCATGGATGGCGGTTGTTATTGCGATCATGTATGCACGACATTGGATCTTGATTGTTGCTCCGACTACACAACACATTGTGTCGGTAAGTGTTTGAGCAATGAAGTTTCTGTATTATAAACTCTGAAGGTCTATAATAGATTAACTGATGTTAATTATAGTAAATTCATATTGGGCATTGTCTTAACTATGTTAACATGGCTACTTCGCTTCTCTCCACTTAATGTTCGTTGCACATGAGGCGTGAACTGCCTGACTTTGGGCATGCGCCGACGAGTTGCACGCCTTTCCCCGCACTGTGACAGAAATATATTGTTAAAATGAATAGTGTATTTATTGATATCTTTAAATAATTGCGTACACGCATTTATTGCCTTCCAAGGTTTAATTTACGCAGGTAATAACGCGATCGAGGTGACACATTGTGAAATAATGTTCTGGGATTTCTGGATTTGTATGAATTAAGTCATGGATTTGTTCACATTTCAAAATGTGATGGCTATATAGGGCTAATGTATTGAAAGTTTGAGAAGGTTAATTTTGTGTGATCGTGTTCAGAGTACCAGAGTGTCTGAACTGTGAGACAATGCAGACAAATCGGTATACTGCACCTCATAGAAATTGTACCATAGCTCAGGGATTTGCTTGCATAGTTGCTCCTGACACAGCCCTAGACTGACAGTGTTAGGTGCAGCTGAAGGTTTGATGGAAGTTACATGGAACTGTATACGAGTGACAAATTAGAGTCTGTGCCTGCAGGTATTATGTACTCTTAACTTTGATGTTTCTACAGACACAGTCAACCCTTGCGATTCGGCACCCTGTCTGAACGGTGGATCATGTGACAGTGTGACAGTAGTCAATAACCCGATCACACGACAAGATCACGTGTACGCATCCTGTTCCTGTCCTTCTGGGTATTCTGGGGAGTTTTGCTATGGTAACTTATTTATTTCTTCAAAACTTTCAATACTTACAGTTAGATCAGTTCAAAACTGAAAGGTGACAATAAACTGAGGATACGACGTTGAAAAGAATTAGGCAAGACAGACTGAGTTGAAAGTTTGTGGGTGCGTGTGGTGTATATATTGTAACAAAAGATTCTATGAATGGTTGCTGTAAAACCTTGATTAATTTGTATCGTATGTATACTGTATATGCTATTGCTAATAAATACCTCGAAAGAGGATGAGAAGAACAAAAATATTGTAACATAAGTGTGAGCGTGAGCGCGCGTGTTAGTGTGTGTGTGTGTAGTAGGAGGGCGTTGTTGCGTGTGTGGGCGTGTGTGTGTGATTGTGTACATATTAGAAGGGACAATTTATTTTCGTATAGGATATGGAAACAGCTGAATGTTATGAATTCAATAACCACTAAACAGTAATCCACAATAAGCCATTTTCGTTATGTAACCAAATTTAATGCATACGTCTCTGTGAAGTGCCTCAAAACGAATGATATCATTAACCTTTTAGGAATAGTTCTATTTCAATAGTCTGTATGCAAATTGCATAAATTACGTGTTGTTAGGTAGGGCGAGCCATAATGTTTGTCATACATAGTATACAAATATACACTGTCTTGAGAGGTTCTGGTTAAAACTATGCGCAAGAGGTGACTCCAATAGTACTATTTGCTGAGGGGCGCAGCCCCGAAGCAAATGGTACCTTTGGAGTCACCGAGGCCCATAGTTTTAACCAGTACCGCGAATAGAAGGCATGGTATATTTGTTTTATATCCTGCATCAAAAATTTATTTTATTTAAAAAAAAGCATAAAAAATAAACATTTTTGGGAAGAAAAACAATTTAGAACAAAAAAACTGTCAATTTTTATCTAAAAAGATTTAAAGTATTTTGTTTTCGTTAAATTAAGATTTGAAAAAGAAAAAGAAAAAATCAATTTAAAAAAAAAAAATTCACATTTGTTTTTAACTCCCAAATAGTACTCCCCAATAGTACTCCCAAATAGTACTCTCAAATAGTACTCTCTAAAAAGAGTTCAAATATTTCTGGCCATGTGACAAACTCTCAACCAATTAAAAGCCAACAAATTTCTGATGCAGGATATAACAACAACTAATTCATGCCATTCGCATTCTGACTAGCCAGATTATTCGTAACAATTATTCGTAACAGTTAAATTAAATCATTTGTATGGAGGTATTTCTCAAAGACGTATGCATTAAATTTGTTTCCATTACGAAAATGACCTATTGAATAAATGGATTTACTTGATCGCCTACAGTACGAGGTCAACAGTTAACAGATAACTTCCTCTAAACTTTCCGAGGTTTTACGAGACCGATACCATGACTCTCGTGCACCGTCGGCCCGCTGGAATATCCCACTTATTCAGGTCTAATTTTGTTTATCCCTTGAATTGACAGAGTTCGACCCGTGTTGGTCCTCACCGTGCATGAACGGTGGTGAATGTATCGCCCTGTACTTCCGTTCCGGTGTACCTTATTATTGCGGCTGCCCATATGATTACAACGGGTATCACTGTGAAGGTAAGCTCTGGTTTGATTTGGTATGCAAATGTGTACAGGTAATATGCAAGTTTGTACTGGTGATGTAAACTTTATTCAAATGATGAAATTTGTTACATGAGTCTGAATTTGCGCCGCCTTGGCTTTTTCTTTACAAATTATATTACTGTGCGCCGTTGGTCTACTGGGATATCCCCACTTCATCAGGACACCGTTGCACAAAACTTCCCATCGATGGTAACTTTGCCATCAATGGCAACTACCATGGAAACCTTGGTTTTGATTGGCTGTTGAGCCTGTTACTAGGGTAGATACCATTGATGGCAGAGTTACCATCAATGGTAAGTTTTATGCAACGGGGCCCTGGTCTAAATTTGTTTATCCCTTGAATTCACAGACTTCGACCCGTGTGCATCCTCACCGTGTTTTAACGGTGGTACTTGCTACCCGGACGAAACCGATGGCGACGCACCTTATTCTTGCACCTGCCCATTTGATTACAAGGGGGATAACTGTAAAGGTAAGCTCTGGTCTGATTTGTGATGCAAATGTGTACAGGTAATATGCAAGTTTATAGAAATAAATGCAATATTATTTACATGGCGAAATTTGTTACATTATCATATTGAATGTCACTCTAACACTGCCTCTTCTTTACGAATGTTATTCCTGTGATTGATAATAATTGTTTGTTTCCTCTATTTTTAAAGAGTATTATAAAATCAACTACATATATTTCGCCGCTCGGCTATGACCGGGATCATAATCCTGGAGCCCCAGCACCCAGGAGCGTAGCGTTGTGATGGGCATTTGCGTTATATAAGAAGTCATCATTATGATTCTTATTTCACTAATCTCCCTAAGTAATTTGTAAACATATTCAGTGTCGATATGATTATGATATATTGGCCGTAGAATTTAAAACAATATTAATATTAATATTAATCACATCAAGTACTGACATTATTTCGATCGTTTTTAAAAGGACTTCAACATCAGCATTTTGAGTCTCGCTGCGATTATGATAAAGGCCTATTAGTCATATAACTTAAAACAATATTAACAGTAATCACATCAAGAACATACATAATTAGATCGTCTTCAAAAAGTCTTTGACATCAGCATTTCTTAAAGGAGTACATGTACATGTACATTTTGTTTAAACTGTTATGAAAAGCGACGGACAGAGAGAGAAAGAGTGATAGAGGGGCATAGTTGGAAGTGATTTATCTTCAAACGCCTATGTTAGATCAGAAATACACCATGGGGCTTCTTGGCAGACCTTTTATTATTATCACACACATGATCAATGTCTAGGATAGAATTGATAATAATAATAATAATGATTAGCACGATAAAAAGTTGAGTTATGATAATAATAATAATAAACAAGAATGAGATATCTATATTTTTAAAAATGAATGATAACGGTAATAATAACAATGATAATAATGTCAGTGGTGTTTTGTAAAGCGGTCGTGTCTCGCTCATTGCTACTCCTGGCGTTCCATTGTTACTATATACTCCAGCTTTAGCACGGCTGCCATTAAAGCGCTAGAGAATAATAAGGAATTAAATCCTGCCAAGTACTCATTTATTCCACCTTGGTGGAGTGTGACAAAAATAGACTATAATTAATGCCTTGCCAAAGAACATTAATGCAGGGATTGTAACCCCGTACCTTCTGGTTCACAATTGGGAGTATTATCCACTGGACCACAACACCTCTACAATTAATGGACAAGTCATGATTTCACGCTTGGTGTTGGTGTTCAGTGTTGGCGTTTCGAGACAAAAATTATATTAAAATCGCAAACCGCTGTTCAAATTAACGCCACGCTACTGATATCCCAACAGAGCGGATCGAAAACTAAACACGGTAGTGGTGTCAGCACCATTCTCGACCAAGAAAAATATTTCATTCATAATACATCACATATTACTCTCAAATCTCATTGAATCACACGAGCATTCCCTTATATTTTAAAACAACTCCTCTTTAATCTTCAGCGCCGTAAGAAATCTCAAGAAAATCGATACTTTTTATTGGAACATAACAGTAAGGTTAGATCTCAATTCGCGAGAGTCTGTTAAATGTTAACCTAGATTCTCTTCGTTAATGTTAATTTGTAAAACTAAACAATTTGGATTTAATATGTGCAATACTAATACTGACTCTATTTATCACAACTTAAAAGCTATAATATCCCAAAGCTAGTAGCACAAACACCGACACCGATCGTTAAATAAATATTTCTTAATCGCTAGGAATATAGTGTTAATACATGGGAACTTGTACGTGAAATTAAACACCAACTGCCGAGCTCGGTTAAGCCGACGACATTCGATGAAAATTAAACAACGACAGGTATACGTCAGAATACCCAACACCGACTAGCTTAGGTTTTGTTTTTTCCATTTCATGTTCGGTGTTAAATCATAATTTCGCGGCAAAATAAATATTTATATAAGATAGCTTAGACAGATACCGAGATGTGATTGGTCCAGAGCTCGTCACGTGATATCAATGCGAGGATCCAAATTGTTATATTTTCCTGGTTGGTTTATATTTTCCTGGTTGGTAATATGTTACCGGCTGGTGAAAAAAAAAATTAATGAATTTTTTTTTCCCTTGAAATTATTTTTCCCTTATTTTTTTTTTTTTAATTGAATTTTTATTTTTTCCTCAAAAATGCTTTTTGGGGTAAGATTTTTGGGGGGTACGGTTTTTCTTTTTCTTGAACTATCTCGACAGATTATTTTTCCGTAATTTTGATTGTCCTCGAAAAAAAAAACCAATGCTATCATATATAACAGTTATTGACTGGCAGGGGGTTTACAACATTCTTTGGACCTGAAGGGAGTTATATTTTCCCTCGTGACCACTTGGGAAATATAACTCCCTTCAGCGCTCCAAATAACGTTATATTACACCCCCTGCCAGTCAATAACTGTATAATACCAAAGACCACACCGAGCGTAAAATGACTAACGGAGATCACTTTAAGCTGGCTAATTATAGCAAGGTTCTATCACTTGATTCTCAATCCAAGAGTTGAGGTTTCGAGTCCCAGTCCGGCAACAACGTCCTATAGCAAGTCATTAATCTACATTTGCCACTCTCTACTCAGGTGTAAATAGGGGTAATACTAATTGCATGGTCACAGGAAGATCAGCATTAAGATTATTATCACTATTAGTAGTAGTATTACTATTATTATCATTTTTGATATGATAATTATTATTATATCCCGCATACTAAAAATCTTGCAATCTGATTGGTCTAAACGAGGTCACATGATCAATGATAGATAAATACTATCTCCATGCGATAGGACTTTTGTACCGTAATCTTTTGCTGCTGCCCCAATTGCCCATTGAATAAGCATATAGCGCATAGCAAAGGAGGTAACGCGAAATGTCAATGTCAATGTCAAATGAGCGCGCATCGACTTTATTATATGACGTGCATGTTGTGCTTTGTAAAATCTAGCTGAAGCTAAACTGTCTGCAGAATCAGTTCTTTTAATTATGTAACATTCACTTTAAATAGACATTATTACCGATGTGGGATATAAAACGAATACTAACCTCCTTTACTCGGGCAATGGATACAAACTATCATCGCCTCGGTAATCTCGGGGCTACCATCATCCCTCGTAGTCGATTAATATTTGCTTATTATTATGTACTAGTAAACGATTATTATGAAATGAAAAGTAACAATAAAATGATACAACTGTAGGCCTTTGTAATTCTGTCTTGGTAAATTAAGTATTGAATCTGAGATAGTCGGTGCGACAGGCTCATAATCTGTTAGATAGCATAGATATTCAATATCCTTTCTACATGGACATGGTCACAATGGTATAGACTTTATATATTCATTTATGTATCGTGTGACCGAGACTTGTGGTAAAAAAGGTGTGATTCAAATTATCTTTTTCATTTTTTGTTTAATAAATTAATAGACCCATGTCTGTCTGCTCCCTGCCACGATGGTGGAACAAGTCACAATGAAAGAGAAAGAGAGAGACAGAGAGTTGTACGATTATTTATTTATTATTTTAGGTAATAGTGTTTGAAATTGTTCTTTTTACATTTTTTCTTTCTTCAATACAGTCAACAACAAGTGTGTGTCATCTCCTTGCCTCAATGGTGGAACCTGTATTAATGAGGTAAAATACGACATCTACAGCTGTTCCTGCCCAAACGGCTTTAGTGGATATCTCTGCGAATCGAAGGTTGAGAAAGGTGAGATATCCTTTGAACCTAGGTACAAGCTTATTAACACACCACATTTCTGGAAAAAAAATTCAACGGTTGTTTCCATGTAATTCGCAACGTAGCACCACAATCACGACATTAAGGTTACCTGTTGCATTCGCTACTCATTAAGCTAAGTACATTTATTTCACAATTAGGTTATTTACATATCAAATAAAGACGTGAAGAGAAGATTACGTTCTGGGAAAGTTTTTGAGGAAAATTGTTTCTCTTTCATGTAATTTCTCGATCTAAAAAAACATCTGTAACGGTTTTTCCTGCTTTTTTACTCCAAATTACACATAATAATAATAATAATAGGCATTTGTATAGCGCCGTCTTTCTAGACAATGTTATTCCGAGGCGCACAAGAAAAATAGAAAGAATGGGAAAGTTTGGACGAGAAAAATCGGATGATTGTCACAGTGCCAAGTACAGATATTGTTGAAAAAGATAAGATTTCAGTTAGGATTTAAAGGTCTCTAAGAAAGTTATGATTCTCAAACTTAATGGTAAATTATTCCAAAGACAAGGTGCTGCAGATGAAAAAGCCCTTTCACCACAGGCTACTCGTGTCTTTGTGATCTTAAGAAGGTGCCGGTGTGATGATATTAGATTACGAGCTGGTGTATAAGGCATAACAAAATTCCATGTGAGGAGAAGGATTTTTAATTATATGCGCTTGCGGATTGGCAACCAGTGCAGCTTTTGAGAACAGGAGAAATGTGATCATATTTAGATGTCCCTGATAAAACCCTGGCAGCTGCATTCTGAGCATGTTGAAGTTTGTCAAGATTGCGTGAAGTAATATTGAAAAGAAGAGCATTGTCGATATTTAATCGAGATAAAACAAATGCATATATAAGCAACGTTGTGACTGTCTTTGCTTTAAATGTATAATCTTTCTTGCAAATATTGATTAAGTATGATTATTAACAATTAAACGAATCTAACAAGTTAGTTTATCGCTGTCATTTTCAGTTCCTTTGATAGGAGGAACCTGCGAAGGAAAATGCGGACTTAGCGATGGAGAATGCCGTTGTGATTCAGGCTGTCATATATTTGGTCAATGCTGTGTTGACTTCGATGAGTACTGTGGGTCAGGTAAGAGTCGTAGCGTTAAATCATTTCGCTTCAAACTTTTCCCTCCCACGTACAGTCTCTACGAGAGGAAAATAATTTGAGCTTCATGAAATGCCTGACCATCCGAAAGCAACTTCCGGTGACGTTACCATCTCTCTCAAGTAGCTTTATGTGAAGGGTTATACCACCGTCAAACCAAAAAGACGAATAACAGACCGACCCCAATAATTACATTACACCGAATGGGGAAGGATCGGCTTAGAGTCGGTTTGGCGGTGTGCCTGAGGTTGACTTCTTTTGATTTCATACCAACGTTTTTTCAATGTATAACAATAAAAAATGAAGACTGTGGGTGGAGAATAATTCGAAATATTCCAGTACGAATTGGGGAGTGGTTCACAAAAACTATGATCGACTCCCACCATTTACTGGCATTGATCTCTCAAGGTCAGTCAAGGGACTTACAAATCATGGTCACAAATCTCCAGAATTTACATTTGTTGATAATTCATTATTAATCATTGAAAAACAAAATATTATCTAGAGATCATGATAGTGAGATAAAACAGTAAAAACAAACAGCCTTGCCATAGTTAAGTCCAACTTAAAGTTGATCTTGGTCTAGTAGTACTGTCAGTGGTACGCTCAGTTTTCTGTCCTTGTCTATAAATTGACTCTGAAAAAACCCGGTTAAAAACAAACAGAACTCTTTGGCAGGGGCGGATCCAGCCGGTGGCAAGAGGGCGGGGGCAAATATTGAGAATCAGCCAGCCGGCGAACGGCGAATAAGGGGGGGGGGGGGGGGGGGGGGGTGTAAGAGGACATTTTTTTTTTGAGGGAAATTTTTTGCGCTGACTAAGCCGGCCGTTGAATAAGCGGGGGGGGGGGGGTGCTGGAGAGGAGGACCACTAATTTCTTCTTTTTTTGGGGGGGGGGGGTACCATTTTGAAAATATTTTTTAAAATCATTTTTCTTATGATTTTCAAGGGGGGGCCAGCCTTTGGTTTTTGTTTTAAAAAAGGTTAAATTTACGTTACTATTCTTCTCTTTTTTTACGGTTTTGGGGGCAACTGTGCATCCCCATTCAAGTGTTTAAAGCCATTGAAATACGACACCTTTACTTCTAATCATACATTTTAATCTAGCTCGAAACTTATAATACAAACATAACATTAGGATGAATTAAAATGGAGTAAATCAGAGTACTAGCTACCCTGTTATTTATTCATTTGTCTCCGAGACAGGATGGGACCATTGTTTTTCTGCACCCTGTCTGAACAATGGGACGTGTGACAGCGATGGAGACTCATTTTGGTGTTCATGTCCACATTCATATTATGGAGCATATTGTCAAAGTCAAGGTAAGACGGTTTCTAAGTCATGGTTTATAAAATTTAGCATTAAATATTTCTGAAACTGTATTCTTCGTATTGCGTTTTAACCGATTTTGATGATAATAGTTCTCACTAATGAAATGGTTTCCCTATTCAAACCAAATCAAATCCGAAATTCCCCCAAAAGGAGAAAAGCAGGAGATCGACAGGCCACAATAATCCAAGCATCAAAACAAACAAAAACCAATGTACTCCTCAAATACAAGATCGTAGACAACACTGTTTATTATCCTGGAAGCAAATTTGCAGGAAGGGCCATATAGGGTCCGATTACTTTTCCCTCATTGTTCAGAAATTAGAGTACAAATCGTGATCATCTTTTTGTTCTAAACAGGAAACGAGAGTAACCCTTGCCTTTCCGCACCGTGTCTGAACGGTGGGTACTGTTATAGTGAATACTTATATAACTCAAATGACACATATTTTGAGTGTAGATGTCGAGATGGATACGATGGAGAATATTGTCAAAATGGTAAGAATGCTTTTCAGTTCTTTGTTTGACAAATTTAGTATTTAATATTCTGAAACTGTATTCTTCAAGTTGTTATTTAATTGATTTCAATGATAATTATCTCACTTATGAAAATGTTTCGCAATTGAAACTTAAATTCGTTTTGGAAATTCCTAAAGAAGGGAAGGAGAGGAGATCCTCAGTACAAAATAATATAAGCATTAAGTAAAAGAATACATGTACTTCTGAATACAAGATCTGGAGGAACACTGTTTGCTATACTGGAAGCAAATTTTCAGGAAGGGTCATAGCGCCGTCAGTTGACTAATCCCTCACTGTTCCCTCATTGTTTTTTAAATAGAAATAATCGAGATCGACCATTGTATGTCTGCACCCTGTCTGAACGGCGGGGAGTGTAGCAACTTGGAAGAATCATTCTGGTGTTCCTGTCAAGATGTTTACTATGGAGAATTTTGTCAAATTGGTAAGACGACTTCCCAGTTCTGCTTTCACAAATGTAGTATTGAATATTTCTGAAACTGTAATCTTTAAGTTTTGTTTAACCGATTTAAATGCTAATTAGGTCACCGATGTAACGATTTCGCATTTCAAACTTGAAATCAATTTGGAAATTCTCAAAGAGAGAAGGAGAGGAGATTCTCAGGCCAAAATAATCTAAGCATCAAGAAGAAATAAATACATGTACTTCTTAATACAAGATCTTGAGGAACATTGTTTGCTTTACTGAAAGCAAATCTGCAGGAAGGGTCATAGCGTCCGTTGACTATTCCTTTATTGTTTCCTCGTTGTTTCTTAAATAGAAAAGATCGACCCATGTATTGCTGCACCCTGTCTGAACGGCGGGCAGTGTGGAGACACATATCCTATGTGCACCTGTCGAGATGGATACGATGGAGAATATTGTCAATATGGTAAGAGAGCTTCTCAGTCACGGTTATACACATTTAGTATTGAATATTTCTGAACACATTTTTTTTTGCCCTCGAAAATTGGAAAATTTGCACCCCCCCCCCCTTGACCGCCAAAGGGGGGGGGGGCAAACCCCTCCAAAAGCTACAAAATCACGTGTTTTTACACGTTCTTTTAATTCTTTAAAATATTTTTTTATTCGCCACTGTCTTGAGGAACACTGTTTTCTATACTGAAAGCAAATCTGCAGGAAGGGTCATAGTGTCCGTTGTCTACTGAATTCCGTAGTTTGTATAGGCTTAATACAAGAATAATCCGGTTTCTGCATGCAATTGCTTCTGAAATTCAAGTTAATATCTTGATCATCTTTTTAAAACAGGAATGGGAGCGACACTTGTATTTCTGCACCCTGTCTAAATTATAGGGAGTGTGTTAGCGAAGCACATTCATTTTGGTGTTCCTGTCAAAAATGTTACTATAGAGAATGTTGTCAATATTATGGCAAGACGGCTTCTCAAACATGGTTTTACAAATTTAGTATTGAATATTTCTGAAACTGTTTTCTTCAAGTTGTGTTTAAACTGATTAAAATGATATTTTCTCTAACTGATGAAACGGTTTCCCAATTTAAAGCTGAAATTAGACCCGAAAATCCCGCAAAGGAAAAGGAGTGGAGATCCTCAGGCCAGAATATTCCGAGCATCACGAGAAAACATGTACTTCTCAAATACAAGATCTTGAGGAACACTGTTTGCTATACTATACTGAAAGCAAATTTGCAGAAAGAGGGTCCTTTGGCTATTGCCTCATTGTTCAGAAAATATTAGAGTGAAAATTTTGATTATTTGTTTTAAATAGGATTCGGGCCTGACCGTTGTGATTCTGCACCTTGTCTGAACGGTGGGCGGTGTTCTAGCGGTCGAGAATCATTTTGGTGTTCCTGCCGTGATGGATATTATGGAACAATTTGTGAAAATGGTAAGACGGCTTCTCAGCCATCGCATTACAAATTTAGAATTGTATATTTCTGAAACTGTATTCTTGATGTTGTGTTTAAACCGATTTTGATGATAATTTATCTCACTGATGAAAAGGTTTCCCAATTCAATCCTGAAAGTAAGTCGGAAAATTCCGAAATAGGAGATAGAAATCATACACCCGGGTTAAACCCAAGCATGAAGAAAAAAAAAAAATGTATTCCTGAAATACAAGATCTTGATGAACAATATTTTCTACTCTGAAAGAAAATGGTCATAGGGTCTGTCAAAATTGGAATTCCCTCATTTCCATAGGCTTAATACAAGAATCGCCCGGCTCCTGCATGCAATGTGTTTAGAAATTCAAGTGAATAAATAGTAAACGAGAGCGACCCTTGTATTTCTACACCCTGTCTGTTGTGAGTGTGTTAGCGTTCGATACTCATTGTTGTTGTTTCTGCCAAGATGGGAACTATGGATAATATTGTGAATATTATGGTAAGAGGGCTTCTCAGTCATGATTTGACAATCTTCTATAGACGGAAGTACATCTGCAACTATATTCCTTTCCGATAATTTGATTAATCTTTTAGTCTATCATGTATGAATTCCCTAAAATCTTTCTGATCTTCAACTGAATTAAATATTGCACTGATGGACTGGTTTTCGAACATATGATTTACAGATTTTGTTCAATTTATGTTGACAAATTTCACTTTAACGAGAAATTTGAAGGACAGAGTATGCCAAAAAGAGTATGCCAGAAGAGAAAGACAGATAGCCCTATATATAGCGTAAGTTTTTCGAAGTTACTCGAAGAAAAGCGTAAACAGAAATCAACAATTGTGAGTCGAATCCGTGTATGAATCGAGATTAATGGTTTAGGTGTTGTGGGAAAATAAGGTCCAATAAATATTATTGATTTAACAGCTCATTCTTTATCATTTGTTTGTGTATATTTCTTTGCACAGAACCCATCGGTTGCGATTCGAATCCGTGTGTTAATGGAGGACGGTGCGAAGCATCGGGATCCATCTATTTCGGATGTGAATGTCCTTTTTGGTTCTATGGGGCATTTTGCGAGAGTGGGGGCTATTGTAAGATGATAGGACCTGTATATCATACTATTTCTAATATCGTAGTGATTTCAATAGTAATAGTAATAGTAAACAAATATACCATGCACTGAGAGACTCTAGTTGAAATTATGGATCGAGGTGGCAGGAATAGTGCCATTTCTGTCGCCGAGGAATCCATAATTTTAACTAGTGGCTTGAAAAAGTGCATGATATATTTCTTTTATATTTTTCAAACCAACCTTCATTTAAATAATAATTATGTTAACTGTCACTGAAGTAATGTAGAGTGCAGTGAGAGCAGCGCAGACCGCGACCGATAGCACATTGATCTTGATCGATCGCATATATATGACGCCAACCATGGTATAGTGCCATGGTATAGTTTGAACTATATCATGGATGACGTCACGGTTACATCATAGGAATGTTATGTTTGGTCACATGATGCTATTTTGACCAATCACTGAACAGGATTTCCTTGATCAAAAATATAATTAGTAATAGCAATAGCAATAGCAATAGTAATTGTGATAGTGATTGTGAAAGTAATATAGGTCTTTACTGAGACAGTGTTCAACACTATCTTTTTCCGGGTCTGGGAGTCTGAAAGGTCTGTTTACACCACACATATGTTTATTAGACAGTATCATTTACCAACCTCTACCCCGGTGAAGTAAAGGGAACCCTGTAGGAAGAAACTCGTTAGCCCTCTATTATTCATGGTAGCTCAGCTAAGTAGGTGGCCGGGATGATAATTATGCGCATTAAACAGTGCGTATAAAAATATTTTAAAAAATCCTCCAAAATGTTGACTTCATGATATACTGTATGCATTTTTTTTCTTATGACATTACGGGTGAGGGTCTATTCTTTCGAATGGCACCAACAAAATTGACAATAAGTTACGCTTGAGTGAGCACTAGCTAATTTTGAAAACTGTTTAAGCCTTGGACTCGGTCAAAGTGCACATCAGGCATTTACTGAATGTCTCCTGTTAACTATCAATAATAGGTTTGAAGGAAAAAAAAATTACATTGAGCCTTATACCAAGCTGTACATTTAGTGTGCCTAGCTGTGGCATAGCCAGAAATTGAGAAAACTGAGGAGCAGCATCTTTCAAAGATAGGGGTTCAGTACATATATCTGGGCACAGTGGGCAGCTCCTTTCTTGTAACCCCATAGCAAATTTTTAATGAGTTTTTCCTGACCCTTCTAGGAGAAGCTACACTAGCTTCTTACGCTACTGGGCCAGCATCACCACCATCTCAATCATTGCAGGTGGTGTCTTACCAGCACAGATCATCTGCATTATAGTACACATTTTTTGTCTGGATAGTGTTGGAATGATTGAACTCAGGAACAGGAAGAGGGGAGGAATCCTTTTTTTTTTTTTTTAAATATTGTGTATCTATAATAATCTTAAAAGTCAAAGACACAAGAAACAAGGTGTTGTATGGTGAATTAGAAATGTAGGAAAGAAAACCCATTTATTGATAAAGTTAATGCTTTTAACATGCCTTTAATACACTGCATATTTCCTACATGCTACAGACAGCAACGCATCATGAAAATTAGATGAGATGACAGATGTGACAGATACTTTTATTGATACGCACTGTATAGTAGGCCTAACATCGACATGTATAAGTGCTATTATTTGCAGTGTTCGTGTAAACTTGAGCCCTCTGAACCCACTGCACATCGTTTCGATAACGTTATTACCTGCGCACTAATCAGGGGAATAATACTAATAAATATATAGTTATATTAATAATAATAATACTATCGAAATAAATAATAATATTAAGAACAAAAAGAATAAGAAGAATAAAAACAACTTGCAATGGGTCTATCTTTGCATGTGTTAATTTTGTATTACAATGACAGCATAATCATAAATTCATAAGGACATATTTGATATTTTCCAATAATTGCACTGTAATTCTACTATTGCAACTAGTCTGTAAAGGTATATTTCTTCCCTCTGTTACATATTTCATGTTGTAAAATGTATATTTTTAACAAATCAAATCAAATCAAAGCTAATCTATATTCCAATGCCTCTATGAGCAGAATAGCTAGGGGTGGATGGACTGATCGTTAGCAATGTTCAATAACTTGATAAAGGCAACCACAACTCACACAGCCGCCCGCAACAATTTTTATTTTGTATTCAAACAGTACAAATCGATCGGAAATTAAAGACTAAGGTTGATTTCTGCGAAACGTGATAACTATGTCAGTACTTTATCATTCTTTTTATATTAGCGTGAAAGATTATCACAGAAAGAAAAAAAAATCCCTGTAAAATTATGGCTCTTCAAATGCATTTATATTCGAAATGTGACAAAAAGTGGTTTAAGTGTGTGGACCACATTTTCCATGCAACATGTTTGTGTAGTCACATAATAATTATACGTTTCTGTTTGAGTCCATGTCACTTTAACCCTAAAAAGGCCGGGCTATTTGAGGTCTTAGTATAGCCGGGGGCCATTATGGCCCCCCCCCCTTAAGATCTCGGCCGCGAAGCGGCCGATCGCCGCGAAAATTTGCAAGCATGTCAAGTGAAGTGTATAGAATAATATGATAATTTCAATTTTTTGAAAAATTCACTCATTTGCATATTTATGGTAATTTATGCAAATAAAGTCATAAAAATCACATTTTTACCCATAAATCATATATTATTCATATTTAAGCATTCTTTTTCACTACATAATATTCATTAGACCATTCTGAATAATAATACAACAAAAAAATTTGGAAGAGCCAGCTTATTCCTTATGTTATCCCTTGTTTTTGTAATTTCTTATGTATTTCATTGTTTTTTTTAACTTATGTACCTTTTATCATTGTTTTCGTTGTTTTATTTCATTTCTTACTACAATTCAACTATTTTGACTCCAAAAACAACCATCTTAACTTTAAACAAGACCCAATAACCCATGTTTGATCTGTTTTTAGGAAAAATGACTTTTCCATATGTTTTGTACACAAATCACGAAAATGTGCGATTTTCGGGCTGACATGCAAAGACAAAAGATCACGTGACCTTGTAACCGCAGGTCCGATTTTCAAAAAAATTCTTTTAAAAGTTGCGCAAGACTCGAAAGAAAAAGTCAGCGAGCGGCGGGGCGCCATCCGTATGCGTTCCCGAGCAATCAGAAAAATCGTGGAGGGGGGGGGGGGCCATAATGCCCCCCCCCGGCCTTATTAGGGTTAAGACCCTTATATCTCTAATCATTTTGATTATTCTAAAACCTCAGATCATACAACGTTACTAGTCATATGTGCTACATGATCAACCTTTTATAATCTCTTCCAGACAGTTCTTTTGCAATACAATCGCATGACCAGAACTCAACTTTATCTTTAATATTAATCGCAACTCTGTACTAAAAAAGATAGGAGTCATGTAAATTTGCGCCTGAATGGTTCAAAGACTGTCTTTTGACCACCCTGAATTAATTTAACTCTATAAGACTGGACACTAGTTTATGATTCCGATATTATAAGTCATATTTCTCTACCTTTTTACATTCTAGATGAATGGGAGTACTAACGAGTCACCTAATAGGTTTATAAGCCTATCATGAATTATTAACGGTAAGTTTATTATTCATCTTGTAATAAGACTATGATAACTTTCAGGGTTGAAATATTCTGTTCTTTTGAATATCCATGTAATATGGTTGGAAAACTTAAAAATATGCGGTTTATCAATTCCATTTGATTAAATTTATCTTGGTTTTCTCCTCCAAAGACTGCAAATTAGATATAAAAGAATGTTTCAGGGTCATATCTCAAGTTTTATTTTGTTCCTCTAATCGAAGCCACGAGCGATATGCTACAGATTGACCAAAGTATCCCTGATACCATTGATAAAACATATTTTCTTCACTCATTGATATAATATGATGTACCTATTTCATGGGTTTATGCATTTTATGCTTCCTCTTCAAATTCTTTTTAATCTTTTATTTATTTTTAAGCCTTCCTTAATAATCGATATTATTATTATTGTTATTATTATTTTTTAGTATTTAGTAGTAAAATGCACGACACAAGACTCTCATGATTTCTCACTCATCTTCACAAACAAACACGCCCATACAGCACCCGCTCTCTCTCTCTCTCTCTCTCTCTCTATCTATCTCCCACACACACACTCTCTCTCTCACACACACACTTTCTCTCTCTCTCACACACCCTCTATCTCTCTCACTTTTCCCCTCTATCTTTCTCCCCTAACACCCCAAATCTCAATCGAGAGTAATCGAATTTAATTAAGGCGTATAAGTTATTTATAGTTTTAAAAAACAGACAGAGAAAAATGTTTTAAAAGAATCACCTGTCAATATCCCTAATACTTTTAAAACTAAAGAAAGAATTGTTCAAATTGAGTTTTTATTTATCCACAACACCCCCCCCCCCCCTCCATCCGCCACCAAACACCCCCCTTAATTTCATTTCCCAATCTAAATGTAAAGTGAGAACGAGTTGTAGCCTTCATTTATATGTAATTATTTCTTCCTCCAGCCTTTCAATTTTGTCCAACCTCTTTATTTAATTCTTTCCCCTATTTTTTCCTCCGTCTTTCCCTCTCTTCTTCTTCATCATCTGCTTTCGTTCTTATATGTATATTCCCCACACAGGCCTATGCTGATTGGGATTACATTACGCCTTTTGTTAAAATATGCTCTTCAAATTATTGATCGTTATGAGAAAAAAAATGCATTGAATAACTTGATTTATATTGTTAATGTGAAGAAGAAAAAAAAAAGAATAACTGTTGCTTTGAATTGCATTGATTGAATCGAATTATATTTCAGATAACACGACTGTAGCCTAGAAGCACTATGAGCATTGGAAAATGAGGAGGCAGACCAAACAATAAGAAATCATCTATTCTACTGTGACATGAGTAACATTTGAAGAAAATTTAATTAAATCAATTCAATTTATTGGCATCAGTAAACAAAAACAAATGAAGTATAAATCATCAATAAAGAGTCAATATTAGGCCAAGACCTCTAAGAAGCCATTTGCGCTTTTAAATGAAGCACCCTGTCAAGTGAAAAACAATATTGGGTTAAATTACAAAATAAATAAAACTTACAAGGTATTATATGTAGGTTTTTTTTCCTAAGCATTCGAGCACTAATGTCACATCTAAATTTCAAAATCTTAGATGAAGACTTTTAAAACGGATTGACTCTGATAACCACTTCGTGGTCAGAAACATATCTGTTTATGTCTCATCTCTTATTTCAATGGATTGTAAAATGTTTTGTTTGACTCAATAAAATAGCCTATGGAGGGCTAAAACGTTACCTAAAGAAATGTCTAAAAATGAATACATTTGAAAGATCTGACATCAATAATCATTAACAGCGGCATTTTCAATTGATGTACGATTTCATACACACATACTGAATTCCAACTTTTCCGTTAAAATTTACATTATAGCGCATCAACTTTGATTATAATACTTTATGTTGCATGATTAATATTGTTTTTGATTTTGATGATTAAGTCATTCATTCTAATATATTAATGTTAAAGCATAGTAAACAAAATATCATGAAAACGATTCATATCAGTGAGAGTTTCAATATTTGTATTCATATAGCAGTTAGGGCATTTGTATACGTTACTGAGTCCATTGCAAACCACCCATAACGTGCATATTAGCAGTTTAGTAACGTCCCATACGTCTTTTAAAAACAACGCACTGCTAGCTTAATATGTTTCGAATCTGTATTTCAGAAAAGCTTAGTTTACCACAAAATAAACTAGTCCACTATCTGAAATTCGAGTTCTTAAAAAAAAAAAAATTGAATTTGAATTATTTATCTTTCGGAGGTTTCTCCAATGTATTATGTAACCATTATCATCATCGTAATAAATCAATGTTGGTCTCACCTCAATAAACCAGTTTGCTCTTGTTTGTATGTGTTCATTATTTTTTGGTGAATCAATGGAAACGTTCTGTGAAACAAGCGTATGTAAATTTTTCATTTCATCTTTTTATTTCATATATATTTAATTTTCGGTTCTGAATACATAATTAAATTAGTATATAATAATAATAATATAGAATACTTGCAATGCGCCAACTCCACATGTATAGTCCTACTAATAAATATTTCTAATAGTCCTAAATAAATAGTTTTTTCCTCCTATCGGTCATATATACGTCCCATAAATCGGTCCAATGAAACCTTATTCTAATTCACCCCCAACACAAAATCTTCGCAAAATCTTGGTTGTATGTTGAAGTAATGGAACTTATAACGTTGAAAAGGGCCTTCCCCCACCCCCACCCCACCCCATCCCTGCCCATCCGAAATATGCCCCACTAAGCATATGAATCACGACAACGTAGTACTAAATGGGATATGAGATGAGACAGAATTAAAATCTGAAGATATAATGATAGAAAAAGAAAGACAGATACAAAGGTGACGATTGATCAAGATATTGAGATATAATTTGAGAGAAAGAGAAAGAGATGATCAGCAGAAGGACATTGATAAAGATATTGAAAGAAAGAAAGAGAGAGAGAGAGAGAGAGAGAGTGATATTCAAAAAGAGGGATATCAAAGAGTAATTTATTAACCCGAACCCTATTATGTAGGAAAAAATCAGAGAAAGGACTTTGATGAGAAGATACCTATAAGAAGAGAATCTTTCAATCTAGCGGGCGAGTCCTTCAATTGAATTCGATTGTAATATATTTTAAATATATAAGAAATATATAAGAAATCCCACTTTGCTACCAGACTGTGGGATGACGGTTACCCGATTTTAGGTAAAACTCTTTTCATGTTAATAGGGGTAATAGTTGCCAGTGGAGAGGAACTGTCTACAAGTCAGAGAGAAACACAATCATAAATATAGGGTATAACGAAAACTATGTATTATATCCGGTAGGCGACACCAATCCAATGTAATTTATACTGAACTATTGCAGAAAGTTCGGCAAACAGTGCAGTCACCTACTCCTACGTCCCTTATATGACTTTAGCCCTGACAATTTTTATTCAGTATATCGAAATTTTAATACAAGGGATCCGAAAGCAACACAAGATAGAAATAGGGGACCGAATGTGTATGAATGACTTGTCTTAGAAACACCAGACGATCGGAGGTTTTAAGTCTGTTTTGCATGTTCAAGAAAGTAACAAATGGAAAGAAAACATGTGCTCTAACACAGAACGAGAACAAATCAAACCCAAAGAAGAAAATAAATCTGACGAATTACCTCTCAGTGTCCTATATTATCCGCCTTGGGGGAGGGAATCTGCGATGGTATTGGGCAAACAGGATCAAGAATAAATACTTGTTCCGCGTATTCACTGTTGGGGCCCGAAATTGGTCAACAAGTAGCAAGTTTTTTTATAGCATTACTCTGACGCAACAATGGTGCGTAATTTGTGACAGCGCGCAGCTAACACGATATGGGCTAAGGGAAAGCGCGGACAGACTGGAAAATTATTATCCCCGGGTTGTGTATATTGTCATAGAGATTTGCAATTATTCGCAAAATGGCAATGACCAATCAAGAACATTGTTGCATGGCCTTCTAGTTTACAAATCTTATCCTTAACCGATCAGATTAGTTGATTCAAATTTACAATGGACTGAAAATGACTGTGTTTACACATGAATTAAATTTTGGTTATATTTACAGTCTGAACTCACCTATCGTTTTCTATACTAACATTATCGGCATTTGATTTTCTATTCACATTGTCATAGACCGGAGTCATTTAACCAACAAATAATTATCGCTCATTTGTTATTTTTTAAGGGGCCAGAATGAGAAATCAGTGAAACATTCCACTATCCCTTCCAGTATACATTGATTACATCAAACAATCATAACCAAATCACCACTTTGAGATTTCCTCATATTTAGTATAAATTTCAACGCTCTAACTTCTTTTTAACTTTCTCATTAAATTTCGTTTTTTAATCACGTTTTTTAAATGTGTTTTTCTCTAGTTTTTTTGCTCACCACCAAAGCAATAGGTTACATTTCCAATGGTTTATTGGTGTGTAAAAATGAAAATGTTTGTTTATATCACACTCAAAGTATGGTTAGTACTACATATTTGGTAGTAGTACTTTCAAAATATCAATGCAATTTAGATATTTTTGTGGTTTGCGTTTCACCTTTGAAATGTGCTAACATTACAGTGACATGCGGTGTATGAAATAATCTGAATGCGATTTATATAGGATAGGCAATACAATGGGTATCACAATTGTCTATTAGTCGATATCGCGAATTATCATTGCGATTGAGGCGCTTCTATACTTCTACAAAAGAAAACTACAACAATACAAAGACACAGATAAGATCTAATTGATAAGTATGAAGCTTTTAATTTCTTCATAGATATTAACTTAGATATATCTTCCATATGAGCAACAATAAATCATAAAACATTATACATTTGTAATATAGTCATCAACAGCTAATCATGTCCAAACAAAATTATATTTGAAGTATTGTAGTAGCTCTATACAGAGCGAATTTATTTTTCATTTCTTTTCACATAAATAACAAACAAAATGAACGAAATGATATAACAGAAATAAGCATTGAAATATCTTTGACATTGTTTTTTATTCAAATTGTAATCATTATTATTACATTTTCTGATATATAATGTATTCAGCAGTTTTTATTAGCTCATAGAACAGCAATTTCAAGTATTGCGACCAGCATTTCCCACTAGCTGACCTTTAATAATGTTGAATGAAATACTTTCTAAATATATGCCACGCTTGAACAGAAAAAAATGGATGTGATTATCATAAATGTGGAGGGGCAAACATGTTTTGATCGATAAAAAACATTGGCGATTCATGTGACAAGTATTCTAAATTCAAAGGTTAAAGCCTGTGGCACTAGAGGAGGTATAACCTCCATGTATTGTGTATAAGGTGCACATTAAGCAATAGAGTTTGTGTTTATTGAATTCACCCATAGACTTGTGTTTCCTCTCTTTGTGGACACCCCTGTATTACGGTATGTAGAGCTACTAGTATTTTTCCATTATTTGTCTGTCTACGTACTATTATTTTAGATAGAGTGGACCTAGGTTAGTAGTTAATGTCAAAGTTACGGATAGGAAAGGGTCTGGTTTCATAGGTGAATGAGTGAGGAAAATTGTAATCAACCCAGAAATCGGCGAATTCTTTTACTAATTCTTCTTCTACTACTTCTTCTTCTTCTACTACTTTTAGTAATATTCAAACGGCTATGCAGCCTATCCGCCTATCACGAAGATGAATTATTTATGTATTCGTCATATTGTAAAGAGATGAAGTAGCGTTTTCACTCACTTTTGGATGCTCTATGGATGTACGTATTTAAAAAAAAAATGTTTGCCTTTAATACCTTTCAACAATTGATATAATCAATTCGCTTTCTGAAGATTAAAAAACAATTATTCGTAACAGGTAAATGAAATAATTTGTAAACTTCCCTTTCCTTTGAATATCTGTCTCTCCATCTTTCTAGATCTCAACAAAATTATCTTACTCTTTAAAAGCCTTTTTTCCGAATTTGTTTCTCTCTCTCTCTCTCACCCTCTCTTCCAATCTTTATACCAATGTCTTTTTGTCTGAATTCCCTTCTCTCTTTTTCTCTGTATGTAGATCCCGAATTTGTATCAATCGCACCTTTGTATCTGTTCCTCTTTTTCTATCAATATATCTTAAGATTTTATCAATCGCCACCATTTATCTCTTCCTCTCCTCATCTCATATCCGATTAAGTCATACGTTGTAGTGATCCATATGCTTAATGGGGGCAATTTTTAGGAAGGGGAGGGGGGCGAAGGGGTATTCCAAAACTTCAACGTACAACCAAGACTTCGGAAAGATTTTTTTGTTGGGAGTGAATTAGTGTTAGGTTTCATTGGACTAATTAATGGGACGTACATGTGACCGATAGGAGGTAGAACCATTTATTTAGGATTATTTATTAGTAGTAGTGATTTTAATATGTATTCAACACCCACTAAAGTAATAACTATTTTTTTTAAATGGAAAATGAACTTATGAAAGATTTACATTGGGTTCAGGGAACGTTTTTATTGATTTAGCACACAGAATGGACACATACAAACAACAGCAAACTGGTTTGTTGAGGGAAGACCAATATTGATTTATTACAATTATAATAATGGTAACATAACACATTACAGAAACCTCCGACAGATAAATAATTCAAATTCAAATTCAATTTATGTTTTTAGGAGTTCGAATTTCAGATAGTGTCTTATTCAATATCAAAGTAAACTAAGCTTTTTCTGAAATACACACAGTAATTGTAATGCTCATTATGGATGGTTTGCGTTAAATACCGTGACTGGTATGATAAAAATATCTTTCATACGAATCATTTTTAAGATATTTTATGTTGATGAAATTAGTGCTCAAATGTCTCCTCTTCTTTTTCTTCTCTCTTTTTCTCTTGGAAGGCGTTTTGAATTTTAATACTTGGGCCTTTCTGCCTATCGTGCAATTGTGTTATATGCAAGACAAATCCATTATAATAACTTTTTATATACCATTTCACGATCTTAATATAATGGAAAATAAATATGCAGTAGATAATTATTTTCCTCATGTTTCAGAGTGGAGTGTTCTTGTTAATTCAAATGTATCTAATATTGTGTTTAACTTGATAACGGCTTCATTTACCAGCACACGCTGCTTTTTAGTGGTCCTGTCTCATAATGTACTCTAAATTGGTTAGTACTTGATTTTTCCTTTACATGATGTCAAATAAATTGAATCGATTAAATTGAATTTTCTGCAAATGTTTCTCATGTCACGGTAGAAGATCCCTTATTCATGGTCTTTCTCCTCATTTTTCAATGCTCATGGTACTTCTAGGCTACAGTTGTGTTATCTGAAATAGAATTCGATTCAAAAGAAAAAAATATTTTTATTATTTTATATTTGCAATATAAGTCAAACTATATAATGTATTTTTTTCTCATACTGATCAAATGCTGTTATACAGTATATTAACGCGAGGACGAAGACGTAATTTAATCCCAGTTAGCATAAGCCTACGTGGCAAATGGGAATAAACACCTGTATAAAGACAAGACAATATAAATATACGTTTAAGAACGCAAAGAGAGAATGGTGAAGATGAAGAAAGGGAAAGAAGGAGGAAAGAATGGGGAAAAGAATTTAGAGTAAAGTGGTTGAAAAAAATTGAAAGGCTGGATGAAGAAATAATTTCACATAAATGACGGCAACAACTCCATTCTCGCTTTACATTTAGATTGGAAAGTGATATTTAATTTTCAAAATGTTGGGGGTATTGGCAAATGATTTTATCCATAGTTTACTCCTCGATGCTAACGTCTGATTAAAAGTTTATTGTATTCTTTGTCTTTTGTTTTAGATAATAACTTATGTCTTTAAATTGCATTTACTTTAGATTGAGATTTGAGGTGTTAGGGAGGAGAAAGAGGGAGGGGAAAGTAAGAGAAACATAGAGAGAAAGAGCGGGTGCTTGTGGGCGTGTATGTGTGTGAAGATAAGTGAGAAATTCTGAGAGTCTAGTGTGCATTTTACTACTAAAATAAATAATAAGAAATACTAATCACATTAACATCATCAATAATATCGACTATTTAGGAACGCTTAAACAAACACAGAATTTGGAGAGAAAAGTTGAAAGTCATAATCTTTTAAAATTGGTGCATTATATTTTATTAATGAGGGGAAAAGAAAGTTTAAACAATTCGTCGCTGTTTTCACGAAGTGACGGTAGTGAAAAAAAAATTGCATTCACTTTGCATGACGATTTTCCTCACTACCGTCACTTCGTGAAAATAGGGACGAATTGTATCAGGGATACTTTGGCGATCTGTGTCATATCGCTTGGATTCGATTACAGAAGAAAAAACTTAAGACATTACCTTGGAATATTATTTTGTCTCCAATTTGCGAGTGTTTGGAGAAGAAAACCAAGATAAATTTAATCAGATGGAAGTGATCTACACAGCATATTCTTAAGTATTCCGGCCATACTAAAAGGATATTCAAAGGAACAGAGTGTTTCAATCCTGAAAGTTATCATATTCTTATTATACGATAGATAATAAACTTACCGTTCATAATCCATAATAGGCAAATAATTTAGGTAAGTTGTTAGTACGACCTCCAAGCTGGAATTAAAAAAGGTAGAGAAACATGGCTTAGAATATCTGAATTATAAGCTAGTTTTTTATCGTATAGAGTTCAATTAATTTAGGGTGGTCTCATATCTTTGAAAAGTTTAGGCGCAAACTTACAAAACTGCTATCTCTTTAGTACAGAGTTCCGATTAATATTATAGATAAAGTTGAGTTCTGGTCATGCGCTTGTAATTGTATTGCAAAAGAACGTTCTGGAAGTGATCATAAAAGGCTGTTCATGTAGCACATACGACTAGTAATGTTGTTTACTATGAGGATATGGAATCATGAAAGTGATTAGAGATATAATGGCCTTAAAATGACATATAGTCAAACAGAAACGTATGACCTCACAAACATGTTTGCATGAAAACGTGGTCCACACACTTTAGCCACTTTTTGTCATATTTCGAATATGAAGGCATTTGAAGAGTCAATATTTTCAGGGGACATTTTTTCCATGATAATCTTCCGCACCAACATACTGCTTAAAGAATTAAAAAAGGACCAAAATTATTTGTGTACGTTTCGCAGAAATTAACCTTACTCTTCAATTTCCGATTGATTTGAAATGTGTTTAGTTATTTTTTTGTTGAATATTTTTTCCGGGCGGTTGTGTGAGTTGGGGGTTTGGTTTGCTTATCTAGCTTTTAAACATTGCTATCGATCAATCCACCCTCTAGCTGCTCTGCTCAAAGAGGAATTGGAATACAGACTAACTTTGATTTCATTTGATTTGTTAAAGGTAATACAAAGTTTTTGGGAGATTTTGAAAATTGGGTGGATAGTGAATCTTTACAATTTTGATATATTTGGACGCCCCTGTGGATGTATTATGAGCACTAAAAAAATAGCCCCTAAAACACTTCTGTTTTCGTGAAAAATTGAATATAAAAATTTACCGGTGCTCCCGGTAAATTTTGATAAATTTCAAATAGCGCCTACGGCCGTACAATGAAAATATCAGAATATGTAGTTGGGATATATAATTTCCAAACGGGAATAGCTAATCGGTCGATTTTAGTCAAGAAACATTGTTTCATAGTTAAATTAATATCTTGACCTTGAGAGGGAGCTATACAACATAAAGAGTTTATTATTTATAATTTCATAACTTTAGACTCGATTTCAACCGCGACAACGATCAATGTATATTGTAGGAACGTATATGCTTCCAATATGTTAATTTGAACTAAATTCATGACCCCATACCAAAACTTTGTAATACCTTTAAAAATATACATTTACAACATGGAATGTGTAACAAAGGTAAGAAATATACCTTTACAGACTAGTTGCAATAGTATAATTACGGTGCAATTATTAGGAAATATCAAAACTTTGGTTATAAATTTATGATTATGCTGTCATTAACTCCAAGGCCCAGGGCCTCTTCTATATTTCTGCATATAAATAGCATTTGATACTAAGTGTAAACATATCCTATTAGGACATAGGCAATGGGACATGATAATTTCAATCCCCAACTTGTATGGGAAAGGGTTGGCTTTCAACTAATTAATGTTATACATGTACATGTATATATATAAATATATGAAGGACCAATTAGGGCACAGTGTTGTAGAATGTGGGATATATAATTTTGTACAGAGCAACCAAACAAAATAAATTATAACAAAACAGTTATCCCATTATTTATGTACCTTTTGGGTATAACATTTCAAAAGGGGCAGCACATTTTGGGGTTTGTATACTTTTGTATGCCACTTGGATTCAAAGGAGGTGGAGGGGAAGCATGGGTCGGTTATGCCTTCCTGCCCATAATCTGCCAATGCTATAGAGGGTTCCTCCTTAGATGGGCATTTATTATTTTCAGCTTGTAAATCATCATGAAGCATTTATTTATTTATTTATTTCTGATATTTATACAGGGTGGCACATTTGGTAATAATAAAACAAATAACAGCATCAAAAACAAAATATATAAATACACAAGTATATAAACAGGTAAAATACAAATTAATTGGTATCCTCATGAAATAACTGATCATTCAAGAATCATCATTAATCATTTACAAGAAATAGGTGAATGGAATTTCCAAATTAAATACAATTTAAAAAACGTTCATTTAATAATCTGATATAGCTTAACGCACGGGATACCAAAATTGTTATATACATATTTACATTCAATTGCTCTTTAACTAATACACTTAGGTTGTTTACAAGATAGCTGGAAGTGGATACATTACATGTATGAATACATGATACAACGATAACCATGTCAACCAAATTTCATAATTTTGTAAATAGGAAACAAAATGGTTACCTTCGCACGTAACCCCCAAAAGTTCACTTACACGTCATCTACAGATAACAGGGCTTTTAGAGCGTGTTTAAAACTGTTCAAAGTAGGTGACATTCTGACAGGACTTTTAAGTTGGTTCCATACTCTAATTCCAGAAATAAGAGGACTATTTTTAATAAGTGTCTGTCCTAAATTTGGGTACACACAATGCATCCCTTACAGCATGTCTTGTGTTGTGATCATGTAGTGAACAAACATGATGTAAATCTTGTTTTAAGTATATTGGTGCCATGTCATGCATTGATTTATACATCATTACTGCACGTCCAAACTGGAAACGTGTCTGAATAGGCATCCATCCTAAGCGACTAAAGATATCATTTGAAGATACTTCAAATTCTTCTCCCAACACTACACGTGCAGCTCGTTTCTGAACCTTTTGTAATTTAATCGTTTGTCTTTGAAATCGCTCAGACCACACCGAGGAACAATAATCAAAATGAGGAAGTACGATGGCATTATACAGAAGTTTTAGAGATCTTGTTTGAACATAACTTTTGGCTCGCTTAATTACCCTTATATTTCTTTGAGCAGTTTTAATAACTTTTTCCACATGCTCCGTCCAACGTAACTCCTCGTCAGTCATGACACCCAGGCATTTTGCCACTTTTACTCTTTTCAAACAGCTGCCGTTTAGTGTGACAGAAAAATCATTTACTCCATTAAGAATTGATCGTGATCCAATAAGCATCACATTTGTCTTATCCGCATTAAGAACTAGACGGTTTGTTGTTACCCATGAAAATATGTTTTCCATACCTTTGGTTAGCTTTTGTTCTACTTCTGTGACATTACTTCCGCTGACTGTTAGAATTGTGTCGTCAGCATACATATCAACAATGCCCTCATGAATACATTTGGGTAAACTATTTATGTAGATAGAAAAAAGGAGTGGCCCTAGAATCGAACCTTGTGGGACTCCCATCATAACTTTTGAGGAACTCGAAGCAGCCCCTTTAAAACAAACCATCTATTCTCGGTTGGACAGATGTGATACAAACCACTGAATACTAGTATCAGAACATCCAATGGCTGTCAATTTATGTAACAGAATACCGTTATCGACAGTGTCAAATGCTTTCCTCAATTCAATGAAAGCAACACCTGTTATCTTATTGTTATCGAAATTCAAAGCCCGCTGGTTTACAATTTTCATTAGAGCTGTTGCAGTAGAGTGAAGAGGATGAAAGCCTGACTGATTAGGATACAATATTGCATTTTTTGTTTAGAAAACCACATAGTTGAAAATGCATTATCATACTGTAATTCGGATGGTGCCCTGGTAAATGAGCCAGACCATTTTCATTTGTATGTCGAATTAGAAAATTAAAATCAATTACTATTCTATATGTTATGGTTTTCACCCAGGACATGTACTGCCAGGGGATTGACAGGAATGACAGCTCAATGGTAGGCACCAGGAGAAGGCAGTGCCGTATGTTTTGAATTTGGATCTTTAAAATATGAATAGAATACAACACACAACCATCTAAAGTTTTAGGATACCCATGAAGTTTTGAAAATAAACAACTAAAAACATTTAAGTCTATCTGATGGAGTTTAGTCAGATTGCTATGTTTGTTATTGCACATTGTTTAAGTTCAATGGTACGCATTTGGTTATTTCCCAGTATTTCCCGGGAAATGATCAACTGTTCTTGGTATACGCTTTTCTTCAAGTAACTTAAAGAATCCACTAGAGAAAAAACTTACCATCTGTCTTCCTCATCAGGTACACTCTTTTTTTGGCACTGTCCTTCCATTTTAAGTGTGAATTTTTTTATAGTGAAATTTGTCCAAATAAATTGAGAAAGACATTGAAATCATATGTTGGCAAACCATTCCATTGGTGCCATATTAAATTCACTTGAAGGCTAGAAACATTTTAGTGAATTCATAGATGATGGATTGATATATTAATAAATTCATCACAAAGGAATACAGTTTCAGATGTACTTCTATCCTGATTCCTACTTTTAAAAGATGATCGAGATTTTCACTCTAATATTTTATGAACAATTATGGAAAAATCTACAGAACGTCTGACCCTTCTTGCAAATTTGTTTGCAGTATAATAAACAGTGTTCCTCAATATCTTGTATTTGAGGAGAAAATGGGGTTTTGTTCGTGATTCTTGGGTCATTGTGGCCTGAGGATCTCCTCTCCTTGTCCTCTTTGAAAATCACCAAATAAATTTCATGTTTGAAATGTGAAAACATCAGTGAGAGCAATTATCATTGAAAAAGGTAAAAACTGAATTTGAAGAATACAGTTTCTGTAATATTAAATACTAAATTTGTCTTACCATAATATTCACAACGCGTTCCAACGTATCCGTGTTGACAGTAACACCTAAATGAGGCTCCATCGCTAACACACTCCCCACCGTTCTGACAGACTGCAGAAAGACAAGGGTCGCTCCAGATTGCTATTTAAGAAAAAAAAAAAAACGAGGGAGCAATGAGGGAATAGTAAATGGACACTATGGCCCTTCTTGCAAATTTGCGTTCAGTATAATAAACATTGTTCCTTAAAGGGATTGGGTATCTATGTCTCATATTCAATTCAATTCAATTCAATTCTGGTTTTATTGTAAATAAAAACATATTGAATAAAAAGTCTGGAGACTCATACAATTCAGTTTACAAATTATAAATACATACAAGAATAAAGAAATCAATACTTTTAGCAATCTTTTTATATTAATTACTGATTCTAATGAACTAAACATCTAATTTCAAACAATCTTGAAATAATACATGTTCTAATTATACAGTTGTAACGTTTAAATAGTAAAATATTTTGTTACCCTTTTCTAAATGTCGTATGGAATTAAGTAATACATATTCTTAAGAAAATTCTGGATTAAGCTCATGCTGCAATCATAATTATAAACCTTTAGGTCAGTCATAAATCCCATGACGTTTACAAGCCGATCGCCCGTCTGATTATCAAGATATTTATGATTAGAATTCGAAATATCAAAAACCGTCTTCCTAAAGGTTTTTAACATTACAGTCTAGTGGGGAAAATGGGAATGGTAAAACCGGTCACTCAAAGATTTTTACTTTTTCGAGACACTTCATGATCATTTTGAAGCGCCATTTTTTTTCGGGCTTCAATATTGCACAATATCACAGACGTTGATAACACGTAGGGCCATGCATCTCAGATTTGGCATTGTTAAACAAGGCCTTTAAGATCTTGTATTTAAAGAGTACATGTATTTATTTATTATTTGCTTAAATAAATTTGGCCTGGGGATCTCCTCTCTCTCTTGTCCTCAGTGGAAATTTCCAAATAAATTTCATGTTTGACTTGTGAAAACATTATATCAGTGAGATAAATTATCGTCGAAATCGGTTGAATTAAAACTTGAAGAATACAGTTTCAGAAATGTGCAAGGCTAAATTTGTCACACTATGTCTGAGAAGCAGTCTTACCATTTAATTCGCAATAATCGCCATAATATCCATCTTCACAAGAACAATACCAACTTGAGTCTCCATAGCTGTAACACCTCCCGCCGTTCAGACAGGATACAGAACTACAAGGGCCGCTCCCGTTACCTTTTTTAAGAAAGATGATCAAGATTTTCACTTTAAAACGTTCTGAACAGTGAGGAAATAGTCAACAGACGCTATCGCCCTTTCTTCAAATTTGCTTTCAGTATAGCAAACAGTTTTCCTCAAGATCTCGTATTGAGGAGTACATGTATTTTTGCTTCCTGCCAATATTATTTTAGCCTGAGCATCTCCTCTCCTTCCCCTCTTTGGGAATTTCTAAATTGATTTCAAGTTTGAATTGCGAAACCGTTTCATCGGTGAGCAAATTGTAATTAAAATCGGTCTAACAAAACTTGAAGAATACAATTTCAGAAATATTCAATACTAAATTTGTCAAACCATGTCTGAAAAGCAGTCTTACCATTTAATTCGCAATATGTGCCATGAAATCCGTCCTGACAAGAACACCAAAATTGATCTCCAAGACTATCACACATCCCACCGTTCAGACAGGGTGCAGAAGTACAAGGGCCGCTCCCGTTTCCTATTGAAGAAAGATCATCACGATTCTCACTCTAAAATGTTCTGAACAGTGAGGAAATAGTCAACAGACGCTATCGCCCTTCCTGCTAATTTGCTTTCAGTATAGCAAACAAGTTTCCTCAGGATCTTGTATTGAGTAGTACATGTCTAGATAATTGTATCCCGGGGATCTCCTCTCCTTCCCTCTTTGGGAATTTCTTAATTGATTTCAAGTTTATCTTGCGAAACCGTTTCATCGGTGAGCAAATTGTAATTGAAATCGGTTCAAACAAAATTTGAAGAATACAATTTCAGAAATATTCAACACTAAATTTGGCAAATCAGAACTAAGAAGCCGACTCATAGTCGATATCGTCGATGTATTAAACTTTTACTTTGTCAATTGGTTCGGTTTGTTTTAAACCGAGTTTCGCCAGAGTCAGTTTATAGGCAAGGACAGAACACTGAGCGTACCACTGACAGTACTGCTAGACCAAGCCACACTGGGATATTTTGAACCCGGGGGAGGGGGGGGGGGGGGGGGGGGGGGTTGACTCGCATACCAAAGTGGTACGCGTACTTTTTTTTAAGGGTAGTATTAGTAACCTATAACAAAATTCCAGGCTGTATTTTAAGCATTGGTAAAGTTGACAAAAGTAGATTATATTAAAATTAATTTTGCCACTACTCTATACAATAATCCTTTGAACAAGATCATTTGAATTTTCAAAATTAAATGTTCACTGTTAGACGAACCAAGGGCGCCAAATCTGTACATAAATTATCAGTGCTTAATATGGAACACGTATTGTGCATCGAACTTGCCAATACATTTGAGAAACGCCACTACCACTACTACTACTACGTTTGTCCCACTCCCGGCACAATACCATAACATCGTCTCCGTCAAGTGATGTCTACATTTATTATCAAAGTGAGAACATACCCATTTGGGCGGAGACTTGATGAGAAATGAGTCCAATGACGACCAAGCAAATTACCAGATGACGATCCATGACGGCCAAGTCTTCTTTCTTACGTTGAGATGAGAATATAAAATGCAAGGTCTATGTCGAATCTGAAAGAGACGAAGACGACTTGTTTTCTGCTAAGTGATCTCTTGGTATTTATACATTTTAAAAATTTTCTTTCTCATTTTGTAGCAGCTGAGGCAACATTTGGGATCGAATCGAAACGTCGATAGTGCATATAAATTGTCTTTCGTTAATGTTTCACTTATTGATTGTTCATATCAAACGCGATGTCCATTACGTGTAAATGTCAAAGAAACTACGCAGTAGAAATAGTTGATAGTTGTTAATCCTTTTTTGTTTGAAATTCTTGTGAATTTGAGACAATTTGCAATATGGATGCATTTCACTTGTTTGCGAACTTTCGCAAAGTTTGAAACGCTTGCTTCCATTGCCCGCCCCCCCCCCCCCCAATCAGTGTTATTTAGGGTACGCATATGCATGTTCCCTCCTTCTAAAAACACACCCTAAGTCCGGTGTGTACAGTCAATATGGGCCGGATTTTTGTGTACTACGAGCCGGACTTTGGTGCGTGAAAAGTACCCCTTTACCGGACATTTTGGTAACATGCATGGTATCCCTCCGTTCACGGAGTGGGGGGGGGGGGGGTTCCATTGTCAGCATGTTTCATATTATGTTATGTTTTTATTTGTTTCTTTTATATTTTTTAGAGAAATGTGAAAAGGCATCTTGTGGATGGTAGACTTGAGGGATCACTTCGAGCCGGAGTGAAAATATCAAAATAAGATATGTAAACGGATTATCAAGTTTTATTGAAGTTTACAGTTTAACAAAACTGCGAAGGTATACAGAAAAAGGAAAGAGGGAGAGAGATAACGATTGACTACGTAATTTTTTTTCCTTCAACGTGTGCTTAACCTTCTCTTTAAGAAACTGAATGAAAGGTAGAGGTAGAAAAGTGCGTTTTATCACGCCATACTAGAATTTGCCCAGGGGCTGTATCGACAAACTTTTCAGTAATCGCACGTGCCCAACATGAAAATAAACTTCATGAAATTAAATCTTAAAGTAACGTAGACTCAACGTATGCTTTACACGGGGGTGTTGTTTACACTCAAATAGTACGACCGTTATATCAATATTCAAAAGAAAATAACACGTAGCTAGCAGGTGCAAAGAATAATAAAATACCAACATGTCTGGAGAAAAACCGATTACACCTGCTGTTATGTCTTTTTTGTTGTTGCATGAAATAGTAAACCATTTAATGTGCACGGTGGCCTTTTTTTGGAAATTCAGCCCACTTATCGACCGACTCACACGCAAGCAAGTGAAACGTTGACTTTATATATCGGCTATAATTATCCTCTACCAATTATTAAGTAATAGTTAAACGGAACGAGAAAGTTTAAGCTTAAGTTTAATCAATGGGCATCAAAACTTTTACCTCAGTCACGTTGCCAAGCGGGATCTGACCACTTAAATCAAAGGCCTGCGAGACCAAAGATCCGCAAAACCGAAGGTCCGCGAGACCAGAGGCGGTGAAGAGTCTTCCAAAGTGGGGGGGGGGGGGGGGGAGGCGGCACCAACACCAAAAAAAGCACTTTCTGGAGAAAAAGGGGGCATCTACAAAGGGAAGCAATCTAATGTAGAAAGACTGAAAAGTTCTTTTATAAGTAACATAATTATTTATGACTAGCGCATGAAGTATATTTTTCTTTTGAGCCAATCAAATGCAGTGCTAGGATGGCTGGTCTCGGTTTTGAAAAAAAGACGCCTTCCCTTAGCCCATTGTGTTATCTGCGCACTCTCACAGATTGCGCACCATTGTTGCGTCAGAGCAATGCTATAGAAACGCGCTACTTGTTGACCAATTTTGTGCCCCCACAGTGTATTTTATTCTTGGTCCTATTTGATCTATACCATCGCATTTCTCCCTCCCCCACAGTGGATAACATAGGATACTATTTAAAGAGGTAAGTCGTGTAATTTATTTATTTCTTCGGGTTTGATTTGTTCTCATTCTGTGTTAGAGTGTTTCTTTTTCTGTGTTACTTTTATAGCCTCCGATCGTCAGGTGTTTTCCAAGATAAGTCATCCGTACACATTCAGTCCCCTATTTCTATCACGTGTTACTTTTGTATCCCTTGCATTAAAGCGCTTCTTGTTGATCCAAATTTACCAAATGATTATATTGGTTGCATGACTCACTTTGCCGCTTAATAATTACAGCTATAGGCCTAACAGTATTCTCAGTAGTATTTTTCATCATCATCATCATCATTACCATCACCATCATTATCACCATTATCATTGTCATCAGAGGCGGCGGAGCGACTTCCAAAGTGGGGGGGGGGGGGGGCACCCAGGCGCGGATCCACGGGCTCAATTCTACCGGCCCGGCTATGGCAAGCCCATTGTGTAAAAACTAGATAAACTCAGTTTATCAGAAAAACTGTGTTTATCAATGATAAACTCAGTTTATCAACTGATAAACTGAATTTTTCTGATAAACTGAGTTTATCAACTGATAAACTCTGTTTATCTGTTGATAAACTGAGTTTATCATTGATAAACTGAGTTTTTCTTGATAAACTGAGTTTATTAACTGATAAACTGAGTTTATCAACTGATAAACTGAGTTTTTCTGATAAACTGTGTTTATCTGTTGATAAACTGAGTTTATCTGAGAAAAAACTAAGTTTATCTGAGAAAAACAGAGTTTATCTAGTTTTTACACAAAGGGCTTGCCATAGCCGGGCCGGAAGAATTGGGCCCGTGGATCCGCGCCTGGGGGCACCAGCAAAAAGGTCATTTTCTCGAGAAAAAAAAGGGCAACTTCAAAAGGAAATCTCAAAGCGAAAATATACAATTTTTTAGACTTGGTATATACCCCTATATTGTGATTACATTATCAGGGATGATTTCGATATTTGTTCCTCTTTTTGCATCATATAAGATATTGCTTTAATAAGCAGCATTCTTTGCAGTTGGGTGTGATGGTCTGAAAATTCATTTGCGAGCTAGCAAACATTTTAAGATTTGTGAGGTCTCAGTGCGAAATGTTACATCTTATAAAGAGTAAAACCCCAATTCTGATGGGGTTATAAGCACATTCTCATAACGGAAGACTGAAAAGACCTTTGATAAGTTACATAATACATATATAACTACTAGCGAGCATAGCGAGCGAGGTTTGGGAGAAAATTGCTCTTAGTCGCTTGAAAATAGGGGGCACGTTTAATGCTGAAAGGAAAAGCGGACACTCGAAAGGGTGAAGACACTTATCAGAAAAGAAAATGAGCAGGGGTCAAAGTACAAAGGCTAATTATCAGAGGTGCAAATGGGTCACTTCTTGCACCTAAAAAAAGAGGCATGCACCAGGGATGCAAAAGAAAGAGGCATTTGTCGACGGAAAAGAGGCACCCATTAGATTTTCATAGGGGCATTTATAATAAGTGAAAAGGGGCATTTATGAAACGGGGATAGGTTCCTTATTAGAAAGGGAAAAGGGTACATATCATTTTTGAAAGGGTAATTAACATTGTTAAAAGGGTAATTATCAGTGGTGAAAAGTGGCACTTATCGCATCTGAAAATGGACACTAACCATACATGAAAAGAGGCACTTATGAGAATGACAAAGGGGCACTAATGATAAGGGAAATGTGCACTTGTGAAAGAAAAGGGGCACCGATCAGATTTTAATAGGGGCATTTATTGGAGTGAAAGGAAGCTTTCAGCGGCTCTTATTAAAACGAAAAGAGGCACATGTTAATATAAATGGGGCACTTATCAAGGATGAAAAGAGGTAATTATGGGAAGGGAAAGGGGCACTTATAAGAAGGAAAAGAGCACTTATCAGAAGAGGAAGGGGCACTTGTCAAAGTAAAACGTGTATCTCTCAGAATTGAATAGGGTCATTTTAATACAAGAGATAAAAAGGGGGCACTTATGAGAATGAAAAGGAACTATTTTCATAGATGAAAAGGCCGGGGCATTCATGAGAAGGGAAATGGGCTCTTTTTTAAAAGGGGGCACTTATAATATGGAAGAGGGGCACTTATTAAAAGGGAAAGGGGGCACATGCGAGACATGGAAAAAAAATTGGATTCGTCTTATAAAAGAAGTTGACCGCAAACTAACTCACCATGTTGAGTGCAGGGGTCGCGGGCCACTGGCTTTATCGGGCAGATAGTTCCATTATATACAACCAATCAAAACAAATTTAATAACAGAAGAAAGCTAACGATTACTAACGATTAGTTTATTTATTACCCGCTCACCTCAAAGCCGCCTGACCACAATAGAAGAAGTGAGGGCTTGCGAGAGCGGCCGAAGTGCAATTGAAACTCGTTATATTGCTCTTCATGTCTTCTCCTACGCCAAAAAGAGAAGGCGTTAAAATGCTGAACTACTATGTTTTTTCCAACAAAAGTACAGAGAAAGTGCAATATTTTTTGGTACATTACACTTTTTGAAAAGTTACCAAAGTGACTCCCGGGCACCCCAATGCTGAGAAAAAACGATTTTTTTTTTGTTTTTTGTTTGTTTTTGTTTTGTATAGAAAACTTCACTTTGTCATGCAACAATGATTATATGTTCTTTGCACGCAAGTCAGCTATAGATTGAGCGGATAATACAACGTTTCCATATTTATGAGGGTTGGGGGGGGGGACCAGACACCAAGTGCACCCTCGGTCGACCCCTGCTATATCGAAGGTCTTATTTTGGTCTATCTTTTTGCACTAGTTCAATAAAAAATAAAATATGAATGGTGTCTCTTACCGGATATACATATAAAGGTTTTTGTTTAACACTATAGTTATGATTTTTTTTCTGACTTGTATACAGACACAGTTCCTCTCCACTGGCAACTTTTACCCCAGTATAACAGAGATTTACCTATAATCGGTTTACCATCACCCCTAGTCTGCTAGCAAAGTGGGATATTTTGTTTATATTTCTTATACTTTATTAGGTCTATTTTGATGACAACATTTACTCGAAAGACTCACCCGCTAGATTTTATACACTGGAAAGTTTCATTCTAAAAAGAGGTGTCGACCCTTTGGTAAAATGGTGCCTGTACTTATTTAGTATTTTAATTTCTACCTTGCAATCTCTCTCTCTCTGGTCTCCCATTATCTTCTTCTATGTATCTTCTCATCGAAGTCCTTTCTCTGATTTTTGTCTCTCCATAGCGTTACGGTTAGATCTCAATTACATAATTATATTACCCTTTACTTCCTCTTTCTGACTATCCCTCTCTTTTTCAATCCCTATATCAATGTCCTTCTGCTGAATTCCTTCGCCTCTCTCTCTCTCTCTCTCTCTCTCTCTCTCTTTCTCTCAATTTATAGTAACTCCAGATCTTAATCAATCTTCACCTTTATATACAGGTTTTTCTTTTTCTATCAATATATCTTCATATTTTATCCATCGATTTCAATTATCTCTTCCTGTCCTCAACTCATATCCGATTTAGTACCACGTTGTAGTGATCCATATAATTAGTAAGTCATTTTTCAAAGGGGGGGGGGGGGTAGGCCCACTCAAACTTTATCAGTTCCATTACTTCAACAGACAACCAAGATTTCGGGAATATTTTTGTTGGGGGTGAGTTAGGATTAGGTTTCATTGGACCAATTAATGTTACGTGTTTATGACCGAAAGAAGGTAGGACCATTCATTTAGAACTATTTTTTTTATTAAAAGTGATTTTAATATACAGTGCGTCCCAGAAAAAACGAAACCGAGAATTATCGATGTTTTATCATAACCAGGGGCGTCGATAGACCTTTTTCAGTGGGGGGGGGGGGGTGTAGAGGCTAACGATTACCGACAAAAGTAGCCACCAATTACCGACAAAATTAAATTTCCAATATCTACAAAGTCAACCCTATAAACCTGGGGCCGAAGGCTAAATTGTTTTTCCTATGGACTATCTATGGTACTTGCATATTCGCAAAATGGTCATTTTCCTCGACGACATTAATATACGAATTATTTCTTAAATTTAGTCAGCATCATAGCTATATATTTTAATGCAGGCGTGGAGCTAGGATCTTATTTTAGGGAGGGGCGGTAGTGAGCAAGAGAATCACTTAAAAGCGCGCTCATAAGTGGGTGTGGGTGATGAGCCTCCCGCGCAAAGCGCGGAAGCTTAGACGTTTCCTTAAATTATTAGAAAAAGAAGACGATTAATTGTACCGTTTTCGACTGTTAATCCTAGGCTGAATGAAGTTTCCCCCCCCCCCCTCCCGCGCGAAGCGCGAAAGCTTTGACGTTTCATGAAATTATTATTAAAAAAAAGAAGACAATTTGCTCTACCATTCTCGACTGTTTATCCTTTTCTGAATTCAGTATTCCCCCCCCCCGCGCAAAGCGCGGAAGCTTTGACGTTTAATTAAATTATGAGAAATAGCAGACGATTCGGTGTACTGTTCTCGACTCTTAATCCTAATCTGAATAAAGCTTCCCCCTCCCGCGCGAAGCGCGGAAGTTTTGGTTTTATTAAATTATTAGAGAAAGAAGACGATTCGTCGTATCGTTTTCGACTCTTAATAAGCCCTATTCATCGGAATTCAGTTCCCCCCTCTCGCGCGAAGCGCGAAAGCTTTTACGTTTCCTCATATCATTAGAGAAAGAACACGATTCGTTGTAGCGTTTTCGACTCTAAATGAGCCCTAATAATTGTGTCTGAATTCAGTTTCCCCCTCTCGCGCGAAGCGCGGAAGCTTTGACGTTTCCTTAAATTATTAGAGAAAGAAGACTATTCGTCGTTCCGTTCTCGACTCGTCTAAATGAAGTTTCCCCTTCCGCGCGAATGGCGGAATTTTTGGCGTTTCATCACAATATAGAGAAAGGAAGACGATTCCTCGTACCGTTTTCAAATCTTATTAAGCCCTATTCATCTGAATTCAGTTTCCCCCTCCCGCGCGAAGCGCGAAAGCTTTGACGTTTCCTCAAATTATTAGAGAAAGAACACGATTCGTTGTAACGTTTTCGACATTTAGTATGCCCTATTTGTCCGAATTCAGTTTCCCACTTTCGCGCGAAGCGCGGAAGCTTTGACGTTTCCTTAAATTATTAGAGAAAGAAGACGATTCGTTGTACCCTTCTCGATTCGTCTAAATTAAGTTTTCCCTTCGGCGCGAAGCGCGGAATTTTTGGCGTTTCATTACAATATAAAGAAAGGAAAATGATTCGTCGTACCGTTGTTGACTCTTAAACCTTGTTTGAATTTAGTTTCCCCGAAAATTTTAAACCTCTGATTTCTTTAGCTGATATTATAGGAAAGTGAAACTTCGAGAAAATACAAGAATTGTAGTTGTAGTCACTCTCGAAGTCGTCACAGCGGATAAGAAGTCGCAGTTCGTAGGGAAAAAAACTTGTCGGCCGACCGACAATATACATCTCACCGACTTCAAACTTATGCCTTGATGAGGATCGAGCAAGAATACCGACACAGCTGACCCGACACAGCAACATATTTACCCGTGTCTTTCTTGCTCCCTCGACGATACGACTCCACCCAACAACCCTCTTTTCTCTTTTACTCCCACTCCTCCTCTCTTAGACTCCTACCTCCCCTCTCTCTCCTCTCTTTCATCCCCCGTTTCTTTTGTTTCCCTTTCACTCTTTTTTCTTCTTTTTTTCCTTTTCTTTCTTTTCTTTCTTTTCCTTTCTTTCCTCTCCCCCCTTTTTGTTCTTTTTTCTCTTTCTTTCTTCTCTTTTCTTTCCTTTCCTTTCCTTTCTTTCCTTTCTTTTCCTTTCTTTCTTTTCTTTTCCTTTTTTTTCTTCTTTTCTTTCCCTTCCCCTCTCTTTTTTTCCCTCTCTTTTTTTCCCTCCCCCTTTTCTCTTTTTCCCGACGGCAGCGCAATTTTACCGACAATATCCTGACAGGTGGGGGGGGGGGGGGGGTCGCACCCCCCACACCCCCCCTTTGGCGACGCCCCTGATCATAACTTAATCACAATCATAAGTAATAAATGACACATATTTGGAAAGCTTAGATCCTCTTCTTTCATTTGATGCAACTCATATAATGCATATTTCACGCATGAGTGATTAAAATCAATTTGAAGAGAGGAAAACAAAAAGTCATTTGGCGGACGATATTCGAATTTCAAAGAGAAAATCACATTTCTAGAAAGTTGAGTTTCTGCCCTTTCATATGACATCTCAATCAGGGAAAATGAGCTAGGAATAACAAAGTTCTGTTTGTTTAACAATCGTTGACAATCAGCCGTAGACGAGAGTCTTCATGCATGGCTGATTGTCAACGAAACAGAGTTAAGTCTGTTGTAAATTCTGCTTTTTGCTACGGCAGGCAGCCAGTGAAAACGAATTTCTTTGCTAAAATTATGAAAATGTAAGGACTACTTTAAACAAACAGAACTTTGTCATTCGTTACTCATTTTCCCTGATTGAGATGTCATATGAAAGGGCAGAACCCCAACTTTCTAGAAATGTGATTTTCTCTTTGAAATTCAAATACCGCCCGCCAGATGCCTTTTCGGTTTCCTCTCTTCAAATTAATTTTAATCACTCATGCGTGACATATGCATCATGTGAGTTACATCAAATGAAAGAAGAGGATCTAAGCTTTCCAGATATGTTTTATTTATTAATTATAAATGTGATTAAGTTATGATAAAACATCGATAATTCTCGGTTTCGTTTTTTCTGGGACGCACTGTATATTCAGAACTAACGAATTAATCAAATAAAAAAAATTAATGAAAAATTACATTATGAAGATTTTCCATTACAGATTATTTAACACTAAATAATGGACACATACAAACAACAGCAAACTGGTTCATGAAGGGAAGACCAATATTGATTTATTAAAATAATAATAATGGTTACATATTACATTGCAGAAACCTCCTACAGATAAATAATTCAAAATAATTTTTGTTTACGATTCGCATTTTAGATACTGTCTTATTCTATTTTAGAGTAAACTAAGCTTTTTTGAAATAGATACAATAATTGGAAACATATTTTGAAGCTATTGGTGCGATGTTTTTAAGGACGTTTGGAACGTCACTTAAGTGCTAGAATGTTCATTACGGGTGTTTTGCATTGGATTAATGTATGCAAATGCCGTGACTGGTATAATACAAATTTGTTTGATATAAATCAGTTTTAGGTTGTTGTATTTTAAATTCTGTAACATAAATATGTGAATAAATGAACAATCAAAATCGAAGAACAATATCAATCATGCAACAAGTATTATAATCAAAGACGATTCTCAAGAATGCCAATTTTTACGGAATAGTTTGAATTTGGTATGTGTGGATGAAATCGTGCATCAATTGAAAATGCTACTGTTAAGAATCATGATTATAATAAGGATCTATCATATGTAGTCATTTTTCAGAGATGCTTTAGATAATATATATTGATTAAATTAATGCTCAAATGCCTCCTTTTCCCTTTTCTCTCTCTTTCTGTCTTGGAAGGCGTTTTTAATTTTAATACATGGGCCTTTCTACCTTTAATGCATTTTTTTTTCTTTTCAAGAAAAAACAAGTATAATAACCTTTTAATATACCATTTTAAGATCTTTATATAATGAAAAATAAATTTGCACTAGATAATCATTCTACTCATGTTTCAGAGTGTAATTTTCTTGTTAATCCAAACGTGTCTAATGTTGTGTTTAACTTGATAAGGACTTCATTTAAAAGCACACATTGCTTCCTAAAGGTCGTGGCCTATTATTTACTCTGTGTTTATCATCTGTACTTGATTTCTTTTTTGATGATGCCAAATAGATTGAGTTGATTTTAATTGAATTTTCTTCAAATGTTACTCATGGCGCGGTGGAATAGATGATTCCTTATTGTCTGGTCTTCCTCCTCATTTTCAATGCTCATAGTGTTTCTAGGCTACAGTCGTGTTATCTGAAATAGAATTAGATTCAATAAATTCAATTAAATGTAAAAGTTTTTTTTTTGTATTAATAATATAAGTAAAATTATATAATGTTTTTTTTTCTCATAACGATCAACAACTGTTATAGAGCATATTAACACAAAGACGACGGTGTAATGTAATCCTAGTTAGCATAGGCCTTTGAGGGAAATGGGAATATACACCTGTATAAAGACAATATAAATATACGTGTAAGAACGCAAGGAGAGAATGATGAAGATGAAGAAAGGAAAAGAACTTAGGTGGTAAGAATGGGGAAAAGAATTTCAAGTAAAGAGGTTGGAAAAAGTTCGACAGGCTGGAGGAAGAAATATTTACATGAATTAAAAATGAAGGCCACAACTCCATTCTCAATTTATATTTACATATAAATTGGGGGTCGTGAATAAACAATAACAACATTTAACCAATTCATTATTCAATTTTAAAAATGTTTGGGGTATTGGCATGTGATTTCATTCATAAATAGTTAACTCCTCGATGCTAACTATTTGTTTAAAATTTTACTGTTTTCTTTGTCTGTATTTATGATAATAACTTAAGCCTTTAGATTTTGATGACTTTAGACTGAGAATTTGGGGTGTTATAGGGGAAAAGAGGGAGGGGGAAGTGAGAGAGAGAGATTTGGTGCTCGTGTGGGTGTGTATGTAAGTGAAAATGAATGAGAAACGACATTTTTGTGTTGTGCAAGTTACTACTAAAAATTTAGTTATAAAGTAATAACATCATCAATAATATTGCTTATTTAGGAACGCTTACACAAACTTCTATTCCAACCGTAGTTCAAAAATATTCAAAGGAACAGAGTTTTTAAACCCTAAAAGTTATCATATTCTTATGTATGACAGATGATACACTTACCGTTCATAATCCATAATAGGAATATATACTATAAGATAGTTGTCGAGTTCCAGGCTGGAATTTAAAAAAGTAGAGAAACATGGCTTACAGTATTACATAACTAGAAATATCGCAATCTGTATTGCCTCGCAATGCCAATGTATCCCCCGGCATGGGTAGCGATTTTGTGCCATCCTTATATTCGAAGGAGGGACAAAGATCCTCTCTCCCCTCCCAGAAACATAAGGATGGCGTAGAGATCACCACTTGTGGCTTGGACCATTGTCACGACTAGGAGCAGCATCACCAAAAAAACATGTGACTAGACTAGAGTATAATGCATCTCTGTAGAAAATTTGAAAGAAATCTGTCAATAAATGTGGCACAAAGAGTGCACAAAAGACAGCCACCAAAATATGACCTTTGACCCTATAACTGACGGAACACAAGTGACGGCATCACCAAACACTAAAGATGTATAGATTGTACTAAGACACACCTCCATACAACATTTGAAAAAAATCCGTCAAGAAATATAGTAGTTAGAGCGCATAAAAGATATATGACCTTTGACCATATAAAAGACGGAACAATGAGGACAGACTCGCCCAAATGTGAAGATGTGTAGGTTGTACCAAGATACATCTCCATTCGAAATTTGAAAGAAATCCGTCGTGAAATATGACCTGCAGAGCGCACACTAGACACCCACCAAAATATGAACTTTCGACCTTATAAAACACGGGACACTGGTGGCAGCATCACCAAAAACTATAGGTGCATAGATTTTACCACAAACACTTCCATACTGACAGGTGTGTAGATTATATCAAGATACACCTTCGTTTAAAATTTGAACAAAATCCCTTGAGAAATGCGGCCTATAGAGCGCACACAATCCACCCCCAAAATATGGTCTTTTACCCTACAGAAGACAGAACACTGGGGGCAGCATCACCAAAAGTTATAGGTGTATAGATTATACCAAGATACACCTCCATAGAAAATTGGAAATAAATCCGTCCAGGAATGATGCAGTTAGACCCCACAATAGAGTGCACCCAAGCTATCTATCAAAATATGACCTTTGACCCTATAAAATACGGAACACTGGAGGTAGCATCAATAAAATCTACAGGTGTGTAGATTATGCCAAGATACACCTTCGTTCAAAATTTGAACAAAATCCCTTGGAAAATGTGGCCTACAGAGCGCACACAAACCATACACAAAAGTATGGCCTGTTAACCTATAAAAGACGGAACACTAGGGGCAGCATCACCAAAAGGTATAGGTGCGTAGGAAAACGCCAGCAACCGCGGACCACTCCATAGAAAACTACTTCAAACCGCGGACGTACCTGCAAGCAGCCGCGGACCACTCCATAGAAAACTACCTCAAACCGCGGACGTACCTGCAATGGGGGACCGTCCACGGTTTCGATACCGGTTCCGCCGTATCAAATTTACGACGTAGGGGGCGTTTGAATATTAGATGTCACAGCGTGTAGGCAACATCGACTGGATCAGTCCGATGTGTATCGCGAAATGTCACAGCGCCCCCTTTTGACTGCGCGGGAGAGGCTCTCGCTACCTGGATCATCCCATAGGAGGTACGTCCGCGGTTTGATGTAGTTTTCTATGGAGTGGTCCGCGGTTGCTGGTGATTACCTACGCACACACACACAAGTACTAAACTTGGTCCACGGTTGACAGCATTTCCCTGTAGTGGTAGATAAAACCAAGGAAATCCGTCTGGGAATGTGGCAGTTAGTGCGCGTCGTAACGCTGCTGAATCCACAGTACCCCACCGGCATCGAAATCAGTTGAAACGGAATTTGAAGAGTACCATTTCAGAAATATTCAACACTTAATTTGTCAAACCATGACTGAGAAGCAAACTTACCTTGATGGTATTCACAATGCTCTCCATAATATCCATCTGGACAGAAACACGAAGATGAATTTCCATTGCTGTAACACGTCCCACCGTTCAGACAGGGTGCAAAACTACACGGGTCGCTCCCGTTTCCTATTTAAGAAAGTTGATGAAGATTTTCACTCTTATATTTTCTAAACAATGAAGAAGGTCAACAGACGCTGAGGCACTCCATACAGATTTATTTCTTTTTTGGGTCTCAATTGCTTAGGCGATTTGAGCCTGAGGATCTCCTCTTTTACCCTACTTAGTAAAATTAAAAGTTAATTTCATGTTTGAATTATTAAAATGTTTCAAAACTGAGATAAATTTTCATCGAAATCAGTTGAAACGGAATTGGAAGAGTACCCATTTCAGAAATATTCAATACTAAATATGTCAAACCATGACTGAGAAGCAAACTTACCATGATGGTATTCACAATGCTCTCCATAATATTCGTCTGGACAGAAACACGAAGATGAATTTCCATTGCTGTAACACGTCCCACCGTTCAGACAGGGTGCAAAACTACACGGGTCGCTCCCGTTTCCTATTTAAGAAAGTTGATGAAGAATTTCATTCTTATATTTTCTGAACAATGAGGAAACAGTCAACAGACGCTTTGGCCTTTCATGCAGAATTGCTTCATTTTTGTGTGAAAATGTTTTATAAGTGAGATAAATTTTCATCGAAATCAGTTTTAACGGAATTGGAAGAGTACCCGTTTCAGAATTATTCAATACTTAATTTGTCAAACCTCGACTGAGAAGCAAACTTACCATGATGGTATTCACAATGCTCTCCATAATATCCGTCTGGACAGAAACACGAAGATGAACTTCCATTGCTGTAACACGTCCCACCGTTCAGACAGGGTGCAAAGCTACACGGGTCGCTCCCGTTTCCTATTTAAGAAAGTTGATGAAGATTTTCACTCTTATATTTTCTGAACAATGAAGAAGGCCAACAGACGCTGAGGCACTCCATGCAGATTTATTTCTTTTTTGGGTCTCAATTGCTTAGGCGATTTGAGCCTGAGGATCTCCTCTTTTTCCCTACTTGACTTACTTGACTTACTTGACTTAAGCCGTCCACACCATCACTGGGATGTATGATGGCTTCTGTTTCACTATGGCTTGCCACACCTTCCTGTCTTCTGTTAACCTTGTAGCTTTAGTCAGGGAGTCAACTTGTCTGTTTTTGCAGTCCGCCTTGATGCAGTCTGTCCATCTCTTAGCTGGTCTTCCCCTTGGGCGTTTGCCATGTATATTTCCATTGAGAAGGATGTGGGGGTATCTTTTTGAATTCATTCGGTTGATATGTCCAAAGTATCTCAGTCTTTTTGTGGCAACCCTGTCGATGATAGTTTCTTCCATATTCAGTTGTGTTCGTATGTGTGTGTTCCTTAGCCTGTCATATCTGGTCACACCCATGATTCTCCTGAGGCATGCCATCTCAAAAGTGTGAAGTCTATTTTCATCTACCTTCTTTAATGTCCATGTTTCTGCACCATATAACAGAATAGACAACACCAGGACTTTGTACAGATCTACCTTTGTTGAGCAGCGTATATCTTGTGATGCCCAGATTTTCTTGAGTGCTTGGAATGCTCCTATTGCCTTTCCAATGCGGTGCTTTACCTCTTCCGAGCAGGATCCTGTCTGGCTTATTGTTCCTCCCAGGTACGTGAACTTATCTACTTGTTTTAGCTGTTCTCCTCCAACGTTTATATTCAATAGTTGAGGCTGTTTGCTTATGGCTTGTACTTCTGTTTTGGTAATGTTTATTTTCAGTCCAAAGTTTGAGCTGCTCTGATGTACTAGGTCAACTATTGTTTGGAGGTCTCTGTCATTGTCAGCTATAAGGACTATGTCATCCGCAAATCTTAGGTTGTTGATTAGCTGTCCCTGTACTCTTACGCCGATCTTGGTGTCAAATCCAAGGCAGTCTACACAACAATCAAACAAATCACTAAGAAATCTAGCATCAGAATGCAGGCAGTGAAAAGCAAAGATGGAGAAATCCTTACCGAGATGAAAGATGTTAAAGAGAGATGGAAAGAAAGCTTTGAGGAACTGTACAATCACCAGAACCAAACAAATGGAGAAGCTACTAACATACCTCAGATGGCCAGCCTCGAACCGGTTCCAGACATTCTGCGAGATGAAGTAGAATTTGCTGTACGAAAACTCGCAGAAGAGAAAGCACCTGGATTTGACAGCATCACAGGAGAGGAACTCAAAGCTACTGGGCCAACAGGAATCACCATACTTCACAAATTGTGCAACATAATATGGCGGGAAGAAAGTTTTCCGGCTGACTGGGGAAAAGCCATAATAACACCAATCTACAAGAAAAAAGACAAACTCAACTGTGGAAACTACAGGGGTATTAGCCTGCTAAGCCATGCAGGGAAAGTATTCAGTATCATCCTCCAGCGAAGGATCATGAAGAAAACAGAAGAAGTGCTGTCCGAAGCACAAGCTGGATTCCGACCAGGACGTTCCACTATGGATCAACTGTTCACCCTCAGACAGATAATGGAAAAGCGCCTTGAAAGAAATCAAAGTCTCCTATGCTGCTTCATCGATTACGAAAAGGCATTTGACTCAGTCTGGCAGGAAGGGCTGTGGAAAGCAATGAACTTCTTTGGATATTCATCAAAATACATACACCTACTTCAAGCACTCTACCAACAATCAAGCAGTGCAGTCAGAGTGAATGGTGAATTGACCGACTGGTTTAAAACCACAGTTGGGGTACGCCAAGGATGTGCCCTGTCCCCACAACTTTTTAACATCTTACTCGAAGCTGTGATGCTTTACGCTATACATGACACCAAGATTTTCCCTACTTAGTTAAATTAAAAGTTAATTTCATGTTTGAATTGTTAAAATGTTTCAAAAGTGAGATAAATTTTCATCGAAATCAGTTGAAACGGAATTGGAAGAGTACCCATTTCAGAAATATTCAATACTAAATTTGTCAAACCATGACTGAGAAGCAAACTTACCATGATGGTATTCACAATGCTCTCCATAATATTCGTCTGGACAGAAACACGAAGATGAATTTCCATTGCTGTAACACGTCCCACCGTTCAGACAGGGTGCAAAACTACACGGGTCGCTCCCGTTTCCTATTTAAGAAAGTTGATGAGGAATTTCATTCTTATTTTTTCTGAACAATGAGGAAACAGTCAACAGACGCTTTGGCCTTTCATGCAGAATTGCTTCATTTTTTGTGAAAATGTTTTATAAGTGAGATAAATTTTCATCGAAATCAGTTTAAACGGAATTGGAAGAGTACCCGTTTCAGAATTATTCAATACTAAATTTGTCAAACCTTGATTGAGAAATAAACTTACCTTGATGGTATTCACAATGCTCTCCATAATATCCGTCTGGACAGAAACACGAAGATGAACTTCCATTGCTGTAACACGTCCCACCGTTCAGACAGGGTGCAAAGCTACACGGGTCGCTCCCGTTTCCTATTTAAGAAAGTTGATGAAGATTTTCACTCTTATATTTTCTGAACAATGAAGAAGGTCAACAGACGCTGAGGCACTCAATACAGATTTATTTCTTTTTTGGGTCTCAATTGCTTAGGCGATTTGAGCCTGAGGATCTCCTCTTTTTCCCTACTTAGTTAAATTAAAAGTTAATTTCATGTTTGAATTGTTAAAATGTTTCAAAAGTGAGATAAATTTTCATCGATATCAGTTGAAACGGAATTGGAAGAGTACCCATTTCAGAAATATTCAATACTAAATTTGTCAAGCCATGACTGAGAAGCAAACTTACCATGATGGTATTCACAATGCTCTCCATAATATCCGTCTGGACAGAAACACGAAGATGAATTTCCATTGCTGTAACACGTCCCACCGTTCAGACAGGGTGCAAAACTACACGGGTCGCTCCCGTTTCCTATTTAAGAAAGTTGATGAAGAATTTCATTCTTATATTTTCTGAACAATGAGGAAACAGTCAACAGACGCTTTGGCCTTTCATGCAGAATTGCTTCATTTTTTGTGAAAATGTTTTATAAGTGAGATAAATTTTCATCGAAATCAGTTTAAACGGAATTGGAAGAGTACCCGTTTCAGAATTATTCAATACTTAATTTGTCAAACCTCGACTGAGAAGCAAACTTACCATGATGGTATTCACAATGCTCTCCATAATATCCGTCTGGACAGAAACACGAAGATGAACTTCCATTGCTGTAACACGTCCCACCGTTCAGACAGGGTGCAAAGCTACACGGGTCGCTCCCGTTTCCTATTTAAGAAAGTTGATGAAGATTTTCACTCTTATATTTTCTGAACAATGAAGAAGGCCAACAGACGCTGAGGCACTCCATGCAGATTTATTTCTTTTTTGGGTCTCAATTGCTTAGGCGATTTAAGCCTGAGGATCTCCTCTTTTTCCCTACTTAGTTAAATTAAAAGTTAATTTCATGTTTGAATTGTTAAAATGTTTCAAAAGTGAGATAAATTTTCATCGAAATCAGTTGAAACGGAATTGGAAGAGTACCCATTTCAGAAATATTCAATACTAAATTTGTCAAACCATGACTGAGAAGCAAACTTACCATGATGGTATTCACAATGCTCTCCATAATATTCGTCTGGACAGAAACACGAAGATGAATTTCCATTGCTGTAACACGTCCCACCGTTCAGACAGGGTGCAAAACTACACGGGTCGCTCCCGTTTCCTATTTAAGAAAGTTGATGAGGAATTTCATTCTTATTTTTTCTGAACAATGAGGAAACAGTCAACAGACGCTTTGGCCTTTCATGCAGAATTGCTTCATTTTTTGTGAAAATGTTTTATAAGTGAGATAAATTTTCATCGAAATCAGTTTAAACGGAATTGGAAGAGTACCCGTTTCAGAATTATTCAATACTAAATTTGTCAAACCTTGATTGAGAAATAAACTTACCTTGATGGTATTCACAATGCTCTCCATAATATCCGTCTGGACAGAAACACGAAGATGAACTTCCATTGCTGTAACACGTCCCACCGTTCAGACAGGGTGCAAAGCTACACGGGTCGCTCCCGTTTCCTATTTAAGAAAGTTGATGAAGATTTTCACTCTTATATTTTCTGAACAATGAAGAAGGTCAACAGACGCTGAGGCACTCAATACAGATTTATTTCTTTTTTGGGTCTCAATTGCTTAGGCGATTTGAGCCTGAGGATCTCCTCTTTTTCCCTACTTAGTTAAATTAAAAGTTAATTTCATGTTTGAATTGTTAAAATGTTTCAAAAGTGAGATAAATTTTCATCGATATCAGTTGAAACGGAATTGGAAGAGTACCCATTTCAGAAATATTCAATACTAAATTTGTCAAACCATGACTGAGAAGCAAACTTACCATGATGGTATTCACAATGCTCTCCATAATATCCGTCTGGACAGAAACACGAAGATGAATTTCCATTGCTGTAACACGTCCCACCGTTCAGACAGGGTGCAAAACTACACGGGTCGCTCCCGTTTCCTATTTAAGAAAGTTGATGAAGAATTTCATTCTTATATTTTCTGAACAATGAGGAAACAGTCAACAGACGCTTTGGCCTTTCATGCAGAATTGCTTCATTTTTTGTGAAAATGTTTTATAAGTGAGATAAATTTTCATCGAAATCAGTTTAAACGGAATTGGAAGAGTACCCGTTTCAGAATTATTCAATACTAAATTTGTCAAACCTTGATTGAGAAATAAACTTACCTTGATGGTATTCACAATGCTCTCCATAATATCCATCTGGACAGAAACACGAAGATGAACTTCCATTGCTGTAACACGTCCCACCGTTCAGACAGGGTGCAAAGCTACACGGGTCGCTCCCGTTTCCTATTTAAGAAAGTTGATGAAGATTTTCACTCTTATATTTTCTGAACAATGAAGAAGGTCAACAGACGCTGAGGCACTCCATACAGATTTATTTCTTTTTTGGGTCTCAATTGCTTAGGCGATTTGAGCCTGAGGATCTCCTCTTTTTCCCTACTTAGTTAAATTAAAAGTTAATTTCATGTTTGAATTATTAAAATGTTTCAAAACTGAGATAAATTTTCATCGAAATCAGTTGAAACGGAATTGGAAGAGTACCCATTTCAGAAATATTCAATACTAAATATGTCAAACCATGACTGAGAAGCAAACTTACCATGATGGTATTCACAATGCTCTCCATAATATTCGTCTGGACAGAAACACGAAGATGAATTTCCATTGCTGTAACACGTCCCACCGTTCAGACAGGGTGCAAAACTACACGGGTCGCTCCCGTTTCCTATTTAAGAAAGTTGATGAAGAATTTCATTCTTATATTTTCTGAACAATGAGGAAACAGTCAACAGACGCTTTGGCCTTTCATGCAGAATTGCTTCATTTTTGTGTGAAAATGTTTTATAAGTGAGATAAATTTTCATCGAAATCAGTTTTAACGGAATTGGAAGAGTACCCGTTTCAGAATTATTCAATACTTAATTTGTCAAACCTCGACTGAGAAGCAAACTTACCATGATGGTATTCACAATGCTCTCCATAATATCCGTCTGGACAGAAACACGAAGATGAACTTCCATTGCTGTAACACGTCCCACCGTTCAGACAGGGTGCAAAGCTACACGGGTCGCTCCCGTTTCCTATTTAAGAAAGTTGATGAAGATTTTCACTCTTATATTTTCTGAACAATGAAGAAGGCCAACAGACGCTGAGGCACTCCATGCAGATTTATTTCTTTTTTGGGTCTCAATTGCTTAGGCGATTTGAGCCTGAGGATCTCCTCTTTTTCCCTACTTAGTTAAATTAAAAGTTAATTTCATGTTTGAATTGTTAAAATGTTTCAAAAGTGAGATAAATTTTCATCGAAATCAGTTGAAACGGAATTGGAAGAGTACCCATTTCAGAAATATTCAATACTAAATTTGTCAAACCATGACTGAGAAGCAAACTTACCATGATGGTATTCACAATGCTCTCCATAATATTCGTCTGGACAGAAACACGAAGATGAATTTCCATTGCTGTAACACGTCCCACCGTTCAGACAGGGTGCAAAACTACACGGGTCGCTCCCGTTTCCTATTTAAGAAAGTTGATGAGGAATTTCATTCTTATTTTTTCTGAACAATGAGGAAACAGTCAACAGACGCTTTGGCCTTTCATGCAGAATTGCTTCATTTTTTGTGAAAATGTTTTATAAGTGAGATAAATTTTCATCGAAATCAGTTTAAACGGAATTGGAAGAGTACCCGTTTCAGAATTATTCAATACTAAATTTGTCAAACCTTGATTGAGAAATAAACTTACCTTGATGGTATTCACAATGCTCTCCATAATATCCGTCTGGACAGAAACACGAAGATGAACTTCCATTGCTGTAACACGTCCCACCGTTCAGACAGGGTGCAAAGCTACACGGGTCGCTCCCGTTTCCTATTTAAGAAAGTTGATGAAGATTTTCACTCTTATATTTTCTGAACAATGAAGAAGGTCAACAGACGCTGAGGCACTCAATACAGATTTATTTCTTTTTTGGGTCTCAATTGCTTAGGCGATTTGAGCCTGAGGATCTCCTCTTTTTCCTACTTAGTTAAATTAAAAGTTAATTTCATGTTTGAATTGTTAAAATGTTTCAAAAGTGAGATAAATTTTCATCGATATCAGTTGAAACGGAATTGGAAGAGTACCCATTTCAGAAATATTCAATACTAAATTTGTCAAGCCATGACTGAGAAGCAAACTTACCATGATGGTATTCACAATGCTCTCCATAATATCCGTCTGGACAGAAACACGAAGATGAATTTCCATTGCTGTAACACGTCCCACCGTTCAGACAGGGTGCAAAACTACACGGGTCGCTCCCGTTTCCTATTTAAGAAAGTTGATGAAGAATTTCATTCTTATATTTTCTGAACAATGAGGAAACAGTCAACAGACGCTTTGGCCTTTCATGCAGAATTGCTTCATTTTTTGTGAAAATGTTTTATAAGTGAGATAAATTTTCATCGAAATCAGTTTAAACGGAATTGGAAGAGTACCCGTTTCAGAATTATTCAATACTAAATTTGTCAAACCTTGATTGAGAAATAAACTTACCTTGATGGTATTCACAATGCTCTCCATAATATCCATCCGGACAGAAACACGAAGATGAACTTCCATTGCTGTAACACGTCCCACCGTTCAGACAGGGTGCAAAGCTACACGGGTCGCTCCCGTTTCCTATTTAAGAAAGTTGATGAAGATTTTCACTCTTATATTTTCTGAACAATGAAGAAGGTCAACAGACGCTGAGGCACTCCATACAGATTTATTTCTTTTTTGGGTCTCAATTGCTTAGGCGATTTGAGCCTGAGGATCTCCTCTTTTTCCCTACTTAGTTAAATTAAAAGTTAATTTCATGTTTGAATTGTTAAAATGTTTCAAAAGTGAGATAAATTTTCATCGATATCAGTTGAAACGGAATTGGAAGAGTACCTGTTTCAGAAATATTCAATACTAAATTTGTCAAGCCATGACTGAGAAGCAAACTTACCTTGATGGTATTCACAATGCTCTCCATAATATCCGTCTGGACAGAAACACGAAGATGAATTTCCATTGCTGTAACACGTCCCACCGTTCAGACAGGGTGCAAAACTACATGGGTCGCTCCCGTTTCCTATTTAAGAAAGTTGATGAAGAATTTCTCTCTTATATTTTCTGAACAATGAGGAAACAGTCAACAGACGCTATGGCCTCTAATGCAGAATTGCTTCATTTTTTTTTGTCTTAATGCTTAAATTAATTGAGCCTGAGGATCTCCTCTTTCCCCTTCTTTGGTAATTTCAAAATTCAACATCAAATTCTGTAAACAAAATTGCGGGACTTATAAATATGTCATGTATGTCCTATCTGTATAATCTAAACTTTAGCAGTTTCCAAATCTTCAAATTATGCAGAGAAACCTAACAGTCGTTATACTCACACTTAAAGACATTTCCAAGCTTCCTATTTCGAGGGAAGTCCTAAATTAGTATTATCTTTCAAATGCCGTTGGAATTTAACCTTTTCATTTTAGGCCTGCAAATTGGACAAAGTACCTTTAATGCTTAGGCGAGTTGAGCCTGAGGATTTCCTCTTTTTCCCTACTTAGTTAAATTGAAAGTTAATTTCATGTTTGAATTGTTAAAATGTTTCAAAAATGAAATAAATTTTCTTCGAAATCAGTTGAAACGGAATTTGATAAGAACAGTTTCAGAAATATTCAATACTAAATTTGTCAAACCATGACTGAGAAGCAAACTTACCTTGATGGTATTCACAATGCTCTCCATAATATCCGTCTGGACAGATACACGAAGATGAATTTCCATTGCTGTAACACGTCCCACCGTTCAGACAGGGTGCAAAACTACACGGGTCGCTCCCGTTTCCTATTTAAGAAAGTTGATCATAATTTTCACTCTTATATTTTCTGAACAATGAGGAAACAGTCAACAGACGCTATGGCCTTTCATGCAGAATTGCTTTATTTTTTGGTCTTAATGCTTAAATTACTTGAGCCTGAGGATCTCCTATTTTCCCTTCTTTGGTAATTTCAAAATAAATTTTATGTTTGAATTGTTAAAAATGTTTTAAAAGTGAGATACATTTTCTTCGAAATCAGTTGAAACGGAATTGAAAGAGTACCCGTTTCAGAAATATTCAATACTAAATTTGTCAAACCATGACTGAGAAGCAAACTTACCTTGATGGTATTCACAATGCTCTCCATAATATCCGTCTGGACAGATACACGAAGATGAATTTCCATTGCTGTAACACGTCCCACCGTTCAGACAGGGTGCAAAACTACACGGGTCGCTCCCGTTTCCTATTTAAGAAAGTTGATCAAGATTTTCGATCTTATATTTTCTGAACAATGAGGAAACAGTCAACAGACGCTATGGCCTTTCATGCAGAATTGCTTTATTTTTTGGTCTTAATGCTTAAATTACTTGAGCCTGAGGATCTCCTATTTTCCCTTCTTTGGTAATTTCAAAATAAATTTTATGTTTGAATTGTTAAAAATGTTTCAAAAGTGAGATAAATTTCCTTCGAAATCAGTTGAAACGGAATTGAAAGAGTACCCGTTTCAGAAATATTCAATACTAAATTTGTCAAACCATGACTGAGAAGCAAACTTACCTTGATGGTATTCACAATGCTCTCCATAATATCCGTCTGGACAGATACACGAAGATGAATTTCCATTGCTGTAACACGTCCCACCGTTCAGACCGGGTGCAAAACTACACGGGTCGCTCCCGTTTCCTATTTAAGAAAGTTGATCAAGATTTTCGATCTTATATTTTCTGAACAATGAGGAAACAGTCAACAGACGCTATGGCCTTTCATGCAGAATTGCTTTATTTTTTGGTCTTAATGCTTAAATTACTTGAGCCTGAGGATCTCCTATTTTCCCTTCTTTGGTAATTTCAAAATAAATTTTATGTTTGAATTGTTAAAAATGTTTCAAAAGTGAGATAAATTTCCTTCGAAATCAGTTGAAACGGAATTGGAAGAGTACCCGTTTCAGAAATATTCAATACTAAATTTGTCAAGCCATGACTGAGAAGCAAACTTACCTTGATGGTATTCACAATGCTCTCCATAATATCCGTCTGGACAGATACACGAAGATGAATTTCCATTGCTGTAACACGTCCCACCGTTCAGACAGGGTGCAAAACTACACGGGTCGCTCCCGTTTCCTATTTAAGAAAGTTGATGAAGATTTTCACTCTTATATTTTCTGAACAATGAGGAAACAGTCAACAGACGCTATGGCCTTTCATGCAGAATTGCTTTATTTTTTGGTCTTAATGCTTATATTACTTGAGCCTGAGGATCTCCTATTTTCCCTTCTTTGGTAATTTCAAAATAAATTTTATGTTTGAATTGTTAAAAATGTTTCAAAAGTGAGATAAATTTCCTTCGAAATCAGTTGAAACGGAATTGGAAGAGTACCCGTTTCAGAAATATTCAATACTAAATTTGTCAAACCATGACTGAGAAGCAAACTTAACTTGATGGTATTCACAATGCTCTCCATAATATCCGTCTGGACAGATACACGAAGATGAATTTCCATTGCTGTAACACGTCCCACCGTTCAGACAGGGTGCAAAACTACACGGGTCGCTCCCGTTTCCTATTTAAGAAAGTTGATCAAGATTTTCGATCTTATATTTTCTGAACAATGAGGAAACAGTCAACAGACGCTATAGCCTTTTATGCAGAATTGCTTTATTTTTTGGTCTTAATGCTTAAATTACTTGAGCCTGAGGATCTCCTATTTTCCCTTCTTTGGTAATTTCAAAATAAATGTTTTGTTTGAATTGTGAAAATGTTTTATAAGTGAGATAAATTTTCATTGAAATCAGTTGAAAAGGAATTTGAAGAGTACAGTTTAACAAATATTCAATGCTTAATTTGTAAAACCATGACTGAGAAGCAAACTAACCTTGATGATATTCACAATGCTCTCCATAATATCCGTCTGGACAGATACACGAAGATGAATTTCCATTGCTGTAACACGTCCCACCGTTCAGACAGGGTGCAAAACTACACGGGTCGCTCCCGTTTCCTATTTAAGAAAGTTGATCAAGATTTTCGATCTTATATTTTCTGAACAATGAGGAAACAGTCAACAGACGCTATGGCCTTTCATGCAGAATTGCTTTATTTTTTGGTCTTAATGCTTAAATTACTTGAGCCTGAGGATCTCCTATTTTCCCTTCTTTGGTAATTTCAAAATAAATTTTATGTTTGAATTGTTAAAAATGTTTCAAAAGTGAGATAAATTTCCTTCGAAATCAGTTGAAACGGAATTGAAAGAGTACCCGTTTCAGAAATATTCAATACTAAATTTGTCAAACCATGACTGAGAAGCAAACTTACCTTGATGGTATTCACAATGCTCTCCATAATATCCGTCTGGACAGATACACGAAGATGAATTTCCATTGCTGTAACACGTCCCACCGTTCAGACCGGGTGCAAAACTACACGGGTCGCTCCCGTTTCCTATTTAAGAAAGTTGATCAAGATTTTCGATCTTATATTTTCTGAACAATGAGGAAACAGTCAACAGACGCTATGGCCTTTCATGCAGAATTGCTTTATTTTTTGGTCTTAATGCTTAAATTACTTGAGCCTGAGGATCTCCTATTTTCCCTTCTTTGGTAATTTCAAAATAAATTTTATGTTTGAATTGTTAAAAATGTTTCAAAAGTGAGATAAATTTCCTTCGAAATCAGTTGAAACGGAATTGGAAGAGTACCCGTTTCAGAAATATTCAATACTAAATTTGTCAAGCCATGACTGAGAAGCAAACTTACCTTGATGGTATTCACAATGCTCTCCATAATATCCGTCTGGACAGATACACGAAGATGAATTTCCATTGCTGTAACACGTCCCACCGTTCAGACAGGGTGCAAAACTACACGGGTCGCTCCCGTTTCCTATTTAAGAAAGTTGATGAAGATTTTCACTCTTATATTTTCTGAACAATGAGGAAACAGTCAACAGACGCTATGGCCTTTCATGCAGAATTGCTTTATTTTTTGGTCTTAATGCTTATATTACTTGAGCCTGAGGATCTCCTATTTTCCCTTCTTTGGTAATTTCAAAATAAATTTTATGTTTGAATTGTTAAAAATGTTTCAAAAGTGAGATAAATTTCCTTCGAAATCAGTTGAAACGGAATTGGAAGAGTACCCGTTTCAGAAATATTCAATACTAAATTTGTCAAACCATGACTGAGAAGCAAACTTAACTTGATGGTATTCACAATGCTCTCCATAATATCCGTCTGGACAGATACACGAAGATGAATTTCCATTGCTGTAACACGTCCCACCGTTCAGACAGGGTGCAAAACTACACGGGTCGCTCCCGTTTCCTATTTAAGAAAGTTGATCAAGATTTTCGATCTTATATTTTCTGAACAATGAGGAAACAGTCAACAGACGCTATAGCCTTTTATGCAGAATTGCTTTATTTTTTGGTCTTAATGCTTAAATTACTTGAGCCTGAGGATCTCCTATTTTCCCTTCTTTGGTAATTTCAAAATAAATGTTTTGTTTGAATTGTGAAAATGTTTTATAAGTGAGATAAATTTTCATTGAAATCAGTTGAAAAGGAATTTGAAGAGTACAGTTTAACAAATATTCAATGCTTAATTTGTAAAACCATGACTGAGAAGCAAACTAACCTTGATGATATTCACAATGCTCTCCATAATATCCGTCTGGACAGATACACGAAGATGAATTTCCATTGCTGTAACACGTCCCACCGTTCAGACAGGGTGCAGAAATACAAGGATCGCTTCCGTTTCCTATTTAAGACAGTTGATCAAGATTTTCGATCTTATATTTTCTGAACAATGAGGAAACAGTCAACAGACGCTATGGCCTTTCATGCAGAATTGTTTCATTTTTTGGTCTTAATGCTTAAATTACTTGAGCCTGAGGATCCCCCTTTTTTTCCTTCTTTTTCTTTGGTAATTTCAAAATTTAACATCAAATTCTGTAAACAAAATTGCGGGACTTATAAATATGGCATGTACTATGTCCTATCTGTAAAATGTAAACTTTAGCAATGTCCAAATCTTCAAATTATGCGGGGAAACCTAATAGTCGTTATATTCACACTTAAAGACATTTCAAGCCTCCAATTTTTATGGAGGTTCAAAATTAGTATTATCTTTCAAATGCCGTTGGAATTTAACCTTTTCATTTTTGGGCCTGCAAATGGGACATAGTACATTTAATGCCTAGGCGATTCGAGCCTGAGGATCTCCTCCTTTTCCCTTCTTTGGTAATTTCAAAATTAATTTCATGTTTGAATTGTGAAAATGTTTTATAAGTGAGATTAATTTTCATTGAAATCATACAGTTTCAGAAATATTCAACACTGAATGCAATTGAGAAGCAAATTGAACTAACCATGATGATTTTCACAATACTTTCCAGTGTACCCATCTGGACAGTAACACCAAGATGAGTTTCCATAGCTGCTACACGACCCACCGTTCAGACAGGGTGCCGAACTACAGGGATTGCTCTCCTTTTCTGTATGATGAATATACAACAGGGTACTTTTCTTTCCTCCATTTGAACTTGACCGTATGTTACGTTTGGATAATAAGATTAGGAGATATATCAAAATATACGATTAATTAGAAGTAAAGGACTAGTATTCCAGTCGTTTATACACTTGAATGGAGATGCACAGGTCGTGGGTACAAACCATACATTGCACTTTTGTCCTCCAGCCATATATTTTTCTTGAGAAAATAAACTCAACGTCGCTTTTCTTCACCCATGTGTTAGATAGGTGCCCAGTACTAAAGATGCGAAAGTCATTGAGGTTACACTGCCCAGCATCCTGAGCGCCTAAACAAAGGCGCCGGGCTGGAATGCTCCTCTTCAGACGTATGCCTTATAATTATTTGGTTACATTCCGTAAATGGCTCATTGTGGGTTACTTTTTAGTTGTTTCCATATCATATACGAATTTTTGTTCAATAATGTGTACACACACGCACACACCACATACACACACACACGCGCACACACAGACCGTCGTATACACCAATCGCACACGCATAGTTATTTCAACTGACTCTGTCTGGCCTAAACCGTGAGTATTGAAGGTTTGAAGAAATGAATAAGTTACCTTGGCATCTCTCCCCAAAATACCCAGAAGGACAGGTACATGTAAACGTTCCCCCAACACTGTCACAGAATCCACCGTTCTGACAGGGTGTTGACTCGCAAGGATCTGTAGAAACACCGAAGTTAATAGGCTAAGCACATAATATCAGCAGGCACAGACTCTAATTTATCACTAGAATACACTTCAGCCTTCAGCTGCACCTAACACTAGTCTAGGGCTTTGTCAGGGCAGCTATGGTAAATATCCTTTTGGGTACAAGAGACCGTTTAGTCTGCAAGGGCTTACGCCTACAAAGTACATTATTTCAGCCGTTTTCATGAACACAATCACTCAAAAATCAACCTTCGCATACTCTCAAGTCACTAGCCCTAGCCATCACATTTTGAATTTTGCGAATAATGCAATGACTTCAAACATATAGCCCGAACATTTTTTCACAAGGCGTCATTTTGCTTGCGCTAGGGACTTTTAGATTTGCACGTCGACATAGTGGACTGCTACGTGTGACACATGCCTTAAAAGGACGTCACACGTAGTAGTCTACTATGTCGACGTGCATATCTAAAAGTCCCTATTACCTGCGCTAATTAAACCTTGGGAAGCATACAATTAATGCGCATACGTCATTATCATGAAAGTGTGTACACTGTTATTAAGCAATGTGTCATTGTTCAATTTAAAAAGTCCTACAACTCGTTGGCGCTTGCCTAAAGTCAGTCAGTTTACGCCTGGTGTTTAACGAGCTTTAAAATTAGAGAAGCGAGGTAGCCATGCTAAAGAACTGTGAATGTTTTATAAGCACTGGGAATTTTAGCCCTTCAAACACTTTTGCTTTCGAGCAGTTTGAATTATCAAAATTTACCAGTGCTATTGGTAAATTTCAAATATTTTAAATAGCTACTAAGGCAATTCCATGGTAGGTGCGACCATGAAAATCTCAGAAAATGCAGTTCTTATATATAATTTCCAAATGAGAATAGCAGAATAGCAAATCGTTCGATTGTAGTCAAGAAACATTGTTTTAAAGCTAAAATAATACCAGTCTTGAAATGGAACTTTACAACATAAAGAGTTTATTATTTACAATTTTATCACTAACTCGATTGCCACCGCGAAAACGCTCATTGAATATTGTAAAATGGCATATGCTTCCAATAATTATATTCATTTGAACCGAATTCATGACCCCATACCAGGACTTTGTATTTACCTGTAAGACAATGTCCTAGGAATTCTCTATAATTATAAACAATAGTTGATCTATTAGGCCTTCAGAGATTTAATTGCCCAAACACTTACCAGCACAGTGCGTTGCGTAGTCTGAGCAACAATCACCGGCTGTCTGGCAATAATTATCGCAATAACAATTATTGCCACCCATAAAGCCGCAGTCACAGCACCCTTCGCACGACCCTGAAAATGAATAAAATCAAATTTATTCACCACTTGCCTTTAAAAAATATATCATGCAATCACAAAGAATACAATACATACATAGTTAACAATAACACGAAAAATACATTGTAGGAATTTATGAATTGGTTGAATGTTTAAAACTTAACAAAAACTTATATTAGGTAAAGATTATCTTAGACAAAACGCAAAGAAACAAGTCAAAACGACAACGAAATGATAATTACAAACATAAACAGCGGTTATTAATTTATCTTTAAAACACGAGATAGATAATTATGTTTAAGCCATTATTTATGTACGTATTTTCCCTATTTTTAAACTAGTGTGGATTTTTTGTATATAAATAATATGTGCCAAAATACTTTTTTAAAGGGTAGTAAGTAACCTATCAAAAAATTCTAGGCTGTATTTTAAGCATTATAAATTTGACAAAAGTAGATTTCATTTAAATTAATTTTGTCACCACTCTATACAAAAATCCTTTGAACAAAATCCTTTGAATTTTCAAAATTAGGTCTTAGACGAACCAAGGCCATGAGATCTGTACATATCTGTGCTTTATATGGAACACGTGAATACTTTTGTGCATCGAACTCGCCAATACATTTGAGAAACGCCACTACTAATGATGCTGCTGCTGCTGCTACAACGTGTGTCCCACTCCCCGGCCTAATACCATAGCATCGTCTACAAGTGATGTCTACATCTATGAATAAAATAAGAACACTTACCCCTTTGAGCGGAGACATGATGAGAAACGAGTCCAATGACGACCAAGCAAAGTACCAGACGACAGTCCATGGCGGCCATTTCTTCTTTCTACCGATGATATGAGAATATCAAATGCAAGGTCTATGTCTATTCTGAAAGAGACGAAGACGACTTGTTTTCTGCTAAGTGGTGCTTTGGTATTTATACATTTTTAAGGTAATTTTGTCTCATTGTTTAGCAGCTGAGGCAACATTTGGGTTGGAATCGAAACGTTGATAGTTCAAATATATCGTCTTTCGTTAATTGTTAAGTTATTGATTGTTCATATAAAACGCAATTTCCTGTAAGAGTAAATGTCAAAGAAAGTATAGATGTAGAAATCGTCAATAGTTGTTAATACATAAAAAGTTTTTTGTGTGCTTTTGAGACAACTTGAAATATTTCTGCATTTCATTTGTGCGCCAACTTTTGCAAAGTTTAAAACACCTGTTCCCATTGTCAGCAAGTTTCATAATATATTATCTTTAAAAAAATAATTTTTCCAAAATCTTTTAAACAGTAAATCACTAATAAATGTTATAGTTTAAACTAATCCCGATGTTTTGATTCTGATTTGAAAATAATTTAAAAAATTACATACGAGCTTAGATTTAAAGAAAACAAGTTGTCAGAGAAATGTAAAAAGGCATCTTTTGGATGGCGGACTTGAGGAGTCTTGTTAAGCCGGAGTGAAAATATCACAATTAAACATATAATAGGCTTAACAAGTTTTATTTAAGTCTAAAAACTAAAGTTCGAAGGGTTTTAGAAATAGGAGAGAGAGAGAGAGGGGGATAACGATAGACTGCGTAGGTGTTAATATTTTGCAACGTGTGCTCAACCATCTCTTTAAAAAAATTGAATGAAAGGTAGAAGAAGAAAAGTGTGTTGCAAAGGCTTCATTTAGATATTGTTATTATCAGGACCATTTACTTGTCTGCACATTATGGTCTGTAATTCACGTCAAAGCTAAGGCTCGTCCAGGTGTGAACCGGCAACACAAATCGGCGGTCTATAAAGATGTAAAATGTTATATGTGTCATATTTCTGTATCTATATACTAACGCAGAGCTGACTGAATATCCGCAGGAACTTTTTTCCGCACAGTTTTCATTCATTTACACATTAAAGAAAGAAACAAACCGCGGCAGCTTGTTTTTGCCGGTCGTTTACCAGGCCATATGTGAACGAGCCTGGAGGCTGTTTCGATAAACTTTTCAGTAATCGCACCTGGCCAACATGAAACTAAACTTCATAAAATTAAATCTAACAATATCGAGGACCCAACGTTTGCTTACACGGGGGTGGTGTTAAAACTCAAATAGTACGATCGTTATTTCAATATAAAAAAAAAAAGAACGCTTAATAGCTAGCAGGTGCAAAGAAAAATGAACTACCAACATGTCTGTAGAAAAACTGTTTTGCCGGCTGTTTCGACAAACTTTTCAGTATTCGCACCTGGCCAACATAAAACTAAACTTCATAAAATTAAATCTAACAATAACGAGGACTTAACGTTTGCTTACACGGGGGTGGTATCTAGACTAAAATAGTACGATCGTTATTTCAATATGAAAAAGAAAAGAACACTTAATAGCTAGCAGGTGCAATGTAAAAATAAACTATCAACATGTTTGGAGAAAAACCGATACACCTGCTGCCAGTTCGGTTTTTTATGAAATAGTCAACCATTGACATAAAAATGCACGGCATGCCATTTAGGAAATTTAGCCCATTTATCGAACGACTCACACGAAAGCGAGCGAAACGTTTACTTTATTTGTCGGCTATTATTATCCAGTTCCAATTATCAAATAATAACTAAAAGGAACTAGTAAGTTTACACTCAAATCATTTTTTGGGCGGCAAAACTTATACATTAGTCACACCACCAAGCGGACTTGAAATCGATTTTTAAATCGACAGATCTTTGGCCATTCAGTGTAAAACACGGTACCACCCCCCCCCCCCTCCCCCGCCCCGTAAAAAAAGGAAAAAGGAAAAAAGAAATAGCATTCTTCCAACAGTAAAATGGGGTTTAACTCAAGGAACCAGTGCAAGGTGGATCTTATTTTGTGAAAATCGATACCAAGATTGATGAATTCGGTCAAAGTTTTTGTTTTTGTTTAGCGTCGCATTATGTGACGCAAGGTACAAATTTGCTTAGTATCAACAAAACTGCATTTTGAACTATTCATCGCGCGACCACCCGACCGGACGCCATATCATTCTGGCTTACTTCGGATCATCGGGTCATCGCGTCTGGTCGGGTACAACTGCACACAACGAAATATCTGCGCGTATTCACGAAGCTCTGTGGTATTAGGATTACCGAAATGCGACGGGTATTACACTTTACGTCATTAAAGACAGCCAATTTTTGTTTGGTCGGGTCGTTTTTTAACGCGAGCCCTTCTCGGTGTGAGCTATACTATAATTGTAGACCAGTAAATGGTTTCAGTAATCACATCATCAAAATTGAGCCTTTATGACACACTTTTTTTTTCTTTTTTTTTGTTAACTTCTACCTGTCATACAGTTTGTCTCAAAAGCACACAAAAAACTTTTTTATGTATTAACAACTATTGACGATTTCTATATCTATACTTTCTTTGACATTTACTCCTACAGGAAATTGCGTTTAATATGAACAATCAATAACTTAACAATTAACGAAAGACAATATATTTGCACTATCGACGTTTCGATTTGAACCCAAATGTTGCCTCAGCTGCTAAACAATGAGACAAAATTACCTTAAAAATGTATAAATACCAAGCCACCACTTAGCAGAAAACAAGTCGTCTTCGTCTCTTTTAGATTCGACATAAACCTTCAATTTGATATTCTTATATCCTCGGTAGAAAGAAAAGTTGGCCGCCATGGACTGTCGTCTGGTACTTTGCTTGATCGTCATTGGACTCGTTTCTCATCATGTCTCCGCTCAAAGGGGTAAGTGTTCTTATTTTATTCATAAATGTAGACATCACTTGTAGACGATGCTATGGTATTAGGCCGGGGAGTGGGACACACGTTGTAGCAGCAGCAGTAGCAGTAGTAGTGGTAGAGACGTTTCTCAAATGTATTGGCAAGTTCGATGCACAAAAGTATTCACGTGTTCCATATAAAGCACAGATATGTACAGATTTAGTGCCCTTGGTTCATCTAAGACCTAATTTTGAAAATTAAAAGGATTTTGTTCAAAGGATTTTTGTATAAAGTGGTGACAAAATTAATTTAAATGAAATCTACTTTTGTCAAATTTATAATGCTTAAAATACAGCCTAGAATTTTTTGATAGGTTACTTACTACCCTTAAAAAAAAAAGTATTTTTGCACATATTATTTGTATACAAAATATCCAACTAGTTAAAAAATAGGGAAAATTTGTACATATGCATGGAATCTTAACAAATGAAATAATGGCTTAAACATAATTATCTATCTCTTGTTCTTGATTATCTTAATATTATTTTTGTGGAAACTAGTAACCGCTGTTTATGTTTGTAATTATCATTTTGTTGTCGTTTTGACTTTTTTCTTTGCTTTTTGTCTAAGATAATCTTTACCTAACATAAGTTTTTGTTAAGTTTTAAACATTCAACCAATTCATAAATTCCTACAATGTATTTTTCGTGTTATTGTTAACTATGTATGTATTGTATTCTTTGTGATTGCATGATAATTTTTTGTAAAGGCAAGTGGTGAATAAATTTGATTTTATTCATTTTCAGGGTCGTGCGAAGGGTGCTGTGACTGCGGCTTTATGGGTGGCTATAATTGCTATTGCGATAATTATTGCCAGACAGCCGGTGATTGTTGCTCAGACTACGCAACGCACTGTGCCGGTAAGTATTTGGGCAATTAAATCTCTGAAGGCCTTAATAGATCAACTATTTTTTATAATTATAGAGAATTCCTAGGACATTGTCGTTTAAAAGGTAAATACCAAGTTTTGGTATGGGGTCATGAATTCGGTTCAAATAAATATAATTATTGTAAGCATATGCGATTTTACAACATTCAATGAGCGTTTTCGCGGTGGAAATCGAGTCTAAAGTGATGAAATTGTAAATAGTAAACTCTTTATGTTGTATAGCTCCCTCTCAAGACTGATATTATTTTAGCTCTAAACCAATGTTACTTGACTACAATCGAAAGATTTGCTATTCTGCTATTGTCGTTTGGAAATCATATATCAGAACTGCACAGTAACTGCATATTCTGAGATTGTCATGGTTGCAGCTACCATGGAATGGCCTTAGGCGCTATTTGAAATATTTGAAATTTACCGGCATTTACCGGCATTTACCGGCATTTACCGGCAGCACCGGCAAATGTTGATAATTCAAACTTCTAGAAAGCAGAAGTGTTTTAAGGGCTACAATTCCCAGTGCTTATAATACATTCACAGGGGCATCCAAATATATCAACATTTCAAAGAATTACTATACATCAAATGTTATGCATTACATTTAACTATGTTCTTTAGCATGGCTACCTCGCTTCTCTCAATTTAAAGCTCGTTAAACACGAGGCGTAAACTGCCTGAATTTAGGCATGCGCCAAAGAGTTGTACGGCTTTTTAAAATGAACAATGACCGATTGATTAATAACAGTGCACACATTGTCATGATAATGACGTACGGGCATTAATTGTATGCTTTCCAAGGTTTAATTAGCGCAGGTAATGTTCGCACAATTCAAAATGTGATGGCTATAGGGCTGGGTTGAAAGTATGCGAAGGTTTATTTTTGATTGATCGTGTTCATGAAAACTGCTGAAATTAAATAGTTTGCAGGCGTAATTGCAGACTAAAGGGTCTACTGCACCTAACAGGATCTGTACCCTGGCTGTCCCTGACACAGCCCTAGAATGGCTGTGTTAGGCGCAGCCGAAGGCTTGATATGAAAATGTATTCTAGTGACAAATTAAGGTTTGTGCCTGCTGATATTATGTGCTTAGCCTATTAACTTTGGTGTTTCTACAGATCCTTGCGAGTCAACACCCTGTCAGAACGGTGGATTCTGTGACAGTGTTGAGGGAACGTTCACATGTACCTGTCCTTCTGGATATTTTGGGGAGAGATGCCAAGGTAACTTATTCATTTCGTCAAACCTTCAATACATTAGCTCAAAACTGAAAGGTTACAATTATTTGTAGCTACAACGTTGAAACTGATTAGGCCAGACAGGCTCAGATGAAATAACTATGTGTGTGCGTTTGGTGTATACGACGGTCTGCGTGTTCGTGTGTGTTGTTATGTTGGTGTGCGTGTGTGTGTGTGTACACATTATAAGAAAAAGGGACGCTTTATTTCCGTATATGATATCGAATCAGCTGCTTGTTATATGAATTCAATCATTCAACTAAAAAGTAGCCTACAATAAGCCATTTTCGGAATGTAACCAAATAATTATAAGGCATATGTCCGAGGACGAGAGTTCGAGCCAGGCGCCTTTGTTTAGGAGCACATGATGCTGGGCAGACCTCAATGACTTTCGCATCCTACTGGGCACCTATTTAACACATAGATGAAGAAAAGCAACGTTGAGTTTATTTTCTCAAGAAAAATATATTGCTCGAGGACAAAAGTGCCACGTATGGTTTGAACCCAAGACCTGTGCATCTCCATTCAAGTGTCTTAACGACTGGAATACCAGTTCTTTACTTCTAATCGTAACACAAGGTAAAGTTAAAATGGAGGGGAAAAAGTACTTGATGCCCTGTTATATATTCCTCATACAGAAAAGGAGAGCGACCCTTGTAGTTCTGCACCCTGTCTGAACGGTGGGTCGTGTAGCAGCGATGGAAACTCATCTTGGTGTTACTGTCCAGATGGATACACTGGAAAGTATTGTGAAAATCATCATGGTTAGTGCAATTTGCTTCTCAATTGCATTCAGTGTTGAATATTTCTGAAACTGTGGTCTTCAAATTCCGTTGCAACTGATTTCAATGAAAATTAATCTCACTTATAAAACATTTTCACAATTCAAACATGAAATTAATTTTGAAATTACCAAAGAAGGGAAAAGGAGGAGATCCTCAAGCTCGAATCGCCTAGGCATTAAATGTACTATGTCCCATTTGCAGGCCCAAAAATGAAAAGGTTAAATTCCAACGGCATTTGAAAGATAATACTAATTTTGAACTTCCCTCAAAATAGAAGGCTTGGAAATGTCTTTAAGTGTGAATATAACGATTGTTAGGTTTCCCTGCATAATTTGATGATTTAGACACTGCTAAAGTTTAGATTTTACAGATAGGACATACATGACATATTTATAAGTCCCGCAATTTTGTTTACAGAATTTGATGTTGAATTTTGAAATTACCAAAGAAGGGAAAAGAGGAGATCCTCAGGCTCAATTAATTTAAGCATTAAGACCAAAAAATGAAACAATTCTGCATGAAAGGCCGTCTGTTGACTGTTTCCTCATTGTTCAGAAAATATAAGATCGAAAATCTTGATCAACTGTCTTAAATAGGAAACGGGAGCGACCCGTGTAGTTTTGCACCCTGTCTGAACGGTGGGACGTGTTACAGCAATGGAAATTCATCTTCGTGTATCTGTCCAGACGGATATTATGGAGAGCATTGTGAATATCATCAAGGTAAGTTTACTTCTCAGTCAAGGTTTGACAAATTTAGTATTGAATATTTCTGAAACGGTACTCTTCAAATTCCGTTTCAACTGATTTCGATGAAAATTTATCTCACTTATATTAATATCGAAATTACCATAGAAGGGGAAAAAAGGGAGATCCTCAGGCTCAACTCGCCTAAACATTAAAGGTACTATGTCCCATTTGCAGGCCAAAAAAATAATAATATTAAATTCTCACGGCATTTGAAAGATGATACTAATTTAAAACCTCCCTGAAAAAAGAGGGCTTGAAAATGTCTTTAAGTGTGAAAATAACGACTATTAGGTTTCCTTGTATAATTTGAATATTAGGACACTGCTAACGTTTGAATCTTACAGATAGGACATACATGACATATTCATAAGTCCTGCAAGATTCAACAGAACTTTATGTTCGCTGCGAAAGGGACATAGTATCTTTAAGACCCCCCAAAAGGCAATTCTGCATAGGACGCCCTAGCGTATGTTGACTGTTTCCTTATTGCTCAGAAAATATAAAAATGAAAATCTTGATCAATTGTCTTAATAAGTGAGTATTGTGGATATCATCATGGTAAGTTTGCTTCTCAGTCATGGTTTGACAAATTTAGTATTGAATATTTCTGAAACTCTACTCTTCAAATTTCGTTTCAACTGATTTCAATGAAAATTTATCTCACTTTTGAAAAATTTTCACAATTCAAACATGAAATTAATTTTGAATTTACCAAAGAAGGGAAAAAGAGGGGATCCTCATGCCCAAATCATCTAAGTATTTAGACAAAAAAAAACATGTACTCCTTAGAAGCATGATAGTAGCGAACACTGCTTATTCTACTTGGAGGAAATCTGTATGGAGTGCCTCAGCATCTGTTGAATTTTCTTCATTGTTCAGAAAATATTAGTGTGAAAATCTTCATCAACTTTCTTAAATAGGAAACGGAAGCGACCCGTGTAGTTTTGCACCCTGTCTGAACGGTGGGACGTGTTACAGCAATGGAAATTCATCTTCGTGTATCTGTCCAGACGGATTTTATGGAGAGCATTGTGAATACCATCAGGGTAAGTTTGCTTCTCAGTCATGGTTTGACAAAATTAGTATTAAATATTGCTTGAACTGTACTCTTCACATTCCATTTAACCGATTTCAATGAAACTTTATCTCACTTATAAAACATTTTCACAATTCAAACACGAAAATAATTTCGAAATTACCAAAGAAGGGAAAAAGAGGGGGTCCTCATGCTCAAATCATCTAAACATTTAGACAAAAATACATGTTCTCCTTAAAAGCATGATCTTAACGAACACTGTTTATTCTACTTGAAGCAATTCTGTATGGAGTGCCTCAGCGTCTGTTGACTTTTCCTCATTGTTCAGAAAATATAAGAGTGAAAATCTTAATCAACTTTCTTAAATAGGAAACGGAAGCGACCCCTGTAGTTTTGCACCCTGTCTGAACGGTGGGACGTGTTACAGCAATGGAAATTCATCTTCGTGTTTCTGTCCAGACGGATATTATGGAGAGCATTGTGAATACCATCAGGGTAAGTTTGCTTCTCAGTCATGGTTTGACAAAATTAGTATTAAATATTGCTTGAACTGTACTCTTCACATTCCATTTAACCGATTTCAATGAAAATTTATCCCCCTTTAAAACATTTTCACAATTCAAACACGAAAATAATTTCGAAATTACCAAAGAAGGGAAAAAGAGGGGGTCCTCATGCTCAAATCATCTAAGCATTTAGACAAAAATACATGTTCTCCTTAAAAGCATGATCTTAACGAACACTGTTTATTCTACTTGAAGCAATTCTGTATGGAGTGCCTCAGCGTCTGTTGACTTTTCCTCATTGTTCAGAAAATATAAGAGTGAAAATCTTAATCAACTTTCTTAAATAGGAAACGGGAGCGACCCGTGTAGTTTTGAACCCTGTCTGAACGGTGGGACGTGTTACAGCAATGGAAATTCATCTTCGTGTTTCTGTCCAGACGGATATTATGGAGAGCATTGTGAATACCATCATGGTAAGTTTGCTTCTCAGTCAAGGTTTGACAAATTTAGTATTAAATATGCTGAAACTGCTCTCTTCAAATTCCGTTTCAACTGATTTCGATGAAAATTTATGTCACTTATAAAACATTTTCACAATTCAAACACGAAATTGATTTCGAAATTACCAAAGAAGGGAAAAAGAGGGGGTACTCATGCTCAAATCATCTTAGCATTTAGACAAAAATATATGTTCTCCTTAAAAGCATGATCTTAACGAACACTGTCTATTCTACTTGAAGCAATTCTGTATGGAGTGCCTCAGCGTCTGTTGACTTTTCCTCATTGTTCAGAAAATATAAGAGTGAAAATCTTAATCAACTTTCTTAAATAGGAAACGGAAGCAACCCCTGTAGTTTTGCACCCTGTCTGAACGGTGGGACGTGTTACAGCAATGGAAATTCATCTTCGTGTATCTGTCCAGACGGATATTATGGAGAGCATTGTGAATACCATCAGGGTAAGTTTGCTTCTCAGTCATGGTTTGACAAAATTAGTATTAAATATTGCTTGAACTGTACTCTTCACATTCCAATTAACCGATTTCAATGAAAATTTATCTCACTTATAAAACATTTTCACAATTCAAACACGAAAATAATTTCGAAATTACCAAAGAAGGGAAAAAGAGGGGGTCCTCATGCTCAAATCATCTAAGCATTTAGACAAAAATACATGTTCTCCTTAAAAGCATGATCTTAACGAACACTGTTTATTCTACTTGAAGCAATTCTGTATGGAGTGCCTCAGCGTCTGTTGACTTTTCCTCATTGTTCAGAAAATATAAGAGTGAAAATCTTAATCAACTTTCTTAAATAGGAAACGGGAGCGACCCGTGTAGTTTTGCACCCTGTCTGAACGGTGGGACGTGTTACAGCAATGGAAATTCATCTTCGTGTTTCTGTCCAGACGGATATTATGGAGAGCATTGTGAATACCATCAGGGTAAGTTTGCTTCTCAGTCATGGTTTGACAAAATTAGTATTAAATATTGCTTGAACTGTACTCTTCACATTCCATTTAACCGATTTCAATGAAAATTTATCTCACTTATAAAACATTTTCACAATTCAAACACGAAAATAATTTCGAAATTACCAAAGGAGGGAAAAAGAGGGGGTCCTCATGCTCAAATCATCTAAGCATTTAGACAAAAATACATGTTCTCCTTAAAAGCATGATCTTAACGAACACTGTTTATTCTACTTGAAGCAATTCTGTATGGAGTGCCTCAGCGTCTGTTGACTTTTCCTCATTGTTCAGAAAATATAAGAGTGAAAATCTTAATCAACTTTCTTAAATAGGAAACGGGAGCGACCCGTGTAGTTTTGCACCCTGTCTGAACGGTGGGACGTGTTACAGCAATGGAAATTCATCTTCGTGTTTCTGTCCAGATGGATATTATGGAGAGCATTGTGAATACCATCATGGTAAGTTTGCTTCTCAGTCAAGGTTTGACAAATTTAGTATTAAATATGGTGAAACTGCTCTTCAAATTCCGTTTCAACTGATTTCGATGAAAATGTATGTCACTTATAAAACATTTTCACAATTCAAACACGAAATTGATTTCGAAATTACCAAAAAAGGGAAAAAGAGGGGGTCCTCATGCTCAAATCAAAAAATACATGTACTCCTTAGAAGCATGATCGTAACGAACACTGTTTATTCTACTTGAAGCAAATCTGTGTGGAGTGCCTCAGCGTCTGTTTAATTTTCTTCATTGTTCAGAAAATATTAGTGTGAAAATCTTCATCAACTTTCTTAAATAGGAAACGGAAGCGACCCCTGTAGTTTTGCACCCTGTCTGAACGGTGGGACGTGTTACAGCAATGGAAATTCATCTTCGTGTATCTGTCCAGACGGATATTATGGAGAGCATTGTGAATACCATCAGGGTAAGTTTGCTTCTCAGTCATGGTTTGACAAAATTAGTATTAAATATTGCTTTAACTGTACTCTTCACATTCCATTTAACCGATTTCAATGAAAATTTATCTCACTTATAACACATTTTCACAATTCAAACACGAAAATAATTTCGAAATTACCAAAGAAGGGAAAAAGAGGGGGTCCTCATGCTCAAATCATCTAAGCATTTAGACAAAAATACATGTTCTCCTTAAAAGCATGATCTTAACGAACACTGTTTATTCTACTTGAAGCAATTCTGTATGGAGTGCCTCAGCGTCTGTTGACTTTTCCTCATTGTTCAGAAAATATAAGAGTGAAAATCTTCATCAACTTTCTTAAATAGGAAACGGAAGCGACCCCTGTAGTTTTGCACCCTGTCTGAACGGTGGGACGTGTTACAGCAATGGAAATTCATCTTCGTGTATCTGTCCAGACGGATATTATGGAGAGCATTGTGAATACCATCAGGGTAAGTTTGCTTCTCAGTCATGGTTTGACAAAATTAGTATTAAATATTGCTTGAACTGTACTCTTCACATTCCATTTAACCGATTTCAATGAAAATTTATCCCCCTTTAAAACATTTTCACAATTCAAACACGAAAATAATTTCGAAATTACCAAAGAAGGGAAAAAGAGGGGGTCCTCATGCTCAAATCATCTAAGCATTTAGACAAAAATACATGTTCTCCTTAAAAGCATGATCTTAACGAACACTGTTTATTCTACTTGAAGCAATTCTGTATGGAGTGCCTCAGCGTCTGTTGACTTTTCCTCATTGTTCAGAAAATATAAGAGTGAAAATCTTAATCAACTTTCTTAAATAGGAAACGGAAGCGACCCCTGTAGTTTTGCACCCTGTCTGAACGGTGGGACGTGTTACAGCAATGGAAATTCATCTTCGTGTATCTGTCCAGACGGATATTATGGAGAGCATTGTGAATTCCATCAGGGTAAGTTTGCTTCTCAGTCATGGTTTGACAAAATTAGTATTAAATATTGCTTGAACTGTACTCTTCACATTCCATTTAACCGATTTCAATGAAAATTTATCTCACTTATAAAACATTTTCACAATTCAAACACGAAAATAATTTCGAAATTACCAAAGAAGGGAAAAAGAGGGGGTCCTCATGCATAAATCATCTAAGCATTTAGACAAAAATACATGTTCTCCTTAAAAGCATGATCTTAACGAACACTGTTTATTCTACTTGAAGCAATTCTGTATGGAGTGCCTCAGCGTCTGTTGACTTTTCCTCATTGTTCAGAAAATATAAGAGTGAAAATCTTAATCAACTTTCTTAAATAGGAAACGGGAGCGACCCGTGTAGTTTTGCACCCTGTCTGAACGGTGGGACGTGTTACAGCAATGGAAATTCATCTTCGTGTTTCTGTCCAGACGGATATTATGGAGAGCATTGTAAATACCATCATGGTAAGTTTGCTTCTCAGTCAAGGTTTGACAAATTTGGTATTAAATATGCTGAAACTGCTCTCTTCAAATTCCGTTTCAACTGATTTCGATGAAAATTTATGTCACTTATAAAACATTTTCACAATTCAAACACGAAATTGATTTCGAAATTACCAAAAAAGGGAAAAAGAGGGGGTCCTCATGCTCAAATCATCTAAGCATTTAGACAAAAATACATGTTCTCCTTAAAAGTATGATCTTAACGAACACTGTTTATTCTACTTGAAGCAAATCTGTATGGAGTGCCTCAGCGTCTGTTGACTTTTCCTCATTGTTCAGAAAATATAAGAGTGAAAATCTGAATCAACTTTCTTAAATAGGAAACGGAAGCGACCCCTGTAGTTTTGCACCCTGTCTGAACGGTGGGACGTGTTACAGCAATGGAAATTCATCTTCGTGTATCTGTCCAGACGGATATTATGGAGAGCATTGTGAATACCATCAGGGTAAGTTTGCTTCTCAGTCATGGTTTGACAAAATTAGTATTAAATATTGCTTGAACTGTACTCTTCACATTCCATTTAACCGATTTCAATGAAAATTTATCTCACTTATAAAACATTTTCACAATTCAAACACGAAAATAATTTCGAAATTACCAAAGGAGGGAAAAAGAGGGGGTCCTCATGCTCAAATCATCTAAGCATTTAGACAAAAATACATGTTCTCCTTAAAAGCATGATCTTAACGAACACTGTTTATTCTACTTGAAGCAATTCTGTATGGAGTGCCTCAGCGTCTGTTGACTTTTCTTTATTGTTCAGAAAATATAAGAGTGAAAATCTTAATCAACTTTCTTAAATAGGAAACGGGAGCGACCCGTGTAGTTTTGCACCCTGTCTGAACGGTGGGACGTGTTACAGCAATGGAAATTCATCTTCGTGTTTCTGTCCAGATGGATATTATGGAGAGCATTGTGAATACCATCATGGTAAGTTTGCTTCTCAGTCAAGGTTTGACAAATTTAGTATTAAATATGGTGAAACTGCTCTTCAAATTCCGTTTCAACTGATTTCGATGAAAATGTATGTCACTTATAAAACATTTTCACAATTCAAACACGAAATTGATTTCGAAATTACCAAAAAAGGGAAAAAGAGGGGGTCCTCATGCTCAAATCAAAAAATACATGTACTCCTTAGAAGCATGATCGTAACGAACACTGTTTATTCTACTTGAAGCAAATCTGTGTGGAGTGCCTCAGCGTCTGTTTAATTTTCTTCATTGTTCAGAAAATATTAGTGTGAAAATCTTCATCAACTTTCTTATATAGGAAACGGAAGCGACCCCTGTAGTTTTGCACCCTGTCTGAACGGTGGGACGTGTTACAGCAATGGAAATTCATCTTCGTGTATCTGTCCAGACGGATATTATGGAGAGCATTGTGAATACCATCAGGGTAAGTTTGCTTCTCAGTCATGGTTTGACAAAATTAGTATTAAATATTGCTTTAACTGTACTCTTCACATTCCATTTAACCGATTTCAATGAAAATTTATCTCACTTATAAAACATTTTCACAATTCAAACACGAAAATAATTTCGAAATTACCAAAGAAGGGAAAAAGAGGGGGTCCTCATGCTCAAATCATCTAAGCATTTAGACAAAAATACATGTTCTCCTTAAAAGCATGATCTTAACGAACACTGTTTATTCTACTTGAAGCAATTCTGTATGGAGTGCCTCAGCGTCTGTTGACTTTTCCTCATTGTTCAGAAAATATAAGAGTGAAAATCTTAATCAACTTTCTTAAATAGGAAACGGGAGCGACCCGTGTAGTTTTGCACCCTGTCTGAACGGTGGGACGTGTTACAGCAATGGAAATTCATCTTCGTGTTTCTGTCCAGACGGATATTATGGAGAGCATTGTAAATACCATCATGGTAAGTTTGCTTCTCAGTCAAGGTTTGACAAATTTAGTATTAAATATGCTGAAACTGCTCTCTTCAAATTCCGTTTCAACTGATTTCGATGAAAATTTATGTCACTTATAAAACATTTTCACAATTCAAACACGAAATTGATTTCGAAATTACCAAAAAAGGGAAAAAGAGGGGGTCCTCATGCTCAAACAATCTAAGCATTTAGACAAAAATACATGTTCTCCTTAAAAGTATGATCTTAACGAACACTGTTTATTCTACTTGAAGCAAATCTGTATGGAGTGCCTCAGCGTCTGTTGACTTTTCCTCATTGTTCAGAAAATATAAGAGTGAAAATCTGAATCAACTTTCTTAAATAGGAAACGGAAGCGACCCCTGTAGTTTTGCACCCTGTCTGAACGGTGGGACGTGTTACAGCAATGGAAATTCATCTTCGTGTATCTGTCCAGACGGATATTATGGAGAGCATTGTGAATACCATCAGGGTAAGTTTGCTTCTCAGTCATGGTTTGACAAAATTAGTATTAAATATTGCTTGAACTGTACTCTTCACATTCCATTTAACCGATTTCAATGAAAATTTATCTCACTTATAAAACATTTTCACAATTCAAACACGAAAATAATTTCGAAATTACCAAAGGAGGGAAAAAGAGGGGGTCCTCATGCTCAAATCATCTAAGCATTTAGACAAAAATACATGTTCTCCTTAAAAGCATGATCTTAACGAACACTGTTTATTCTACTTGAAGCAATTCTGTATGGAGTGCCTCAGCGTCTGTTGACTTTTCCTCATTGTTCAGAAAATATAAGAGTGAAAATCTTAATCAACTTTCTTAAATAGGAAACGGGAGCGACCCGTGTAGTTTTGCACCCTGTCTGAACGGTGGGACGTGTTACAGCAATGGAAATTCATCTTCGTGTTTCTGTCCAGATGGATATTATGGAGAGCATTGTGAATACCATCATGGTAAGTTTGCTTCTCAGTCAAGGTTTGACAAATTTAGTATTAAATATGGTGAAACTGCTCTTCAAATTCCGTTTCAACTGATTTCGATGAAAATGTATGTCACTTATAAAACATTTTCACAATTCAAACACGAAATTGATTTCGAAATTACCAAAAAAGGGAAAAAGAGGGGGTCCTCATGCTCAAATCAAAAAATACATGTACTCCTTAGAAGCATGATCGTAACGAACACTGTTTATTCTACTTGAAGCAAATCTGTGTGGAGTGCCTCAGCGTCTGTTTAATTTTCTTCATTGTTCAGAAAATATTAGTGTGAAAATCTTCATCAACTTTCTTAAATAGGAAACGGAAGCGACCCCTGTAGTTTTGCACCCTGTCTGAACGGTGGGACGTGTTACAGCAATGGAAATTCATCTTCGTGTATCTGTCCAGACGGATATTATGGAGAGCATTGTGAATACCATCAGGGTAAGTTTGCTTCTCAGTCATGGTTTGACAAAATTAGTATTAAATATTGCTTTAACTGTACTCTTCACATTCCATTTAACCGATTTCAATGAAAATTTATCTCACTTATAACACATTTTCACAATTCAAACACGAAAATAATTTCGAAATTACCAAAGAAGGGAAAAAGAGGGGGTCCTCATGCTCAAATCATCTAAGCATTTAGACAAAAATACATGTTCTCCTTAAAAGCATGATCTTAACGAACACTGTTTATTCTACTTGAAGCAATTCTGTATGGAGTGCCTCAGCGTCTGTTGACTTTTCCTCATTGTTCAGAAAATATAAGAGTGAAAATCTTCATCAACTTTCTTAAATAGGAAACGGAAGCGACCCCTGTAGTTTTGCACCCTGTCTGAACGGTGGGACGTGTTACAGCAATGGAAATTCATCTTCGTGTATCTGTCCAGACGGATATTATGGAGAGCATTGTGAATACCATCAGGGTAAGTTTGCTTCTCAGTCATGGTTTGACAAAATTAGTATTAAATATTGCTTGAACTGTACTCTTCACATTCCATTTAACCGATTTCAATGAAAATTTATCCCCCTTTAAAACATTTTCACAATTCAAACACGAAAATAATTTCGAAATTACCAAAGAAGGGAAAAAGAGGGGGTCCTCATGCTCAAATCATCTAAGCATTTAGACAAAAATACATGTTCTCCTTAAAAGCATGATCTTAACGAACACTGTTTATTCTACTTGAAGCAATTCTGTATGGAGTGCCTCAGCGTCTGTTGACTTTTCCTCATTGTTCAGAAAATATAAGAGTGAAAATCTTAATCAACTTTCTTAAATAGGAAACGGAAGCGACCCCTGTAGTTTTGCACCCTGTCTGAACGGTGGGACGTGTTACAGCAATGGAAATTCATCTTCGTGTATCTGTCCAGACGGATATTATGGAGAGCATTGTGAATTCCATCAGGGTAAGTTTGCTTCTCAGTCATGGTTTGACAAAATTAGTATTAAATATTGCTTGAACTGTACTCTTCACATTCCATTTAACCGATTTCAATGAAAATTTATCTCACTTATAAAACATTTTCACAATTCAAACACGAAAATAATTTCGAAATTACCAAAGAAGGGAAAAAGAGGGGGTCCTCATGCATAAATCATCTAAGCATTTAGACAAAAATACATGTTCTCCTTAAAAGCATGATCTTAACGAACACTGTTTATTCTACTTGAAGCAATTCTGTATGGAGTGCCTCAGCGTCTGTTGACTTTTCCTCATTGTTCAGAAAATATAAGAGTGAAAATCTTAATCAACTTTCTTAAATAGGAAACGGGAGCGACCCGTGTAGTTTTGCACCCTGTCTGAACGGTGGGACGTGTTACAGCAATGGAAATTCATCTTCGTGTTTCTGTCCAGACGGATATTATGGAGAGCATTGTAAATACCATCATGGTAAGTTTGCTTCTCAGTCAAGGTTTGACAAATTTGGTATTAAATATGCTGAAACTGCTCTCTTCAAATTCCGTTTCAACTGATTTCGATGAAAATTTATGTCACTTATAAAACATTTTCACAATTCAAACACGAATTGATTTCGAAATTACCAAAAAAGGGAAAAAGAGGGGGTCCTCATGCTCAAATCATCTAAGCATTTAGACAAAAATACATGTTCTCCTTAAAAGTATGATCTTAACGAACACTGTTTATTCTACTTGAAGCAAATCTGTATGGAGTGCCTCAGCGTCTGATGACTTTTCCTCATTGTTCAGAAAATATAAGAGTGAAAATCTTAATCAACTTTCTTAAATAGGAAACGGAAGCGACCCGTGTAGTTTTGCACCCTGTCTGAACGGTGGGACGTGTTACAGCAATGGAAATTCATCTTCGTGTATCTGTCCAGACGGATATTATGGAGAGCATTGTGAATACCATCAAGGTAAGTTTGCTTCTTAGTCGTGGTTTGACAAATTGGGTATTGAATATGAAATAGTACTCTTTAAATTCCGTTTCTACTGAAAATATATCTCACTTATAAAACATTTTCACAATTCAAACATGAAATTAATTTTGAAATTAACAAAGAAAGGGAATAATAAGAGGAGGTCCTCAGGCTCAAATCGTTTAACTGGGCAAGTATCGGAATCACAGAAATGTAGAGCAGCAGAAGCGAGAGCAAGACGCCTTCACACACAGCCGGGCGGAAATCATCGGAATCGATGTATAGCGCCGATAAACCCAACGACAACAACCATTTCATTGTCTGAAAAGTGTTGGAATTGTTGAATGCAGGGACAGGAAGAGCAAACAAAAAAAAAAGAAGAAGATTGAACAAAGAAAACTATAATATTATTGTTTCCCCCGGCAGTGTGCCGGTGGGGAACTTTGGATTCAACAGCGATACGACGCGCACACAAGAATATAACGCGGTGGACGCGGTCCGCCCCGTTATATTCTTATGTGCGCTCTAACTGCCACATTCCTTGACGGATTTCCTTTAAATTTTGTATGGAGGTGTATCTTAGTTTAATCTACACACATATAACTTTTGGTGATACTGCTCCCAGTGTTCTGTCTTCTATAGGGTAATAGACCATATTTTGGGGGATGATTTGTGTGCCCTCTATAGGCCACATTTCTCATGGGATTTTGTTCAAATTTTAAACGAAGGTGTATCTTGGTATAATCTACACACCTGTCAGTATGGAAGTGTATGTTGGTAAAATCTATGCACCTATAGTTTTTGGTGATGCTGCCACCAGTGTCCCGTGTTTTGAAAGGTCAAAAGGTCATATTTTGGTGGGTGTCTAGTGTGCGCTCTGCAAGTCATATTTCATGACGGATTTCTTTCAAATTTTGAATGGAGATATATCTTGGTACAACCTACACATCTTCACCTTTGGGCGATGCTGCCCTAATTGTTCCGTCTTTGATATGGTCAAATGTCAAATATCTTTTATGCGCTCTAACTGCTACATTTCTAGACGTATTTTGTTTTCAAATGTTGTATGGAGGTGTGTCTTAGTACAATCTATACATCTTTAGTGTTTGGTGATGCCGTCACCTGTGTTCCGTCTGTTATAAGGTCAAAGGTCATATTTTGGTGGCTGTCTTTTGTGCGCTCTTTGTGCCACTTTTATTGACAGATTTCTTTCAAATTTTCTACAGAGATGCATTATACTCTAATCTAGAAACATGTTTTTTGGTGAAGCTGCTCTTAGTCGTGACAATGGTCGGAGCCACAAGTGGCGATCTCTACGCCATCCTTTTGTTTAAGGGAGGGGAGAGAGGATCTTTGTCCCTCCTTCGACGGTAAGGATGACAAAAAATCGCTATCCCTGCCGGGGGATACTTTCGCATTGCGCGGAAATACAGATTGCGATATTTCTAGTTATCTAATACTGTTTTTAATAGTCATGTTTCTATAATTTTTTATATTCCAGCCTGGAACTCGACAACTATCCTATAGTATCTATTCCTATTATGGATTGTGAACGGTAAGTTTACCATCTGTCATAAAGTAAGAATATGATAACTTTTACGGTTTAAAAACTCTGTTCCTTTAAATATTGTTGAACTATGGTTTGAAAAGAAGTTTGTGTAAGCGTTCCTAGATAAGCAATATTATTGATGATGTTATTATTTCATGAATAAACACAAAAATGTCGTTTCTCATTCATTTTTACACACATACACGCCCACACGAGCGCCAACTCTTTCTCTCTCTCTCTCACTTCCCCCTCCCTCTTTTTCCCTATAACACCCCAATCCTCAATCTAAAGTAATCAAAATTTAAAGGCGTAAGTTATTATAATAAATACAGACACAGAATACAGTAAAAATTTAAAATAAATAGTTAGCATAGAGGAGTTAACTATTTATGAATAAAATCACATGCCAATTTCCCAAACATTGTTGAAATTGAATAATGAATTGGTTAAATGTTGTTATTGTTTATTCACGACCCCCAATTTAAATGTAAATATAAATTGAGAATGGAGTTGTGGCCTTCATTTTTAATTCATGTAAAATTTCTTTCTCCAGCCTTTCGAACTTTTTCCAACCTCTTTACTCTAAATTCTTTTCCCCATTCTTACCACCTAAATTCTTTTCCTTTCCTCATCTTCATCATTCTCTCCTTGCGTTCTTACATGTATATTTATATTGTCTTGTCTTTATACAGGTGTATATTCCCATTTCCCTCAAAGGCCTATGCTAACTAGAATTACATTACACCTTCTTCTTCGTGTTAATATGCTGTATAACAGTTATTGATCATTATGAAAAAAAATACATTATATAATTTGACTAAAATTGCAAATATAAAATAATGAAAAATAACTGTTTCTTTTAAATGAACTAATTGAATCGAATTCTATTTCAGATAAAACAACTGTAGCCTAGAAGTACCACGAGCATTGAAAAAGGAGGAGAAAGACCACACAATAAGGGATCATCTATTCTACCGTGACATGAGAAAAATTTGCAGAAAATTCAATTTAATCGATTCAATTTATTTGACATCATGTAAAGGAAAAATTAAGTACAAACCAATTTAGGGTACATTATAAGACAGGACCACTAAAAAGCAACGTGTGCTGGTAAATGAAGCCTTTATCAAGTTAAACACAATATTAGATACGTTTGTATTAACAAGAAAATTCCATTGTGTAACATGAGGAAAATAATTATTTAGTGCATATCTAATTTCATATATCTAAAGATCTTGAAATGGTATATAAAAGGTTATTATAATGGATTTTTCTTGAAAATAAAACAATCGCACGATAGGTAGACAGGCCCGAGTATTAAGATTCAAACCGCATTCCAAGAGAAAAAGAGAGAGAGAAAAAAAAGAAGAGGAGACATTTGAGCACTAATTTCATCAACATAAAATATCTTAGAAATAATTCATATCAAATATTTTTTTATACCAGTCACGGTATTTGTATACGTTAATCCAACGCAAACCATCCATAAAGAGCATTATAGCAGTTAAATGACGTCCATACGTCTTTTAAAAACAACGCACCACTAGCTTCATATGTTTACAGTTACTGTATGGATTTCAGAAAAGCTTAGTTTTCTTTGGTATAGAATAATATGCCACTATCTGAAATTCGAATTCCTAAAAAACAAAAATTGGATTTGAATTTGAATTATTTATCCGCCGGAAGTTTCTGTAATGGATTACCATTAATATCATTGTAATAAATCAATATTGGTCTTCCCTCAATAAACCAGTTTGCTGTTGTTTGTATGTGTCCAGTATGTAGTGTTAAATCATTAAAAATATTACGTGAAACCTAAATGTAAATTTTTCGTAAGGTCATTTTCCATTTTAAAAAATTAAAAAAAAACTTTTTTGGTTCTGAATACATATTAAATCACTGCTACTCATAAATAGTCCTAAACGAATAGTTCTACCTCCTATCGTTCATATATACGTCCCATTAATGAATTAGTCTAATGAAACCTAACCCTAATTCACCCCCAACAAAAACTCTTCCCGAAGTCTTGGTTGTATGTTGAAGTTTTCAAACTTATAACGTTGAAGTGAGCCTACCCCCTTCCCCACCCCCACCCCTTCCTAACAATTTCCCCCATTAAGCATATGGATCACTACAACGTATGACTTAATCGGATATGAGATGGGGACAGGAAGAGATAGAGGGTGGTGATTGGTAAAATCGTAAGATATATTGATAGAAAAAGAGGAACAGATACAAAGGTGGCAATTGATACAAATTCGAGATCTGAAGATATACATACAGAGAAAAAGAAAGGAGGGAATTCAGACAGAAAGACATTGGTATAAGAGAGGGTGAGAGAGAGAGAGAGAGAGAAACAAATTCGGAAAGAAAGATATTAAAGAGTAAGATAATTTTTTTGAGATCTAGAAAGATGGAGAGACAGATATCCAAAGGAAAGGACAGTTTACAAATTATTTCATTTACCTGTTACGAATAAATGTTTTTCAATATTCAGAAAGCGATTTGATCATATTAATTGTTGTAAGGTAGGACAAATATTATTTTTTTTAAATACGTACATCCATACAGCATCCAAAAGTGAGTGAAAACGCTGCTTCATCTCTTTACAATATGACGAATACATAAATAATTAATCTTCGTGATAGGCTGATAGGCTGCATAGTCGTTTGTAAATTATTAGAAGTAGAAGAAGAAGAAGGAGTAGAAGAAGAATTAGTAAAAGAATTTGCCGATTTCTGGGTTGATTACAATTTTCCTCACTCGTTCACCTATGAAACCAGACCCTTTCCTATCCGTAACTTTGACATAAACTACTAACCTAGGGCCACGCTATCTAAAATAATATTACGTAGACAGACAAATAATGGGAGAATAGCTCTACACCGTAATACAGGGGTGTCAACAAAAAGAGGAAACACAAGTCTATGGGTGAATTTAATAAACACAAACTCTATTGCTTAATGTGCACCTTATACACAATACATGAAGGCTATACCTCATCTAGTGCCACAGGCTTTAACCTTTGAATCTACAATACTTGTAACATAAATCGCCAATGTTCTGATCGTGGGGCTGGTTTTTATCGATCAAAACATTTTGCCCCTCCACATTTATGATAATTACATCCATTTTTTTTTCTGTTCAAGCGTAGCATATATTTAGAAAGTATTTCTTTCAACATTATTAAAGGTTAACTAGTAGAAAACGATGGTCGTAAAACTTGAAATTGCTGTTCTATGAGCTAATAAAAACTTATATCGGAAAATTTAATATTAATGATTGAAAGTTGAATACCTCAAATATAATTTTGTTTAGACTGGATTAACTGTTGATGACTATATTACAAATGTATGATGTTTGATGATTTATTGTTGCTCATATGGAAGATATATCTAAGTGAATATCTATGAAGAAATTAAAAGCATCATACTTATCAATTAGATCTTAGCTGTGCCTTTGTATTGTTGTTGTTTTCTTTTGTAGAAGTATAGAAGCGCCTCAATCGCAAAGATAATTCGCGATATCAACTAATAGACAATCTTGATACCCATTGTATTGCCTATCCTGTATAAATCTCATTCAGATTATGTCATACACTGTTTGTCACTGTAATGTTTGTACATGTCAAAGGTGAAACACAAAGCACAAAATTATCCAAATTGCATTGATATTTTGAAAGTCTTTGACATCGCATTCAGGTACAAACATTTGCATTTATACACACCAATAAACCATAGGAAATGTAACCTATTGCTTTGGAGGTGAGCAAAAAAAACTAGAGAAAAACACATTTAAAAAACGTGATTAAAAAACGAAATCTAATGAGAAAGTTTAAAAAAAGTTAGAGCGTTGAAATTTATACTAAATATGGGGAAATCTCAAAGTGGTGAATTGGTTATGATTGTTTGATGTAATCAATGTATACTAGAAGGGATAGCGGAATGTTTCACTGATTTCTCATTCTGGCCCCTTAAAAACAACAGATAAGTGATAATTATTTGTTGGTTAAATGACCCCGGTCTATGACAATGTGAATAGAAAATCAAATGCCGATAATGTAAGTATAGAAGAAGATAGGTGAGTTCAGACTGTAAATATAACCGAAATTTAATTCCTGTGTAAACACAATAATTTACAACCCATTTTAGATTTGAATCAACTGTATCTGGATAAATGGTAACTGGATAAATGTTGTAAACAAGAAGGCCATGCAACAATGTTCTTGATTGGTCATTGCCATTTTGCGAATAATGGCAAATCTCTTCGATATATATCGTGTTTACACAGTGATCGGCATCGAGGGTTGAAGCCGGGTTGAAGCCGGGTTGAAACCTGCAGTTTTATGTGTGTAAACGGGATCCCAGTGAGGATTGAAGCCGGGTTGAAGCCGCCCCTTGAATCCACCAGAATTGCAGGTCTCAATCCACCTCGCGGCTTCAATCCTGCAACTTGATGTCGTGTAAACGGGATCTGATCCGCCTCGAGGGTTGAAGCCATGTGGGCCGACGTGAGCAGCCAATGAAAATGGTAGTACTGATATGCACGCATAGCTTTCCTTTAAGCGCAACCTTAAAAGTATAAATAGGTCGCGCGTATGAAGCTGACGTAGGTCAAATTTCCCGCATTGTGACGTCATTGTAATCCGTCTCGAGGGTTGAAGCCGCCTTTTTTTTCCTGCTGTGTAAACACGATCACATTTGCGCGCTTTAGAGGCTTCAACCCCCTTGCGGCTTCAACCCGGCTTCAATCCTCGAGGCGGATCATTGTGTAAACACGGTAATACTCACCTCGGGAATGATAATTTTCCAGTCTGTCCGCGCTTTCCCTTAGCCCAAAATTACCGTGTTTACACAGTAATCCGCCTCGAGGATTGAAGCGGGGTTGAAGCCGCAAGGGGGTTGAAGCCTCTAAAGCGCGCAAATGTGATCGTGTTTACACAGCAGGAAAAAAAAGGCGGCTTCAACCCTCGAGACGGATCACAATGACGTCACAATGCGGGGAATTTGACCTACGTCAGCTTCAGCTGGGGTCCATTAAAGGCCCGGTCACACAGCCCTCCACGGGCGTATCGCGGCCGAATCACGGCCAAAAATTTCTGCCCGTGAAGCAGACGCTGTTGGACGCTTTGAGGTCGCGATAAAGACGCGATACAGCCGTACTTTACCCGTCGTTACACGCGGTAAGAAATTCACACGCGGTTGGCCGCGCGAAAAAGTTTTGGGCTACCCAAAAATTTAGACCGCGGGTAATCGCAGGCGGTACACGTGGTACACGTGGTACACACGCGGTAAAGACGCGGTACAGACGCGGAACGAACGTGCTAGGACGTGCTACGGCCGCGGTTAAGACGTGGTTACACGCGGAATTGGACGCGAAATTTTAGCGGGTAATCGCGGGTGGAGCACGGTCATAGCACGTTTGTTCCGCGTCTGTACCGCGTTGTTATCACGTGCATTAGCGTGTGTACCGCGTGTAAGCGTGGTAGGCCGCGGTACCGCCGCGCTTCACCCGCGATAAGGACGCGGAACAGTCGCCGACGTCTATTCCGCGGGCATACCACGGGTAAACCGCGGGTAAGCCGATTTTGCACATTTTCCACCACGGGCAACCGCGGGCAAAAAAAAATCGCGAAATTTTACCCGCGATACAGATGCGAAAGGCTGTGTGACCGGGCCTTGACATATACGCGCGGCCTATTTATACTTTTAAGGTTGCGCTTAAAGGAAAGCTATGCGCGCATATCAGTACTACCATTTTCATTGGCTGCTCACGTAGGCCCACATGGCTTCAACCCTCGAGGCGGATCAGATCCCGTTTACACAGCATAAAATTGCAGGGTTGAAGCCGCGAGGTGGGTTGAGACCTGCAATTCTGGTGGATTCAAGGGGCGGCTTCAACCCGGCTTCAATCCTCACTGGGATCCCGTTTACACACATAAAACTGCAGGCTTCAACCCGGCTTCAATCCCCTCGCGGCTTCAACCCGGCTTCAACCCTCGATGCGGATCACTGTGTAAACACGGTAATTGTGTTAGCTGCGCGCTGTCACAAATTGCGCACCATTGTTGCGTCAGAGTAATGCTATAGAAACTTGCTACTTGTTGACCGATATCGGGCCCCCACATAGCCTATAATCTAGGCGGAGTGCCGAGCTTTTTTCTTTGCTGCTAGACTAACCCTAAGCAGAACGTCTGATACGGCGAGACTACGAACCGTGAGTCGCGAAGCGGCTCACCGCCTATAATCACTGGTCTAGCTAATCAATATTCATATATATTCAAAATGGCGGATCTATGAATCATTCAACAGCCCTACCAAATAAGGTACACCTATGTTACGTTCGACTAATCAGATGTAAGAAACCGAAACGAAAAAAGATTGCGCTCGTCCATTACTAAATAGAGGTAATAAAAAGGAAGAAGGGGAGATGAAACCAAAAAAATCTTTAAAATGATCATTTTACTACTGTGAAATATCAAAAAATTAAAATATTGTAGTTTTATGTGAACAATAAAACATATATCTTTGTATGGTAAAACAATTATCGTATCAAATTTACAATGACGAATTAGTGGTTCCCCCTTGCTTTGAATGGACCGCTAAATAGTCTCGAGTCATCATGATCATAGAATCCGTGGTCGCGTAGAAAATCACAGCACAAGGGGATTGCTTGATATATTGCACTCTTTCCAAAACCAGTAGGTAATGCAACAAAAATATCCCTGCCGGCTTCAATAACGCTACGAATAGCGGATTCCTGCAGTTCTCTGAATTTTCCATTAGGAATGCCTAGTTTGTTGGCCGCATATGATAAACTTTCTCGCAGAAGATCGTCGTCGTATGAACTACGTACCCGCCATCTTGGATAAAGAAAATGACGTAATGTCACGTGATTTATAATATGCATATGCATAGACTCTTCTCCATACGTGTTTCTGATTGGTTGAGTTCATTTCGTATTCATGAGGTTTTTTCGTACGAAAAACGGCCACGGATTAGCCGCTTCGCGACTCACGGTTCGTAGTCTCGCCGTATCAGACGTTCTGCTTAGGGTTAGTCTAGCAGCAAAGAAGAGGACAATTTTTTTTTTTTTTTCGGTCTCGAAATTTGAAAAATTGACATTTTGCTCTGTTGGGGGGGGGGGTGAGGTCACCTTTCTTAGGTCAGCCATGGAGGGTTTTTTTTTTTTTTTTTTTAATAATTAAAAAAAAAAATCCAAAGGGGGGGTTTTAGGGTTTTTTAGGGGGGTTTACACACATAAAAATACCAAAGGGGGGGGGGGGGGTTTAACCCCCCAAACACCCCCCCCCCCCCCTGTGACGCGCCTGCAACGAGGTAAGTCGTGTGATTTTCTTCTTCTTTGCGTTTGATTTGTTGTCGTTCTGTTTCACCATTATCATTGTCATCATCACCATTATTTATGCATTTGAGCTCTATGTGTTCTTATTTTCAGATGTGCTATAGATACTTGTTAATGAAAACTAAACAAAACCTATTTTTGCCTTTGTGTCGTTTCCAAAAACGTTCAATTTTGTATTGTCTTAAGTTTCGATATACTAAATAAAAATTGTCAGGGCTAAAGTCATATAAGGACGTATAAGTAGGCAACTGCACTGTTTGCCGAACTTTCTGCAATAGTTCAGTATAAATTACATTGGATTGGTGTCGCCTACCAGATATAATACATAGTTTTCGTTATATCCTATATTTATGATTGTGTTTCTCTCTGACTTGTATACAGTTCCTCTCCACTGGCAACTATTACCCCTATTAACATGAAAAGAGTTGTACCTATAATCGGGTAACCGTCACCCCACAGTCTGGTAGCAAAGTGGGATATTTTTTATATCTTATATATTTAAAATATATTACAATCGAATTCAATTGAAGGACTCGCCCGCTAGATTGAAAGATTCTCTTCTTCTAGGTATCTTCTCATCAAAGTCCTTTCTCTGATTTCTTTCCTACATGATAGGGTTCGGGTTAAATCTCACCATATATTATTCTTTGATATCCCTCTTGCTGAATATCTCTCTCTCTCTCTCTCTTTCAATAACTTTATCAATGTCCTTCTGCTGATCATCTCTTTCTCTTTCTCTCAAATTATATTTCAATATCTTAATCAATCGTCACCTTTGTATCTGTCTTTCTTTTTCTATCATTATATCTTCAGATTTTAATTCTGTCTCATCTCATATCCGATTTAGTACTACGTTGTAGTGATCCATATGCTTAGTGGCGCATATTTCGGATGGGCAGGGATAGGGTGGGGTGGGGGGAAGGCCCACTTCAACGTTATAAGTTCCATTACTTCAACATACAACCAAGATTTGCGAAGAGCTTGTGTTGGGGTGAAATAGAATTAGGTTTCATTGGACCGATTAATGGGACGTATATATGACCGATAGGAGGAAGAACTATTTATTTAGGACTATTAGTAGAAATATTTATTAGCAGGACTACACATGTTGAGTTGGCGCATTACAAATACTCTATATTATTATTATTATTATATACTGATTTAATTATGTACTCAGAACTGAAAACTAAATATATATGAAATAAAAAGATGAAATGAAAAATTTACATACGCTTGTTTCACAGAACCTTTTCATTGATTCACCAAAATATAATGGACACATACAAACGAGAGCAAACTGGTTTATTGAGGTGAGACCAACAGTGATTTATTACGATGATGATAATGGTTACATAATACATTGGAGAAACCTCCGACAGATAAATAATTCAAATTCAATTTTTTTTTTTTTTAAGAACTCGAATTTCAGATAGTGGACTAGTTTATTTTGTGGTAAACTAAGCTTTTCTGAAATACAGTACTCGAAACATATTAAGCTAGCAGTGCGTTGTTTTTAAAAGACGTATGGGACGTTAACAAACTGCTAATATGCACGTTATAGGTGGTTTGCAATGGATTCAATAACGTATACAAATGCCCTAACTGCTTATATGAATACAAATATTGAAACCCTCACTGATATGAATCGTTTTCATGATATTTTGTTTAATATTCTTTAACATTTATATATTAGAATGAATGACTTAATTATCAAAATCAAAGAACAATATTAATCATGCAAAATCAAGTACTACAATCAAAGTTGATGCGCTATAATGTCAATTTTAACCTAAAAGTTGGAATTCTGGATGTGGGTATGAAATCGTACATCAATTGAAAATGCCGCTGTTAATGATTATTTATGTCAGATCTTTCAAATGTATTCATATTCAGACGTTTCTTTAGGTAACGTTTTAGCCATCCATAGGCTTTTTTATTGAGTCAAACAAAACATTTTACAATTCATTGAAATGAGAGATGAGACATAAACAGAGATGTTTCTGACCACGAAGTGGTTATCAGAGCAAAATCCGTTTAAAGAGTCTTCATCTAACTACGATTTTGAAATTTAAATGTGACTTAGGGAAGTTACATGCTTAGGGGAAAAAATCCATGAATAATACATTGTAAGTTTAATTTATTTTGTAATTTAATCCAATATTGTGTTTAACTTGAGAGGGGGCTTTATTTAAAAGCGCAAATGGCTTCTTAGAGGTCCTGGCCTATTATTGACTCTTTATTGATGATTTATACTTGATTTTTTTCGATTAATGATGCCAAATAAATTGAATTGATTTAATTTAATTTTCTTCAAATGTTACTCATGTCACGGTCGAATAGATGATTTCTTATTGTTTGGTTTGCCTCCTCATTTTCCAATGCTCATAGTGCTTCTAGGCTACAGTCGTGTTATCTGAAATATAATTCGATTCAATCAATGCAATTCAAAGCAACAGTTACTCGTTATTTTTTTTTTCCTTTACATTAACAATATAAATCAAGTTATTCAATGCATTTTTTTTCTCATAACGATCAATAATTCGAAGAGCATATTTTAACAAAAGGCGTAATGTAATCCCAAACAGCATAGGCCTGTGTGGGGAATATACATATAAGAACGAACGGAGAGAATGATGAAGAAGAAGAGGGGGAAAGACGGAGGAAAAAATTGGGAAAAGAATTAAATAAAGAGGTTGGACAAAATTGAAAGGCTGGAGGAAGAAATAATTACATATAAATGAAGGCTACAGCTCGTTCTCATTTTACATTTAGATTGGAAAATGAAATTAAGGGTGTGTTTAGTGGCGGATAATGGGGGGGGGGGTGTCGTGGATAAACAAAAACACAATTTGAACAATTCCTTAGTTTTAAAAGTATTAGGGACATTGACAGGTGATTCTTTTCATACATGGTTAAGTCCTCGATGTTTACGTCTGATTAAAAGTTTACTGTTTTCTCTGTCTGTTTTTTAAAACTATAAATAACTTATACGCCTTAATTAAATTCGATTGCTTTAGATTGAGATTTGGGGTGTTAGGGAAGAAAGAGAGAGGGAAAAGTTAGAGAGATAGAGGGTGTGAGAGAGAGTGTGTGTGTGACAGAGAGAGAGTATAGGCGGTGTCACACAGAGGCCAAAAATCTTTATTGCTGTCTGTCATTAATTCAAAAATCCACTAACAAATCAAAAAAAATTCAAGGGATTTTTTAAGGGATTTTTCTGTGTGACACCGCCTAGTGTGTGTGTTTGTGTGAGATAGAGAGAGGGAGAGACAGAGAGAGAGCGGGTGCTGTATGGGCGTGTTTGTTTGTGAAAATGAGTGAGAAATCATGAGAGTCTTTTGTCGTGCATTTTACTATTACTAAAAATTAATCATAACAATAATAATATCGATTATTTAGGAAGGCTCACAAAAATCACAGAATTTGAAGAGGAGACATAAAATACATCAACTCATGAAATAGGTACATCATTATTATATCAATGACTGAAGAAAAAATGTTTAATTAATGGTATCAGGGATACTTTGGTCAATCTGTAGCATATCGCTCGTGGTTTCGATTAGAGGAACAAAATAAAAGTTGAGATATGACCCTAGAACATTCTTTTATATCCAATTTGCAGTCTTTGGAGGAGAAAACCAAGATAAATTTAATCAAATGGAAGTGATCTACACAGCATATTTTTAACTTTTCTAACCATATTGCATGGGTATTCAAAGCAACAGAATATTTCAATAGTCATAGTCTTATTATAAGATGAATAATAAACTTACCGTTTATACTCCATAATAGGCATAGATACCTACATTAGGAAGTAATATTGCCACCAGTCAACTGGAATATAAAAAAGTAGAGAAATATGGCTCATACTAGACTCTTAATCATAAACTAGTGTCTTATAGACTTCAATTAATTCAGGGTGGTTAAAAAACTTACAAAACGCTAATCTATTTAGTACAGAGTTGCGATTAAAGATAAAGTTGAGTACTGGTAAAAAAAAGAAAATTATTTCTCACAGAATCAAACGAAACTTACACTGAATGTTCAAGATTACAAATAAATGACATGTGCCAAACAATTTTGGAAGAAAATGTATACTGGCTGAGTAATGAGCATAGAAAGACAAGGAATCAAGGTAGTACCAACCCCGACACCATGCGTGTTGTCCCATACATAGCTTTCTGTGTATGTGCTTGTTACTTTACCAAGACTCGGTCAAATTTATTATGATTTTGATGACTCCAGAACCTTGCAGTGCACACCAATACTTACATGCTACATGATCAACTGTTTCTGATCCTTTCCACACCATTTCTTTCACAATGCAATCGCATTACCAGTACTAAAGTTTATCTTTAATATCATAGATAAAGTTGAGTTTTGGTCATGCGATTGAATTTCAAAAGAACTGCCTGGAAGCAATTAGAAAAAGATAATCATGTAGCACATATAATGTCTGGTAATGTTGTTTACTTTGAGGTTTTGGAATTATCAAAGTTATTATAGATATAATGGCCTTAAAGTGACAAGTAGTCAAACAGAAACGTATATATGGGACCACACAAACATGTTGCATGAATGTGGTCCACACAGTCTCTAGGCACTTTTTCATTTGTAGAGCCATTATGTTGATACAGGGGACATTTTTTGTATGACACTCTTTCACGCTGACATAAAAAGAATGAAAAAGCCCTCAAATAGTTCTCACGTTCACAAAAATAAACCTTATTTTTTAATTCCGCTCGATTTGTAGTGTACCTTAAAACAATTTTTAAAATTGCGGGGGGCTGTGTGAGTCGACGCTTTGTTTTGCTTTATCAAGTTATTGAACATTGCTATCGATCCGTTTATCCACCCCCTAGCCGTTCTGTTCAAAGATTCATTGGAATAAAGACTAGCTTTGATTTTATTTTATTTCTTAAAAATATACATTTACAACATGGAATGTGTAACAGAGGGAAGAAAGATACCTTTACTTGCAATAATGAAATTACAGTGCAATTATTGAAAAATATTAAATATTTGCTTATGTATTTATGATTAAGCTGTCATTGTGATACAAAATTAACACAAGTTGTTTTTGTTCTTCTTGTTCTACTTCTTGTTCTTTTTCTTCTTAATGTTATTATTTATTTCGATAGTATTATTATTATTAATATAACTATATATTTATTAGTATTATTTCCCTGATTAGAGGGCAGGTAATAACGCCATCGAACCGATGTGCAGTGGGTTCAGAGGGCTCAAGTTTACACGAACCCTGCAGTTAACAGCACTTTTACATGTCGTATAGAATAGGCCTACTTTATATAAAGTGTGTATCAATAAAAGTATCTATCATCTCTTCCATCTAATTTTCATGATGCGTTGCCGTCTGAAGCATGTAGGAAACGTGCAGTGTGGGGCTCACATCCATATTTGAAGAACACAAAGCATTCACTTTATCAATAAACTTGTTTTCTTTCCTAAATTTCTAATTCACCATGCAACACATTGTGTCTTGTGTCTTTGTCATTTAAGATTATTGTAGATAACAAATAAGATTTTCCCCCCTCATTCCAACACTTTCTAGACAAAAACAAAAAATGGGTTCCGATGCAGATGATGGTGATGGGCCAGTGGCGTACATATTCAGCACGGTAAAGCTGGTGTAGCTTCCCCTTGAAGGGCCAGGAAAAACTCATTGAAAAATTGCTATGAGGTTGCAAGAAAGAAGCTGACCAAATTTATTTATTGAACCCCTATCGTTGGAGGATGCTGCTTCTAGTTCTCACTTTTCTCAATTTCTGGCAACGCCACAGCTAGACACAGTGCATAGACAGCTATAGGTATAAGGCTATTATTGATAGTTAACCGAAGACATGCAGTAAGTGCCTGATTTGCACTCTGATCGAGTCCAAGGCTTAAACACTTTTGTGCAAACCACAATATTTGCGAGTTTTTCGAAATTGGCTAGTGCTCAATCAAGCGTAAAATATTGTCAATATTTTTTAGTTCTTTCCAAAAAATAGAACGCCAATAATTTCCTGAGAAAAAAAAAATCATACATATATATCCTTTTGGAGGAGGTTGTGAGTAATAATTCTTTTTCTTCTTCTTAGGCCCCAGAAATTTGAAAATCGCGCAGACCGATATTTTGCTCAAAAAAATTGAGGGGGGGGGGTTGACCCCCAAAACACACTCCCTTCCCTACGTACATGAACTCGCCTGCATGAATGAATGAAAAGGATGAGGTATATAAAGACTTCTCTGTAATCGGATGATGGTGAAAATTATCACTCCCTCGGTGGTGTTAATACCGGCCCTTCTATCACCCCGGAGGCGAAATATGTGTATGCTATTTCTAGTACTACTAAAATCACTACGATATTAAAAAAAGGATACTATATAGGTCCTATCATCTTACAATCGCTAACAATCTCGCAATGATGCCCATTCAACCAATAAGGACAGTTACAGTAGTAGCCCAAGGCGGTCCACCCAGTACTTTCGCACCGTCCTCCATTTATACACGGATTCGACTCGCAACCGATGGATTCTGTGCAAAGAAATATACACAAACAAATGATAAAGAATGAGCTGTTAAATCAATAATATTTGGGGGTCTTTTTAACCAGGAGAGCTAAACCATTATTCTCAATTCATACACTAATTCGACTTACAATCGTTGACTTTTGTTTACGCTTCTTGTTGCATGGCTGAGTAACTTGAAGAATCTATAAGAGAAAAACATACGCTAGGGCTATCTGTCTTCATCTTCTTGTACACCCTTACTTCGGCACTGTCCTTCCAATTCCTCGTTAAAGTTAAAATTTGTCAACATTAATTGATCAAAATCTGTAAATCATAACGTGTTCGAAAACCATTCCATCAGTGCAATATCAAATTCAATTGAAGATCAGACAGATTTCAGGGAATTTATAGATGACAGACTAAAAGATTGATCAAGTTATCGCAAAGGACTATAATTGCAGATGTACTTCACTCTATCGAAGATTGTTAATCGATGACAGAAAACCAGTCTTACCATAATATCCGTCTTGACAGAAACACGCAGATGAATTTCCATCGCTGACACACGTCCCACCGTTTAGACAGGGTGCAGGAATACAAGGGTCGCTCTCGTTTCCTATTTATTCACTCGAATTTCTGAACCTGCTGCATACAGGAACCGAGTGATTCTTGATTTGAGCCTTTGGAAACGAGAGGATTCAATTTTCGACATACCCTACGACGATTCTAGATTTTGTTTTCAAAGTAGTAAAGAGTGTTCATCGAGATTTTGTATTTCAGGATTAGATATTTTTGTTGTTTTCTTAATGCTTGGGTTATTCCAACCCGAGTGTGTGATCCCCATCTCCTCTTTCGGAATTTACGACTTGCTTTAAGGTTTGAAGTGGGAAACCGTTTCATCATTGAGATAAATTTTCATTGAAATCGTTTCGAACACAACTTGAAGAATATAGGATTCAGAAATATGCAATACTAAATTCGTAAAGTGATAACTGAGAAGCCGTCTTACCATTTTCACAATATGGTCCATAGTATCCACTTTCACAGGAACACCAAAATGAATTTCGACCGTTGTAACACGTCCCACCGTTCAGACAAGTTACAGAATCGCAACGGTCAGGCCCGCGTCCTATTTAAAACAAATGATCAACATTTTCATTCTAATATTTTCTGAACAACGAGGGAATAGCCAACGCACAATAGGCCCTTCCTGCAAATTGCTTTCACTACTGTTATAATTGTGTTCGTCAGGATCTTGTATTTGTGGAATACAAGTTTTTTTTCCTTGGTACTCGGAATATTCTGGCCTGAGGATCTACACTCCTTTTCCTTTGCGAAAATTTCGGATCTAATTTCAGGTTTGAATTAGGGAAAAATGCAATTTCAGAAATATTCAAACTAAATTTGTACAACCATGACTGAGAAGCCTTTTTGCCATGATATTGACAAAATTCTCCATTGTCATTTATTTTGGCAGGAACACCAAAATGAATGTTCTTCGATAACACAGTACTTATACAGTTCAGACAGGGTGCAGAAATACAAGGGACGTCCCCATCTTCTGTTTAAAAAGATGATCAAGATATTTACTTAAATTTCTGAAGCAGTTCCATGCAGAAACCGGGTTATTCTTGTATTAAGCCTTTACAAACTAGGGAGTTCAGTAGTCAACGGACACTATGACCCTTCCTGCAAATCTGCTTTCAGTATTGAAAAACAGTGTTCCTCAAGATCTTGTTTTTGAGGAGTACATAATGTTTTTTTCTTCGTAATGCTCGGAATAATCATATTGGCCTGAGGACCTCCTCTCCTCTTCCTCACTGGGAATTTCCCAATTAATTTTTAGGTTCCAGTTGAGAAACCAATTCATCAGTAAGAATTTACTTTCATTGAAATCGGTTCAAACGTAGTTTCAGAAATATTCAATACTAAATACTAAATTTGTCAAACCGTGTCTTACCATCTTGACAATGATCTCCATAGAATCCATTTTGACAGGCACACCGTACTGAGTCGCGATAGGTGTCGTAAACGCACACCCCAAGGTTGAGACAGACTACAGAAATACAAGGGTCGGTCCCGTTTCCTATTTACGAAAGAACGAGGGGAAAATGAGGGAACAGTCAACTATGACCCTTCCGCAAATTTGCTCTCAGATATAGCAAACAGTGTTCCTCAAGATCTTGTATTCAGAAGTACATGTATTCTATTTCTTGATGCTTAGATTATTTTGGCCTGAGGATCTCCTCTCCTTCCCTCTTTGAGAATTTCAAAATTGATACTAAGTTTGAAATGCGAAATAGTTACATTGGTGACCTAATTAGCATCAAAATCGGTTAAACAAAACCTAAAAATTACAGTTTCAGAAATATTCAATACTAGATTTGTGAAAACAGAACTTGGAAGTCGTCTTACCATTTTGACAAAATGCTCCATAGTAAAAATCTTGACAGGAACACGAAAATGATTCTCCCCTGCTGCTACACTCCCCACCGTTCAGACAGGGTGCAGACATACAAGGGTCGATCTCGATTATTTCTATTTAAAAAACAACGAGGGAACAGTGAGGGATTAGTCAACGGACGCTATGACCCTTCCTGCAGATTTGCCTCCAGTATAGCAAACAGTGTTCCTCAAGATCTTGTATTCAGAAGCACATGCATTCTTTTACTTAACGCTTATATTATTTTGTACTGAGGATCTCCTCTCCTTCCCCTCTTTAGGAATTTCTAAAATGATGTTCATTTGGAATTGCGAAACATTTTCATAAGTGAGATAATTATCATTGAAATCAATTAAATAACAACTTGAAGAATACAGTTTCAGAATATTAAATACTAAATTTGTCAAACAAAGAACTGAAAAGCTGTCTTACCATTTTGACAATATTCTCCATCGTATCCATCTCGACATCTACACTCAAAATATGTGTCATCTGAGTGATATAAGTATTCACTATAACAGTACCCACCGTTCAGACACGGTGCGGAAAGGCAAGGGTTACTCTCGTTTCCTGTTTAGAACGAAAAGATAATCACGATTTCTACTCTAATTTCTGAACAATGAGGGAATAGTAAGCGGACCCTATGGCCCTTCCTTCAAATTTGCTTCCAGGATAATAAAGAGTGTTGTCCAAGATTTTGTATTTAAGGAGTACATTGTTTTTTTTTGTATTGATCCTTGGTTTATTGTAGCCTGTCGATCTCCTTTTCTCCTCCTTTCTGGGAATTTCGGATTTGATTTCAGGTTTGAATAGGTAAACCGTTTCATCAGTGATAATTATTATCATCGAAATCGGTTGAAACGCAATTTAAAGAAAACCGTTTCAGAAATATTGAATGCTACATTTTATAAGCCATGACTTAGAAACCGTCTTACCTTGACTTTGACAATATGCTCCATAAAATGAATATGGACATGTACACCAAAATGAGTCTCCATCGCTGTCACACGTCCCATTGTTCAGACAGGGTGCAGAAAAACAATGGTCCCATCCTGTCTCGGAGACAAATGAATAAATAACAGGGTAGCTAGTACTCTGATTTACTCCATATTCATTCAACCTAATGTTATGTTTGCATTATAAGTTTAGAGTTAGATTAAAATATATGATTAGAAGTAGAGGTGTCGTATTCCGGTTTGTTTAAACTCTTGAAGGAGAAGCAAAGGTCGTGGGTTCAAACCCTGTATGGTCTTTTGTCCTCAATCAATATATTTGTCTTTAAACAAAAAAACACTCTACTTTGCTTTTCTTCATCCAGGTGTTAAATGGGTGCCCAGTAGGATTGCGAAAGTCATTGTACTTTGCTCAGTATCGTTAGCGTCTGAAAATTGGCGCCTGGCCAGGGTAATAATTATCTGTTAAGCGCGTAGAAATGTCATCGATGTATTGACTCTTATTAGGCGGTGTCACACAGAGGCCAAAAATCCGGATTTTAGTTAGCCGGATTTTAGTTACCTCTCAATTCGATGTCTGTCATCAATTATCCCTTTAAAAATCCCTTTAAAAATCCCTAAAATACAGCTACTTGAGAGAGATGGTAACGTCACCGGAAGTTGCTTACGGTTGGTCAGGCATTTCATGAATCTCAAAATATTTTCCTCTCGTAGAGAGTGTACGTGGGAGGGAAAAGTTTGAAGCGGAATGATTTAACGCTACGACCCTTACCTGCCCCACAGTACTCATCGAAGTCAACACAGCATTCACCATATATATGACACCTTGAATCACAACGGCATTCTCCATCGCTAAGTCCGCAATTACCTTCACAGGATCCTTTATCAGAGGAATTGAAGAAGACAGCGATTAACTTAATAGATTCGTTTCTTTTTTATCAATCGTACTTCATCAATATTTGCAAGAAAGATTATAGATTAAGAGCAAAGACACTCACCACATTGCATGTGTAATATGGAAAAAAAATGCATGAAAAGCCGTTACAGATGTGCTTTTTTTCTTATCGAGAAATTACACGATATAGAAACGATTTTCTTAAACCTTTTCACAGAACGTAATCTTCTCTTCACGTCTTTATTTGATATGGAAATAGCCTAATTGTGAAAAACATATACTTATCTCAATGAGTAGCAAATACAACAGGTAACTTTAATTTAGTGATTGTGGTGTTGCGTTGCGAGTCACATGGAAAAAACTGTTGAAAAAAAGTAAAAAATTCCTGAAATGCGGTAAGTCTTACTTGTACCTAGTTTCAAAGGTTATCTCACCTTTTTCATTCGTCGATTGACAGATACTTCCATAAAAGCCGTTTGGGCAGGAACAGCTGTAGGCCCTTTCGTATTCTACCTCATTGTTACAGGTTCCACCATTGAGGCAAGGAGCCGACACACACGGATTGAAGACTGTATTAAGAAGAACAAAATGTGTAAACAAGATAATTTCGAATACTATTACCTTCAACAACAAATATTATTATTATTTATAAAAAAAATCGTTCACCTCTCTGTCTCTCTGTCGCTCTGTCTCTCTCAGGCGGTGTCACACATAGGCCTAAAATCCGGATTTTAGTTATCCGGATTTTAGTTACCCTTTTTAATGGCTATCTGTCACAATTATCCCTTCAAAAATCCTCATATGAAGCAAGATAATTCTCTCTTGAAAGGATGTTTCATGGGTTTTTTTAAAGGGATTTTTCTGTCTGACACCAATGTTGTAATAATCCCTTTAAATAAGCATTGTGACATCACACGTTGAAATGCGCGCATTTAAACGTGTGATGTCACAATGCAATGCTTAGCTACCTAAACGGCGCATGCGCAATGGCCAATCAAAAATCCGGATTTTAGTTATCCGGATTATTCTTAGCCTGTCTGTCACCAGTCTGTCACCGACGTAAATGAAAAAAAATTGATTTCTAAAATCGGAATTTTTCTGTGTGACACCGCCTATTGTGACTTGTTCCACCATTGTGGCAGGGAGCAGAAACCACGGATCTATTACTTTATTAAACACAAATTGTAAAGGATAATTTGAATCGCACCTTTTTAAAGATAAAGGTGAGTTCTGGTCATCCGATTGCATTGTAAAAGAAAAGGTGTGGAATGGAGCAGTAAAAATTGATCATGTAGCATGTAGGTATTGGTGTGTACTGCAAAGTTCTGGAGTCATCAGAATCATAATAAATTTGCCCAGTCCTGGTAAAGTAACAAGCACTGTACACAGAAAGACGTATATGGGACTACACAAATGGTGTCGGGGCTAGTAACCTTGATTTCCCAATGTTTGTATGCTCTTTACTCTCCCACTAGTATACATTTTCTACCAACATTGTTTGGCTAATGACATTTATTTGTAATCTTCAACATTCAGTGTAAGTTTCGTTTGATTCTGTGAGAATTCTTTTTTTTTTTAAACCAGAACTCACCTTTATCTTTAACTTTTAGTCTCGGTCACACCATGTATTTATGACTATCAGATAAATAAATGCAACTATAAATTATTTACCAATATCCACGCAGAAAGGATATTGAATATATATGCTATCTAACGTATTATGAGCCTTTCGCACCGATTTTCCCAGATTCAATACTTAATTTTCCAAGACAGAACTACCAAGGCCTAGTTCTATTATTTTATTGTTATTTTTTTCTTCATAGTAATCGTTAACACAATAATAATAATAATAATTATCAGAACAAAATGATAGTAATAGTGATACTACTACTAATAATGATAATAATTTTAATGATTATCTTCCTGTGGGCCATGCAATTATTATTACCCCTATTTACACCTGGGTAGAGAGTGGCAAATATAGATTAATCTCTTGCCAAAGGATGTTGTTGCTGGGCTGGGAATCGCAACCTCAACCCTTGGATTAAGAATTACTACTATACCCTATCCCCCAAATTATCGCTCTTGGTAATCTGCCGGTCTTTTCTAAATTTGTTCTGCCAAGGACCAACTTTTATAGTTGTATTCATCAATTAGCCAGCTTAAAATTATCTCAATGAGTCAATTCACGCTTGTTGTGGTCTTCGGTGTTAATATATATATTTTTTTTGCCGCGAAATCATGATTATAACACCGAACATGAAATGTTGGGTATTGACCGCCGATTTTCTGACATATACCGGTCGTTGTTGTTTCTTTTCATCGAATGTCGTCGGCTTAACCTAAACAGTCGGTGTTTAATTTCATGTGTACTATAGCGCTATACTCTTAGCGATTGAGAAATATTTATACCACGGTCGGTGTCGGTGCTAGTGTTACTATCTTTGGGAAATTATAGCTTTTATGCCGTGAGAAACAGAGGCAAGAAGAGTATTCAAAATATTAAATCCAAAGTGTATAGTTTTACAAATTAACATTAATCAAGGGAATCTAGGCCTACATTATTTTGACCTACATTTATCGGGATGGACCTACTTTGGGCAATTTTCACATTAGACTTTAGATTTTTCGGTAGTAAAAAGAAGAAGTGGGGAATCCACTTCATTGTTCATGTTGGGCCCTAACTCAATATTTACAGAATAGCACAGCTATTCCGAGCCGATGTGCGAAAGTTGGCTTCATGCAGTGGGCGCACTGCACCGATAGATCAGAATCTAGCTGTAAAATCTACCCAGGGAGGTGATAGAGAAGGAGTGGAAAAAAGCCGCTCTCCTTTGACCCCATGCTCCAAGCCGCCGAAAAGTTGCAACTAATCTGCAACTGTTGACCAGATGGTGAGATAAGAGAGCGCATGAAATATCAGGATTTAGAATTCCTACATCAGAAAATGAAATCTCAACAAATGTTCGCTGTTCCTTTCAATAATTTCTCATCATTTCGTTGAATGTGTAATGAGTTAAACAAGCATCAAACACAAACTATTGTAATTTCATATTCTTTTCCAACTGCAAAAATACAACGCATTATGATTCTAAATCATGGATTAAATGACGGGACATTAAAACATGCGAAAATAATCGGATTATCCTACAATACTGATTTTTTTTCAGGATCCAATTTTTCTTTTACCAACTCTGGCACACAAATTATAGCAAGGGCGGAGTACTACATTTCAAAAATTGTTTCCAATACGAAAACTGGTCGTTTAAAATTGAAACCCCCAATTGACTTTCATCACTTCTACTTTTACTAGAGCTGAGAGTTTGATAAGCCCTAGGTAAACACTAGCGCTGTAATCCACCCCCACCTGGGCGGGGCTTAACGTGACCTCGAGCGAAAGGAGACCAGACCTCTCATTTCCGCTTCCATTATGACCGAAGTAGCAAACTGCGCACCTATACGACATTTCGCTGTAGAGTTTCGGGATTACTTTCTTCTGTGTGTGGACATCCTGGAATTTATACGATGATTATTAATACGACGTTTCTTGTGTGTGGACACTCTGAAATTTATACGATGATTCTTTATACGACGTTTCGTTATAGAGTTTCGGGATAAATTGTTTTGTGTGTGGACACGCTAAGCATGGTAGAGGGGGAAATGAAGGGAGAAGGGAGAAAGAGACACATGCAGTTTACACGCGCTAGTTTACCGAGTTCGCTGCCAGAGTTAAAATTGTTGTTGTGTCGCCAATTATGGGTCATTTTGCTACGTTCGAACTTTCATTTTGGTCTTCATCTAACTTATTCGTGACTTTTGGACATGAAAAATATCTTAAAACAAGTAAAATACTTATATCCTACTTCTAATTTCCTTTCAGGCAGATCGAGCCCCAGTAAGAGTTCGTTTACACTAGTATTACGTAATATGATGAAGAGTCCAGCTGCAATCAAATATTTTTAATCTCTCACTCAGAGTCTCAAGGCTCTGTCCAAGTTTTTAACGAAAGAAACGAAAATGAGGTAGTGGTACCCAATCATAATTACATTGGTGCCTTTGTAAGAGTAGAAGAAGCTCTCTCAAAGTTTTAAGGAGAGAAACGAAAATGGGTTTCTGACAACCCACTAGATTACATTGACTCCTGGGGTATAGTTTTAACGTAATGCGTAATCACATCGAGACTGAAATTGCTGATGTTAAAGTCCTTTTGCAAACGATCGAAATAATGTAAGAGCTTGATTTGATTGATGTAAATGTTGTTTTTTAATTCTTCGTCCAATATATCATAATCACATCGAGACTGAAAATGTTTACAAATTACTTAGAGAAACAAGTGAAATAAGAATCATAATGATAACTTCTTATATAGCGTAAATTAATGCCCATCACAACCCGAGGCTCCTGGGGCTCCAATATTATGATCCCGGTCATAGCCGAGCGGTTAAATGTATGTAGTTCATTTTACAATACTCTTTTAAAACAGAGAGAATGAACAATTATTGCCAATTACAGTAATATAATTCGTAAAGAAAAGGCAATGTTAGAGTCACCTTCATTATAATAATGTAACAAATTTCGTCATTTAAATTATATTGCATTATCTCTGCAAACTTCTATATTACCTGTACACATTTGCATCAAAAATCAATCCAGAGCTTACCTTCACAGTAATCCCCCTCGTACCAATATGAGCAGGTGCAAGAATAAGATACACCGCCTTCTTCTTTGTAACAAGTACCACCGTAACACGGCGAGGACGCACACGGGTCGAAGTCTGTGAATTCAAGGGATAAACAGATTTAGACCTGGGCCCTGTTTCATAAAACTTGATATCAATAACAAGTTACAAGCTACTGTTATAAGCTACTGAAATCAAGGCATCTGATTGGCTGAGAGCAAAATTATCATAGAAATTCGTCATTTGTTATAGATAAAAAGTTTTATGAAACGGGCCCTGATGAAGTGGGGATATCCAAGTAAACCAACGGCGCACATGCATACAGTAATATAATTCGTAAAGAAAATGCAATGTTAGAATCACTTTCATAATAATCATGTAACAAAATTCGTAATTTTAATAAGTTTACCTCCCCTGTACAAACTTGCATATTACCTGTACACATTTGCATACCAAATCAAACCAGAGCTAATTACCTTCACAGTTATACCCGTTGTATCCATATGGGCAGGAGCAATCATGAGATAAACCGCTGCCATAACAAGTACCACCGTTCATACAAGGTGACGAATAACACGCGTCGAACTCTGTTAATTTAAGGGATAAACAAATTTAGACATGAAAAGTTTGGAAATTCCAGCAGGCCGACGACCCACGAGAGTCCTGGTATTGGTCTCGTGAAACCTCGGAAAGTTTAGAGAAAGTTATCTGCTAACAGGTCATTTTCGTAATGGAAAGAAGTTTAATGCAAACGTCTTTGTGAAATGCCTCCATCCATATTATTTCATTCAACGGATACGAATAATAGTATCTCAATAGTCAGGATGCGAATTGCCTAAGCTAGTTGTTGCTAGTTAGGACAAACATTATGGCTTGCCATATCTTACAACACGTAATACTTATATGCAATTTGCATACCGACTATTGAAATACAGGCAAATGAATCATTCGCATTGAGGCACTTCACAAAGACATATACATACAATTCGGTTACATCACAAAAATGGCGTATTGTGGATTACTTTTTAGTGGTATCGTATTCACAAAATGCAGCTGTTTCCATATCCTATACGAAGATAAAGAGTTCCTTCTTCTTATAATGTGTACACATCATTTTTTGTCTTCTTCAATTTTCTTTTATTTCTCCAAATGTGTAATACAAACAAAAACAATTGAATATAATTGAAAATAATAAAAAAAAAAAAACGTTTTCCATGTTGATATGAATTGCTTATACATAAACATAATCAAACAAAAGCTCATTTGCAGTATATAACTTGGCAACAAAGTAAACTTAAAGTACTTAGACATAATTTATAAGTCAATTGCACGTTATTCACTTTTTTTTTTAAAAGCCCTAACAAATCTGGAGGTTATTTCACTGGTGCAATGCTTGCCCCACCCTGCCCCCTCCCTCCCACAAACACACACGCACACACACACACACACAATAACACACACACCCACACACACACGCCCACCCACCCACACACACACTCACACATACGCGCACACACACCCCATGTTATAGTATATACACCACGCGCACAGACATACTTATGTCAACTCAGTCTGTCTTGCCTAATCCTTGTCAACGTTGTGGCTTCAGTTTATTGTCACCTTTCAGTTTTTAACTGATTTAAATGTAAGTATTGAAGGTTTTGAAGAAAACGATAAGTTACCATCGCAAATCATTCCAGAATATCCAGAAGGACAGGAACAATCGAACGATGGCCATTTCCCAGATTTGACACATGATCCACCGTTTAGACAGGGTACCGAATCGCAAGGGTCGCCTGTGTCTGTAGAAACATCAAAGTTAATAGCACATAATAATACCTTCAGGCACAGACTCTAATTTTTCACTCGAATACAGTTCCGTCAAGCCTTCAGCTGCACCTAACACTAGTCTAGGGCTGTGTCAGAGGCAGCTATATGGTACAGACTCTATGGGGTGCTGTAGACCGATTAGTCTGCATTGTCTCACAGTTCAGACAATATGTTACTCTGAACACGATCACACAAAAATTACCCTTCTCATACTTTCAATACATTAGCCTTATATTTTGAAATATGTGAACAAAGCCATGACTTAATTCATACAAAGCAAAAAGTCCCAGATCATTATTTCACGAGGTGTCACCTTGATCGAGTTAGTAGGGACTTTTAGATTTGCGTGGACTGATACGTGTGACGTCCATTCAAGGCAGTGCATTTAAAGGACGTCGATCGTAACAATCCACGTTGTCGTTGTGCAAATCTAAAAGTCCCTATTACCTACGCTCATTAAACCTTGGAAGGCAATAAATGCGTATACGCAACTATGTTAAGAAAGCAATGTGCTATACACTGTTCATTTAACAATATATTTATGTCACATGTAGTGCGCGTCAAAAGCCGTTCAACTCGTTGGCGCATGCCCAAAGTCAGGCAGTTTTCGCCTCGTGTAATAATATAATAATAATACGTTTTTTATATAGCGCTTATTACCATCACCAAGCTTATTACCCCGGATTTAGATGTGCTGCCATTACGGTGCTCGCATCTCAAAGAATTTATTCCTGCCAGATACAACAATCATTAAATGGAGAGAAGCGACGTAGCCATGCTAAAGAAAGTAGATAAGACAATGTCCTAGGAATTCACTATAATTAACATCAGTTAATTTATTATAGGCCTTCGGAGTTTATGATACAAACATTTCATTGCCCAAACACTTACCGAGACAGTGCGTCGCGTAGTCTGAGCAACAATCATGCTGATACTTGCATATATGATCGCAATAACAACCGCCATCCACTTGGCCGCAGTCACAGCACCCTTCGCACGTCCCTGAAAACGAATTTAATGAAATTCATTAAACCTTTTCCTTTAAAAAAAAATCATACAATAACAAAGAATACAGTACAAACATAATCAACAATAACACGGAAAATACATCGTATGAATTATTGAATTTGTTGGATCATCAAATAGTCATATAAACTTGTAGGTAGGTAATGTAGGTTGGAATGTCGCGGTCGAGTGGTTTACGGCGCTTGACTGGGGATGCGAAGATCGAACGTTCGAATCCAGACACGGCACAACAATCTGTTGGCAAGACATTAACCTACACTTGCTACTCTCCACCAAGGAGTTAAAATGGGTACCCGGTAGGATGCGACCGTCATTGAGGCTGTTCACACCGGCAGAGATAGCGCGCGCTAGACCGCGCTATCTCTGCGGTTTGGAAGGTACAACGTCGTTTCGGTCAAGCCAAAACGGCGTGCCACTGGAGCACCTCTTGGGGGTGGTCCACGAGAGATAGCGCGGTCTAGTGCGCTAGAAAAAAGGGGGTGCTACGATAGACCGCGCTATCTCATTGCGGTGTGAACAGCCTTATAGTTGGTCAAACAGCTTTTGAGCGTGAAGTCACGCCTGGCTGGAACGCTCCCCAGGGAATAGAGATTGTGTTCACATTGTGTGCGGGCAAGCACTGAATCCAATGAACAGGGGTGATATTATATTTGTAAAGCGCTTAGAGACTTTCGAGATATAATAAGTGCTATATTTAAAAAAAAAGCTGAAGCTGAAGATGATAGTCTTACACAAAATCCAAACGAACACGTAAAAGACAACAAAATGATAAAATGATCATTAAAAACATAAACACAGTGGTTGTTAGTTTCCACAAAAATAATTAAAACAAAATTTTCTTTAAAAAATAGATATGTTGAAAGCCATTACTTTATTTTTTTATTCCATGCATATAAACGCATTGCTCCGTTTAGTCTCATTTCACAACGCCCCGATCGTCAGAGTCAGCAGCCTAACATGTTAGCCTATGGAATGTTACCCCTAAAAAAATCGTTAAAATTCACTTTTTGTTTAAACAAAAACCACATCCACCCGACGTACGTAATCACTAGCTCTTTCATTGGAACCCTCATGTCCTATTGACTTTTGAAAGTTCAACCACCGTACTTTGATCAAAATAGGTTGCAAGCTCGTCATTGCCTATATACACATGTGAAACCAGTCGAACTTTGGACTCAGTTTGACAAGCGATTTGAAGATTATAGGTCAAGCACACGAAGGATAAGAAGCATCAATTATCATAGATCACTTCTGCTTGGTTCATTTAGTCCATTCCATCCAACCCCCACCGTCATTTTTCCATTTAGTAAAAGCAAACATTTTGCCGAGGTAAGCAAAAACATGAATATTCATGAACGGTCAGACAATACAGCCTTTTAGTACATATCGTAAAGTGAATGGGAATGGGCGATGATCCGTCCAGGGGGTAAAGGTCAGTGGTTTGTGCTGACAATGTTCCAGCGAGCGAAAATGAGACAACCGGAGCCATATGTTGATCTTATATTAAAAAAAAATACTTTAAAGAGTAGTAATTAAGCTATAATAAGTATCAGGCTGTAATTTAATCACTGGTAAAGTTGAAGAAATTAGATTTTATTTAAATCCATATTGTCATTATAATACAATATCTCTTTAACAAAACAAAACAAAAGCAAAATATTCTCTGAGTTTTCAAATTTGATTTTCACTATTAGACGAACCAAGGCCGTACAATCTGTACATATCTGTGCTTAATATGAAACACGTGAATACTATTGTGCATCAAACTCGCCAATACATTTGAGAAGCGCCACTCCTAATGCTGCTGCTGCTACTACTACTACTACTACTACAACTACTACTACCACTACTTCTATTACTACTAATATTACTACTACTTCTCCTACTACGTGTACTACTAGATACTCTACTACAACTACTACTACTTCTACTATTACTTCTACTACGACTACTATTACTACTACTACTACTACTACTTGTAGTAGTAGTAGTACTACTAGTACTACTGCTACTTCTTCTCCAACTACTGCTAGGGCTACTTCTACTACTTCTATTACTACTGCAACTACTACTGCTACTACTTTTGTTAGTACTGCTGCTGTTACTACTACTACTTATAATAATATTTTAGCCCTACTAAAATGATATTTAGAAAAATTTCCAGTCCCTTCCTAACTCCCTTCACTTTATTTCTTTATTGATTGATTTCTTTTCCTGCATCTCCCCCTCTCTCGCTCTCTCTCTCTCTCTCAAGCTACCCACCTATATCTACCTATCTATTGACCTAACTGCCATAATTGAATTATTGATCTACCTAACCTTTTTTTCTCTCTCCCCCTACCCTCTCTACTTCTCGATATCTCTCTCTCTCTCCCAATTTTACCTGTAATATTTTGTATTTTTGTTAACCTTTTTTCTTCTTCTTCTCAATCTAGTGTATGTGTATTTTCTTTTCCTATCTATAAAGTCAGTAGTTTAATCAATGAGTTTTAGGAGCTGGATACCTAACTGGCAACAAATTATTCCAAGCAGCTGCCGTTGTCTATGGTTGCACAATAGAATTTACTGGTGTTCTGTTACCTTTGATGTCTGAGGTTCGAAGCCGCCTATATCATTGGAAAGGTCGAGTAGCGATTTTTTTTTTCTCACAAAGAACTATCCTTTATATTTAATTTTTTATTTGAACTAACAAGGGAAAAATCGAACAGATGATTAAAATATGAATAAAAATTTATATAGAAAAATTACTTTTTAAAGAGTAGTAAGTAAGCTATAATAAGTATCAGGCTGTATTTCAAGCACTGGTAAAGTTGAAGAAATTAGATTTCATTTAAATCCATATTGTCATTATAATACAATATCTCTTTAACAAAACAAAACAAAACAAAAACAAATCGTCTGAGTTTTCAAATTCGATTTTCACTATAAGACGAACCAAGGCCATACAATCTGTACATATCTGTGCTTAATATGAAACGCGTGAATACTATTGTGCGTCAAACTCGCAAATACATTTGAGAAGCACCACTCCTAATGCTGCTGCTGCTGCTACTACTACTACTACTACTACTACAAATACTACTACCACTACTTCTATTACTACTACTACCACTACTGAACTACTCCTACTACGTGTACTACTAGATACTCTACTACAACTACTACTACTTCTACTATTACTTCTACTACTACTAGTAGTAGTAGTACTAGTACTACTGCTACTTCTTCTCCTACTACTGCTAGGGCTACTTCTACTACTTCTATTACTACTGCAACTACTACTGCTACTACTATTACTTCTACTACTACGACTACTACTACTACTAGTAGTAGTAGTACTGCTTCTTCTTCTGCTACTTCTGCTAGGGCTACTTCTACTACTTCTATTACTACTGCAACTACTAACTGCTACTACTTTAGTTAGTACTGCAACTGTTACTACTACTACTACTAATAATTATATTTAAGCCCTACTAAAACAATATTTAGAAAAGTTTTCAGTCCCTTCCTTACTCCCTACTACTTTATTTCCTTATTGATTGATTTGTTTTCCTTCATCTCCCCTCTCTCGCTCTTTCTCTCTCTCTCTCTCTCTCTCTCCCAATTTTAGCTGTAATATTTTGTATTTTGTTACCTTTTTTCTTCTTCTTCTCAGTCTAGTGTATGTGCATTCTGTTTTTTTTGTTTTTTTTGTAGTTGTAGTTTAATCTGTAGTTTAATCAATGAGTTTTAGGAGCTGGAGACCTAACTGGCAACAAATTATTCCAAGCAGCTGCCATTTTCTATGGTTGCACAATGTAATTTACTGGTGTGCGGTTACCTTTGATGTCTGAGGTTCGAAGCTGCCTATATCATTGGAAAGGTCGAGTAGTGATTTTTTTCACAAAGAACTATCCTTTATATTTAATTTTTTATTTGAACTAACAAGGGAAAAATCGAACAGATGATAAAAATATGAATAGAAAAGCCTAAATGTGTCAAGAAATTTACTTACATTGTAGGATAACAGCTTTAATTTGTGAAAAATAGTATAATTTTACAGTCCTAAAACCTGGAATTTGACACTTTTCCGATTACCTCCGGCTCACGAAAATTAAATGTGAATTAGTTCATGTAAAGTTCTTTATGACGTTATAACTATGTCAGATTAGTGCCCACACATGCCCAGTCGAGTAATTTTGATTAATATTTCAGGAAATTTTGCTCCATTTCCTTTCGCTTGCCTCCTAAAGGCAAGCACTGTGTACTGCTCGTATTATCAGACGAGTGGTAGCGAAAAGTAATAATGATGACTTAAGCATACATCCCTTGACAGTGGCCCGATAGTTTGCAGCTAGGCAGGAATCTTTTGTCTACGTTTGTGCAAGGAAGATCCAGTTAAGCACATGCCTGACATCCTTTGTGACTCTCTATTCCCCTACATTCTCCTAAAAACAGCGCCATGTACCCCCCCCCCCCCTTCCCGGCTGCTATCGCCTCAAGCTTCTTTGCTTATGGTAGTTGGCCTCTGCATTTATCTTGATTATTTTTTACTTACCTCCATACTTTCAAGCTTTCAATTATGTATTTTTTTTAAAAATATTTTATTTTGTGTGTATTAAGTTGCCACCCTTGATGTAAATCAATTATATTATATACTATTATTGTTATTTGAATGTTTTATATTTGATTTATCAATAAATGCAGAAACATCTGCTAAAAAAAAAAAAAAACTTTCTTCTGGCGCCATCGAAGATGGTACAATGGGAATTAGTTAGGACTCCATCTCTTAATACTCTTTGGTTTAATTCAGTAAATCCAAACGGAACAAGCCCAGTTTCAAGTAGGTTCACTTTTTATTCCCGTAATTAATATTTTACAGGCCATTTTTTCACGTCATTAAATACTATAATTCAGGATTTTTTACCTAAAGAAATGTTAATATTTTCAGAAATGCATTGTGCTGTGTTAATCTTGCATGGTGTATAAATAAAAGCAATCAATCAATCAATTAATGGTTCAAAAACTCAAGAACCCTTGTCAGGACACAAATACAATGTAACAATCACGCGAATAACTCAGAATGTGACATTGTAATAACAGTTTGAGAAAGGAGAGAAAGGGTAAAAGATAAAAGACAGAGGAGATCTTCAGTGACATGCATGGAACTATAGGCATATAGTTGTGTTTGTGAGTGCATGTCCATGTACATTGACAGAAATGGTATGAAACCGCGTACTACACGCCAATGAGGTAAAACCCTTGTGTTATTTATGCTTCAAAATGTTATAATATTCAGAATGGCAGATTGGGGGCGTCACTACAGATGTGTTATTGGATGGATCCCCTCACCCCATCCAAAGCAAGATTTCCCTCCGATTCGGTCCAAAGCCAATCCCAATACCATGTTAAATCGCGTTCAACAATATACAAGGGTGAATAGAATGTTGACTGTAACATAATCAAATCTTTGTTCACAGAGTGTTAATAGGCCCACGACAAAATTATGTGCGTTTACCAAACGGACAACGAACATAATTAAAGGGATGGTCTTTTAACCAATTTAATTTGAGCACCTTGAGCAGTCTTTTAGAATGGATATGTGCGCTTTATAAGTTAAAATTATTATCATTTATGGTAGTTACTTTGTGACTCGACTCCTGCAAATGTTTGTTCTGCTCTTTAGATTATATCCATTCAGTTATGCGCAAGCTACAAGAACCCCCGCATAAAAAAAATATATCAAATACTCTTCAAGGGGAGGTATAAGCATGGCAGTTGGCGATTGCTAAAGGGAGATTTAAACAAATGAAATGAAAATTAAAATTGGGAGAACTTTTGTTTTGAAGGGAGAAGGCTTGTAATTTCTTTTAGACTTGTGCCCCAGCATAATACGACAAATTATGTCTTGAACTTGAACTTGAACTTGAACACTTACCACTTTGGGCTGAGACTTGATGGTGAGAAACGAGTCCAATGATGACCAAACAAAGTACCAGACGACAATCCATGACGGCCAACTTTTCTTTCTTACGATTAGATGAGAATATCAACGGCCAAGTCTTCTTTCTAACGATGAGGTGAGAATATCAACGGCCAATACCTCTTTCTAACGATGAGATGAGAATATCAAATGCAACGTTGTGAAAGAAACGAAGACGACTCGGTGTCTTTTAAGTGTTCCCATGGTATTTTATACATTTCTAAAGTAATTTTTTCTCTTGTTTAGCAGCTGAGGCAACACTTGAGCTCGAATGGAAACGTCGATAATGCATGCAAGGGTTATTTTATTAATAATTAACTAATAGATTGCTCATAACAAAATGCCCATTGAGTGTTAATGCCAAAGCAAAAGAGCTCTAGAAATCGTCAATAGTTGGTAATACATAAAAAGTTTTTTTTTGTGCTTTTGAGACAACTTGAAATATTTCTGCATTTCATTTTGTGCGCCAACTTTTGCAAAGTTTGAAACGCCTTTTCCCATTGTCAGCAGGTTTCATAATATATTATCTTTTTAAAAATGATTTTTCGAAAATCTTTTAAAGAGTAAAATCACTGGTAAATGGTACTTTAAATTAATCCCGATAAATGTTCTGATTCTGATTTAAAAATCAAGAAAAAAAAAGTAGAGGAGCTTAGATTTTTTTTTTTTTAAATGTTGTCAGAGAAATATGAAAAGGCATCTTTTGGATAGCGGACTAGAGGAGTCACGTTGAGCTGGAGTAAAAATATCAAAATAAAACATATAATAGGCCTATCAAGTTTTATTTAAGTATACAAACAAAAGTTCAAAGGGATTTATAAGTAGGAGAGAGATAGAGAGAGGGATAACGATTGACTGCGTGGGTGTTAATTGTTTTGGCAACGTGTGCTCAACCATCTGTTTAAGAAACTGAATGAAAGGTAGAAGTAGAAAAGTGTGTCTTAAAGGCTTCACTTAGATATTGTTATTATTTGGACCATTTATTTGTCTGCACATTGTGGTCTGTAGTTCACGTCAAAGGCTCGTCCAGGTGTGAACCGGCAACAAAAATCGGCGGTCTATAAAGAAGTAAAGTGTCATACGTGTCATATTTCTGTATCTATAATACGCAGAGCTAAGTGAATACGCGCAGGAACTTTGTTCCGCACAGTTGTCATTTAAGAAAGAATCCGCGGCATCTTGTTTTTGCCGGCCGTTTACCACGCCATATGTGAACGAGCCTAGAGGCTGTTTCGACAAACTTTTTCAGTAATCGCACCTGGCCAACATCAAACTAAACTTCATAAAATCAAATCTAACAATATCGAGGACCCAACGTTTGCTAACACGGGGGTGGTGTTTAAACTCAAATAGTAGGCCTACGATCGTTATTTCAATATGAAAAAGAAAAGAACGAGCCTAGAGGCTGTTTCGACAGACTTCTCAGTAATCGCACCTGGCCAACATAAAACTAAACTTCATAAAATTAAATCTAACAATATCGAGGACTCAACGTTTGCTAACACGGGGGTGGTGTCTAAACTCAAATAGTACGATCGTTATTTCAATATGAAAAAGAAAAGAACGAGCCTAGAGGCTGTTTCGACAAACTTTTCAGTAATCGCATCTGGACAACATCAAACTAAACTTCATTAAATCAAATCTAACAATATCGAGGACCCAACGTTTGCTTACACGGGGGTGGTGTTTAAACTCAAATAGTACGATCGTTATTTCAATATGAAAAAGAAAAGAACACTTAATAGCTAGCAGGTGCAAAGAAAAATAAACTACCAGCATGTCTGGAGAAAAACCGATACACCTGCTGCCATTTCTGTTTTTCATGAAATAGTCAACCATTGTCATAAAAATGCATTTTGGAAATTTAGCCCATTTATCGACCGACTCACACGAAAGCGAGCGAAACGTTTACTTTATTAGTCGGCTATTATTATCCAGTGCCAATTATTAAATAATAACTAAAAGGAACTAGTAAGTTTACACTCAAATCATTTTTGGGGCGGCAAAACATATACATTAGTCACGCCACCAAGCGGACTTGAAATCGATTTTTAAATCGACAGATCTTTGGCCATTCAGTGTAAAACACGGTCCCACCCCCCCCCCCCCCCCCCCGCCCCGTAAAAAAGAAGGAAAAAGGAAAAAAGAAATTCTTCCAACAGTAAAATGGGGTTTAACTCAAGGAACCAGTGCAAGGTGGATCTTATTTTGTGAAAATTGATACCAAGATTGATGAATTCGGTCAAAGTTTTTGTTTTTGTTTAGCGTTGCATTATGTGACACAAGGTACAAATTTGCTTAGTATCAACATAACTGCATTTTGAACTATTCATAGCGCGACCACCCGACCGGACGCGATATCACTCTGGCTTACGTCGGATCATCGGGTCATCGCGTCTGGTCGGGTACAACTGCACACAACGAAATTTCTGCGCGTATTCACTAAGCTCTGTGGTATTGAGATTACCGAAATGCGACGGGTATTACACTTTACGTTATTAAAGACAGCCAATTTTTGTTTGGTCGGGTCGTTTTTTAACGCGAGTCCTTCTCGGTGTGAGCTATACCATAATTGCAGACCAGTAAATGGTTTCAATAATAACATCATCAAAATGAAGCCTTTAGGACGCACTTTTTTAAACTCCTACCTGTCATACAGTTTTATAAAGAGGTTAAGCACACGTTGAAGAAAAAAAACGTAGTCAATCGTTATCTCTCTCCTACTCTCTCCTTTTTCTGATTTCCTTCGAACTTTTCTTCGTTAACTTCAATAAAACCTTATAAGCCTATTACATATTTGAATTTTATATTTTCACTCCGGCTCAAAGTGACCCCTCAAGTCCGCCATCCAGAACATGCCTTTTCATATTTCTCTCACAATTATCTTCTTCTTTTTGTTTAATCTTAGTTCCTTTGTAACAGGTAAATTAGAAACAAAATCAGGATCAATACATTTATCGAAAGTGATTTATATACAAGTCAGTACCATTGATCAGTGATCATACTCTGCGAAAGATTCAAAAACAAAACAAGCATAACATAATATGAAACGTGCTGACAATGGGAACCGACGTTTCAAACTTACAAGAACTTAAAAAAAAATATGAACAAATATTAACTATTTCTACAGCTGTACTTTCTTTGACATTTACACTTAAGGAAAATGTGTTTAATATGAACAATCGATAAGTTAACAATTAACGAAAGACAATACATATGCACTATCAACGTTTCGATCCGAACTCAAATGTTGCCTCAGCTGCTAAACAATGAGACAAAATTACCTTAAAAATGTATAAATACCAAGGCACCACTTAGCAGAAAACAAGTCGTCTTCGTCTCTTTCAGAACAGACATAGACCTTGCATTTGATATTCTCATATCATCGTAAGAAAGAAGACTTGACCGTCATGGATTCTCGTCTCGTACTTTGCTTGGTCGTCATTGGACTCGTTTCTCATCAAGTCTCCGCTCAAAGGGGTAAGTGTTCTTATTTAATTCATAAATGTAGACATCACTTTCAGGAGACGAAGCTATGGTATTGTGCCGGAGAGTGGGAGACACTAATAAGTGTCAGTAGTAGCAGCATTATTAGTGGCGTTTCTCAAATGTTCGATGCACAATAGTATTCACGTGTTTCATATTAAGCACAGATTTGTATATATTTCATGGCCTTGGTTCGTCTAAGATCTAATTTTGACAATTAAAATGATTTTGTCCAAAGGATTTTTGTATAGGTTACTTACTACCCTTTAAAGAAGTATTTTTGCGCATATTATTTATATACAAAATATCCCCACTAGTTTAAAAACGGGAAAAATACGTACATACATAATGGCTTAAACATAGTTATCTATCTCGTGTTTTCAAAGATAACTCTCTTAGTATTATTTGTGTGGAAACTAATAACCGCTGTTTATGCTTGTAATTATCATTTTTATCATTTTGTTGTCGTGTTCCATATGAAGCACATAGTGTGGTACGGTATGTCACTGAATCAGCTCCCGTAGGATTTTTGTGCCAAAGTTGAATTTTTTTTTTTTGCATTTCTGGATTCATTGGGATCCAAGCTATTAGAAATTAATGGGGTTCAAATTTTCCCGACGACACCAAATTTCCCTATTGTACGTTATATAAACCATTTTGGCGCCCAATAGGGACCCCCAGGAAATGAAGGAGGGGTCTGAAAATTTGAACCCCATCATTTTTGGCCAATTGGAACCCTTTTGAAGCCAAAACAGCAACAACAAAAAAACAACTTTGGCACAAAAATCCTACGGGATTACACACCATACCCCACTAACAGATATGTACAGATTCCATGGCCTTGGTTCGTGTAAGGTCTAATTTTGAAAATTTAAATAATTTGGTTCAAAGGATTTTTGTATGGATTGGTGACAAAATTAATTTAATTGAAATCTACTTTTGTCAACTTTATGATGCTTAAAATACAGCCTGGAATTTGTTATAGGTTACTTACTACCACTTAAAAAAGTATTTTTGCACATATTATTTATATACAAAATATTCCCACTAGTTTAAAAGCGGGAAAAATACGAGCATATGCACCGAATCTTAACAAATGAAATAATTGCTTAAACATATCTATCTCTTGTTTTTAAAGATAATTATCTTAATATTATTTTTGTGGAAATTAATAATCGCTATTTATGTTCGTAATTATTGTTTCTTTGCGTTTTGTCTAAGATAATCTTTACCTAATATAATTTTTCTTAAACTTTTAAAGATTCAACCAATTCATAAATTCCTACATTTTCCGTGTTATTGTATGTATGTATGTATTGTATTCTTTTTGATTGCATGATAATTTTTGTTAAAGGCAAGTGGTGAATAAATTTAATTTTATTAATTTTCAGGGTCGTGCGAAGGGTGCTGTGACTGCGGCTTCATGGGTGGCTATAATTGCTATTGCGATAATTATTGCCAGACAGCCGGTGATTGTTGCTCAGACTACGCAACACACTGTGCCGGTAAGTATTTGGGCAATTAAATCTCTAAAGGCCTTAATAGATCAACTATTTTTTTTATAATTATAGAGAATTCCTAGGACATTGTCTTATAAAAGGTAAATACCAAGTTTTGGTATGGGGTCATGAATTCGGTTCAAATAAATATAATTATTGTAAGCATATGCGATTTTACAACATTCAATGAGCGTTTTCGCGGTGGAAATCGAGTCTAAAGTGAGGAAATTGTAAATAGTAAACTCTTTATGTTGTATAGCTCCCTCTCAAGACTGATATTATTTTAGCTCTAAACCAATGTTACATGACTACAATCGAAAGATTTGCTATTCTGCTATTGTCGTTTGGAAATTATATATCAGAACTGCACAGTAACTGCATATTCTGAGATTGTCATGGTTGCAGCTACCATGGAATGGCCTTGGGCGCTATTTGAAATATTTGAAATTAAACGGGAGCACCGGCAAGTGTTGATAATTCAAACTTCTAGAAAGCAGAAGTGTTTTAAGAGCTACAATTCCCAGTGCTTATAATACATTCACAGGGCATCCAAAGATATCAACATTTCAAAGAATTACTATACATCAAATGTTATGCATTACATTTAACTATGGTCTTTAGCATGGCTACCTCGCTTCTCTCAATTTAAAGCTCGTTAAAGGTAAAGACCAGTATTGGAAACGCCCCAATTTCAAAAAATGAAATGGAAGCTCTCATTACCAATCATGTGAAAGAATATGTTTTGACTAATACATGATGATAAAAAATTTGCCGGAAAACCGCCTACTAATTCATATATTTGGTAAATTTGTTTCTCTCATGGTCTGTGAGAGATATAGGGTAGTCCCATATACATCTTTCTGTGTATAGTGCTTATAACTTTACAAAGAAAGGGCCCAATTTCTTATCATTTTGATGATTCCAGAACCTTGCAGATGCTAGATGCTAGATGATCAACCTTTTCTGATCAATTCCACAACGTTTCTTTCACAATGCAATTGCATGACCATAACTGGTCTTTACCTTTAAATACGAGGCGTAAACTGCCTCAATTTAGGCATGCGCCAACGAGTTGTACGGCTTTTCAAAATGAACAATGACCGATTGATTAATAACAGTGCACACATTGTCATGATAATGACGTATGGGCATTAATTGTATGCTTTCCAAGGTTTAATTAGCGTAGGTAATAGGGACTTTTAGATTTGCACGTCGACAAAGTGGACTACTACGTGTGACGTCCTTTTAAGGCATGTGACATCCATTTATGGTACACGTAGCAGTCCAAAATGTCGACGTGCAAATCTAAAAGTCCCTATAGCGCAAGCAAAATGACGCCTTGTGAAATAATGTTTGGGCTATCTTTGAAATTATGGCATTGTTCGGACAATTCAAAATGTGATTGGCTATAGGGCTGAGTTGAAAGTATGCGAAGGTTGATTTTTGATTGATCGTGTACATGAAAACTGCTGAAATTATATAGTTTGCAGGCGTAAACCCTTGCAGACTAAAGGGTCTACTGCACCTAACATGATCTGTACCCTAGCTGGCTGTCCCTGACACAGCCATAGACTGGCTGTGTTAGGCGCAGCCGAAGGCTTGATATGGAAATGTATTCTAGTGACAAATTAGAGTCTGTGCTTGCTGATATTATGTGCTTAACCTATTAACTTTGGTGTTTCTACAGATCCTTGCGAGTCAACACCCTGTCAGAACGGTGGATTCTGTGACAGTGTTGAGGGAACGTTCACATGTACCTGTCCTTCTGGATATTTTGGGGAGAGATGCCAAGGTAACTTATTCATTTCGTCAAACCTTCAATACATTAGCTCAAAACTGAAAGGTTACACTTATTTGTAGCTAGAACGTTGAAACTGATTAGGCCAGACAGACTCAGATGAAATAACTATGTGTGTGCGTTTGGTGTATAGGACGGTCTGTGTGTTCACGTAGGTAAACGCCAGCAACCGCGGACCACTCCATAGAAAACTACCTCAAACCGCGGACGTACCTGCAATGGGGGACCGTCCACGGTTGCAATACCGGTTCCGCCGTATCAAATTTACGACGTAGGGGGTGTTTGAATATTAGATGTCACAGCGTGTAGGCAACATCGACTGGATCAGTCCGATGTGTATCGCGAAATGTCACAGCGCCCCCTTCTGACTGCGCGGGAGAGGCGCTCGCTACCTGGATCATCCCATAGGAGGTACGTCCGCGGTTTGATGTAGTTTTCTATGGAGTGGTCCGCGGTTGCTGGTGATTACCTACGCACACACACACAAGTACTAAACTTGGTCCACGGTTGACGCCATAACCCTGTATGCATGTGTGTGTGTGGTTATGTTGGTGCGTGTGTGTGTGTGTGTACACATTACAAAAAAAGGGACACTTCATTTTCGGAATGTAACCAAATAATTATAAGGCATACGTCTGAGGAGGAGCATTCGAGCCAGGCACCTCAATGACTTTCGCATCCTGCTGGGCACCTATTTAACACATGGATGAAGAAAAGCAACGTTGTGTTTTTTTTCTCAAGAAAAATATATTGCTCAGGGACAAAAGTGCCATGTATGGTTTGAACCCAAGACCTGTGCATCTTCATTCAAGTGTCTCAACGACTGGAATACCAGTTCTTTGCTTCTAATCGTATATTTTGATATATATCCTAATCTTATTAATATTATCCAAACCTAACACAGGTTTAAGTTAAAATGGAGGAAAGAAAAGTACTTGATACCCTGTTATATATTCCTCATACAGAAAAGGAGAGCGACCCTTGTACTTATAAAACATTTTTACAATTCAAACACGGAATTAATTTCGAAATTACCAAAGAAGGGAAAAAGAGGGGGTCTTCATGCTCAAATCATTCAAGCATTTAGACAAAAATACATGTTCTCCTTAAAAGCATGATCTTAAAGAACACTGTTTATTCTACGTGAAGCAAATCTGTATGGAGTGCCTCAGCGTCTGTTGACTTTTCCTCATTGTTCAGAAAATATAAGAGTGAAAATCTTAATCAACTTTCTTAAATAGGAAACGGGAGCGACCCGTGTAGTTTTGCACCCTGTCTGAACGGTGGGACGTGTTACAGCAATGGAAATTCATCTTCGTGTTTCTGTCCAGACGGATATTATGGAGAGCATTGTGAATACCATCATGGTAAGTTTGCTTCTCAGTCAAGGTTTGACAAATTTAGTATTAAATATTGCTGAAACTGCTCTCTTCAAATTCCGTTTCAACTGGTTTCAATGAAAATTTATCTCACTTTTGAAACAATTTTACAATTCAAACATGAAATTAATATTGAATTTACCAAAGAAGGGAAAAAAGGAGATCCGCAGGCTCAACTCGCCTTAAGATTAAAGTTACTATATCCCATTTGCAGGCCAAAAAAATAAAAATGTTAAACTCCCACGGCATTTGGAAGATGATACTAATTTAGAACTTCCCTGAAAAAAGGGGGCTTGAAAATGTCTTTAAGTGTGAAAATAAAGACTATTTGGTTTCCTTGCATAATCTGAATGATATGACACTGCTAACGTTTGAATTTTACAGATAGGACATACATGACATATTCATAAGTCCTGCAAATTTCTACAGAATTTGATGTTCGCTGCAAAAGGGACATAGTATCTTTAAGACCCCCCAAAAAGCAAATCTGCACAGGAGGCCATAGCGTCTGTTGACTGTTTCCTCATTGCTCAGAAAATATGAGAATGAAAATCTTAATCGACTGTCTTGAATAGGAGAGTATTGTGAATATCATCATGGTAAGTTTGCTCTTCACCCATGGTTTGACAAATTTAGTATTGAATATTGCTGAAACTGTACTCTTCAAATTCCGTTTCAACTGATTTCAAAGAAAATTTATCTTACTTTTGAAACATTTACACAATTCAAACACGAAATTAATTTCGAAATTACCAAAGAAGGGAAAAAGAGGGGATCCTCATGCTAAAATCATCTAAGCATTTAGACAAAAATAAATGTACTCCTTAGAAGCATGAAAGTAACGAACACTGTTTATTCTACTTGAAGCAAATCTGTATGGAGTGCCTCAGCGTCTGTTGACTTTTCCTCATTGTTCAGAAAATATTAGAGTGAAAATCTTAATCAACTTTCTTAAATAGGAAACGGAAGCGACCCGTGTAGTTTTGCACCCTGTCTGAACGGTGGGACGTGTTACAGCAATGGAAATTCATCTTCGTGTATCTGTCCAGACGGATATTATGGAGAGCATTGTGAATACCATCAGGGTAAGTTTGCTTCTCAGTCATGGTTTGACAAAATTAGTATTAAATATTGCTTGAACTGTACTCTTCAAATTCCGTTTTAACTGACTTCGATGAAAATTTATCTCACTTATAAAACAATTTCACAATTCAAACACGAAATTAATTTCAAAATTACCAAAGAAGGGAAAAAGAGGAGATCGTCAGGCTCAACTCGCCTAAACATTAAAGGTACTATGTCCCATTTGCAGGCCAACAAAATAAAAATGTTGAATTCCCACGGCATTTGAAAGATGATATTAATTTAGAACTTCCCTGAAAAAAGGGGGCTTGAAAATGTCTTAAGTGTGAAAATAACGACTATTAGGTTTCCTTGCATAATTTGAATATAAGGACACTGCTAACGTTTGAATTTTACAGATAGGACATACATGACATATTCATAAGTCTTGCAAATTTCAAAAGAATTTTATGTTCTCTGCAAAAGGGATATAGTATCTATAAGACCCCCCAAAAAGCAAATCTGCATAGGAGGCCATAGCGTCTGTTGACTGTTTCCTCATTGCTCAGAAAATGTAAGAATGAAAATCTTGATCAACTGTCTTAAATAGGAGTGTATTGTGAATATTATCATAGTAAGTTTGCTTCTCAGCCATGGTTTCAAAATTTATTATTGAATATTTCTGAAATGGTACTCTTCAAATTCCGTTTCAACTGATTTCGATGAAAATTTATCTCACTTATAAAACATTTTCACAATTCAAACATAAAATTAATTTTGAATTTACCAAAGAAGGGTAAAAGAGGGGATCCTCATGCTCACATCATCTAAGCCTTTAGACAAAAATACATGTACTCCTTAAATGCATGATCTTAACGAACACTGTTTATTCTACTTGAAGCAAATCTGTATGAAGTGCCTCAGCGTCTGTTGACTTTTCCTCATTGCTCAGAAAATATAAGAATGAAAATCTTCATCAACTTTCTTAAATAGGAAACGGAAGCGACCCGTGTAGTTTTGCACCCTGTCTGAACGGTGGGACGTGTTACAGCAATGGAAATTCATCTTCGTGTTTCTGTCCAGACGGATATTATGGAGAGCATTGTGAATACCATCATGGTTAGTTTGCTTCTCTGTCATGGTTTGACAAAATTAGTATTAAATATTGCTTAAACTGTACTCTTCACATTCCATTTAACCGATTTCAATGAAAATTTATCTCACTTTTAGAACATTTTCACAATTCAAACATGAAATCAATTTTGAATTTACCAAAGAAAGGGAAAAAGAGGGGGTCCTCATGCTCAAATCATCTATGCATTTAGACAAAAATACATGTACTCCTTAAATGCATGATCTTAACGAACACTGTTTATTCTACGTGAAGCAAATCTGTATGGAGTGCCTCAGCGTCTGTTGACTTTTCTTCATTGTTCAGAAAATATAAGAGTGAAATTCTTGATCAACTTTCTTAAATAGGAAACGGGAGCGACCCGTGTAGTTTTGCACCCTGTCTGAACGGTGGGACGTGTTACAGCAATGGAAATTCATCTTCGTGTTTCTGTCCAGGCGGATATTATGGAGAGCATTGTGAATACCATCATGGTAAGTTTGCTTCTCAGTCAGTCTCGTTTCAACTGATTTCGATGAAAATTTTTCTCACTTATAAAACACTTTCACAATTCAAACACGAAATTAATTTCGAAACTACCAAGGAATGGAAAAAGAGGAGATCCTCAGGCTCAAATCGCCTAAGCATTTAAGGTACTTTGTCCTATTTGAAAGGTAATACTAATTTATAACTTCCCTGACAAAAGTGGGCTTGAAAATCTCTTTAAGTGAGAAAAGACGACTTTTAGGTTTCCTTGCATAATTTGAATATTAGGACACTGCTAACGTTTGAATTGTGCTGCAAATTTCTAAAGAATTTTATGTTCGCTGCAAAAGGGACATAGTATCTTTAAGACCCCCAAAAAGCAAATCTCCGTTCCAACTGATTTCGATGCCGGTGGGTACTTTGAATTCAGCAGCGTTACGACGCGCACTAACTGCCACATTCCTTGACGGATTTCCTTGGTTTTATCTACACTTGGTGATGCTGCCTCCAGTGTTCCGTCTTTTATAGGTTAACAGGCTATACTTTTGTTAATGGTTTGTGTGCGCTCTATAGGCCACATTTTTCAAGGATTTTGTTCAAATTTTGAACTAAGGTGTATCTTGGCATAACGCCTGTAGATTTTAGTGATGCTGCCTCCAGTGTTCCGTCTTTTATAGGGTCAAAGGTCATATTTTGATAGATAGCTCGTGCGCACTCTAGTGTGGGGTCTAACCGCATCATTTCTTGACGGATTTATTTCCAATTTTCTATGGAGGTGTATCTTGGGATAATCTATACACCTATAACTTTTGGTGATGCCGCCCCCAGTTTTCCGTCTTCTGTAGGGTAAAAGACCATATTTTGGGGGATGGTTTGTGTGCGCTCTATAGGCCGCATTTTCCAAGCGATTGTGTTCAAATTTTAAACGAAGGTGTATCTTGGTGATGGGCGTCAATCCTGGGGGGGGGGGGGACGGTGGGACACGTCCCCCCCCCCCCCACAAATATTCAGGTGGTGAAATGTCCCCCCATGATTTGGGGTTAAAATCTTCTTTTTTTTCTTTTTTTCTTTCTCTCTTTCTCTCTGTGTTGAGATAAATCAAGCCAAATCAGGCGATTAGATTTTATTAATAGAAGCGTCATTAATATTACATTCACATTACCGGAAGTTCAAACATTGGTTTACGATGAAAATCACCAACTAAAAAAAAAATCTAATTAATCCCTTGTATCTTCCAAACCTTATGGCTGATTGTTCAATGGATACGACAAATTCATCTATCTACCACCCACCCCCCCCCCCCCCCCAACCTTGCGTTCTTGTTCATGTTAGTTTAACTTAAGACTGTTTTTTTTTTAATTTGGCAAAAAGTATGCCCCAAATCAAGCCATCTATCCATCAATTTCAACAACAAAGAATCAACTTCTGAGGGGGCTCCCCTCCCCCCTCAGACACCCCCGTCGTTCTACTGTTTTATTTTTAATTTGGCAACAAGAATGCACCAAATTGAGCCATGTATTCATCAATTTATAAAAAAAAAACTTCAATTTCTCAGGGGGGCACATCCCCCACAGATACCCCCTGCGTTCTCGTTCTTGTTAGTTGAACTAAAGACTGTTTTCTTTTTAATTCGGCAAAAAGTATGCACCAAAGCGAGCCATTTAAGCATCAATTTAAAAAAAAAAAATCGTCATCTTCTGAGAGGGCACATCACCTCAGACACCCCCCCCCCCCCCCTGCGTGGCACGCCCATTAGCCCCCCTTACAAAATAACCTGGCGCCGCCCTGTCTGAACTTGTGCCATCCCCCCCCCCCCCTCCCACGGTCTAATTTGGATTTTTTTTTCTTCAAATGTTGTATGGAGGTGTGTCTTAGTACAATCTATGCATCTTTAGTGTTTGGTGATGCTGTCACCTGTGTTCCGTCTGTTATAGGGTCAAAGGTCATATTTTGGTGGCTGTATTTCGTGCGCTCTTACTGCCACATTTCTTGACAAATTTCTTTCAAATTTTCTACAGAGATGCAGTATACTCTAATCTACACACGTTTTCTTTTGCTGTGATGCTGATCCTAGTCGTGACAATGGTCCGAGCCACTAGTCACGATCTATACGTCATCCTTTTGTTTCAGGGAGGGGATAGGGGATCTTTGTCCCTCCTTCGAACATAAAGATGACACAAATTCGCTGCCACTGCCGGGGGATACATTCACAGTGCGGGGGATACATTCACAGTGCGCGGCAATACAGATTGCGATATCTCTAGTTATCTAATACTGTAAGCAATGTTTCTCTACTTTTTTAAATTCCAGCTTGGAACTCAACAACTATCCTATAGTATCTATGCCTATTATGAATTATGAACGGTAAGTTATCTTCTGTCATTTAATAAGAATATGATAACTTTTAGGGTTTAAAAACTCTGTTCCTTTGAATATTTCTGAAGTATGGTCGGAAAACAATTTTTTGTAAGCGTTCCTAGATAAGCGATATTATTGATCATGTCATTATTTTATAAATCAATTTTTAGTAGTAAATTGCACAACTAAAAAATGTCGCAATTTCTCATTCATTTGCACACACATACACGCCCACACGAGTACCAACTCTCTCTTTCTCACTTCCCCCTACCTCTTTTCCCCATAACACCCCAAATCTAAATCTAGTAATCCAAATTTAAAGGTGTAAGTTATTATAATAAAAAACCGACAGATAATACAGTAAACTTTTTTTTTTAAATAGTTAGCATCGAGGAGTAAACCATTTATGATAAAATCACCTGCCAATATCCCCAATATTTTTTTAATTCAAATGTTGATATTGTTTGTTCCCGACCCCTAATTTAAATGTAAAGTGAGAAAGGAAATGTGTCCTTCATTTATAATTCATGTAAATATTTTTTCCTCCAGTCTTTCGAACTTTTTCCAACCTCTTAACTCTAAATTCTTTGCCCCATTCCTACCACATTCTTTCCCTTTCTTCTTCTTCATCATTCTCTCCTTTAGATCTTACATGCATATTTATATTGTCTTGTTTTTATACAGGTGAATATTCCCATTTGCCACATAGGCCTATGCTAACTGGGATTACATTACGCCTTCGTCCTCGTGTTAATATGCTCTATAACAGTAATCGATCATTATGAGATCAAAAATACATAATTTGATTTATATTGCTAATATAAAAAATAAGAAATAACTGATACTTTTAATCCAATTGATTGGATCGAATTCTATTTCAGATAACACAACTGTAGCCTAGAAGCACTATGAGCATTGAAAAATGAGGAGAAAGACCAGACAATAAGGAATCATCTATTCTACTGTGACATGAGAAACATTTGCAGAAAATTCTATTTAATCGATTAAATTTATTTGATATCATTTAAATGAAAAATCAAGTACAAACTAATTCAGAGTACATTATTGGACAGGGCCACTAAAAAAAAAACATGTGCTTGTAAATGAAGCCTTTATCAAGTTAACACATTATTAGATACGTTTCAATTAACAAGAAAACTCCACTCTGAAACATGAAGAAAATAATTATCTAGTGCATAATTATTTTTCGTATATAAAGATCTTGAAATGGTATATAAACGGTTATTATAATGGATTTTTCTTGAGAAAAAAAAATCGCACGATAGGTAGAAAGGCCCTATTATTAAAATTCAAAACGCCTTCCAAGAGAAAAAGAGAGAAGAAAAAAAAGAGGAGACATTTGAGCACTAATTTCATCAACATAAAATATCTAAGAAATGATTCATATCAAAGATATTTTTTATCATATCAGTCACGGTATTTGTATACGTTAATCCAACGCAAACCATCCATAATGAGCATTATAGGAGATAAATGACGTCCATACGTCTTTTAAAAACAACGCACCACTAGCTTCATATGTTTACAATTACTGTGTGTATTTCAGAAAAGCTTACTTTACTTTTGATATTGAAAATGCCACTATCTGAAATTCAAATTCCTAAAAACAAAAATTGAATTTTAATTTTAATTATTTATCTGTCGGAAGTTTCTGTAATGTGTTATGTTACCATTATTATCATTGTAATAAATCAATATTGGTCTTCCCTCAATAAACCAGTTTGCTGTTGTTTGTAATTGTGTCCAGTATGTAGTGTTAAATCAATAAAAACGTTACGTAAAACCCATGTAAATTGTTCATAAGTTCATTTTCCATTTAAAAAGAAAACAAAAATTACTATTTTGGTTCTAAATACATATTAAATCACTACTACTAATAAATAGTCCTAAATAAATGGTTCCGTCCCCTATCGTTCATATATACGTCCCATTAATTAATTAGTCCAATGAAACCTAACCCTAATTCACCCCCAACAAAAAATCTTTCCAAAGTCTTGGTTGTATGTCGAGGTTTTCAACTTATAATGTTGAAAAGGGCCTACCCCCTTCCCCACCCCCAACCAACCCTTCCTAAAAGTTGCTCCCATTAAGCATATGAATCACTACAACGTATGACTTAATCGGATATGAGATGGGGACAGAAAGAGATAGAGGGTGGCGATTGATAAAATATAAAGATATATTGATAGAAAAAGAGGAACAGATACAAAGGTGACAACCCGGCCCCCACTCAGTGTTATTTAGGGTACGCGTATGCTCGTTCCCTCTTTTTGAAAGCACCCCCTATCTGAGTACTGCCAACATTTCCGAACCCCCCTATCGTGGGCTTTTCGCGGACTTTTCCTGCCTTGGAAACCCCCCTAAATACGGAAAAATGCTCAATGTACACCCCTAAATTCGGAATAATTTCTCAGGAGTCCAAAGAGATGAGAGAAAAAAAGAAAAGGTGAAAAGTCAAATACACCCCTTTTTTTTTTTTACAATTCTCGGGCCGGACTTTGTCGCACGAAAAGTACCCCTTTACCAGACATTTTGGTAACACACATGCGGTCATTCCGACCCCGGAGTGGGGGGGGGGGGGGGGGGGGGCGGGGGTGACAATTGATAAAAAATTTGAGATCTGGAGATATACATACAGAGAAAGAGAGAGGAGGGAATTCTTTAAAGGCAGAATGACATTGATAAGGAGATTGAAAGAGAGAGAGAGAGATTCGGAAAGAGGGATTTTAAAGAGTAAGATATGATGAGATCTTACCTTAACTCAATGGAGAGAAAGAAATAATCAAAAGAACTTTGATGAAAAGATAAGAAGAGAATGGGAGAGAAAGAGAGGTTGAAATGTGGAAAATAAAATACTAAATGGTCGAATACAGGTACAATTTCACCTAAGGGACGACACCACCTCTCTGAGTAAAACTTTCCAGTCTTTAAACACTAGCGGGCGAGTCCTTCAATTGAATTCGATCGAAATATACTTTAAAAATATAAGATATGAAAAATATCCCACTTTGCTACCAGACTATAGGGTGGTTACCCGATTATAGGTAAAAACTCTTTTATGTTATAGGGGTAAAAGTTGTCAGTGGCGAGGAACTGTATACAATTCAGAGGAAAATCATAAATATAGTGTATAACGAAAACTATATATTATATCCGGTAGGCGACACCAATCCAATACTGAACTATTGCAGAAAGTTCGGCAAACAGTGCAGTCGCCTACTTCTACGTATTTATATGACTTTGGCTCTGACAATTCTTATTTAGTATATCGAAATTTAAGACAATAAAAAAAAATCAACGTTTGTGGAAACGACACAAAAGTAAAAATAGGTTTTGTTTTGTTTTCGTCAACAAGAATCTATAGCATAAAACATCTCCATATGAAAAGTAAGAACGGATCGAGCTCAAATTCATGCATAATGGTGATGATGATAATGATAATGGTAAAAATGTAACAAAGGGAAAGAAAACATGTGCTCTAACACAGAACGAGAACAAATCAAACCCAAAGAAGAAAATAAATATGGCGACTTACCTCTCAGTGTCCTATATTATCCGCCTTGGGGGGGGGGGGGGGACTGCAATGGTATTGAGCGAACAGAATAAAAAATAAATATTTGTGCCGCGTAGTCACTGTGGGGGCCCGAAATTGGACAAGTAGCACGTTTCTATAGCATTACTCTGACGCAACAATGGTGCGCAATTCGTGACAGCGCGCAGCTAACACAATGTCAATGGGCTAAGGGAAAGCGCGGACAGACTGGAAAATTATTATCCCCGGGTTGTGTATATTGTCTTAGAGATTTGCAATATTCGCAAAATGGCAATGACCAATCAAGAACATTGTTGCATGGCCTTCTAGTTTACAAATCTTATCCTCAACCGATCAGATTAGTTGATTCGAATTTGCAATGGACTGAAAATGACTTTGTTTACACGTGAATTAAATTTCGCTTATATTACAGTCTGAATTCACCTATCGTCTTCCATTTGATTTTCTATTAGATCGGGATCATTTAACCAACAAATAATTATCGCTTATCTGTTGTTTCTAAGGGGCCAGAATGAGAAATGAAACATTTCACTATCCCTTCCAGTACATTGATTACATCAGACATTAATAACCGATTCACCACTTAGAGATTTTCACACATTTAGTATTAATTTCAACGCTTTTCTTTTACTTTTTTTAATGTGTTTTTCTAGTTTGTCTGCTCACCACCAATTATAAGCAAAAGATTACATATCCAATGGTTAATTGGTGGGTAAAAATGAAAATGTTTGTTTATATCAGACAAAGTATGGCTAGTATATATTTATACCACCTTGGGTTTTGTACTTGAATGCGATCTCAAAGACTTTCAAAATATCAATGCAATTAAGATAGTTTTGTGGTTTGCGTTTCACCTTTGAAATGTGCTAACATTACAGTGACAAACAGTGCATGACATAATCTCAATGAGATTTATATAGGATAGGTAATACAATGGGTATCAAAATTGTCTATTAGCCGATATTGCAGGTATCTTTGCGATTAAGGCGTTTCTATACTAGCTGCTACAAAAGACAACAACAACAATAACAAAAACAGATAAGAACTAATTGATAATTATGATGCTTTTAATTTCTTCATAGATATTAACTTAGATATATCTCCATATGAGCAACAATACATCATAAAACATCTTAAATTTGTAATGTAGTCATCAAAAGTGAATCCAGTCATTTGAAGTAGTCAACTTTTAATTATTAATATTAAATTTTCTGATATAAATTCATTAGTTTTTATTAGCTCATAGAACAGCAAGTTTAAGTATAGCGACCTGCATTTCCTACTACACTATACTGATGTTTACTTTAATAGTGCTGACTGAAATACTTCCTGAATATATACCACACTTGAAAAGACAAAAAAAGGTATGTGATTATCATAAATGTGGAGGGGCAAAAAAAATTTTGATCGATAAAAACCAGCCCCTCGATCAGAACATTGACCATTTATGTGACAAGTATTGTAAATTCAAAGGCGAAAGCCTGTTGCGCTAGAGGAGGTATTCTTAAACATATTCATTCAGTTGTGCTGCGATATTTTGTCAAATTGCAATTCATGTGTAAATCTAACTATAAAGTCAGAACCTTTTATCAGTAGTATATTTAAACACTGTTACTTAACTTGAATTTTCACTGCTCATTTCATCTATATCTGCAGAATGGTGGACTCTATCATTCTAACATAGCTCTGCTATTCTTAGACGCTTACAATCTTTTTTCTCATAGAAATCACATTTATATCTTAGATATCAGTTCGTCATGGCAAGCCTCGAAAGTGCAGATAAATATTTAATTATTGATAATATATAAACTATATCTTTTTTTCACAAATATACAGGAGAAAAACAAAAAACAATTTGATAACTACATGCAAAATTCATAAATGGGCACATTTTCGGATCTTTCGACCCTGAAAATAAGTAAATAAGTCAAGGGTTAGTGAATACAGAAGCTATTTGAGCAGAATTCAATCCTGTTCTTAAACAAGGGTGTTAGTAAGCATTTGCAGACGATGATACATGTGCCATTTAACATGACAATCTCAAACCAAATAATATCAAAACTTTTTCCTGAATATTTTTGTCACCTTTAGCCAATTACAATTAAGACTTTCTTTCCATGTGGCTGTTTCCAGTGACTTTTGACATCATCTAATTCATACTGTAAACCAAATTGCTTGTATAAATCAACAATAAACTGCATTTAGTGAACAACCCGAGAGAATTCCCACACTACTTTCCCCCTGCCTTAATATGCGTAAGCCAGGTTTCTTTGAAACAATAAATGTAACACAGTGGTTTATTTGAAATTGTGATTACAATAATAACAAGCAATGATTTAAGTTAGCATAGTACACTAGAATTATAACCCTCACAGATTGGTCAAATTCAGGTATCAAACAAAATATTCATTGTCAAACTGATTTCTTTGACCTAAAACTGAGAGTAAGAAGGAAGAAAATTATTACACAAAGGGCCACTAACCTCCACCAAATGGAGTTGTAATAGGGAAGCTTGAATTACAAGAAAACTTATGCTACAAATGCTATTAATGAACAAACAAACACAAAGGGAAATAAGGTACTTTAAGTGCAACGTACTCCCCACATACAAACACAACAAATATTATTTCCATTAAATGAAATAAATGAAGTCATAATTCTTGTTTCTATGTTTAATTTAGTACTGCATCAATCTATAATGGCATAATTAAATGTAGAACAAAGTGATGATGATGAAGGTGTTGAAGGTGAAGATGATATTAATGATGATAGTGATGGTGATAACGACAACAATTACAGTGTTAATTTATGACGATGGTGTGATAGTGTTGCTGTTGATGATGATGATGATGATGATGATGATGATGATGATGATGATGATGGTGCCTGTGATGCATATGAAAGATGATAAGAAAATTATCAGTGTGCAATTTAAACTGACATTTGGACTAAATATCCATGAACACAAAGATAAGCAAAATTGAGCATCACAAAGATGGAGAGAAAAAAATCTTGAAACCATGAAGGTATTTCCTCAAATAGAATTGAAAGTGATGAAATGATGGAAAAAGGGTAGATGAAATATTTCAGAAGTATTAGAGCTACAGTATAAACCTTCATTAAATGGTGTATAATAGCATTTACGTTTCTTGCATGACTAAATAACAGGTTATAAAATGATGGCAATCTAATTACGTAAGAAAGTGGATACAGTAGGCAATATCAGGGGCGGATCTTTTTTTTTCACGATTGTGACTTCAGCATGAAGCAGTGCACTTTACCCAATTATTAAACCCCAGTGCATGAAATTTATCACAGATTTTCTTCTTTTTTTTGGTGGTTATTTCTTTCAATTTTAATCATTTTCTTCCTTATCTCTTGCAATATATATTAGGTAGCTAATGTATACATAATCAGTTTTTCTTCACACACATATTCATTTGCTGTTGTTTTTAAGCTCGATTTAGCTTGATTACGGTAGCTTTGCCACACCGATAGGCGCAAGAACCAACAGTCAAAATACAAGCCATGGCAGTACTGCATCTCTTGACGCCACTTGAAATTGCACGATCTAACAGCTGGTTTGTGACATTGCTAGAGAGAACAACCTTCACCTTGAAACACCATCGATCAAGTTTGATCGAGGGTTAACTGATACCGGCTTGTTTCAACTGGGATTTGAACTCGCTCAGGGTGTGCTGTAGGCTGATGATGAAGCCTTTAGATAAGGGGAAGAGGGAGTATGGAGGCATGGAGCTACTGCCATCATCCGGTAAGGAAGCTCCGGCTCCGGGGAATATCTGGCTCCAGCCCGACTCAAGAGTGGTGCGTTCTGGCTTGGATGGTGATGTAGGGACTAAAGAAGTACATTGTTGTGTGGCTTCTAGTGACGAGGAAGGTGTGGTAATGGTGGTGGAGGGTGGAGAAATGGTTTTGGAATCTGTTTGGGAGACTGACGTCGTCTCTGTTGCAGGGTCAGACGGGAGATGTGACATAGCATCAGGCTTTGAAGTGTTTGATGATGATGAGGAGGAGGAGGAGGAGGAGGATGAGGAGGAGGATGAAGATGGTGGTGGTATTGTTGTTTTCGGACCTTCACAAACAGATTCTTTTAGACTACTTGATGCTCCATCTTCTGTAGAGCCTGTCTTTATCGTAGCTTCTTCATCGGGCTGCATCACTTGGTCTTGCTGACATGATGGTCCTGGACAAGTCCCTGCTGCAGGTTGGCTCATGGCTTTGGGGATGTCTTCCGACCTTAATGCAAGATCAAGCCAAGATTCAAGCCGTCTTATTAACCTGATTAAAAGAAAAAAATGAAGATAGTTAAAATTTTGTCATCACATTACAGGCAATACAGAGTAACATAATAAAAGTGATGATATTCTACAACAAGATGACACTTAATAATTTAAAAGAATCTCAGAAATAAAGACAGACTTTACAGACTTACAGAACTTCTTAAAGGAACACTGGTGGTACTTTCAGGGTCATGAGACAACATTTCATATACAGTGAAGACATCAAAAAGCAAACATAAAAGAAACAATTGGAATGACTGTTATCAGAATATATAACTCTTGGAATACTTTTGATCAATGTATAACCATTGGAGAGAATCATTTGCTCACATAAAAAAGTAGTAAATCAATCTCTGTCCTCACCTGACACAATGTTTCTTGCAAAATAAGAGCGCTTCTTCCTTGAACAAGAATGGCGGAGACGACACCATCTTGCTCATGGACTAAAGAGAAAACAAACAAAAATAAAATCATCTCTTGATGAAACAGGTTATCCAACAATTGCTTCAGTGACAACTGCTCTGGGCTTTGTTTTATAAAACTTGTTATCAATAACAAATTGCGATCACTATTATAAGCTACTGAAATTGTTGCATTTGATTGGCTGAGAGAAAATTTGAGACACTTGTTAATATGGATAACAGGTTCTATGAACTGCGCCCTGGGCTTTATTTTGTCAAATGTATAGGGTTATGATAAGGGTCGCAATTGGGTTTCAACTTAGGTTTAGAGTTCAGGTTAGGTTCAGTATCGGGTCCACAAACTAATTTCTGTGTGCATTGCATATGTTCTTCAACAAAACTGAGTCGATCTATTTCCATTTTAATCGTTCCGAAAACTCACAGTATACATCAATTCTTGAGTACAACATAATTGCCCTTTCCAAATTGTTTCCAGACATTTTCTTTTACCTTGCAATCGCAATAAACAAGTACACAGATTTATTTTTAAAACACTCAACATTTCACTCTTAACCCACCTGCACAAGTTTAACCAGGGCCATCTCGTTGTACATGCGACAGTTTTCCATACTCTCCGTGGTTCCACGGTGTTTGTCATAGCCAGCCTCATTGTAGTATGGTTCGTTAACAAGAATCAAGCCTTGGACAGAGACTAACAGCTGAAGAAGGTTAGACGATGATGTCCACATCTCGTTACCCTGTAGACAAGAAGGAAATGATAATCAAATCAATGTTCATATTACTAATGATTTACTGATAATCATCAAAACCATAATGCATATATATTGTGCCATTTTTCTCAGTGCATCACTTATTTAACCCCTAATTCTAGCCATACTTGATGGATTAATCCCTTTAGCAGCTCACTCAGGAAGCTATACTGGAATTGTATATCCAGTGCAAGTAAAAACCATGCCAGTAAACTTAAACCATGTGAGAACCTTCAGGAGGCTGCATCATAATAACAAAGGGTAGAACAGCATCCTTCAAGTAGGTTGTTTCTTTTGCACTAACTGTTGAACCTGGTAGATGGTTACAGATCCTCATTGATCCTGGATAGGAGGAAAACCTGAAGGAGTCAATGGTTGCATTAGGCATTACATGCTTCAGGTTGTGGTCGTGTCTTCGGAAGTATGTAGAAGGGATGAAAATAGATGGATGTAGTATGGAGACAAGACGGTGATAGTTCACAGAAGAACCAAAAATGCTGACTTTAATAAATGATGATGATGATGTTGATTACGATCCCTTTTGCTTTGTTTTGTGGTTTTATTTGCTTTGTTATTTTCAAATTATGTTGTATTTGGACCAGCACTTCATCCCCCCCCCCCCCTCCCTAAAACATTCTGCCATGAAACTCTCCTGCCAACTGACCTTTCCTGACCATGTTCCAAGCAGACTGAGGCACACCTTGCCGTCACTGTAGAGATTGGGGTTGAGACGACCGCTGCAGAAGGACAGGTAGTGGACCTTGGGCGGGGTCTTTGGGTAGTCGCCTAGCAACCGAATGTCAAAGAAGAAAACCCCATCCTCGTAAGGGGTGTTGACAGGGCCCTCGATCATGACGGAGAACATGTCCTGTGGGGGTATCAAGAGGCATGCACATATTTAGGATTGGTGATGAAAGAATAGTATCCAGCTTGAATCACATTAGAAGCAAAGATTGGACATAAAGTTAAAAGCAATATGATTCATAGGCCTACCCTTAACAAGTTTCATAATTTGTTTGATGTATGTGAACAATTGTTATGTCCTGATTGATGTTTCTTGAGAATGTGACATTTTCAAGCTTACATCTAAAACTCAGTATTCAACAAAACCCCTAATTCAACCAGCCCACTGTTAATTCTTAAGTTACGAAAAACACGCAAAAAACAAGGGGTACCTGTATGAATAATTTAGTTGTTAACTGTATATTTAGCTTTGGCGATCAAACAAAAGAAAATCTGATTGGAATTCCGCTAGAAGCAAAGTTTACACATAGGGACCCTTCATTGGGAAAATTATCTTCTGTACAGTCAAATTGTTTGATTAAAGAGTGGCCTACTTGGGATACTGACTAAACACTGTTTTGTATACAAACATTTCAAGGCTCCGACTCACAGGCCCAGGTTTACAGTCTTTATAAACCAGCTCGCTGATCTCACATTCTTATTCATATCGTCCAGAAACCGCGCGAGTCTTCTCATTCTATAATATATCCCAAGTTGGCCACCCAATATTCAAATGTGCATCTCCTTTTCTATCTTCATATATCAAATTGAAATCCAACTTCCACAAACACCTGTGAATCTTGATGTACACCCCCTCTTTCTTATTTTTCATACATTACTGCATCTGTTTGGAATCAGAATAATGTTTAACACCTTTCTAGCTCCAAACAGCTGCCTTCCTCATACACTTGTGTGCACATTATGACACATCTCACTTTATGTCTGTAGTATTTTTTTGAGTCAGTTTCCCTTATTCCATCATCTTGTCTATATCTAAATCAAACTAATAAGATCTTGAGACATCAGATACCAAAAGAACAGAATGGAGTTAACCAGTTCTTTTTTGAGGTAATGTAACATGTCAATGAGTAAGATGTACAAAGATGGGAGCGTACCATTCTGTCCTCAAAGGCTTTCACCAAGATCCCTTGAGGGAGAGCAGTCTGGAGCAGACGAACCTTCAAAGAAAAACAAGATGAGTGGGATATCAAGACTCATAGATATGTCATAGGTCATGATAGGTCATGGGTCATAGTTCATCCTGGGGACATGATCACTGCATCTTTTTTTCTTTTTTTTCCTTCTTTTGGGGGTATTTTATTGAAACAATCAAATACAATCAGAATATTTTCAAGTAATTATAAAAAGATTACAAAAAGGCAGTACAATGTAGATCAAAACCTCACAAAAAGTAAATTTACACTAAGATGCGGGCAATTAGATGCACATGTACCTATATACAACATTATAATCACTGCATCTAGCTTGCATTAGGTAGCCTAAGGCTGTACCCACATTTTGGCCTTAGAAAGAGAGAGTGGTATGGGCATCTTGTATGCACGACTGACTCCTTGAAGACGTCATGGTTGCACTGTATCTTAAGTACATTATTCACGATTTTTACTCATCTCTTATCATGTTATCGCTGCTTATTTTCTTTTGTTGACTCACAAATGATATGACGTTGATAATATTAAAGTAATATTCTCACCTCTTTTTTCCAAGTCTGTAGGAACTGTTTTTGGTTGGTTGGTTCCTGGGCGCTGCTGAAGTAGTGACATTCTGGTAAGGAGGATACCACTATGAATCCTAAATGAAAACAGAAAGCATGTCCATGTATATTATATATTTTGAAAATTGTCATTAACACTTCGTTTGCTTTCTTTGCTTCTCTGCATGGTCCCTAATTTGCCAAACATGCACATTTTGTACAAAACAATAGGCACCAAGTGACAACGGCTTGCAGAAGTACCTATTTCCTGCCTTGATTACCTCCATCACAACACTTTTAACACAAGCATAGATTAATCTTGCACTGGAAACAGTCTTGAAGCCTTTGGGATAACTATCCCATGATAAATACAACGTAAGACAGGGAGATTTAATAAACTTCAAAATGCCCCCTTTTTCTTTTAAAAGCTGATGATCAAAACACTTAAGGAAGCTTAACAAAAGGTCATGGTATACATAAACATGCATCCTGAATGCAAATGCATAGTTGCTGAAAATCATAATTTTAGAGGACAGATCGAGGTAAAACGTACCATTAGCAAATAGTGATGGTCAATACCTATTCATACATGTTTTATAGTCTAAATATTTATGCAGTATTTCCAGTATATATACAAAACAAGCAAGAAGTCAAACAGAATTTTATTTCATGTACTTAAGAAAATCTGCAACACTGATAACAATGTGATCAGATTACTGGGAACAAGTTACAGGTAATTGTATAAAAAATTCCCAAAATGGACTATAAACATGAACCACGAAAGACTTACTGCTAGCAGCATTAGGACTCTGAAGTCCATCTTCAGCCCAGCTCAGATCTTTGTCCTGGTTGACTGGCACCTCTTCTTCTACTGCCGCCGGAGTGATTTGAAGCTTCATCATCGCCTCTCCTTTCTCACTTTTGATATTTGTTATCCGTCCTTCAGCCTGGATGTCACTCATTTCTTCTTTGGCCACAGCCTCGTGTTCTTTACCCTCTGCGATGTCTGCGCTTGATTGCTGTTCAAAAGATAAGAAAAGAACAAAAGAGTATATGATTAGGGCCCCGTCTTATAAAGGGTTACGATCGATCAAAATCAATCCTAAGTCCTCCAAATAAGTTGTGATTGATATCAACTCTTTAAAAGACAGGGCCTAGTTCTCATACATGCAATGACTAAGGCAATGTTTTATAAAGCTAATTATTACATTTTTATAACAATGATACAGACAGCAGTACATGGGAAGAAGAAAAAAAGGGGGAAAAGATGACAAAGATTTCCATACAGCAATCTTACTCCAGTCTTATTCAAAATAACCCATTGTTTTAGTAGCATCTTCCAGAGTTCAGTGAAATTCATTATTCATGAAGGAAAAAAAATACAAAGATTTCCATACAGCAAACTTACTCTAGTCCTATTCAAAATGAACCATCGTTTTAATGTGTAATTTCCAGAGTTCAGTGAAATTAATTGTTAAAGATTTTCCCTCTACACCCATAGCATTGCACAAAGGATACACAGCATTTGCTGCAATGCCCCGTCACTGGTTAGTGTCCCCCTGACATAGCTTCAGGCCATATGGTCAAGCGCATCACTCAATTTGGTGGTGGTGGTGGTGGTGGTGGTTGTTAGTTTACCTGACTGCTAAGAAAGCATAAATGCTTGTAAGTAAGCAACCAGACGGCCGACGGCTTTAGATCCTCTCCGAAGGAACTGGGGGTGGGGGGGGGGGGGGGTGTTTCACTCTAAGTTGGACTTAAAATTATGGACAGCCATTGGAGTCTTAAAATGAAATATATTCAAAAGCAGAAATTCAAGTATTTTAGATTTTTTATAAATTCTACATCCAGAACATGAAATCTCCTTGATGATAGAAAATATGAATGATTTGAATAAACAATTAATGCCTTTCAAAATAACTTTTACGAAATATTTTCAAAGTTGCTAATGGCTTTCCATAATTTTTAAGTCCAACTTAGGATCTTCATGAAACACCCCCTAGGTAACGAGGATTGATGCCTTACCAAAGGGCACTAGCGCATCGCCTTGGTTTTGAACCCGGGTCACCGGATTACGAGACCACTGCTCTAACGATTGAGCTATCGCGCCTCCCCAGAACAAGGATATATTCATTCCTGTCCGTTAACCAGTAGGGTGTTTCACAAAGATCCTAAGTTGAACTGAACTCTAAGTTGGACTTAAAAATTATGGAGAGCCATTTGTAGCCTTAAAATAATATATATTCAAAAGCGAAAAATCAAATATTTAGACTTTTTATAAATTCCACATCATGAAATCTCCTTGATAATAGAAAATATGAACGATTTGAATCAACATTGTATGCCTTTTAAAATAGCTTTTACAAAATACTTTCATCGATGCTAATGGCTTTCCATAATTGTTAAGTCCAACTTAGAGTTAAGTTCTACTTAGGATCTTTGTGAAACACCCCCCTGTCCGTAACATGGTCTGAAACTGCACTTCCTACCTGCAGTACTGAGCAGTCACTGTTGGTAGACATTGGTTCCTCCGTCTTATCTGCCGTCTCTACCTCTCCCGTTCTCTGGGCCTCCGTATCCGGGGGCTCCGTCTTGCTGATGGTTACCGAGTCATCAGGAACATGGGACATTTCATCCTCGCATTCGTCCTCTTCATCCCTTTTGAAATTGAATTAAAAGTTAAAGAGAAGGTTTAGTTCTGGGAAGAGGTGAAAAATAATTGGTGAGCATTATCATTGTTATTATGCAAGTGTGGAAAAACATCAGATAAAACATGTTCCCTGAAAAGCATGACTCTTCAAGCGCCTTCATATTTTAAATATGACATGTAACAGCGTAAAAATCGGGGCAGATTTTTATGCCACATGTTCATGTAGTCCCATATACATCTTTCTGTGTACAGTGCTTGTAACTTTACCAAGACTGGGTCAAATTTTGTATCATTTTGATGTTTCCAGAACCTTGCAGTACACACCAATACTGATATGCTAGATGATCAACCTTTTCTGATAGATTCCACAACGTTTCTTTCACAATGCAAAATCGCACGACCAGAACCCAACTTTATCTTTAACACAGAAATAACAATGATTTCCGTTTCATTCATACATGCAGAGTATGACAAATGCTCTGGCAGTAACTGATTTGTTGTTTGTTCTCAACACTAACCAAATTTCTAACCTCAACACTGGACCTCACAATGTACTACCAGGTAACCCTAACCCCAATCCTAGCCCTAACCTAAACCTCATATGCAACCAAGTTGGAACCCTAACCTGAAACCCCCTCACCCTAAATCTTTGACAACATTGAGCCTGGGACAAAAGACACAACCAAAGAAATCTTCAACCAGTGTACATGTATATGCCAATATCGAATGGAACTGTAATGTACAGAAAGGTAAAGGTTATACAGTGTAGACATTATGAATTAAGTGTCAACATTATGAATTTTGTAAAAATATGTCTTCCTTTGTGCATTTTGGTGGTGTAAGACCAAATTGATGATCCCAACTCAAAGATCGGTTTTGATCAAATACCAATAACAGTATTTAAACTCACTCTTCATGGCCTTCATCTCCCGACTTGCCACTAGCAGTCTCCCAGCTGCTGTCAGAAGAGGTGTTGTCATGACTACTGTCTCCTCCTCCTCCTCCTTCTTCAATCATCTCCTTTGCTGCTTCCAGGTAATCAGTAATGGACAGCTCAGAGTCAAACTCACAGTCCTATGAAAAATCAAATTGAAGAGGGGGCGGGGGAAGAGAAAGAGAAAGAGAACGAGAAAAAAAGAGAAATACAGGGGATGGAGAAAGAGAGAGAGAGAGAGAGAAATACAGAGAATAAACAAATATATATTTTTGCAATACTTATAAATAAGTGGGGGATAACAATTACCATGGTGATTATAGTTTTTGATACATAAATGCATATAATTTAAATAAATTATTATTGAACTAGTTCTAGTTTGTAGGATGAAGGAGAGAGAGAGAGAGATACAGAGATGATGAAAATATATGATACAATATTGTGATACCCTGAATAACGAAAACTGGAGGATAACAATCATACTTACAATAATGATGGTAAGACAGTGCTTTCCTTATATAAATGTGAGAATGTAAAAATATTTTTCATTTCCTATGCATGAAATGAAATCTGCAACCTGAACCTACTATTTATATAAATGATGCTTACCACCAAATAAAAAGAAATAAATAGCATTTTTACTTCAAATTCCTATTATTTTGTAGTAGAGGTGTCGTGGTCGAGTGGATACCACTCTAGACTGTGGATCGCGTGGTCCGTGGTTCGAGTCACTAATGTCCATTTGCAAGACATTAATCTACATTTGCCACACTCGACCCAGGTGATGTAAGTGGGTACCTGGCAGAATTGATTCCTTGAAATGCTGGAGTGGCATAATGGTAGCCATGCTATAGCTGGGGTATTAGTATGGAGCCCCAGGAGTGTCAAGTCTGACAGACATGAGGGCTATACAAGAATCCACTATTATTATCATTATTTTATTTTTTTTGGTGACACTTGTTTGGATTATAGACACACAAGTAGAGCTAGAACAACCATCTACGAAGAGCCAGAAGAGCATTATCCCTATCTCCTTCTTGAACCCGTTTCACAAAGCCTTTTTTCAATGACAAATGAAAAAAATCAGTGACAAATCTGTTGATAACCAATCAGAAGCAAGGATTTCGGTAGCTTATAACAAAGACTGTCATTTGTCACTGATGATAATTTTTGTGAAACGGGCCCTGGTGCTAAGCAGACAAATCGATTAACAGCACTCACTTCTTCAATTCTGTAGAGCTGATGAGGGAAGACCTTGGACAGGGTGTCATCGACCCATCTGATCGTGATGGAGCCATCGCCATTCACTACCTGCACCTGTGTCATGGATTCAAAACAAAAGAATGGCATGATTAACATGACTCAGTAACATTGCCTCAGATTCTGAAACAAAATCCTGGAATTAGCTCATGCTGCAATGATAATTATAAGTCAGGAACCCCATGACTTTTACAAGTCGATCGCCTGTCTGTTTATCAAGATATTTATGATTGGAAATCGAAACCAAATTTTGCGTTTTCCTAACAGTTTCATAACACTACAGTCTATTGGGAAAACGAGTATGGTAAAACCGGTTACTGCATCTCAGATTTAACATTGTTAAACGATGCCTTTAATATTCATTATTAGTAGAGCATTAGAGGCAATATTCCTACATAGATGTAGGTAAGATTCTAGATCACTAAGTAATAATATATTGTAACACATCTTTGGACAACTGTCATTTAAAATCTTGAGGAAACAATGTATCACTTAGAGGGTACTTCATATAAATCAGGGTAACCCTATCTAGACCACTATTGCGTCTTCAACAGCCCAAGGACTCGCACTATGTGCGAACGCTGAGCAAAATATCTTGAGCTTATTTCTCTAGGTCATGTCTCGAGCTGATGAAGCCTGGATTTGTAACTTCAGGATTATTTCCCAAATCAGAAATAGTGGGCTATTTGACAATCTCGAGCTGATGAAGGCAGACCTTTTGTTTCTGTGCTTACCTGGCCTGCAGGAGGCAGGTCTTGTGCAGACTCTTCTTCTTCTTTAGAGTTGTGGGCGATCCTGACGACTACATCGTCTGTACTGAACACAAAGTCCTGATGTGGGGAGAGCTCATACACGCTGTGCTCCTCGGTACTCGTGAGGGGCCTATCAAAAGAAGTATAACAAAACACTTTAGGTGATATTCTCGAAAGCAGACTAACTTAAGTCCATGGTTTAATCCACCGACTAAGTATGGAATGCCAAGTGTCCATGTGAATATGTTTTTGAATAACTTAATCTGTCACTAAATTAAAATAAAATGTAATAACATAATTAATAAACAACAATATAACTATGATATATCTATGTTATCATTGTAATTTAGGGACATATCAAATTATTCAAAAACATATTCTTATGGACACTTGGCATTCCATACTTAGTCGGTGGATTAAACCATGGACTAGAGTTAGTCCGCTTTCGAGAATAACACCCTATGAAATAAACATGAAAGGAATACCATCATTTCTATTGACTGCTGACATCGTCTAATGAACAGATACCCATACATATCTCTGTTCCTATCTCAATTGATAATATAAGCAATATTGGCGCCTTAATTAAAATAGCACTCACATCCACTAAAGTGAGGTGCTCAAAGTGCTATTACCCTGGCTTCAGCTAGCCTAATTTCAATGCTCACAGAATTCCAGGAATTCCTTCCCACCCATTACTGCACCTGGGTTGAGGATGGCAAATGAAGAATAATGTCCTTCTTACAGGACATTTATGCCATGCAGGGGCTTAAAGAGAAGGTTGTGTTCTGGGAAGAGGTGAAAAATAATTTGTGAGCGTTATCATTGTTTTTTATGCAAGTGTGGAGGAACATCAGATTAAAAATGTTCCCAGAAAAGCATGGCTCTTCAAATGCCTTGATATTCTAAATATGGCGTGTAACAGCATACAAATCGGGACAGATTTTTATGCCACATGTTTGTGTAGTCCCATATACATCTTTTTGGGTGCAGTGCTTGTAACTTTGACAAGACTGCATGGGCCAAATTTCTGATCATTTTGATGATCCCAGAACCTTGCAGTACACACCAATACTTACATGCTAGATGACCAGCCTTTTCTGATCGATTCCACAGTTTCTTTCACAATGCAATCACATGACCAGAACTCAACTTTATCTTTAAACCCATACTTTCATACATACAATCAAACTCACTGAGAAGGGTTTTCCGGATTTCTTGTTATCCAGCTGACACCACAAGTCCTTTCCTTGTTGTCTGCCTTGGTGATAACACCATAGCCCTCTTCAGTAGCATCTGGTAAAACAAATTTGTTTAGAATGTTGTCATGTCCATCGACTGATCTTTGTCTCAGAGAGAAGATTAGAACTGACTTCAATGGGTTCTGTTTCAATACTTTCCTGAAGACCATTCTATTATACTTGAAAGATGTTTTGTTCAATGATTCAATTTGTCCATGAACCGAATTGTATTGACTCTCCCGGTCTTTAAGTTTGTTCAAGTGATATGTTATTGTCTAAGTGGCCCAACCATGTGGGAGCAAGGTCTGCAGGGCTATGTGTAGCTGCAAGGAAAAGGCGCTATATCAAACACTTTTGGGATTGGATTGGGTCATTAATGGAAACTGCATGATCAAAGTCTGGAGGTTCTGTTTTAATAAATACGTTGAGAAGATTTGGTTTCAAAATTCAAAAAAAGTGATGTCCATCGATCACCTCTATTTACTCCAAGGAGTTACTACATGTATAACCGTATTCTGTATGTCCCGATGTAATAAATTGTCAAGGGTTCTCGTTTGATTTTTAACTGATGTGTATTACTTTCCTCCCGCTACTTTGGTAACAACTTCATAAGCACCTTCTGTAGCTCAAATTGAGAACCTGATGAGCGCTAACTCTGTGTTACAGAATGTTTAATAGTAAAATTCTGGCTCTATAATAATAATAATATTTAATTTTTATATAGCGCTTAATACAAATGTCTCTAAGCGCTTTACAAATATATACTATTACCCCGGTCATTGCAGAATTATATGTATTAAGATTGTCTTTTCATTACAAACAAAATTGTATGTCCATCCAATCATACTATTACTTAGATTTCATCCCAGGTCTTTTCAATTAGGTAGTGAACAGAGCCATGGTTTACCTTTGCCGAAGCTGACAACGTCTCCTGGGAAAAACTCCAGCTCATCCAGCTGTCTGCAAGGCACAACATCAGTAGAGATGATACCTGTCTCATATGAACCATCCTGTTCGGTAAGACAAAACAAGATTAGAATTCTCTACATCCGAGCATAAACAATTTTTGTAGCTATTTTTCTTTTTTTCTCAGTACCAAACACATTGAAAGGAGAGAAAGTTCAATCCTTCCTCGAGTTTGCCTCAATAAACTCGAGTTTGCCTTAATAAAAGAATAATAATATAAAGAAACACATCAGTGGTGGTTTTAAGGATGGTCTCATAAAGAATGACAAAACCTTAAGTTTTGAACTTGTGATCTGTCTGACAAAAGTATTGAATTCTGTGACTTGCAATTTGATATTTACACATCCCTTCTATGGAATACAGTCAACCTCGCATAAGTCGATCTTGACGGAATTAAGTGAAATGCGTCGACTTGGGTAATTACAAATCTTCAAAAAAATCTCTGGCTTTCATTTTCAACATGACATTTCACACAAAATTACAGAGAATAAATATATGAAGTCTAATTTTGAAACGGTTTTGAGAGTGGTAGTAAATGATGTAAATCTATATCCGATGCCACTTTCCATAAAAAAGTTAACTTTGTGGCATATTCATCTGAAGTCTGCATTGAAGGAAGATGATCGGGGGATTAGAGAGAGCGAAAGGGAGATAGAGAGATAGAGAAAGTGCAGAGATAAGAAAGGAGCGGTGGAGAAGCGTGCACAAGCAAGTCTGGAGTACATGTATGCAGCTGGGCCAGGTTTATTGTGTAAACAACATCGGTGTGTGCATGGCGCATTGGGGTCTCATTGAACTTCTGTGATGTGATTTTAATGCTTTCTGTTTGCAACTGTTCTGGGAATTAGATCTAATACAGAGGATCAACACAAGTAATTTTATAGAGAAATATTTGGATTTTTTATTATCATCAACATCAACTTGCACAAGGTTGACTGTAGAACTATTCCTTCATCACACTCATCTTGTTCTGTCTGCATTTTAACCCATTATCTATTGGAACTGGATATTCCTGTTTTATGCCGATGGGAGTGACAACATTCAGCATTCTATGGGTTAACTTGACTCACCTGCCATAATACATCTACCACGGTGGATGTATGGGTGACCTCCACACAAATCCACTGCCCAGGCTGGATCGGATCCGCTTTAACTGTTTGTGCTTTCCGCTTCTTTGATTGTGCGCCGGTCTGCTTCTGTCGCTTGGTTTTCTTAGCAATAGTCTTCTGGGAAAGAGTCTTGGAATTAGCTTTCAATGATTTGTCTTCCCCCTCTCCTACTTCTCCCCGATCATCAGAGTCTTGTTCTTCATCACCCTCTTCAATCTCCTCCTCTTCTTCTTCCTCCTCCTCCTCCTCCCATTCCATTTCTTCTCCCGAAGAAGCGACATCTAGTACCCCTTCACCTTTCTTCTCCTTACTCTCCGCTTCTGGTTGTTCATTTGGAATCCTTTCTGCAGCTGCATGCACATTTTGTTTACTAGTTTTCTTACCAGAAGATAGATTGCTTTGAGTAACTTCTCTGAGTAATTGGATCTGACCCTGCATGTCTTTCTGAGTGTCCTCAAACATCTTGTTGTAAGATGCGCTCGACAAGCTTCCCGACGCAAGACCGCCTAAGGATTCCTGTAAAGTTTCAATTTCATTGTGTAGCCTCTCAAAGTTACTGAACAGCGAGCCTAGTCGACCGTCTTTCTTCTTATTTGAGCACTCTAGTTGAGTCTCAGACGCTTCTCTGCTTCCTGTGCTACTATTCATAAGACAGAAGCCAGGGTTCAGAGAAACCCTTGCTATGTCTGAGGGACTGGGAAGATGGGGAAGATTGCGAAGGTTTCTTTTAGCCTGCCTAACAATGTTTTCTTTCTGAAGTAAAGAGGACTCATCCACATCGTTTGCATGATCCTCAGTTTTTGCCTCTCCTACTTGTGACAAAATTTGGTCATACGAATCAAGAAGTTTCAAGACCGATTCATGGTAGCCAGCATTATCTGATGTTTCCGGTCTAGTCAATTTGCTAGCTTCACCATGTTCATTCTCCGGACAAGAAAGTGTGTCCTCTGTTGCAGAGTTGGGGCTAGTGACTGTTGCCTGTCCTGGCCCACCAGATTGCACTGATTGTTCACTACCTCCTCCACATCCCACTCCTGACTCTCCATCAGCCATCTGCTCTTTCATTGGTTCCTGCAGAACTGCATCTTCCACAGGATCATCCTTAACTGCCAAATTCTTGAAATCGAGACCTAACCCCTTCATGGCTTGAATTATGACAGACTGTATATTATCTTTCCCCTCACACTTCATGTTTTCTGTGACAGATTTCATAGAACCCTCTGCAACACTGTTCTGGCCAGGTTTTCTGAAGCACAGGAAAGAACCCTTGGTAACAGGTTCCGGGTAACCTAGATCCTCTTCCTTGACTTTGTACATACACTTGTCTCCTATCTGGACACTTGCATGGGCACTGAAGTTCAGCAGCTTTGTTCTGAGGATGTATTAAAAAAGTAGAGAAACAAAATCAGAAAGTTCCATGTCATATAAAACACATCTATAATTTCAGTATCAGCCTGGTTACTTGGAGGTTGCTTATTGATGAATGAAATATATGTTGCCAAAAGCCGACCCACTTGTACATGCAGACTTCTCCGTCTTGAATTCATACGAGGACCATTAGGGGGGCATTTCACAAAGCCTTTTTTCAATGACAAATGACAAAAATCAGTGACAAATCTGCTTATAAACAATCAGAAGCAAGGATTTCAGTAGATTATCACAAAGACTGTCATTTGTCACTGATGACAAGTTTTGCTAAACGGGTCCCGGGACTCCAATTCATTCTTACCTCTCTAGATTCTTGCCTTTAATGCACATAGGTGGTGGCTTGAGGTCATCAGTGTTCTTGGTTACTGCTCTTGAGCACCACTGAATATCCAGACCGGTGTTCTTCACCTGCAAAACAATGAGGAGTCGGTTGCAATCATCAGGGGGGTGTTTCACAAAGATCCTAAGTTGAATTTATCTTTAAGTTGGACTTAGAAAGATGTTAGCATCTATGCCAATATTTTGTAAAAGTTGTTTTAAAGGCCCACTGCACTACTTGTAGCTACCATACCCTATATATTACAAACAATGCCTAAATGGTGAACATTGGTCCCCCATGATCCTCTTTTTCTTATGTTATTTGAGAGCTGAGTTGATGAGATAACCACCTGTCCAGTGACCTTGCAGTGTGATCTACGCCCTCCTTTACACCAGTACTGATGAGCTTTAAAAAGCATAAAATGTTGATTCAAATCATTCATATTATCTAATATCAAGGAGATGTCATGTTCTTGATGTTGAATTTATGAAAAGTCTACAATACTTGATTTTTACTTTGGAATATATTTTATTTTAAAGGTACTATGTCCCATTTGCAGGCAAAAAAAAAATGAAAAGGTTAAATTCCAATGGCATTTGAAAGATAATACTAATTTAGAACTCCCCTTAAAGAAGGGGGCTTGAAAATGTCTTTAAGTGGGAAAATAACGACTATTAGTTGCCAAATCGACTTAGGAGCTATAGAGCCAATAAGTAATAGTCTTGATTTTCACACCATTGTACCGCATGGTCATACGTTTTATACTGCGCAAAGATTCAATCAGTTTAATTTTGGCCATAACATGGGGGCTACATGCATCCTACATTAACAATGTTAATGATAACAACCTCAAGCAAAACAATACATTGCATTTAAATTTCAGGTATAATTAAACAAACCTGTTTAACCAAGAGAGAATGGCAAAATTTCCCTAAATTTTAAGTTCTCATGAGTTTCATTATCTGACATCAGAAACTACATGCCCTGTTGTTCCCGACTCACATACAGTAAGCAAACAATTATGGTGTAAGATATATCAAGTGATAGTCTGACCCCCAAAAAAATGCCAGAGCAATTGTTGATCTGTCGGATCAATATTAAAACAAATATGTGATGAGATGGACTCACCTCATCAACAGTGACCCTGAACCTAGTCTTGCTGCCGAGGATTGGACGTGGTCCTCCCAGCCATTTGGCTCCTTTGAAGACCGCTGCAGGACCCTGGAGGATCTGGCCTGGAAAGAACCCCACTTCTTCCCCAAAGACAGAATTCTGATGGAAATTAAAGAGCATATGAGGGTTAAGCGACACAAAGACGCAACTCCATATTTTGCCCAAATGAGTATTTGATATCAAAATGTTCAGAAAAATGTGGGCTTTCCAGGAAACACAAAGACTTAACTCCACCCAGCACCCCATTGAAGTCAATGGCTAGTGAAAAATGGACTTAATTCCGTAAGTGTTCAGTGACACATAAACCACTTTTTCCAAAATGGAGTAATGTCTTTGCGTCACTGAACCCTTGATATTATAGTTGAGATCGTCCATTATGGATCTAAAGATGATATTTTCCTTGACGGTAACCCCATCTCCCATATATACTTTGTAAATGAAAACAGAGTCTAGCGAGCCTACATCAAGGCATATCAGCTAACTATTGTTATAATTATTTTGTAGGGTTAAAATCAGAAACCCTTGCTGCTGATAAGTAACAATAATAAATGAAACAGTGAAGCCATTATGATTAAGCCATAAGCCATCAACCAATTAATTCAAGACAAATACCCTGATCTACATTGGCATATTCAAATGAGTTACTGTCAAGCAATCCTTGTCCAGACAAATAACCAAGGACAACTACCGGTACTCCCCAATACAGCTACCCCCATTATAAATTCACAAATGTAAATCTTGTACAAACTTCAATAATGAAGAGGAAGCCATCATCATTTAGTAAGAAGTTAATATCCAAGGTCATTTATCAAAAGATAACAATTTTTAAAAGAGAAGTTGCCATAGAAGGTAATTGGTTGTTCATTAGAGTAATCGTCCAAAGGACTAGTGGTGATAGGGAGAAGCAGTTGTCTGGGATCAACCTCTCAATACAACACAATTTATTGTTAAAGATAAAGTCGAGTTCTGGTCATGCGATTGCATTGTGAAAGAAAAGGTGTGGAATGGATCAGAAAAAATTGATCATGTAGCATGTAAGTATTGGTGTGTACTGCAAGGTTCTGGAGTCATCAAAATCCCAATAAATTTGGCCCAGTCTTGGTAAAGTAACAAAGCACTGTACAAAGAAAGATGTATATGGGACTACACAAATGGTGTCTGGACTATTTACTTTGATTTCCTTATCTTTCTTAGCTCATTACTCAGCCAGTATATTCAGCCAGTATACCAAAATTGTTTGTTTTGATTTGTAATCTTGAACATTCGGTGTAAGTTTTGTTTGATTCTGTGAGAATTAATTTGTTTTTTTAACAGAACTCAAGTTTTTCAATCCTACCTCATCACTGATGTCATGGACGTCCACTAGCCGACAAGCGCTATCCTCACACACGGAGCATCTGGCGTCACTCTTGAAGCGCACTACCACATTGTTGTAGCTCTCCCTGACAATGCCTACCCAATCATCCATCACGACATGGTCCCCTACTTGGAATGGCTGAAGAAAAAAAAGTAGTTGAAGACTTATCAGCAGGGTCGGAAATAAACGGGGGCACGGGTGACTTCGCCCCTCTGAGTCTCAAAATAGCCCCCTAAAATCCCCCTGAAAACCATACTTGAAGGGGCAACTTTCCATAGAAAAATTGCCCTCGTATGTCGCAACTGATTCTGAAACCTCTAAGAACTTAGGTGGATTATGATATACGAACAAGTTTTTTCCTGAGGTTCTAAAATCAACAACATAATACTGAATTGACTAAATCCTGTAGAAAATCAGAAACTATGCAAGGCATTATAGACACAGACAGGGGTATATTGGACTACACATGCACATGGCATCAGACTTTTGTCTAAAGTTGTAAACTATTTAATATGATTTTTGAAACTTGAGAGGGCTTCATGCAAACACAGTCATAACTAATGAATAATAACAATAATGAAGTATTCCTTAAAATCATCAGCAACTATGTTACTAACTGCAGTGACCCTCAATTTAAGTGTACCAAGAGCCTAATAAAAAAATAATTTGTATACAGCTAGTATGTATAATATCAACCTTTAAAAGTTTTCCTGGCATTCTATAGATCAATGATTAAGAAGTAAGAACAGAACATGGGATAACATAAAATGCCATGTACGGAACCCAACTCTAACTTGCGTTCCTTGCACACCCTATTTTATGCGAGTGCGAGTGCGTACTTGGTGTTTGCTCAACAAGTGTTTGTCTCCTCAACTAGATGCTTTACAGTTCATTTAAAATGCAATATCTCTTTGTCTTTGCAGAAGTAACATTTGAAGCTCATATTTTGAATAGAGTATAGTGACATGTAGCCCCTAACATCAAGAGCAAAACATGTTTTTGTGATTGGTACACTTTAATTAAAACCTGTCTGCACTAGTTTGGCCAGGGGGGTTAGACCACCCAGGAAGGTCACTGACAGGTGGTTATCTCATCAAATCAGCTCTCAATTACAATAAGAAAAAGGGGATCATGGGGTACCAACAGGCACTGATTAGGCATTGTTTGCTATATACATGCAGAGGAAGCAATTAGCTATAAGTAGTATGATGGGGCTTTAAGCTTCAAAGAGGTCGATAGTTTTAAAAAAATGCAAAACTACTCACCACAATTGGGGTTAGCTGTTGACTAGGAATGTTATAGATCATCTGCTTGGTGGTGAGGACTTGTAGATTGCACATAACATTGATTGACTTGACGAGTCCCTTCTGCGCCTGGGTCGAGACATTGTACTTGACAATGTCGCCTGGTAGTAGACATCGGTCATGAAGGGTTACCTAATACAAGAGAGAAAAGCAGTGGATTAGTTGGCTTTTGAATGACTTGTTTGATTTGATATAATCTAATTCTTTCATTTGTTTTGATTTATTTGACTGGATAGAGCACTTTGATCTATATGATTAATATACTGCTCACTTCCACTTCCCTCCAAATATCACAATTTTCCCATTTAAAACAACAACCCGTTAACAAAAACCAAATAAACCCAGTGTATAACATCTACATGGCTATGACCATCAAAATGTTTGATGGCTCAATGTTAGTGGCATTTTTTCCACATAATGTTGGGTTCCCTTTTATGCCTTGCATTTTTTCTTCTTTCTTGTTTAATAGTAATTTTATATAGTCTAGGGCAGTTTTGTATAGAGTAGCCTAAGTTGCTAATTATCTGTAATTGTTATTATCAGAATTATGTATTATTATTGCTGTAGACTATGCTTAATTTACGTTGTACCTTGTTTTTACAGCGATTAGAAATTGTATGAAGTGCTTTATAAATGCAATTTATTATTATTATTATATTTTTTTATTGATTTGAAAGATTGGTTGGTTTAATCATATATGACTGATTTTGAACAATGTAGACTGATATATTTTTTTCTGCCATGTTGAAAGTATACAAATCACTCATTTAACAGGAATGGCAGTGAATTACAGATGAATAAATGATTACATCTTTGTATTTGTTAAGTTTACATCTATTCAAGTGTGGTGTGTTTTGCTGATCATTCTTCCAATTTGTTGAGATACACATGGTACATGAACAGTCAGACCAACACTCTTTGCATACATACGGGATAGCAAAGATGCTATGAGTATGAATGCCACAGCATTGCCATCTCATCCAATGGCAATGCCTCCTCCTCCTCCTCCTCCTCGTCCTTCTCCTTCTTCTTCTTCCTCCTCCACTCCTAGAAATATTACAATGCATGGAGTCTAACCAAAATAGCACATCTTCTTTTTTGTTCCTTCCTTCTTCTCCTTCTGTGTTCCTTCCTTCTTGTTGTTTTTGTTCTTGTTGTTCTTGTTTTCCGTTCTTCTTCTCCTTCCTCTTCTTCTTCTTCTTCTTTTTCCCTTTGAAAGCCTTTGGCTTTGGCTTTATTATTCAGTCAAATAAATTAGAAATTCATCATTGATGATAATATTGATACACTTGCCTCCTACTCATGAATATTTTTGGCATAGATCTAGCTTGAAAAACAAATCATTGCATTAATCTTGATGCCATGTAAATAAGAGTCGGATGACTTCCAATTAAGAAGACACGGGCGCTATCATATTTTACAAACAAATTTTGTATCATATGGGACTAGACAATCCCCTCCCATACATACCTTGTCCTCTGCAATGACCTCTTCACGTCCTTTTGGGTACCATGCAATCCGAGCCTCGCCATTCCTGACGATGTCCGAGGCGTCATCGTCCTCGTCTTCAGAGCTGCTGTCGCCCGTGTAACTGTAGGTCACAAGACCAAGTTGTATCTGGCCCCGATGTTTCCTCCTCACAACATCTTCTTTCGATAAGGTCGTCGCCATTTTGATGCATAGAAAATCACGATCTGCGCGCATTACAAAATGCATGCAATGTATCGCGCATGCATATTCTAGAGCTTTATTAAGATGTTGAAGTATATAACTCCTTGCTAAAAGAGCACAAAAAAGCCTTTTCAGGTCCAGAGGTGGCCTTCTGAGGGTGGGGGCAGGGGGCACAGTGCCCCCTCACTTTTCAGGTACCCTAAAAATCCCCCCTTTTACGAAGGAAATATGCCCCTTTAACTCATAGAATTAAGTGCCCCCTTTTTACATAGAAAAAGTGCCCTTTTCATTTTGGCACGTGCCCCCTTTTCCTTAATTTGAGAGGTGCCCCTTTTCACTTAAGTGCCTCGTTCACCTCTGATAATTGCCCTATTCAAATCTGAGAGGTCCCCCTTTTACTTTAACAATTAAGCACCCTTTTCCTTTGAAAGAAGTGCCCCTTCCCCTCTTAATATTTACCCTCTTTTTAACTCAGGCGCACCTTTTATTTTCACATATGCCCCTTTTCCATTCTAATAAGTGCATATGCCTTCTCCTTATATGTGCCCCCATCTAAAAAAAATAATAATAAGAGCCCCTTTTCATCTCTGGTACGAGAAGTTACTCCTTTTCACTTCAGATAAGTATAATTTACCGATAATTGCCCCTAATCAAATGTGAGAGATGCCCGTTTTACTTGACAAGTGCCCCTTTTCCTCCTGATAAGTGCGCTTTTTATCTCTGATTAGCTAGCCCCCCCCCCCCTATTCACGTCAAGTAACTGCCCCTTTCATTTTGACACGTTCCCCTTTTCCTTTCAAGTTTTTCTTTCTTATAAGTGCCCCTTCCCCGTTTTATAATTGCTCCTTTTTATCTCTGATCGGTGCCCCTAATTTTCTTTCAACAATTTTTTTTTTAATAAATGGGGGGGGGGGGTCATAAAAAATCACACACATTAAAAAATTGAGGGGGGTTCAACTCCCCTCCCCCGCTGCGTACGCGCCTGCATTGTAGGGCATATACCATTGTCTTTACAAAATTGTATAATTCGCTTTGGGATTTCTTTTTGCAGGTGTCCTTTTTTCCAGAAAGTGCCCTGTTTTGTTGGACCCCCCCCCTCCCCCCTACTTTGGAGGTCGCTCAGCCGCCCCTGACTGGGTCTAAGAAAGATGCAAAGAAGCGAGGCATTGTCCCATGCACCCAGGGTCCAAGAACGCCCATTTGCTCTATAATTAATGGCCCGATAATATCCCCTGTCGATCAACAACAAAAACTGGGCGGGGCTTCAGACATACCAGCTGCATTCGAAACACAGTAAATCATTTTTAGCAAATCCACAAATTTGTTACTGTAATCACCTTTCCGGCATAAAAATAGGAGAAGTTTCAATTTGTCAGTGCTTGCCCCTCGATTGAGCTTTCGGTCTCTCCTCTAACATGTCATAGTTATCCAAAACCATGTATCAAGTGCCAATAGTCACACCTAAAAAATGTCATATCTTTCTTAATTTTCAGGGAATTAAAACAATTTTTATATCAAATGAAAGGGCTTGATAAGCTTTAACAGGCCATATAAGAATAATATAACCAAAAATTTGGTCTCTCCCCTTTTTTTCTGGAAAAGTTGTAGTTGTACTACATCATGTTAGTACTTGTGATAACTTTGATTTTTCATTTTGCTCCTAGTTTGCCTATTTGGACTTTTTTCTTTTAATTTTCATGATATTAACTTCTAATTACCATCAACATGTGGGGAAAATATTCAGACAGCAAAATAAACATGTTTCCTTTCATTTTAATAAACAATTTTTTTTTAAAATAATTTTTAAAAGTGATATCTCTAATCTGGCCGAGAGGACAAATTTCTCCAAATACCGCCAAATTTGTAATAGTGATCCGATTTTTGTATTTTTCAATGATCTATAAAATCATTAATAATTGACAAAAGATGTCCATATTTAAAATCTATGATAATAAAGTAGACTCCTAAGTGGCCATAATAGAGAAATGTTGTCAGAAATAAGAAATTTTGTGTAAAAACACAATGAAATTTCTTTAACAACCTGTAAATATAGCGCCCTCTTGTGTTGAGAATGAGTAGTCTGCATATACAGACCCATATGAATATTTTAATATGTAATATGTGTAAAGGTAGCAAGGACTGTATAAAAGATTAAATAAAAATACATTTTAATAAAGAATTATATTAACTCTATAATTTTGAATAATTTAAGGCAACGGTATGAACAAAATTAACCGAATAAGAAATAAAATATGAATATAGGGTCTGTTTCATAGAACTATTGCAAGGGATTAGGGTTAGGGCTAGGGTTAGGGTTAGGGCTAGGGTTAGGGTTAGGGTTAGGGTTAGGGTTACACTTGGATAGAATCCCCCCCCCCCCCAGTGGTTATTATGTTATTTTATGTACAGCAGATTAGCTACTGGCTGTATGTGCCTCTTCAAATTTTTGCTGCCTTAAGTGCCCCTCCCCCCCCCCCCCCCCCCAAAAAAAAAAAAAAACGCTTACAAATCAAGTGCGCTGGCTGACTTCTTAATAAGCGGAGGGCTAAAGTTAAAAAAGAGGGGTTCGGTACTTGTTAATTCAAAAGATCTCAGAGCTGTACCTTAGGAAATTTGTAGCGGTCACCCCTAAACCGGAGGGGGCGTCAAAAATAGCGGGCCATTTGGGGAAAATATCATTTTGTAATTAATATTGTAAGAAACCCTTGCACCACCATGAATTTGGGTTCATATCAGGATAAATGAATTATCTACTTTCGAAACCAATTTCAATGGAATCGGTATTAATTAACATGAAAATAATGGTTCTACTTTTAAGACAATAACCCCTTGGGCAATCACCCCCATTACCCACCTGAAAATTACCCCCTAAGGAAAACCAACTTATTATCAGGGTAGACTTCCCCTTTAATGAAATGTGGGGGGGGGGGGGGGGTAATTATCCTTGATTGACCTTAGGGGAAGGGGGGAAATTGTCCTAGTGTGTTAATTTTAGGGGTGGGGTAAATGTCCTCGGGGGTGGTTGTCCAGGGGGTAATTGTCCTGATACCGACGATGATAATTATGAGGATGAGGATGATGATGATGATGATGATGGTAATAATAATAATGATGATAATTATAATAATTATAATCATGATAAGAATAAGAACAGTAATAATAATGATTATGATGATGATGATAATATTCATCATCATCATCATCATAATAAAAATAATTATAAATTAATGATATTTTAATACAAGATGAATTGATAATCATATTTGAATTGAAATTATCAAAATTAATAATGATGATAGGCCCTAATGATAATGATGATAAAATGAATAAGATGCTGATTTGTGAACATTTCCTTTGGTACCCTGTTGGTAAAGCTTGGTAAATAATGGCCCCAGTGCTTTATCAATGTTTTAAGTTGAATTGAGAAGAGTGGGGTGTTATCAATGCGAGAACAAAGTTATCATTACTTTTTCATTCATATTTTGAACAACTCATTCTCCATGATGACATGATAATGGTAGCTTTTGAACTAGCTGATCCACCGTTTCCACTAACTTTTGTATTTATTTGACTAAAGGTAACAGTACAGCTTTTATTATTTGACATTCCATATATTTGACCTTTGACTTAATGGCAGCAAGTTCCATTGACAAAACCAATACTGAAATCCAATATCAACAAACACAAATAGGATTTGAATAGAACAGTTTTAATCTAAATGTGTGTGTATTTATCAGCAAAAAAGAATTACTTCAATATGGGCTAACATAACATTTGTCTTTTTCTTCCTTTTATCAATACCTCACTCTGCTTCTCTTTCTTATTGCCTACAATTTAAGTGCTCTCCAATTATTCCAATAAGAAGTCAAGATTATTCACAGAAATAACAGAAAAGTCTAATAATTTTTCCACCATACTTTTCCCTCCACAGGGATTTTTAGATGCATTAACATTGCCAGACAATGTTAGCATAAAGGATTAATCTAAAGTTATAAACGTGTCTTGAAACTGAATGACAAGGTATACCACGTGGCTGTCATCTTTTGCGTGATTTTGTATGTTGGCCCTCCTAATACCTTATCTAAAACAATCTTACATTTTAATAATTTCTCCTTGATAATTATATTTTGTACTACAAGCAATAAATATGATCACAAACAGTAAATATACATCTTTGTATTTACTTTATATATAGGCATGGTGTTGTTCGTTTTACCTTTTCTTCTTGTCTTGTCCTTTCTGTGCATATTGTAACAAATGTAGTTTTATCTATTTATTGTGAAATTTGTTATCAATAATTTGGATTCAACTCTATACTCTTTTACAACAGAAATTTGTGTGTAAGAAAGATTATTTTCTCTTCAACTGTTTCAAGACTATCTACATTTATGATGTTATTCTTATCTGCTTAAATGAAATAGAGTCGTGAATGCAGAGATGAATGTTATTCATTCATATTTGCAGACTCTACATTGGCCTCAATCAAAATATATAATTTGAATAGATTTGTTCTAACTTTTAAGGAGATTAGTAGTAATATTCCGTTAAGATATTGCATTAAAACTGATTTAAGTTTTTTTTTTTGTTACTTCAAAGTCATGTCAAAAGTAATATTTTGTATACAATAATAATAAAATACTTTTACACTCCCAACTTCTTCTCTAATTATATGGCAGTTGTTTTTCACACTTTCAAATTAATAATTCTCAGTTAATTCATTTACACTCTCTTTTTCTTTTAGTCAAACACGTATCTGCAATTTTACCAACATTAGAGGGGATAATCTATGTAGGAAAGGGATCTAATTTGTTTTAATGCAGACTATTCCCCCAAACCCCCGGGAGGGAGGGAGGGGGGGGGGGGGAGCATAAGAGGTGGCGATAGAAAAAAAATAGCTGATTACGATTTAAACAATGATAAAGAAATTATCCCCTAGAGGCCTGGATCAAGATGTGTTAGGGCCAAATATTGTGCTACACGTTTTCAGGTAAAAAAATATAGCTGAATGAGTTCATTGGGTAGCCCCATG